AGCTGCTTTTGGTTCGCGTTTTAGAATACGATCAGCGGCTTCATTATTTTTTGATACAATCGAGCAAGCAAATGCTGTTTGATTTTGTTTATTACGAATTGAAAGATCTAAGTTTGGTGCACAAATCAATATATTTATGATACTCATATGTTGATTAATAATTGCAACATGGAGAGGTGTATTCCCTTCGGCATCCTTCAATAAATATTTATATATTATTAGGACTTGAAATATATAGAAATTTTCTTATAGTACTTTTTTATTGATATCAGCATGATGTTCAATTAATGCTGAAACAACTCGTTCAAGACCCCATTGACAAGCTGAAAGAAATAAAAGAATTGAATGAAAACAAAAAACCAAGAATCTCTTCCACATTACCAAGATGTAAAGGAGTTTCGAGAGTTTTACATATATCAGGTGTTTCACCGTTCAAACCAGTTTGACGAGGAGAATTAATATCACAGCCACTGAAATAGATGACATAGATCAGCATACGAAAAACCCTTCGTTAAGATCAATATACGTACCTTCTTATAAGAAAACAAGCAACACTTTCATTGTTTTCATCAATCGATCGATGTAGTAACGTTTGCCTACAGTTATCAGGTCCATTTGACCATCTATAAATGAAAGATCAATATAAATATTACTTGTCTCGTAGATAGAAATTCGTTCTAATTTTTCATCGACTACAAATAAACCAGTCAGAAGTTATTTAGAGCAGTGATTATTTATAAATCTAGTATAACATCACGAATTATGGTTTCTCTAATATTTTCCCGCTTGATCATTGATTATTTCAAAGATATTTATAACATCGGAGTCTTACAGTTCTAGTTTAAGCCTTATTATTATACTTACATATAAGTCACGTTAAAGCGAGAAAAATCAAATAGTTCAATACCAAGCAGACATTCTGTCTTTTGATATCTCTCAGAATTTGTTTTTAGAAAATAAAACTATCTTACTGTGTGCTGTCACAGCCAAATTTAACAAGTATTGTTGCAATATCTTCTTGACCTGAATCTAATGCATTCCAAAGGACACTATTTCTGTTTTCATCGACAACATTCATATTAACTGCATTTTTACAAAGTGCTTCAACCACGGACGGTAAATGATATTTCACAGCTAGTTGTATTGGACATAGATCTTGTACTTTTTCATTAACATCTACATTTCGATCAAGTAAAAATAGAGCTGCTTGAACATTTTGTTTGATAATAGCTTGCGCTAACAATGGTATTTGTTCTGTATCTAAAATATTGATTTGCGCATGACAATTTTGTAATAATTGTTTAGCTATTGTTAACATATTCATCCAGAGTGTTAAAGAAAAAACACTTTGACCGTGTTCATCTTGTAAATTAAAATTTGGTGTTAAATTTTCATCCGAACTTTTTTCATGCATATTTATATAAATATTTAGAATACGTTCTTGTGATGCATAAACAGCACGATGAATTGGCGATTGAAGACCAACATTTACATTAACTTCATCGGCTAATGATGACGTTAAATATGTTTGAATATTTGGATTAGCGCCATGTTCTAATAAAACATTTGTTAACTGTTCTAATCCAAATTGTGATGTCAAATGAAGTGCAGTTTCACCTTGTTTGTTCATATGATTGATGTTTGCACCTTTTTCTATTAGATAAATTCCAGCTGATTGGTAATGATGACGAGCGCATTTATGTAAAAGTGAATCGTTTACGATTGGATCGATATCATCAATAGTTGCACCACGTTCAACAAGTAAACTAGCAAATGTTTCGTTCTTAAAATCCAAATCTAAATATGTATTATCAACTTAAATAATTTAACTAGGACTTTTAGTAGTATTTATTCATGAAATATTATACAGAAACATCGATTGCTATCATTTTATGTAATGAACTGTTATTAAGCATGATAATTCTATATATTTTCAAAATCATTATACTTCACTTTTCTTTATAGAATATAGAAACTCTATTCAAGCGATACTATTTTAATGTCCGCTAACACTTCAATTCAATAAATTATGCATCAACAGAAAAGAAACTATTAGAATAATTGAACTTTTTAATTCAACTGGAATTCTATCAACTTGATGTACAATACGCAACAACTGACTTATTACTTTGAAGTTAATTAGTTGCTATCAGAAACATTTTTTTCACCCGTCTCCTTTCATTTGATGCATGATTTGGCATTCAAGTGTTAGCCGCTTGTATTCCCGATGTGAGACTCGTTTCAAAAATAGACAAAAAAATAAGACTTGAAGTTTACTGAAATGACAGTCTAGTTTAGCTATACACTTACGTTTCTGTTCCGCTTGTTGAAGAGCAAACCAAAGTGGAACATGATCATCCATATTTCTTTCGTTTAGTGATACATTAGGTGATTTTAATAATTCTTGAAATACATCAATATTATTCGCTAGTATAGCTCGATGCAGACAAGTATTTCCTTGAGAATCCTTTTTATTGGTATCAGCTCCATATTCAAGCATTAGTTGTGCGACACGGCACATTCCAGAGATAATATCTGATGATAGTATCATTGGATTAAGACTACTAAGTAAATGTAATGGTGTTTCATGAAAAGTATTTGTCTGATGATCGAGTAAACATGAATGTTTAATAAGAAAAGTTCCAGAATGTTCATCGCCTTAAAAATTTACAAATAAAATTCAATTTCAAAAAGAAAAAAGAATTTTTCAAACCTCGTTTAATCGCTAAATGAAGTAATGTTTGATTTTTATTATCAATATGATTGATATCTGCTTTATGACGAACAAGATTTTCTGCCATACTATCTTGTTTAGTTGTTAATGCTAATTCAAGTGCTAATTCTGCCTGATCATCGATTTCATTAACACGCTCCTCTAACTGAGAAGAAAAGAAAATAGTTTTTAAATAATTATTCAATATTCTTTTCTTACATGTTCATCATTATCAATTAAATAGAGAAAAAGAACATCTTCACGTTTCATTCGTACAGCTTGATGAAGTGGATATTTATTTTTTTCTTTAAATAGCTTATAGGTCATAGGCGCAGATAAATATTGAAAATCTTCACTAGTAAAATCAGTCTAAATTAAAATTTCACAAACAAACGTCGACGTCACAATCATCAAATTGAAAGTTTTTACCCAATGTGTACTAATCAATTGACTGCAATGTGTTTGTAAGACAGATGCGCTAATTTCTTCAGCTATTTTATAAAATTTCAAACAATTACGAACATCCACAGCTGATATTAATGCAACTTCACATCTATTCAAAAGAAATAAAATGCATTCGTTTTATATTGAAAATTTAAAGTCTAACTTAGGAAGAAGCGAATGTCTGTAGCAAACTCGTAAGTGAAATGAAGCTGATTTTTTCGAAACCTCAGAATTGCTGCTGTTCTGCGTTAATCAAATTATTTATACTGAAGTAGATATGGACATCATACAGTTAGTCAAAGAATTGACGATCAGATTATACATAAGAGAAAGTCGGATATACTAACGTAAGTAACTTAGACATTCTTTCGCATTCCGTCGAACTAAACAAAAGACTGCAATACTCTTCTACGAATGATTGAAAGCAAAACAATGTCAAATGTAACTATACATATATAAAAAATTTCAAGTATCGATCGTATTGGTTTAAAATAATGTCTATTTACTTAAGTGCAAGATTGTTCTGAAAACTTGCCGAGTGCTTAGCTAGAGCTACAACTATGATTTACATACTTCGTATGAATCCTTTCATTGAAATTAATCGAAAACTTCTATCAATTTAGTTGAACTCATGAATGCAATTGTCGAACTCTATAATGTATACTAACTGATCGATTAATTCTTTTAATTCGAATCTTTTTGCTATTTCCATCAAAGTTAATAAAAAATCTTCATTTTGTTTTTCAACAATTTCATCTGTATAAACCCATTTTATTAATTGGAATCCAACATCATATGGAATGTCTAAAATTAACAAAATTATTCCAATCTTTTTGCTTTCCTTGTACACAACAGTATCTACCTGATAGATCGAGTTCAGTTTTATCACCTAATTCGTGTGAATCCCATTTAAAACTACGGGCTACTAAAACAAATCGGTGTCCATATAAAGTTTCTCCGTCAAGTTTGATTGAAATATCACTTTGAAAAAAAAATTGAAATGATATGATTTTATCTCTTGATAGAGTTAATTTCTATCTACCTGTAAAGTTCACGATTAAATAAGTCAGCAACTGTTTTTAGTAGACGACATACAAATGACTCTTGATCAAGTTTTGTTGTAGCATTAAGAATATTATAATTTTTTTCTAATGTTTTATATCGTTGTTGAAGTTTAACATATTCTTCACGAAGAAGAACAAGATGTTGCTGTAGTTTGACGATTTCACCTTTTATGAAAACAAATAGATACACAAGACAATATATTTAATTACTAGGAAAAACAAAATACTAACCTTGAGCATCGCCATTGCTCATTTTTAGTGTAGAAAATAAAATAATTTGTAGTAATAAAACCTGAAATTTTTTCCACAGTATACATTTTGGAAGCGTAGCTATTCTACAGTGGCTGAAAACGTAAGCCAACAGAAAATAAGTGCTTCAATATATTGCTGCAGATTAATGACACCTAAGGAAAATCTGTTTTTTTTTACAATTTTCCGATCATATTTTGTTCTCAACACAGTAAATGTCATTTGTTTCACTCATAGGATTTTCAAGCTTGGTACATTTAAGATCTACATGATATCTACCATGGACTATGTAACTTCATTGTGCCACATTATCACCACTGATCGTAGTTTCACATGAAAGTACAGTTTCTGAAGATTACTGTAGATATTCTGAAATGTCAGAGAAGAATATTTATTTTTCAATATTAGTTTTGTTATTATGCCATATATTTGTTTATTTTCAGTTTATTAATTATGATTCTGCTTTTCGATATGATATTTGTTCTCTATTGAGAAATCTGAAACAAACGATCAATTTGTTTTTTAATTCATTATCTATAGTATACGATCGGATAGTATCCATTCGTGTTTACACTATAGGATGATTGTGTTGTTGGGTAAGCATTCGTTGGTAGAGACATATAGGTAATAGGCTGCTGATAGGATGGTTGCTGAACATTAAAAAGAGTTGACTGCTGAATGGTATTATTTGAGGAAGGTGTGATTGAAACAGTAGTACTACTAGTCGTCGATGCTGATATATTTGATACGTCTTTTTGGTGTTTAGATCGTTTTTTATGTAATGACTTTGAACCAGGTCGATCAATAATAATAACACGTTCAGTGGTTGATGTTGATTGTGAAGGTACAGACTGTTGCCTATTTGTGAGTTGCAATAAAACTTCCATTGTTTCTGAACCTATAACGGTATCTGGTGCAGCGTATATTTGTTTTGTCGTTACTTTTTCTTTTTCAATATTCATTGAATTTGATTTTTGTGAATTTACGCGAGTTTGATAATTCGAATTTGTGAATTCACTATCAATTGTTGCATGTGAAAGCATATCATCGCCTGTTGATTGCTTGTCAATTGTTGCTATCGGTGGTTCATAGTATACAACAGATGGATTTAAAAAATATTGTTGTGGATAAGTATAATATGATAATAAATTTGAATTTATTGGCTGTTTTAAACTCGAATACATTGCTTGACTTTGTTCGATGGAAGTTGAATTCTTTTTTTTAGCCTTTTTACCATATAGACGATTGATTGGTTTAGGATAAACTAAATTTGGATTATGAGATACATTGAAAATAGGAAACTCGTATGGCGATGGATCAGGACCCTTTTTTTAGAGAGAAAAAACAAAAATACATAAAATCTTTATGTATATCATTCTAAAAACCTGATTACGAAATTCGTATTTCAATCGTTTCAAAAAGCCTTCTAATCTTGCAGCTAGAATATTTGCATTAACTTGTTGGCCACTATATTGAAGCTCATCGGAGATTCGCTGAGCTTCTTCACTTAAAATGTTTGTAAATCGAACTATTTTTTCTGAATCCATACCAGCTAATTTTCTAGCCACAAGATCCACTGCACGTGAAACAATCACACTAGATATTGCCATTTTGTTTATATCTACACGTTAATTATACAAACCAACAAAATAGACATGAAAATAAACGACATTAAAAATGACTCAGTATCTTACCTTTTACCTAAACTAATTATGGTTTTTTTTCGAGCTAGTATTACTTTCAAACGAATCACATGTATATATAGTTTATATATTCTACAACACTATGTATCTATATATATATATAAACGTTATGAACTTTTATTTCGTCTGTTGAATAGATCGAAACGCACATTTTATCAATATAATTCCATTTTTAATAAAAAAATACACTTGAAATAAAGTATCAATTAATAGTGACATCTATGTGATAACATACTTCTTAACTTTCAGTTCAGTGTGGTGTGGGATCTTATCATTGAATGAAAAGAAAAGAAAAAGAGGAAAGAAAATTTAATCTGATTGGTTTGACATAGTTGAGCACGGTTATTTACTCAATAGTTTTTCTATCATCCAAAAGAACATAAGTTCTTGTGTTGTTTTTTTCTGCGTTTAATATCCATATCTTTCTTCAACATGGACGTATTTATGATGATTCGTAGGCAAAAATTAACACTTTTTATTGATACAAAAGAAACTTCTGCAGTCCTTGACGTAAAAAGAATGATTGAAGGTATTACAAAAGTACCAGCAAATAATATGCGTTTAATTATTGATTCAACTAAACAAGCAATGGATGATGATAATCAAACCCTGCTTGATTGTGGATTGACAAGTGCCGCAGCTAAAGCATACTCTCCTGTACTGCTATATTTATGCTATCGAAAGAATACAGGTGGAAATGAAAATGATTGGGAACCCATTGATGTCGCTGAATTGTAAGTTAATGAAAATTTTCTTTTCAGATTTGATTGTTTTGATTGAATTAACTTGGCTAATGAAAACATTCATTATTACAGTGGATGATTCTTTGAAGATACTACATTCAGTTAATGTTAAACATGTGGAGCAATTCTCGATTATTTTCACATGTGGTGGCTTATGAAGCATATAATTTTTTCCTTACTACAAAATTGTTAAGAGTCTTTAGTTGAATGAATAGCAAGATAAAACATGAGGTTATGAAAGACATTCATTATTCACAAAAGAACTTGTGACAGAGAAACAGAATATTCTAAGTCTTCACTATTTCTAACGTCTAGAACTGTCACATGTTTATTCGATGTTTGAATTTTAAAAATAAAAGACTAAAATATTCGAGAAACAGAATACATAACTAATTATGATTCAAATACCGAACTTACTCAAACATATGAACATGCAACCAAACAAAAAAGAGTAAATAATGCACATCTCTTTGAATGCATTAAAAATAAAATTTTCTAAATATTAGCCTTCAGTCAAGTATTTCAAAATCCTGTTGAGCTTACTTCTCGAATTCCAATTATAAATTGAACTAAAGATGATTTAAGATAACGAATCACATTTGAAGAGAGTTTTTCTCTTAATAAGGCAAATTCATCAAAAAAAAAACTACAATAATTGAGATTATTCGGCATTTTATCGTTATCTCTTTCTAACAAATGTCTGAATGAGCCCATCTTGACATAGAAAATTTTCGAGTACGAATTTCCATACCCTACAACTCTTGATAGTTGTTTTTACGAATCATTTAATTATGCATATATAAAATCTCTTACTGAAAATTGGGGTCACTATGCTTAATTAAATATAAATGCGCGATCTGTTGTTCTTCGGAAACACATTCTCAAGAATCTTTGTACGCTAAAAAGAAATAGATTTCATCATCATGCATTTGTTTCTATGTAAAGAGTGACATCGATAGATTCAACTATTCGAATAAAATCGAGATTTCTACTCAAATAGTTGAAATTTCAAAGGAGAAAATTGCAACGTTCTTTAAACACAGAGAGCTACAATCTCATACAAGTAATATCGTAAGAAAGCATAAGTAAAAAAAAAGAGGATTCTCCAAAAACTTGTACTGTCTCTTTAGAAAAGCATATTTGTTTTAGTAAATGAAAATAGAGATCACGGCATTTATGAAAGATCAAATCTACAATAAAATTCTGTTTGAAGACGTTTGAAGAAAATAAGTGTGCGCGTATAAGTGTTCTCTGTATTACTGAATCATATTATGACATAAAAGACAATTGACATTATTTGATTAATAAGTTAAATTTTGAGATAAGATCAAACTCTTTCTGTTAGTTCTACAAGGTCACCTTTTGTTTTCAAATATTATTTTTGTTCCCTTGGAAAAACATTTCATATTTTTATTTAGAATTTTTAATATCAATTTAAGTAATCTATCAAATAACGACTTTCGCTGAAAAAGAAAATATCTAACTTTGACAAATGAAATAGAAACTTCGTTTTATCGAGGTTTTTCCGTATATACATTGAATAAACTTGTGAAACATTTAATTTATATTCATTTTTTTTATTCTATTTCTTAGGAGTCCTCCTCCACCATTACCGGACGTATTCAAAACGGATGACGACAAAAAAGATAACATTCAAATTGGTTCGTAGAATTCAATATGGCCTATAATAATTACAAGCGCTTTACAACTACACAGTGGCATCTTCGTTCGCTAGGAACAAATTTTGAATAAAAGTTTTTTTGTTTCATTGATGGTAAAATTTTATTTATGCGCTTATTTCATATTGTCATATAATCATCAAAGGAAAAATTTCGAGAAAAAAAAGAAGAAGAACAAAACTAATTAATCTAATATGAACAAAAAAAGTCGTTTTTTTCTCTTCACATAAATGTCTTCACTCAATTTTCTTCTATTAAAGCTCTTTTTTATCTTAAGAAATGTATTATTCAATATGGAATGACAGAGAATAAAACAAAGATACTTATATTTACAAAGGGTAAAATAATACGAGGGAATACTTATAGAATGAAGAAAACTATGATTGAAGATGCAATATTAACATGAATCTCGTACATAAATAATAATTAAGAGATAATTGATATATGCATATATTCAAGGATTCGATGATGAATTGTTTTGCTGAGAAACATCTGGATCTTTATTATGATCGTCAACGTCCTCATCATTACCATCATCATCAGGACCCGATGTTGAACTTGAATGACCATCATCAGTTCGTACACGCGTTGTATCTGTTTTTGACTAAAAATAAAGTAGAAAAAAAATTAAAATAAAGAAAAACAATCTTTTCAGTTTTACTTTTTTTTCTTTGTCTGATTTTGATTGAAGAAAAGGTTCGATTACTACTGTACCAATATTTTTACGATCGATCAATCTTCCAAGAGCATCATTAACCTAGAAATACATAAATAAATAACTATATAGATATTGATAAAATGTGAAACTTACATCTTCAAATGTAAATGTAGAATCGACAATTGGCTTTATTTTTCCTTCTCGATAAAGAATAAACAACTTATGCATCATGTCACCTAAATAACGACGTGTATCATTTGAACCACGTAAAAGTAATTGAACCAAATTAAAACCATGTACAGATTTGTTATCTTGAAATAAACGTAAACAACTTATTTTATCATTTTGCCACCACTAAAAAAAGAACACCTTGTTGGCTTCATTATTAAAATAAACAATTCTACATACATTAGACATTCCTTTTGTAATGCCAAAGAAATTCTTTACACTCCAACTAAGTAAGCTTGATGTACCATACATAATATATTTCCCATTAAATTTAAGTAAGGCAAGACCACGTTCACAATCATCACCGGCCATACAATCAAGTACTAAATCAACACCCTCAGGTGCTATTCTAAAGATTTCAATTATGTGATGAATATAATAAAAACTATAACTATTGATTCATACTTTTTAACATCTTCTGTGTAGTCAATATCATGTTCAAATAAATAATGAATATGCCCACGTAATACTTCAAATTTATGTGCACTTGCAGTTGCTATAATAGTTAGATTAGGCACGAGCTTTGAGAGTTGAGTAATTGCAACTAACAATAAAAGAAAGAAATGACTTTTTCTCTATTAAAAATATGTAAATTAAAACCTTCATTCACTTACCACCGACACCACCTCCGGCTGAATGAAATAATATGGTTTGATTTGGTTTGATATTTCCAATTTCAAATAGTAGTATATAGGCAGTTAAATATGCAACAGGAAGTACAGCTGCTTCTCGAAATGACATTTCTTTTGGAATTTTAAATACTAAATCTTTTTTAGCAATAATTTGTTCAGACCAAGCTGAAAAATGTGTCAGCACAACAACACGATCACCTCTCTATAAAATAATAAAATTCTAATTATGAAATGTTCTATTTATTCTTTTGTTTTTTTGTTATCATCTTACTTCAACATGAGTAACACTCGTTCCAATATCAATCACTTCACCACTACATTCAAAACCGGGTATATAAGGTGCCAGTGGGATGTCTTCCAAAAGACCATAACGAGCAAGAACATCCTTAAAACTAACTCCACTAGAAGAAAACAAACATATATTTGTTGTTGTTCTTTTGATTAGTTAAACATGTCTAATAAGAATATTACCAAGCTTTGACAGCAATCAACACTTCATCACCAGCTAGCGCTTGCGGTTTTGGTATGGTTGCTATTTTGAGTTCACGTTTTCCAGTAAATGCTTGTTGAAAAAGAATACATTTAATATCAGATGCTGAAGTTATGTTTGCCGTAGTTTCATTGTTAGTAGTCATATTTGTGTTCTAGAAAAAAATAATTTTTTCTATTCTAGTTGTTGATCGTATCTAGGAATTTAATATATATATATATATTCGAGATTTCAACGAAGCAATTCGTTGCCAATACCTGCGTCTTTAGTATTTTTACTTGATGATCCTTTTTCTTTTTCTTCGCCTCTCTCTCTCTCTCTCTCGTTTCTTTCGACGACACTAACTCTGATGTTATTCTTTACAAGTTTACAACAAATGTGCGAGCTTTTTTTATTTATCCATCGTTGCTATAATCTTCTCTACTCCTCTTCTTCTTTTTTTTCTGCGGTTCCCTTTTCCCTTATTTTTTTTTATTGCTGGAAAGCACGAGAGCTACTTGTTGTTGGCGATTTTTCTTTTCTTGACTCTAGGCGAAAAAAGAGAAAAGATAAAGAACTCAAAACTATTCTGTCTTTGATGAAAATGAGTTCCGTTTTTCTTTTCTTCTTTTTTTATGTTTCTTTTTATTTTTACCAGAAACAGTAGAAGATGGTAAAAGAACCAAGTTCATCTTTTTCGTAATCAGGAGATTTTCTCTGGGTTCTATATTCCAAAATATAAGAACGGAAGCACGAACAGCAATAGAATTTCCGTGCACGCTCTTACCCTTGTCTAGATCTTAGTTGATGCTAAGCAGTCATCCTATTATTTCAACGATAGAGAAGAATGATATTCAATCATGAAACTATAAAAGAAAAACAGAAACAGATAGAATCCTGCTTGACAACAACGAAAAAGAATCAAATTCATTATGAAGACTCTTCACCCTTCCATTCCATTCAAGATTTTGTTATTATATGTTAGACGAGAGAGAAACAGAGAGGGAGGAAAGCCGAGAATAATAAAACATACTGACAGTTGCATATATTCTTTTATTCTATTTTTATTAGAAATCTATCTAATTAAATCTGAAAGATGTCAAATGGGAGAAATTCCATTTAATAATTAAATTTTTTTGCAATTTTAATGACGTTAAATTATATGAAAGTAATTTTCATTATCCTAAATAAAATAAGTCTCAGAAACGTGTGAGCCGATAGAAAAAGAAATATCTTGACATGTTAAATACGGGTTTTCATCATTTATCTAGGCTACAGTGACTCTTATCAATTCTGATAATTAATTTTCAATATTCCACTTCATTCAAATGTAATCTTGTTTTCTAAATATCCATTAAACATGTGTAAAAAATAATATGTCTATTCCTATATCCATGATACGTGCAAATGAGACAGTCTAGCAAAGTACTTGATCATAATATTTTTTTGTTCCTCAGACAACCATGCTATATACATATGTTTCATATGACAAAAAACATAGCTTTTTTTTGTAAAGAAATAATTAATGCATCATCAAAAAACGACAGACACTTGGTATAGTATATATATATTTAAATGTCAAGAAGACCTGTAATTTTTCATATGTTCTCCCTTGACGGTCCATCGGATATTATATGACAAGAATAATAACTATAAGATGGTTTATATGATTATTAATATTATCGAGTCAATCAAAAATAATCAGCTTGTTGAACAATGCAAAAATAAAATGACGATGCCAAATGATATTGTTTAAATAAAATAGGCAAAGACACTGGAGAGAGAAAATCATTCCATTTTCAGATAGTCTGTTAAGACCATCAGTGGCAAAGTTCCGAGAAAATGTCACTTTTCCTACTCAAAGTCCCATGGGCAGGTGCCGCCACCTGCAAGGTCCTATGGCGGGACTTTAGGTTGAGGATGAAGGACGTTTCACAGGACTTCAGGTAAAGTGGACTTTTTCTGGATCTTAACCAGCCGTCTTTAAGACTTGACAAAGTGTAAAAGGAGTCTTTCTTGCGCACTATATTTTAGAATTGACATACATTTTAGTCGATATGAGATGTTGCATTTTAAAATTTTATTAATTTTATAATAGTTTTGTCAATGGTAATCAATTCAATACTGTAGACGATGCATGGTAAGAAATTCTTCTAGGTATGTTTAGCCTGAGCAGATTTGATCTGCTGATGTCTGACTTGTCGCAAACATAAGCTATGACCACAGAGATTACTTTGCTAGCAGATAAAAGATAGTTGCGCTCAGACGAGCTGCTCGTGTGAATAAATTCATCATAGCTCCGTTTCAATATAGAAAAAAGATGTTTATATTTTAACGAACAACGAATATTTCACTAGATGAACGATCTCACGTGCTTTGAATATGATAGTACAACATCTTTTATTTGTCTCTTGTTTTCTATTTGTAAGTTATTCCAAAAATCAACAATGCTTTACACTGTTCATTTCTTCATCCTTGATTAACATAATCATCGAGATGTATTGATAGAAATTGCTGTTCTATTATTAGTTTCATTATTCATACAAGTTTTATTGACATTCCTTTTTCTTTTTCTTTCTCTTTTTGATTATTTCCAAGTAAACCATTTGATGGAGTCGGTTTCGAAGGTTTACTAAGCAACAGTAGGAGTGACATCTTTACAAAAGTTTTCTTTGCGTTCATTTAATTCATTAGAACATTTTTGTTAGTAGCAAAATAATATACACTAAAAATAAATCTTGTTTTGTGAAAAACACCTAATATTTCTCAATGGGTACAGGAATTGTTGTTATGAGCATAAAATAAAAAAAAGCCATCGTACAATAGAAGCCGTATTATTGTTCTGTTTCATGCCAATTTTTTTTTCTCCCATAGAAAAATGTTTTATATAAATCTTACTATTATAAATTTTATTTTTCATTGTTTATATGCAGTATTTACAAATAAATATAAATCTCTGGTAAATGACAATGGCTGCAGCTACAAGTTCATTTGCTACTTTCGATAGATCAATACCACCTTCTTCAGCAATGTTTCGCATGTCGAATAATCCAACATTACCAAAACAAAACCATGGCTTTTTTACGGCGGCTACAAATTCAGCTGGCCCACGGCATGGCCATTGCTTAGATGGTAAGTACCATAGATTTTTTACGGAAAAAGGAAAAAGAAGAAAACTCGTTATAACTGTTTCAGATATGGATATACTTACGTTGAAACGACAATATGCTAATATTGATTTATTTGATCAAAGTACATTATCGAATTCAGCTGAAGATTTATCTCAACTTGAGCGTGTCTATCACTGTGATGTTTTTGGCCAAGATGAAAATGATATTGATGAGGGTAAGTTCTTTTTAAGACATTTTTATTAAAGCATAAGCATAGTTATTCATAGTAACTAAGCAACAGGCCTAATTGAAAACTATTGTTCTTTGTTCTGTAAATTTATTATGCTTCTTTTCGGTTAAGAGAAAGAATTTTGCAGAAGTCAACTATCGCTATTGTATTATAGATGACATTCCATATGATGATGTTGCTGGTTATGATTATAATCTTATTATTCAAGAACGATTAAAAAAAGTCAATGCAGAATTTGAACATGATCAAACACCTGTTGAATTAAAACATTCTCAACGTGTGTCATTCGATTCTGTTGTTAAAGCAGTAGATATTGTTCAAGATCCTGCAGAACTCGAGCATGAAAATGGTGTCATTCAGCCATCTATTTCACCTGTTCCCGAAGAACTGCCGGCCATTATCACTAGTTCACGAAGTGATACTAGTTCACATGAATATACAGTACCATTGAATGATACGCAACCGAGAGATGGTTTGACATTACTTCAACAAATCAAAGCACTACAATTTCATAATGAACACACCACTAGTGGCCCATGGGCGACTACAATAGGTAATAAAAACAGTGAATATTTGAGATATCGAGAAGTTATAGTTGTTTTAGTTTTTCTCTGACACATGATTTCAAGCAATGTGCATTGGGTCTTTCTAGAAAAAATATTTCTAAGAAATCATATCAATAAGAGCATAATTCAGCCGTGATGAATAAGAAGAGTTGTGGTCATTCATTAAATAAAATAGCAAAGAGTATAAAAGTTTTAGTATATTGAAGAACTTCTTTCTACAAGCTCTCTTCATATACTGGCTGCACAAAGGATTCGATAGAAATCGTCGCTAGTAACTTGCCTCAGACTTCAGAATAGTTCTCATGCAGTGTCAATCAAACAACTTTCCATACAAGTTTGTTCTACCATGATTTGACGAGTTCAACTTTAAATCTCTGTACTGCAAGATTATTTTCAGATCTTTTGTTATTTCATCTCTTTTTTTTCTATGGTCATGTAGATGATTCATCTGTATTATCGTGTACACTAAATGAAAGTAGCAGTGATACACAAGATACGTCTCAGATAACTTCAAATTCAGCAACATCAAAAAGATCGATGGTTGTAGCTGTTAATGGTCGGTTTGATTTACAAGACGAAGACGATTATATAGCTCAACACCAAGTTAAACCTACGAATGGCAGGGATCAGGGTTCAAAAACGACTAATAAAGTTGCATTTTTGCCTGTGCCACCAACATCACCTAAACCGATACAAGATCTACCACCCCGTCCGTATCCAGTCCGACCTAAATCATCGGATAGTGTAAAACGAACGGATGTCAATTCAGAAAAGTTATCTACTGATAAGAAAAATAAAACAGACACCGCAAATCGTCAACGACCAAAAAGGTATGAATAAATAGATATTGTTCGTCGTATTAAAAATTTTTAAATTTCAGTGCGGGTGTTTCAAAAAATACAGAAATGTTTGTAGAGAAGTGAGTATAATTCATTGATAAACATTATTTGATTTATCTAAAAATCAAAAAAGGCCATCGTCGGGTGTTGATTTTCGTGAACTTCTACGAAAAGCAGCAGACAAAAAGAGAAGAGAATTACGTGAAGAACACCGTAAGAAAGAAGAAGTAATACTATTTTCTCATCATACAATGATAAACTCATCATTGTTATCGTAATTTCTAGGCAGAAGAAAAACGTCAAAAGGAATTGGCTAAAGCTGAAGAATCCTATAAAAGGTGGTTGCAAGAAAAAGATACTCAACGTAAACGAATCATTGAAGAGAAACGATTAGAAAAAGAAGAACAAGAAGTAGAACTTTGTAAAATTTATATACAGACATGTATATCTATGATTGTTTTAGGCACGTCAAGTTGAAGAAGAAAAACAATTCGCTGAATTACGAGAGAAAAAATACAAAGAATGGCTTGGCCGTAAAGATCAAGAAGCGAGAATGGCTTATGAATTTCAAAAATTAAAAGCTGATGACAATGAAATGTTATCAGGAGGATCAACATCATCAATACAGAACAGTAGCAAAGATGGTGATCATCGAGCATTTCAAAGGTAATTCAATGCTAATATGAAACTATCTATATGGGAAAATAAACTCAGAGTATCATTTGCTAATTTGTTATTTAATCTAGTCATCACATTGTTTTCGATGATATTTTGCGTATAAATTTTTTAAGTAATAATCTTTGTAAGTTTTTTTTTCTCAAATTCATTTTTAAAATTTGAAAGCTTCGCGAAATCCAAATCGAAATCGAACATTTTCAGAGTACTAACCGAAGTTATATCGAACAAAAATGAATCTCTCGATCATCTCACACCATCCACTGTATGATAATTTTCATTATATCCCATTGAAGCCTGTGTGCCCTGAAATTTTATTAAAATTGACTGATTCTATATGTTCTACACATATCCCCAAGATGAAGTTTTTGGTTTTTAGAGCTTCATGCCCTTATGACGTAATATTCACAAAAATACCGTATGGTATGTATCATAGATGTCCATCGCGGGTGAAAATCTACCGCTGCCGCGCCGCCGAGGTTTTCAAGAATTGCTGCCGCGACGTCACGTATAAATAACAGAACCGCTGCCGCTGTATTAAAAATTATACAAAATCTATTTTTTCACAAAAATAGGTAATATATATGATATAGAGTTAAAAATTCCTGTTTGATGAAATACTAATGTAAGAGGAGATGAGAAATAGCAAAAATTCTTTCGAAAAATAGTAGATTCATTCTTTTTATAGGGTCTAGAGATTTTCAGCGCGAGTCAAAATCTGCCGCTACCGCACTGCTAACGCCGTGGTGGCAGCAGCAGCGCCACCATGGGCATCTGTGGTATGTATACAATTTTGAAAAACACTTTTGTTCTAACGGCTATGACTATCTTACATATTATGCGTTAAACTAGAGTGAATACCTAGTACTATTAGCTCGAAAATTAATTGGATAGAGATTTGAGGCACTTTTTTCCTACTCTATATTTTCTCTCTATCATCAGCATTATTTTTGTATATCCTAATGCGTGTAGGTAGGTAGATGTTAGACGAGACGAAAAAAAAATCAAGCAATAGAACATGTAAAACGCGTTTTATATTGATGACAATATTTAATTGATCTAAAATTACCATCACCTATCATAACAAATATGTCTCATCAAAATTTTACTATGAATAATAATAGGAGCTAAAGAATGCAACTATGTCATAGAAATATGCAGTGTTGTTTTGGCTACTCGATCATATTTATAGGGAATTCGTTTTGATATTTGCTTTTATAAAAACAATAAAAGCACTTTCGTCAATATTTTTGGTCTAAGTCGATAAGCGCATGAACCATTGCTGACGAAAATACTACCGTAAAACTTAAATTTATTTATTCATTTTTATAGATGGCTTCGTCGAAAATATGAACAATCGATGGCAGAAAAACGTCAATTACGTCTTGAAGCAAAACGTCAACGTCGTCGACAGCGTCGATCAATAAAACGAAATCAACTTCAACTAGATCTTCAATTGGCGAAATCTTTTGGATATTCATAATTTTTATTTTTCATAAAACAAATGAATATATAGCTATACATATATGTTTATTTATGTTTAAAAAATCGTTTGCACTCATAAAGAAAGAAAAAGAGCATGCCAATTATTTTATTAATCAAGCAAACACTGCTCGTTGAAGTCGTTTACATATTCATCAATGTAAGAAATAAATAACTTATTTCGTCATATTTTTCTCATTCATATGTTAGCAAAAACAATCGAGCGGAACGTTTAATAAGGAAAATATATATATACAAATAGAGCAAAAACAAATTTATTATGACAACATGATTTTTTTTCTTCACTGCTCACTTGTCTCGATCTATTACATTCAAAGCATAATACAGAATAAAGGAAAATACTTTGAAATATATGCAAACATACTAATGCTTATGTACGATCATCAATACATCTTTCTATCTTTCACTAATAAAATCAAGTGATTCGCATTGTACATAGGCCTCAATCATGGATTGTGCAAGTGCGAATAAACATATCATATCTTAAGACCATGGCCAATATCGATTCACACAAAATGTTAACACACTGGTTTCAAGTTCAAATATATAAGCACAAATAAAATTTTACTCGTAAATATCCAAGACTTTGTTCTTTTGAAATATCCATACCAAACATCCTATTAGTCTAATCATTATTTCTCTCATCAATACCATTTGATAATAAAATTAGCAATCACAAAATATTATGATATTTCGATTTGAAAAGCTTCAGTGAATTCGGTTGATTTTCATTTTTTCTTTCTTGGTCACATCACTAAAATAGAGAGATACGTAAAAAAAACGCTACAGTCGCGTAACGATCAAAATACCTGTTGCAATGATTAGTAACGAAGAAACATGGTTTATTTTGCTATCGGATGATCAAATATTATACTTTTGTTTGATAAATCGATCGAACTAGATAAAAACACATAACTAACTGAAGTACACTTTGATTTTGTTCTTTTTATAAGTAATTTTTAGTTTAATGTTTTTATTTCTTATTGGAGAATAATCATTGTGTACGTATAACTATCAAAAACAAAAAACAGTCTCATACCACGCATATTTATGTGACAGAGTGCGACCAGTATTTTGCTTGTTCGTATGACGTATGAAATATGTCTCATTGACGGATTGAGACAACAGATATATGCACACTTTTTTCTTGTATATAATAAAGATTCATCTTTTTACAATTAGTTAAATTACGTTTATTTTAAGAAAAATAAATTGATATACCGTACTAGTAGAGATAGACGTAAATATTCATTAGTTTATGCGCATATTTCAAACGTTCTGAGTCGTAATACTAAATTTTGAACTGATTCTTTAGTGCGAAATAAGAGTTAGATATATCTATTATTACTATTAGTTTTAATAAATCGAATGTTTTTTTTCGATCGTCAATCACCTGAAAATGTATATTTGAATGCTGTACTTTTGATTCTATTTTGGAAAAAAAATATAAAGACACGTATGTGACCGCATCATACGCTTTTTACACACCTTTTACATATGGTTTATTTGATTTTTTGCATATTACAGTCACTAGGAAAAGAGTGAGAAGAGAAAAAATCCTTTTTTCGTTTTCTCTCTTACATTATTTATAAATTGATCCTGAATAGTAATGCGTTCCTTTCATATTATATTGATGATATTTTTTGTCTATATAACGCAGAAACCTTGCCTATCACAAGTCTAATACGTATTTTAATTTGAAATAGTATCAATTTAAACAAGAAATATGTACTCATATACCCCGACACAAGTAAGATCGCTACTAAAACATTATTCCAAATTTATAATCATTTCTTTTAGTTATTTTCGATGCATCCGCATCAGTATCCTCTTCACCAGGCGGTGTATATTCAACAGCAACAAGATGCAAATTTATTATATCATCAATACAACCAATTGAATTCTATACAAGCTGCTTATTCTACTCCGGCTCTTACGTCTCTTGCCTATACACAACAAGCAATGAACCAATCACAACAACAACAACAACAACAACAACAACAACAATTATATAGAACCGATCAATTAGTACCACTATCATCAGCACAAATGCCCACACCTATCCAACAACAAATTCAACAGCAGGTTCAACAGCAAATGCAACAACAAATACCACGGTCAAGTCCCGTTACTATGAGGCCACTCTCGTCATCAGATGCATGGATACCGAATAATTCAATGCCACAAAATCAAGATATAATTCGTTCCTTAACACATGCCTTTTCTCAGCAAATGGTCAATGTGTCCCCGTATAATCAGCGTACTAACAGTATCAGTAGCAATTCATCCGCATTACCTTTAAGTGCATCATATGAATCACCTGCATCAACTCTTTATCATTTACAAAATCAAAACCAAAATCAACAGCAGTCAGTATTGCCACAACCGCAACATCAACCACCAACAGCATCACCGCCAACACCAGAAGACTATACACGACGTCAACGACTCCATAGTGGTTCAAGTTGTTATGAATCAGATTCAGCTGATATATCTAGTGATGACGAAGATGAATTTGGGGTAAGATATTTTTATTTTCAATGGCGCTTATTCTTAACGAAATTTTTGTTTTTGTTTTTAAAACAAAATAATGTATTTATTTAATATGAATAGTTGCTTTTTCGAAAAAAAATCGATTCTAATCATTTACTAACTGATGAAATGCATGTTATCGATGTCCATTAAAAATAATTCAACTTTTTTCTTCTTCAAATCATTAGTGGCGACCAACTGGCTCTAAAACGTTTCGAACAATATCGTCAATGACAAAGTCTCGATCGAATTCAGCGGGTCGATCAGATCCATCAACGACTGAGATATATTCTAATGATATTTATCAAAAATCAAATAGTACTAATAATAATAGCGGAATTTTTCCTTCTATTAACAAGATGTATCGTTCATCCAGTAAAAATAACAATGGTACTTCACGTCCTAAACTTGTTCAATATATTGATGATAATATTATTGGTAAAGATTATATTTTTAATGGACCATGGGGTTTAAGACGAAGTAAGAGATTTTGTTTTTCATATGAATCGAAATACTGTTTTCCTATTTCAAAGTGATCTATTGTGATTATACTGCATCGGGTCGTCCATTGGAATTTATTGAGGATTATCTTCGAAATTATGTACTTCCTTTGTAAGTGAATACAAAAATGTTTTTGAAATAGATTTATCTACTCTTTTGTTTTTCTTTTGATAGATATGGCAATACACATAGCGAAACAAGTCTATGTGCTCAGCAAGCAACAAGGTTTCGTGAAGAAGCTCGCAATATAATAAAAAAATCGGTTAATGCTACAGAAGATGATGTTTTATTATTTACTGGCACTGGTTCAACGGGCGCTGTTCATACATTAGTTAGCAATTTTAATTTTAATGATGTAAATAGTCGAAAAAACGCAGTTGTTATGGTCAGTGCATTTGAACATCATAGTAATATATTGCCATGGACTGAAACAGGTGTTGAAGTGAGAATCAATATTTCGAAAGAATTGTTTGTTTGATTAACATTGATTATGTTTTGCTATCCTTTTTAAGGTAATTCGAATACCAACAACACAACAAGGCATACTTGATTTATCAGTATTAAAAGCAAAATTACAACATTATTCGAATTTAAAAAAACTTATTATTTGCTCATTGAATGCTGCTAGTAATATAACTGGTATTTATACCGATGTTGATACTGTATCAACATTGGTTCATTCATATTCGGGTTTAATGTTTTGGGATTATGCAACAGCTGCACCTTATATGAAAATTGATATGAATTCATCGGCAACTGCTTATAAAGATGCAGTATTTATTTCCACGCACAAATTTCTCGGTGGTCCAGGAACACCTGGTAAGACATATAAAGACTTTACATTGCATCATTCGTTGTTATTCTTATTTGCATAGGTATTTTGATTGCTAAAAAGAATTTATTTAGCTTAAAACCTCCCAAATCATGTGGCGGTGGTACAGTTAATTTTGTGACTCGCACATGTCGAGAATATAATTATGATATTGAAATACGTGAAGAAGGCGGCACACCAGATATAATCGGATGTATTAAAGCTGGTCTTGTTTTTCAATTGAAAGATTCTATTGATTCGAGCTATATTCAAGCACGTGAAGAGGAATTAGTGAAACGATTTTATCGACGTTTCAAGAAAAACGAAACATTAGTTCTTCTTGGCTCTCAAACAGCTGCACGCTTGCCAATATTTTCATTTTCGATTTATATACCTGGTGTATGCAAATATTTGCATCAAAATTTAGTTTGTCTTTTATTCAATGATTTATTTGGTATACAAGTACGATCTGGTTGTGCTTGTGCTGGACCTTATGCACTTGATTTATTAAATATTAATGACGCAAAAACAGATACCTACTGTTTGTTCATGACAGAAAATACCAAGTGAATTCATTGCATATATGAAGTTAACACTAAGTTTTTTTTCTCTTGTTTAGTGCTCGAGGTAACGAAGGTATTGTTCGAACTATGATGATGAAGTAAATAGAAAATTATTTATTCGTTTATTTTTCATTCAATCGAAATTTTGTTCTAGACCCGGTTTTACACGTCTTAATTTACCTTATTTTTCAACTGATGAAGAAATTGATTACATTTTCAATGCTATAGAATTTATTGCTGCACATGGCTGGAAATTTTTGCCATTGGTACTAAGAAAATAATTTATACTTCGCTTTTATAGCTATCGTTTTGTTTTAGTATACATATGATCCAACAACAGCTTCATGGTCGCATCGTAATGATTTTCAACTAGCTCAATCTAGTCTTGAGGATATAAGCTATAAATCTGGGAAAATGCAATATTATGGCAAAAAAGTTGATTTATCATCAACACGTGGAGAAAAACATTTTCCTGTAAGATTCTTAATTGACATTTTAAAAGCTAGGATACGTTAAGGATTTGTGATAAAATTAGATAGAATAGTGACAGACATCCCTATTCAAACTAAACACGCATAGAATAGCAATGAAGAAGATTATCGCAGATTTATTTTCTATTTCTCTATTTAAGGAGATTCATTAGAAAAAATTAATTTCTAATCTTTATATGAGCAGTCTGACCAGATGAACTTCTACCTGTAATGAGTTCATATCACACAAATTGTTTATTTTCAATTTATTCTATTAATTTTGTTTTAATGCTCTTAGGATCCTTTACGGGAAGCGAGATTACTGGCTGGGAATGCTGTAAAATATGCACTTGAAGTGGTGGATTATACATCGGATCCACCATTGAATATACCCGATAAATATCAACATATGGTTTGGTTTGCAGTACCGATTGATATTGCTTTGATGTTGCTTAAGAAAAAAGAAACAGGACAAGAGCCCCAGTGTGATGTTAATTCAATTCCATTTATACCTGACGAGGCCAAGGTAAATACTTGTAAGATAATATAAAGAAAATATTATTTTTCTTGTCTTTAGAAAAAAATATTGGATTCAATGAAAACAAAATCAATCGAAAATACGCGTGATGCATCAGCGAATAGAAAAAAACATAATGCGAAGCGGGACCCAACAACATCGCAAACTCGATAAAAGGAAACATTTTGTCTCGTTAAAAGAAGATGACATAATAGGACTACATAATTCTTCTTCTAATTTTTTTTTGTGTTTATTGCTCTTCTGGTGATTCATTTTGTTATATTTATGCGCAACTAAAAGTATCATTATTATTATTATTGTCTGTTTATTAAAGCGTAACGTTTTTTTGAGCATATATTTTCACAACATTCAAAAACATGATATCAATTCATGTTTTTTTTCTGAATATTATCAAATACATCATTTAATAGAAGATATTCTTTTATTTAAGTCAAACAGAACTTTAAAGATTATACACTACAAACACCTTGATCTTGTCAATAGAGTAGAGGATGGCATCGTCGACGAAGTAAAAATAAAGTAGTTACGATTCTATTTGTCGCCTGTGATTGTCCATGGAATGGTTGGAATTGTACCACAAACGAATATCCCTCCACGATTACCAATTTCAGTCGTACCAAAGCGTGATGCAAAAACATCTGGAAGTGGTCGATCTCCTGGCAGTGAAAGCCATAAACGTAGAAGGTGACGTTTTTTAGTTGGATCATCCCAGTCTTCAAATCCTGTACGGTCGTGTAAGAGAGCATGGTTGTAAACAAATTGCAGATCTCCTGGTTCAAGTTTCATTGACAGGCGAAACTTTGGATCATTAGCAATACGGTCAAACATATCAAGTGCCTCTACATGCTCTGGTGTAAGACGAGGTGCATTTTCAAAGCGTTGCGCAGAATCGATATACTGACGTTGATAAAAAACAGTGAGATAACCTTCGTGAAAACTGAAAACAGGAATTAGTAAATAAGGCAGCATGCCCTCTGGAACTTCTCCTCTACGGTCAGTTGCAATTGGCTGCATCAGAAGTTCTAGTAGATCGGGTCTCTGAGCACGCATTTCATTGAAAATTGCTGAGGCACTAACGACCAATGAGATTCCGCCAACCTTCGCTGTTTTTAAGCACAAAAGGCCTACGGCATCTGAAGAATCGGTATGAAAAGTTTGACGTTCGTTTGTTTGATAAATCCGTACGTTCATATCGCTGCTTTTCATGCCTAAATCGCGAACATGACCAAGCATATGACCCATTGCATTTTGAGATCTTGGCAAGCCAAGATGACAACCAAGACCATAAAAGATCGTGCCAGCTTTACGTTCGTCGTAGTTTTGTATTGGCAATCCACGTAATATGAAAAAACCTCGACCATTAATTAGCTCTTCACGAAAAGCTAATAGCTTTGAACCTAAAGTTGGCAGAGGAAATTGTTCCGTCGTTACAGAAGCAACATTTTGCTGTAAATTAAGGAGAGACTCAGCGGCTTCTTCCAACTCTGCAATCTCTATAGAAGTCAATTTCACTATCCAATCGTTTTCTCGACACTTCAAAGTCGAACCATACCAAGTCGAAGCAAGATGTTGCTCCAAAGGTAATTTATATCGATTGTAGTTGCTTTTGTGGTCAGCAACTTCATCAGTTTGTTGAACCACTCTTTGTATGGCATTTGTTTCAGTTTTTACTTGCTGCATAGAAAAATAATAACTATTGAGTGTCTAACGTTTAAAAAACGATAACGTTAACCATGTGCCATAAGATGCTACATCTTTATCAAGGAGTTTGTTGACAATGAAGCGAAAGTGTGAAAACAAACTTCGTGTACATTCACCAACGTCATCTCTTCAGATGCTCCATATCTAACACACCGACTTGGATTGCTATTTTTAGGGCAAGTTGTTATGTCAAAGAAAACGCACATTTAATAGCAGTCAAGTAAAATCATAGGTAATGTAAACGCTTGCTTGTTGAATATCTCTGAAAGTACTCTACAAGTATCCAGGTATAATGTGCTCAATTATATTATAATGGCTCCAATGATATCCGACAGCATAGCATCTTATTTTGTTAATGCTAATCAATATTCAAAATGTTTTGACTGTAGAAAAGCCCTCTTTACTGTAGTATCCATGATTTATGCTCTAGAGGACGTGGAAATTGTTTTTCTTCTAATAATACGGTGATTCCATTTTCGCTGATCCCAATCGTGCTACATGAATTTTTAACAGAAAAATACTGGATCCAATATGATTCATTCTGCATATAGAATTGTATTTTAATTAATTATTTTATTAGTGAATCAATTGATTAGCCGCATCGAATTTAGTAAATATCTGGATTGATAGTCATTCGAGTTGAAAGCCAAATCTGTCTAATATACAATCTGCTCGAAAAAGAGATATTACCAAACAAAGGATACGTCTCTTTTAGTGTTCGTTCAAAATAGACTTTAGATACATTCTGGCGAATGTGGTGTGTTCATTTCGCATGTTTTTCTGGTAAAAATGGTTCTTATATCTGCTGGTAATGTAAAACTACGTTTCAGTCGCAAGTACTGAAAGAAAATTGATAAAATTCGAATGATTTCTCAAAAGCAACTGAAAATAAGCGCCTGCAGAGCCAAAATTTGATTTTTCTTTTTAAGAAACGATTAAAATTTGCTACATTTGCGCTGTACCTTTCTTACATCCAACTAAATCTTCATAAAAGATATCGTACGTGTGTGCTCATATATCTTTTATAGACTATCGATTTTTTCATCTGCTGATAGTCGTATGAACTGATACATAACTCAGATGTGCTTAATCAATTGATCCGCTAATAAATTCATTCATTAGAATAGATTTCCAAATCTAAAATGAACATACTCTTCTAACAAACGTAAAGGCACTTGATTTAATTATTATCGCATTTCAATATTGTCTTCATCAATATTCATGAAATATCTCTTTCATCACAAGACTGAATAGTTACAAAATTATACTAAGTATAATATAATGTAATTCATTCTACGGTATTTGCGCTTTAGGCGTCACCATTGCACGATGTCTCCCACCACTGCGCCATTAACATTATTTAACAAATATCAGAAAGTCATTTGCATTATAAGAAGAAGAAAATAAAAAATAAATGAAGCTTTTCTTCGTCGAATGAGCGTACTATTTATTGTACATCGTCAGCAGATTTTTAGACTTCTCTTCTAGCATCATACTTTTCGTATAGCATCATATTTGTCTTTTTTGGTACATAAAATGAAGCTACGGTTGATTATTATGATATCAATGACAACATCAATATAGACGTGTAAGCTAAATTCAAAAGGTTTTCGAAAGCCTGTCTTAGGGCAGAACGTTTCTTGAAAATCGATTAATTTTTTTCATAATAGAATTATTTGTAGAAATGAATTGAAAAAGTACTTTGCTCAGGTTTTAAAGGAACAGCAGCAGCACATTTGGTTTCATCAGAGATCGAAATTAAATCACCGATTCGTGCCAAAACAGCGCCAAAGATTTGTATCAAACGTCAAGGTACAGATGATTTTGGATTCGCGCCATCGAATAATTGTGATTGTGCCAAATTTAAGTGAAGCGTTTCATACGTCAAAAAACACCTTGTTCAAGATAAATTTTCAGGGTTCGCTTTGGAATGGTCCAGGCATAACGCCTGAGTTTATCCACATCATGGTTAACGGCTATCTTATTATTGGTGATAAAATTCTTCCAAACACTGTGCAGAGAGTTAAATTTGGACTGGGTAATGATTTGCAGGCAGTCGATACAAACGGTGGGCTCTTCTATTCTCAAGTACCCGGTATTATGATGTTCATCAGCAGAACAGCCCTTGTTTATCTTCCTCCGGGTACCTGGGCATTCAGTATCGGTGCACGAAGTGAATTAAGTTACGGAACAGTTCGTGGCGGTATTGCAACATACGAATTAACTGAATTAGAGAACGAGGGTTTGGGTGATCTTGCATTAGCAAGATTTCCAGAATAGAATAAACTAATTTGACCGAATCGTCCCGTTTTATGCATGCAGACATTCACCAGGACTCTAAATCTAAAAGATAAGGATAAGTAAAAACAAACAGAATGATGAGACATAGTGCTTTAGAAGCAAAACAAATTTTAAATTACAACACAAAGACAATAGGAAAAAACATTTGAAGGAATGACAGAGCTTTTCGAAATAATTTTAATGCTTCACGTAGATTGGATGTAGTTCTGACGCAATATTCAATATTTATAAACTAGTTCTTAATGAAATCATACAAAAACAATGGAAGATCAACAACTAATGGATGGTAAGGACAATGTCAGAATACTTATCAATGATTATTTTTTATGAATTTTGTTGATTAGCGATGGAATAATAAGAGTGTGGGTGTATTCATCACTACAATGCAACCACTATGCATAGTGTAGTAACAAGAGGGAAAATACCCATACATAAAGAATAGAGAAGAAAACACAGAACGAAAGAAAATATCACGTACAACGTCACAGAGACAATATTTCTTAGCATAAACTGCATCTGCATAAGATCATCTTACTAAGATGTGAAGCAGAGCATGACAATCAGACATTCTGGTTTTTAATGCACTACTTATAAAGCAATCAATTACTTATTTTGCGATGTGATATATATATATATATATACAAAAATTAAAAATAAGCAAGCAACTAATATTGCTCTTTAATTAGTGCCTAGAGTTTATTCGATTGATGTCACTTACTAATTTCTTTTTTTCAGCGCTATCACATCGCATATACAGCAATAAACTACAAACATTCTAATAGTGCTTATTATTTTTTTCTTTTGATCGGTGCCCAGGCGGCGCCAGGTTAGCCCACCCCCAGTTACGTCACTAATGAGGACAATAAAATGTGTCGTTTTGCGGTGGTTTCAATAATTCATACACAAAGATATGTCATTTTTGAACTTTTGCATATATGAATCGTCAGAAAATTCCATAAGATTTTACATTTTTTCTTTCTACAAATGATCATCAATATCTGTGTGATAAGCAGCAGCGAGTTTTCTTTTTAATAAAAAAGTTAATATACTGGTCTATTCAAGTTGAGATGTGGATGTACCTAAATAAGATATCTATATAGACATATCACAATTATTTAATTACACATTTTGTCAAAGATCTCTTTTTAATCAATATAACTTTTCATACCTAAGATGTGATCATATCAATCATATTCACTATTCATATTGAATCGATGATAAAAATAATTCCTTTCTGTCAAAAATCAATTTGTAATATCTGAATCAAATGTTTTGAACAAAATTATTTCTTTTTTTGACAAAGTATTCAATCGTGTATACTTCACAATCGAATAGTATGTACTTTTTGTTGTTGGATAAAGTGTGTTGCTTCATTACTTCGTAAGAAACACCATGCTCGTCAAAGATTTATAAGTTATTTTGTGACGACGATAATGCTGCTTTTATATCTATCAACCTAGCATTTATGATTGAAAGTTTTATGTCGCTATAAATGATTACTATACCATACTGACTTAAAAAAATTTCATTCAATTCGTTTCGAAAAATATACAGAAGCAATAAAGTACCTTACAAAAGTGCTTTATGATTTACTAGTTTATTGCAGCTTTGCTTATTATCAACCAAAGTAGGTACATTTTCTGATCTCTATAAATTGCTCTGATATCTCGTGGTAATTCTATATCATTGCAAAAAAAGAATAGAAAGAAATCTTACACATCTGCAGTGCAGAATATGGCTCACAACATTCAGTTGATATCTATTGCTAGTAGTATTGTCATTCCAGCAGCTTTTATACTCTTCATGGTTAGCAATGCATTTATGATCTGGTAAATACAAAGTTTTATCCTTTTTATTTGTATAAACTCGTAGTTTATAAGTACTAACACAAGAAATTATATTTTTTACAAGTATTTACTGTTTGTTTTATGCCATTTAGGAGTGAAAGAGGAGATGACACTGAAGGAGCCATATATGGTCTTTGGCGTTATTGTGTTTCTGTATCGGGCGAGAAGACGTGCGCCATTGTATCATGCGATCAAGAAATCGGCAATGGTGCTCTCTGCAATAAAATCTTATCTGCTAGAGCTTTTCTCATTCTAGCTTGTATTTTCTCTTGTGTGTCTGGAACTCTATGGGTTTTGTATTGTGCAGTTAGAGGTGATACTACACATCGAGCCTTATTATTTCTAAACAAAGGTCTAGCTTTTGCAAGCCTTCTTACGGGAATTATAGGTGTCGCAGTTGGTATCAATGCTACATTGGCTATAGAATCCGGTATTGAATTACGTTTAGGCCCTGCTGCAATTGTTGGAATCGTTGGCATTTGTGTTAACCTAATCGGTGCCATTCTAATAATATTCGCCAAATATTAGTTTTAGCTAATGAAATATGCAAGAAAAAATTTGAAGTTGCAGAAATCTTTGTATCATTGATTAGAAAGGCATTATTATTTTTTATTTTTTTGATATGTTGCCATTGTTTTCTGCAATTATCGAAGTCAATAAAACGCTCTCAACACACCTTGCAATTCGACTTTACTATTCTGATGGACGACGACACACAGATGCTTGTATTTCATTCAACATAACATTAATTATCAGTTCGAGAATAAACACAATTTATAGAAAGGAGTTAAAGCTTTTCGTCTAAGGCAAATAGAATATTTTTACCGTCATATGAAGCATCTTGAAAGTATATGACTATGTAGAGAAAACTATATGGCACATTTTGAGTTTTCTCAAGATTCTTTTACAATGGTTCTGATTTCCTATTTATTTGAATGACCCTTCAACAACAAATACAATGCATATTATCGAGTATGATTTAGATGAATGCAGGTATAGACAGACGAAAATATCATCTTAGTTGATAAATATGAATAAATTCTAAATAAGCCAACTCAATTTTGTTAGTTACTCGTCCAAACGATATCGAAGTTAGAACATGCCAAACAATGTGTTACTACTAAGTCATATTACTTAGACATCGTAATACTTACAAGCTTTCTTCGATTTTCTCTCATTCTATTCATATAAAAAGTATAACGAATCAAGTTTGCGCCAGAAAAAAAATCAAAGACAGGCTACGAACAGCTGATTGTACTCACAATATTTTCAGTGTCTATAGTTCTTGTTGTTCTCTAAGTGGCTAAAATCGATACTGTCAATACTCTGTAGTAACTTGTTTGAATTTTCAGATCAGTTAATTGATAGTATATTTATGGTATTTATTCTTCTGTTGATCATTCAATCTTAATTGTTTAACTATCTATGTGATTAACTGCTTCAGACTTGTATGATGATGGCTGAAACTGTATTGCTTTCTTGAAGAAATCTCACAGATTTGCACGAGAGAAATTCTCTTTACAAGAATCAAACTATGAGAGCCAATTAAACAAATTCAGCGTGCTATTGACTATCTCAACAGGTTCGAGAACAGGAACCAAATCTCTTATTATCTAAATTTGAACTACAATAGTCTTTTGCAGGTGGATTGTCATATTTTTCACGAACATGAGTGATCCCACCAAAGTTGTCCGAGTTTGAATCCAAATTCAAATTAGGAAATTAAATACGTTTCATCATTTATTGAAGGAAAATTTTTATTTTAATTGTATACTAATCACAACAAAATAATCGACTATTATTTTTGAACTGAAAATAGAGTATTTTGAATTGAAATTATACTGTTTTCTATTTAAATTGTTCTATAAGATAATGCTTTTCGGAGGATCAAGGTTTTTTATAACATAAATACAATGGAAAATAAATATAACATCCCAGATAATGAAAGAAAATGTAAAAGTTATCAATATAAAAGATTAAACAAATGGTAAGAAAACTATAGGATATAGAGTTGAAGAAAATAAAAACAAAATGAACTGAATTATGCAGTGAAAATAATAGCAAATTAAAATAGTTATAGTGAATGTAAATGCAGTGCCGAAAACTGCCTCCTAGCATATAGAATGAATTTTTTGTTCAGTGAAAATTATAATTACATTTTTCATCGAGTGATGACTTCTATAAATAATTAACTAAGTTCTTTGTCAAACATTCCATGTTTGAGTCGCTTTAATGAGTGGATAAAGCATTCAAAAGATCATCGAGTGTTGTTTCTCGTCGACAAAGTTTTTCGTTGGCACATATTTCAATGAGACGGAGAAATACGTTTAAAAATTGCTGAGCTCGCTCATCACTATCTATTTCATGAGCTAATGAAAAGTCTAACTGACCATCACCGGCACATGTGACAAATACTACTGCTGTTGTCCGATACACACTGCTATTGTTGATGACATGTAAACCACGCAAGCAAATTTCGTCGTGATTGTATTCACACGAAAATGGATATTTTCCAATGTTTGAAAATGCCAATTCGGAATGATGTCCATCAGGTAGACTTCGAGTAAATCGTGCAAAACTCCGGTCCTGTGTAGTAATATCAGTTAAAAGATTCATAACTAATGGAACACCTTCAGATTTCAATTGATTACGAGTAAGTACCATGCATTTCTTTGCCAAAGACCAAAATCGAGCAGATCTTATTGAAAGTGATCGACGAAGTTTTACTTCGCTAACACCAATAAAGACTCCGACAGATGTTTTTGTTAAAGCCGATCTGGGAAGACGTGAACGCATATCGAAGGCAGTACCAATCGGAAACGGTTGCAATTTTGTATCATCACCAAGTGGAAAACAATGATGAATAGCCAATTTAAGACATGCAAGCAATGGACCATTCAATGTTACTTCATGCAATCGACATTGTTTATGCATATTAACATAGAGATCAGAAGAACTCGAAGAAAAGAGGAATTTCGTATAGTATTGTGGTACATCAAACCGACTCGATTGACTATCGGGCAATGGATTGAGTTTGACAGGAATTCTCGGTCGAGTTAATTTTCGAAGTTCACGTTGGTAGATATGCCTACCAAGAAAGGACAATATTGGATAGAAAGGACCAAATGGACGAGGAATTAAATTACTAATCATTGGAAGAATATCAGCATTGAGTGGTTCAGATGTGGGATTTAGATTTGATGATGTTACCAACGTTAGGAAATCGTTAACGAGAACTAATCCACTTCGACCATCGGACGCACAATGACTTTCAAAGAGAAGCAAATGAAATCGATCTTCGGTCTCTAATGCGTTTGAATTAAATAGTAGCATGAAATGAAAAAGTGGAAAAATCAATGTGCCATCAGTCGAATACGGATCTTGATTACATCGACGTTCAACAACATATTGCCACGAACTTTCATTAGAGTCTATCGTCGAAAAGAACAAATCATTCGATAGATATTCTGGATTGTATTCAAGAGTATCTAGAAAATAGCTATTCGCTTCAACGCGTAGTCGAGTACGCATACGTGGATGACGTTTTATCAAACATTCAATTGCAGCCAGAGCATTACTCATTAATTTCATACGGTTACCAGTCAGATGAGCAGCATGACAAATCGTTTCCCAACCACCATGAGCGCATAGTAATTTTTCGAAACCATCAAGTACGAATGTTGAAAGAACTTTGTGCGCCATGAATTTTCTTCAATGAGCAGACAGCCGACTTATAATTTAGTTGTAAAATGAGTTGTTTTTTCTTCATCGTTCTCTTCTTCTTATTTCTTTTCAGAACGAGAACTGTTTAACTCTCAAATAGAAAGAAAAATGAATATATATTCTTTTAACAGGCATGCCATTCAATGGAGACGGAGAATTTGTGGGAGAGGAGAACAGAAAAAAATAATTTTCATTCATTGCATGTTTTCTAGGCCGGCGATGGTGTCCTACACGACAATGCAGAAATGAATCATGCCGTGTGCTTTATGGTTCTATGCATCACAGAACGATTTTTCTAACTGGGTGCTATTTTTTATATACTTACACTAAGTTAAAATGTGTCGAATGTGTCATGATTTGCGACACAATGTAAGACACATTCGACACATTCTAAAAACACTTTTTTTTCAACCCACGAGCCAGAAAATGATTTTTATTTTTATCAGATAGATTATGATAATTTTTTTGATTTTGGTCTATTTGAACAGTTTCATTTCTGAAAACTCAAACAGGTCATATTTTGAGATCTGTCCGGTCTCGAGTCGGTCCAGTTTTTACTAGACCATTTTCGGGTAGTTATACCTCGATCAGTGACCAAGATAGGCATTTTCTCGACTAGTTATTAATCGAGAAATAATCTAAAAAATACTTAAATGAAAATACATAACTTTCGTATGTTCAATCGAGTTCTCTATATAGGGCTTTTATGGAACTCACATATATTTTCAAAGAAAATAATGAGTGTAAGTTGAATTGTTAAGTTTTTGCGGCTCCTCTGTATCTCACCCCCTACCCATTACAGACATAGTATATAAAAACTATCACTTAGATGCGCTAATTAGACACTTTTTTGGTACAGGTCGATTGCCTATGTTCACCACTACTCACATCAGTAATAAAAATCTAGTTTCGCTAATTAGAAATCATTATAATTAGGATTTAATCTCTAATTAATCATCAAAATCTGTCGTTTTTAATATTATACTTCACAGTTACGACAGTATTATATATTTTTACTACTACAGACGTTAGCAACGAGTGTATGCTACTATTACACTCGTTACTTCTACCACCTACAATAAACAAATGAAGATTTTAATCTTGGTTTTTCTCACACAGATACCTTATTCTAGAGCGTGAATCCACTTTAGTGTATTTACAATTAGCAACTTTTCCATCCACTGAGAAGCTTTTATCAAATTTGCGTTTATGAAAAAATGTATCAATTTCTCACCTAGTAATACGAAAAAATATAAATTTTTCAACAATATTGATAGTTATATCCTATATACTATTTAAACTATTATCATTCACAAGATTTCTCAATGAAACCACTAAACACTTCAGCATACTGACATATTCTAAACAAAAAGCTTTTTATACGTTCTCTCTAGTAATATTTCCTATTGATAGATACAATAAACTTCAAATGTTAAAAAGGTTTTATTATCTTATTTTTGAACAAAATATGATCTCAGTACACTGAAAAAATAAAACTTCTATTTGATCAGTATCTAACCGACCGAAATATGTGAGTTCCACATTTTAGCACCAACGGGGCTGCGCTGAAAAGCTTTTTACGCAAAAGAAAAGGGTGAATCGATGGTCGACACACAGAATGAGAAAAATGTTTTTGCGGCACTTCTGTTACGATATATTTTCGACACTGAACCTGCGACACGATTACTCGCAACACATATATGCGACACATTTTAATTCAGAGTGTGTACGGGCAAAAAATAATGATTTACCAGCATGTTGTAAAGTACTGCAAAGCGTCTTTTGATGACGTGTTGAATGACTTACATTAGCATTACAATTGTATTCAATAGCGTAGGGAATAAACCATAACATTACGCTTCGAAGGCATATACACTAAGGAAGTTATGATGATAGAAGTTCAACTTGAATTGATGCCATATTTTGATATTGAACAATTGATTAGTTAGCATCGATGCAGTCTAACTCTGAGAACTGTTTTTGTGAGCTGAATGTTGGTAAAAAGATAATATGTTATCATATCTCTACAGAAATTAATCATGGGTAAAGATATTGCAATCAAAAACGTTGATCATATATTACCTCGAATATTATCGACTTCGAAAAAAAAGACTTTTCTTTGAAGATCTTTAAATTATGATATTTGTGAAATAAGCAAAGGAAAATATCCAGTTATTATTAGTCGAATATGAGAATCGCTTGACAATGGTATGCTAATACTCACTGATACTTGGGGTCCGTATACTTTAATAAAACTTGTTTGATATTATTTCAAGTCGTAAATCAAATAGATGCAATAAGAAATATTATATTCTCTATAGTTAATTTTTAAATTATAAATGCATGATCTACTTCTTTGTCTAGAAGATCCATAGAAAAGTGTCCTATATCATTTAACCAATTTTCGCATAGATTCTGAAAATCCAATAAACTAGGGAAGTCTTGGTTGAAAGTATTAGAACTTTTGAATGAAAGTAAAATTGTCACTTCTTTAAGATCACCCACCAGAATCAGGGTACGCCGGAATCGGTCGGAACCTATCGGTTCCGTTGAATTCCGACGATTTCCTAACTAACGGATTCCGGTCCATATTTCGTCGAACCATTTCCGATCGATTCTCATCGGTTCCGTCGATTTCCGACGAATTGCGGGTCGAAATTTTGCGGAACTTAACGGAATTTTTCCGGTGGAAACCGGACCGGGATCCGTTAGTTAGGAAATCGTCGGAATTCATCGGAGCCGACCGAAAAGCAACGGAATCCATAGGATCCGATGCCGGAAACGATCGGATCCACTGGTCGGATTGAATCTCCTGGGCAATTTGCGATATTTGATAACCGTTCTAGGTTTCGGCACATAATAACACATATAACTAGTTTATTTCGATAGAAGAGCTCAAAAAGTGCTTGACTACTCTAACAATTATCAATCTAAAAAATTCTCTATTTATTGCAATCACATTCTATGAGTTGGATGAGAACTGATCCACTTATTTTAAGCTTATATCTATTTTTAACAAGGGCGAATACACCCCAGGTCAATGATTCTAATATGAAACTGTATTCGATAATTGTGGAAAAGGAATAACACTAATAATTGAAGACAAAATATACGAAATACTTTGGTTTTCGTGGACACAATCAGCAGGTAAGATAGTTCGTTGTCTTTTATCTTTATAACCAACAAACATCTATATGCACGATAAGAAAGAAGAAAAGAAAAGCAACTTGATGAATCTCGACTATTACTTTCCTTCTCTATATCAAGAAGAAAAGCTACATTTTTCATTAGTGCTCCAGTGTTTGACATAAATCGAACGCTATAATTTAGAGTTGGTAAGTTTTCTCATTCATATTTAACTTTGATTTCGTTATGTTATATTATAACTAATAAATCACTTTATTTTGATCATCACATTGCTTGTCTCTATAGACTTACTCCTATATTGAAAATCCTCGTTTTTTTTTATATAACACAAAAAAGAAAAAATTTCGATACTGCACATTATCAATGAAAGAAACCAAAATATTCTTAATGGCCAACGAAAAATTTCAAGGTAAAAAAATTTCTGGTTGCACACTCAAAAAATCACAGTCAGAGACAAATATGCATACCTTCTCGAATAGATATCAAGATTTACGATGACGCAGATATATTCTAAAGTACGAGCCCATACCCTTCAAGCAATAGCTGTGAAGGGAAACAATGCTGAACGCATGGACTCATTCAAGTAACGGTGAGAATAATTTTTGTGCACACTGAAATCAGAATCATGACGAGAATTACAAGTAGACGAAGTTTAGTAGAACTATGTATCTGAAGTTATTCCTAACGAATCATGCTTTAAAACAACTCTATTTCAAGTGATTTCTCATCCATCATTAGAGTTTACACAAGAATCTTTTATTGACAACGATATATTCGCGAAATATCGTCCCAATGAATGAAAAATGTGATAAGAATGGACGTAGGCGAGCCACCCCCATCAAATATATTTTTCCCTCTCTGAAACTTTCCAGGGTAAAAAGGAACTTGTCTAAATAGCTCCATATAGACTATAAAATTCTTTATTTAGTGTGCCCAAAGTAACAACTCAGATACTTCAGTCTTTATCACATGAACACTTGTGATACATGCGATTTAATCGGCACGTATGTGTTGTATGTGTTCAAGATCTATTTCATATAAATATCAGCCGATGCCAACATTATTTAAATAGAAATAGCTAAACATCCTGGTCATCACTTTTCAGTGACAATTACTATCAATACCAAATGATAGTGATAATTTCATTTCGGTGTTTGAGAATAAAGTTAACACACATGGAGTGCGTCGGTTTGCTAAATTAATGTAATACATCTAAAAGCAAGCCTATTATGGGTAGTCGAAGTTTCTAACAAGTTCATATCGGAATATAATTTTGATGCATATGCGGCAGTAAATATTATTTATAATAATTGAGATATTCACTTATTATAATACTAAATCGTTCAAAACTATACTTTTTAAATTGACAAAGAAATCGGAAAACAAAATTTATGTTCATAGTCAAAAATTATTTGTATTGGCTCTTGTATATTTTTGTCACATAGAAATTTGATTCAACATAGTCTGCTAGTGTCTCTTCGATTAGAACTTTATATCACAAAGAAATTTCACTCTATGGTTCATATTGGATGTATTCTACTCTCCGGACTCCCACTATAGTCTTAAAGCCTACGAAGAACGGCAGTAAATCGTTTTCTCATTCACAGTAGTGCATCAATGTAGAATATAAAGAATCGTTGACTCCGTCTATATTTTATTTCATTACAATTCATTTTTATTCTAGATCAAATTCAAAGTCTTGATTCATGAATCCTAACGAAATCGTTACACATATTCCATTTGAAACGCGTGTTCATCAGCAATGCATCGGTCTGTCCGATCTCACACTATTGTCATCCATAGTCAAAGAAGTGGAAAATGAGAAACTGTTGAGAAATTATACAATTTGGAATATTCAACATGAACTAGGTGATATGGCTGCACAAATAGAAGCTCTATTGGCTTTGGGCGCACTACCTTCGAATCTTTATTTTCTTCCACCGCCATACACACACCACAAGGGCTTTGAACAGTATATTGTGGAGCATTTTCGAGTACCAGTGGGAAATTTCTTTCACGGAACACCGTACTGCTTAAGCTACAACTACGAAAAGTATCGTTTGGCACAGGTTTTATTTGAATTGAATCGAATGATGACGATAGAACTAACGACAAAAACAGCGGTAGAAATGAAATTACTCGTATCTGATAGTGGTGGATGTTTTTCTGAAGCACTGGCCTATCTCTACGAGATTGATGAAGGCAGATTAGATCCAAATCAACTTTTTGAAAATGTTCCAGTAGCATTTAAAATGGAAAGATCTGATATATCACTGCTTCTATCACACTTAGGATCAATCGAAATTCGTCTGGTAGAAAAAACATCACGTGGTCTTATCAAATATGCTGATCAGCCGAACATTAAAAAAGCACTGTGCCGCATTGGAACATCGATTATTGATGTGGCCTCTAGTCAACCCAAACGACAAATCGAGCCAACGCTGATTGGGGAAGCTTGTTTAAACATGTTATCTTATTTATTTTATGATGCTCCAAAGACACTACGAATTTCAAAACCATTAGAATCACACAAATGTCTCTTGCTCGGCTATGGTGCTATTGGACAAGCAATCGCGCATGCTTTAATACATGATGATGGCTTGAACATTTTTTCTAAAGATTCAGTTAAAGTTTGGGATCGAGACCCATCGAGATGCCAATTAGCACAGCAAGAAGGTTTTGAAATATTCGATAATTGGAAAAGTAACGAAGAATTCGATTATGTAATTGGGTGTACAGGTCGCTGTTCATTACCGATCTCGTCTTTTTCATTACTTCGTAATAACGCCTACTTAATAAGTGTATCATCAGGAGCCGTTGAGTTTCCAGTGCACGAGATGGTTCAATGCGCACTGTCTGATACTGAAATCAGCATATCTAGTTCTAATATCGACGAGCTCGCAAGTGAAGATATTCATCGTAATATTGAATTTAGAATCGGCAATCGACGAAAAGTTACCGTTGTTAACGGTGGAATGCCAATTACATTTCTAGGACTTCTGAATCCAACATTGCCAGAAAAATTCGACATCACTGTAAGTTGTGTAATAGCAGCAAGTATTCAAGCTGTTCGGCTACATCCGCAAACAAACGAGGGAAATCGTATAATACCGCTTGATGCAACATATTCGACCTTGATTTGTGATTGGTTTAAACCTCGAGTCGAATAACAGTCCAATACTATCGGGTGAAACAGGATGACTGGTCACAATTCCTATTTGTCGTGATAAAGTTTTAGAATGAATAAAGGGAAATATTTCCATATTTTTACTAGCTATTTATTATTAGAAAATTGAGAGAAAAGCATTTCACGTTGTTAAGATTTTACTAAACAAGCAGAGATAGTCACTCAAGCGAACAAACAAATGGTCAGGACAGGCTACATAGCTAGCCTGAAGAGTTCATAAGATACGCTAGGCCTAGTCTGAAACGGCTACTGCACTCATCATGACTAGATATCATGCAAAAAATGATTTTCACCATGTCTAAACTAGACCAACACGTTCTTGAGTCCGATTATACCTAGTATAATTGTCCATTCATCCCATCTAGAATAGTTTACAGATCATAAAAATCATGAAAAAGAATAGATCATAGATGGAGTTGAACACAAACCGACATTATTTAATAACTGACGGACACCCAGACGGTAGAACACATTATAGGGATATGCTGACGTTAACTCATAGAGTCTAAATTACAAGATAACTTTCGTCTGTTTTGGTGACAATGGAGAATTGGTTAAACTTGAACTGCTCTGACTAGTCGAAAAAGGCTTAAATAACTTTATTTAGAATTTCAAATCTGTGCCACGGGAAAATAAAACACAATATTTATTGTATGTTGTGTATTCTGATCTACGCATTTAACAATCCATTACGCATGCATAACAGGCTGTAATTATTTCAATTTAGTTATACTTTTAGAAAAATTTTCATTTTATTTCGTTGAAATTATTAATTCTGTTAGATTAAATAAAAATATTAATTCGGATAGAAAGAAAATACTAACAAGTTATTTTTACTATAAGATTAATCAATTTTGATTAAAAATGACCAAAAAATATTACTAAAAACTGCCGAAATAAATTCTTTTATAAGAAACAATTTTTCTATGAGAGACTTAAAACTTTAATAGTATATGAGATAGGATTCGTGATGCCTATGCATATCTAGAAGCAAATTCCTCGGTAACATGATTTAATCATCTGAACACTTGGTAAGCAACAACTAGAAATCCATGAACCAATTATTATCCCCAGGATGCTTTGTGTAGGATAAGGAAGAAATATTTAATTTTCCTGAAATAGTTCTCGTTTCATCAACAAATTGATGCCAAATTTCAGTTTCTCAACCCCGAAAACCTTCGATCAAACTTATCCCTGGATATATTGTGATAATGTAGTTAAGTTTATGCATCTATTTTCCTATCGGACGAACGAACGACGCTAGCTCGCTTTTCGTATGACCCTCCTTTCAGTGCTCAGATCGAACAGTCCGGCCTGGAAACGACCAGTTCCGGGTAGTTCCGTTGTCTTTGTGGAATCAGTATTCCGGTTGGAAAATTTTCGGATTTTTTTCGGTGATTTCCGATCAACTCGGGCCGGAAAGCACCAGAGTTTGACAGGAATCTGCCGGAAAAATCCAGCCGTATTTTTGACCGGAATATTGTTTCCATGTTCCAGCGATTTCCCGTGTTTTTCTGCAGGTTATGGTGACTTTTCCGCATATTTCCTGGAGTATCTCACGGGATCCGATGACCGGAATGTTCGACCTGGGTAGAAGGAATAAATACACACATATTCTTTATTCCAGATATATCTGCATTACTCTTCTACTGCGTGCAAATCAAAAGATATTTTAAGTTTTAATCCAACGTCAAGCTTTTGAATTTTGCCTGTCTTTTTGATAGAATAATTAAGATTCATTTATACCACGTCATTAATACAATACGTAAACATTACAATGAACGCATCCGTTATAAAATACTATTCATCGTATTTTAATAATGAAAAATAATTCTTTTCATTTAGACCGATTAATATGCACGTGAAAAAACATAAAAAACAGCAGCAAGATGGCCAAGACTCAAGGAAGGAAGGTCTAATAAACACGATAGTTAACCATAACAGCAAGTTCAAGATCACCGTGAACAAACGTAATGTTATTGTCAACAACTATGTCAATGTCAACTTAAGCCATGTAATTAAGATTCAATAGGTATGAAGTAGAGAAAAATAACATTTTGAAAACATTTTGTTCCAGATGATTTGAACATTCAGTCCATTCAGCAGAAAATACTATAGTCGTCTCTACGATGATATGCTTTTAAAGTCATGATGTCAGTGTAAAAATAACATTTTTCGAAACATGAACAATAAATTGATATCTAATGAGAAAAGTGTAATTCCATGCTATCAATAAACTACCAGGTTTAGAAGAGATTTTAGAAAGTATATTGATCAAGTTACTGATTTCGTGGAGTATCGGTGCGAGCACTTCTTTTCTTTCCTCTGATCCATACTCGTCTTCAAAGTCATTTTATGTCAATGTCTTTATAATTACGAAAATATACCACCAGATAAATATAAATAACTACTATTGAAATCAACAGATAATTAGATCGAAGATAAGATAATAGAAACTATTTATTAGAAAAAAATTTAAGCTAAAGTAAGAAATTAACAATACACTATCGAATAAAATGATAAATATACACTATAGTAGTAAAAAGCAGCTAATGATAAAAAAAGAATAAAATGAAAAACAAACGCAAGATTAATAGCTACCGAAAAAGGTGCATCGAATGATCACTTTCACTGTGAACGGTTTGGTTCGCTAAATCCATAAAGCATTCAAGTTTATGAGAATAATGCATCTGTCATTTTAGACTTCCAAAGGAAATACATTAGCAAGAGGGAAATATTGAAAGAAAGGCTCAACGACATTGCAAACCCTAGTGAAACATCTTGTAAGTAAGATCTTGGCCAAGATCTTATTACAGATCTTAGGTAAGAATCCATAAGATCTTGAATAACGCATTCTGAAAGCATGTTTTGATATTTTTTCAATTTTATTTTTATTTTAATTATTTCTGTCCCGAATAACTCAAGCAAGTCAGATGCTGGGATCTGACTGGCTTTAAGTTGGTTCGATATCCGTCAGACCGATTTAGGGTAGTCCTCCCTCGATCACCAATCGAGATCAGCATACTCTCGAATAATCAATGACCGAGAAATAATTTAGAAAAAAATTATTTTGAAAAATTATGTTTCGTATGTTCAATCGTGTTGCTTATATTCAGTTCTTTATGTATAAAAAAACGGTGAGTGACTAGATAGCCTACGTAAAAACATTAATGATGCCTCTTTCTGTTTTACTCAAGATCTTGTGAGAAGATAATAGTAAACGATATCTTTTCCATGATCTTGTCAAGGTCTTAGGTATAGATTTACCTGATACAACCAAGATATGTACATACAAATTATCTTTTTAAGATCTCGATAAGATCTTAGTTACCGATCCCAATATTTTTAGATCTTGCTTACAAGATGTTTCACTAGATGTATGTATCTCATTTCGATAGATATTATACAACAACTTTGAAAACCAAACATCAACAGAACTCTGACAAAGCGTGATTGATGAACTTGGTAGATAAGTGCGTATGTTTCCATGCTTTTGTTTCTGTCGACATCGACACTTATTTTCAGTAGTTCTTTTACTGCGTCGATTATAACTTGTTTACTATCTCGTGAGCCAGTTGTACTAATAGGTCGCTCAAATTGTGCAAAAATTGGCAGTCAGCAGTTCATAATAATTTATCTGAGAAAACCTAATATTGAACGCATAATTATATAACTCATCTATAAATGCACTCGCTTATAAACTACCATGCATAATAAATATAGAAAATAATCCTTATTGTTTTATGCTCAGTTCTTAGATGAAATTAAAATAACCGCATGCATACTGCAAGTAGTCCGCTCTCTGAAGTCTAATTTACCAAATAATTATATATTGTGGCAACATACAGCTCTACTCGTCTCTGAACCAAATGAGTCTCAAAATTTCGAATAGATGAAATACCATTTGTTTTTGTCAGACAAAGAGATTCGTGTTCGTTAAAGTCCGGCTTTTCCTTCATGAAAAAAATATGGTTGTAATATTGCTGCATAGATTTTTTCAAATCATTATCAGACTGATTCAGTTGTCTCTACGTTTTTTAATAAATGATATGAATTCTACATTATTCTGGTAGAAAATGAAACAACCGAAAAAAAAATACTAAATCATTGGAATGAATAATTAATGTTTACTTATAAAATCTGTATTCATTTTTTCTTAAAAAATCTATTATACATGGACATATGTCGAGGAAAATAAACATATTGGTGATAATTTCTCTATTTGAATTCACTTTATTATTCTTTTTTAACTCAAAAAAGTAAGTATTTCATATCTTATCTATTGCTCTGCCTTTCAAAAAAAAACTATTTCGTTCTTTTTCTTCGCATTTGTATTTGATGGTCATGCTTGTTTTTTTCTCCTGCCGTGCTTGTTATCTATTTTTACTTTACCTGTGCTGAATCATATATATATATATATATATATAGATGTATGCAAAAGCATGTCAAAGGTTTATTTCCTCGAGGGAGTCGAATACGTATTGACTGAATTATGTCAATATACGATAGTATTTTTTCGTTAACATCTTTTTTTCAATCAGATGCATGGATATTTTCTGTCTACATCATCGTAACATATGAAATTGTCTTTTGGCTATGTAATAGTTTTTTAATTTACATTGAACTATTTGACATTTCATCTATTGATCAATATCGTATACAAAAGCATAAGAAAAAATTACGTTTTCAACCTGATATTATTCGTTTTATGATTCAACAAACAATTCATAATCAAATATCATTCGTTCTTCTTACACCTATTCTTTATTATATTTTCAATTATTTTGGTCATGTCGATATACAAGGAGTGCGACCATTGTGGTCGACAATTCTCTTTCAAATTGGTCTCTTTATTCTTTCGGAGGATACGATTTTCTTTTGGACACATTATCTATTGCATACACCGTGGCTATATAAACATATACATAAAAAGCATCATGTTTATACACAACCAACAGGTGTAACAGCTGTCTTAAGTGATCCAATTGAAGGTATAGTAAGTCAATTCGCTGTTTGGTTTATGCCTGTCCTATTGAAAGAAACACATATATTTACATTATGTCTTTGGGTTACTATTCGAGTTTATCAAACAGTTATGGCACATTCAGGATATGATTTACCATACATTAGTACACAGTATTGGTTACCTGAACTTATGCCAGGTGCTTTAGCACATGATTTTCATCATCAACATGGTAAATGGAGTTATGGTTCATTTTTTTCTATTTGGGATCAACTGATGGGTACTCATCGACTTTCCACAAGTAAAACAGCAACTAAATAATCCTATTGACTTTTATACAGTGCTAAGAAGAACAAAAACAGAAGAAAGGTGAATATTCTATTGCCAATCGTTTGACAAATTTTCAATTAAACATAGCAGTAGATACGCTCATATAACGATTGAATCATATATTTATTCTACATATATATATATATAATATTTTTTAATATCTTACTAAACTTCTTTTTTCCCAATGTATTATGAAGTTGAGAACATAAACGTTCCAGTAAATAAATGTATATATGTATATCATATCGACAATCAAAACTAATGTTCATAGGCTTTTTCGTAGACGATTCTAGTCATCATTTTTGTTTTATCTTTGCTTCTTTGTTTTCATTTACTCATTTTTAATACCAGCAAAAAAAACAAAAATATTCTCAATGATAAATATACTTTTCAGCTTTTCTTGTTGATAAGAAAAAAATTAACTTTGAAGGTCGACATTGCTATTTGCATTATCTATTTAGCTACCAGTTATTTTATTTGTCTTCGCCTCCATATACCACCTCTTGCTTGGTTTTCTGTTTCTTGGGTATTAATCTTATTTTAATTTTATTCTTGTCATGAATCATGCCAATCCATGATTCATAGAGAACAAGCTGTTTCAGCCCGGTTGTTTTTACTAAAAAAGGAAAAATGTTGATGACTAATAGCTAGAAAAAAAATCAAAAAAAATCATCATGACCTATTTTCTAGATATATAACAAGTTCTAAAGCTTGATTATTTATACTATTCTACAAAAATGTCTTCATCATTTCCTGCATTTCGAAATTCAAATGTTAACCGAGCCAATAGTACTGGTGACGACAGTTCAAAAGATCTTAAAAGTAATATCCGTGAAAGTCGTTGGATTCAACCTGAACAATGGCAACTGCCTGAAGTTGAACAAAAATTTAAAGAAGTAAGCAATTATTTATTCCTTTTTTTTTATCAAAACATATTTTATTTTATTGATTTTTCAGGGTGCTATTAGTTTTTCTGAAGTACTCGGCATGCTTCAAAACCTCGGTATTAAAGTTCAAAGATTTGAATTAGATAGAATTCTCGAAAAACATGATAGAAATAAAGACGGTCAATTATCTAAAGAGGAATTTGAAGATGTAAGTCGGTTTCGATTTTAATCGATTTTTAGAAGATCATTCGCACTTTTCATGTAGCTTTATTTAAAATTACGTGCTGAAAAAGATCCAGGCAGTACATGGAATAAAAGTGTAAAACCAATGGTTCGTGGCGTTGATCGATTTGTTACGAAAAATAACGATGCATCTGATGATATAAATTCGAATTCTTCTACTGTTGAGAAAGATCAAGAAGCATCCGGTCCATACCATAGTGTTTTAGTTGAAGAACGTGTATGGACAGCAAATTGGGTGAATCAGTATGCATTTATTAGTCATATTTTTCATAGAAATTTTCTTTTTTTAAATCATACTCATTAGACTTCTAGCCGATGATGCACACTTAAATCTGCGTACTAATCCAATTGATACACAAGATCCACATGGACTTTATAAACGTTGTCAAGATGGTATTTTACTTTGGTATGTTAAGCTTAACTAAATTAGAATGATTCGAAATTCTGTTCTATTTTCTTTTTCAAGTAAACTAATCAATATTGCCGTACCAAAAACAATTGATGAACGAGCGATTAACTTAAATTTCTCTAAACAAGATATTTTTCGTCAAAGCGAAAATTTAGAACTTGGTAAAATGAATTTTATTTTAAAAATTATTTTATATTTTGTTTTTTCTTTTGTTAATTAGCTATTAATTCTGCTCGTGGTATTGGTTGTAAAGTAGTCAATATTCATTCTGAAAATATTTCAAAAGGTGTACCACATCTTGTCATGGGTCTTCTATGGCAAATAATTCGAGTAAAGATCAATGGAAAAAATATTTTCGAATTTTGTATACAAAGAAAAATTTATCTATGTTTCTTATCGATTAGATGCAATTAACAAGTGAAATCAATTTAAAACATGTTCCTGGTCTAGTTCTTCTATTACGTGATGGGGAAACAGCTGAGAGTTTATTGAAATTATCACCAGAAGAATTATTACTTCGTTGGGTTAATTATCAACTGCAACGTTCACAATATAAAGGCAAACCAGTGTCGAATTTTAGTAATGATATTAAAGTATAGTGCTATTGTATTTTATAAAACAAAATTTTATGGTCTTATTCCATTTTAGGATTCCGACGCCTACACTTATTTACTCAATGTTATTGCACCGGCCAATACAAGACCATCATTAACACATAATCCATTGAATGTAAGAATGAAAGAATAATTTTAAAACAAAAATGTGAAATTATATAGAACTACATGTTTTCCATAATAATATAGGAAACTGATTTACGTCGTCGAGCTGAACTTATGTTACAAGAATCAGATAAAATTAAAGCGCGAGCACATATTACACCTGAAGATGTAGTTAAAGGAAATCCAAAACTTAATTTTGCGTATGTAGATTTGTTTTTTTTTCTAAGATAAATTATTTACAAATCCAAAAATCTATTTTTTAATAGTTTTGTTGCTAATTTATTTAATACATATCCAGCGTTAGAGCTTGCGCCTGAAAAAGCACCAGAACCAGGCATTATTATCGAAGAAACTCGAGAAGAAAAGACTTACAGAAATTTCATCAATAGCCTTGGTATTGAACCGCATGTGAATTATCTTTATTCAGATCTTTGCGATGGTTTAATTATACTTCAAGTTTGTTTTATATTTATTTATTGATTAAGAAGAAAAATAAATCTCGTGTCATTATTTAGCTTTATGATATTATTCGTCCGAAAACAGTTGACTGGTCAAAAATTTATAAAACTTTTAATGCAATTAAAGAACGTTTTCAAAAATTAAGTAAATATCTACTGTCTCACTGAAGACTTATTTTGAATGTTTTTGTCTTAAAATATATAGATAATTGTAATTTTGCTGTTAATTATGCGAAAGACCCACTTAACTTTAAAGTAACAGGTATAGGCGGCGCCGATATTCTTGAAGGTAATAAAACATTAACACTGGGTCTTGTTTGGCAAATAATGAGAGCATACACATTATCAATTCTACAAAAATTAGCAAACTCAAGCAAACCTATTGCTGATAAAGATATTATCAATTGGGCAAATGAAAAAGTAAAATAAAATATTTTAAAATCTATATTTCAAACTTTATTTGTCATGTTTAGTTACAAAGTGCTAATAAAAAAACAGTTTTAACGAGTTTTCAAGATCAAGCATTAAGTGATTCAATGCTTATTTGTGATTTAATTGACGCTATTAAACCAGGTTCTGTTCAATATAATCTACTTAAAACATCTGGAACACCAGAAGTAGTATATCAGCATATATTTTTTGTTCTGCATTTGTTTTCTTATCATATTTTGTACATTTAGGCTAAAATTGATAATGCTTTATATGCTATATCAATGGCAAGAAAAATTGGTTCACGTATCTACGCATTACCAGAGGATATTGTTGAAACAAAACAAAAAATGCTTTTAACAGTTTTTGCTTGTCTTATGGCAACTGATATGCTTGTACCAAAAAATTAACTTTTTATTTGATGTATCTTAAACGAATGCGTTTGTAGGTGTGTTTTTCGATTAATTTTAACTGCATTATTTCTTTTGTTTTCGTCTTTGTATGTGTTTTAGAGGCAAATTCCATTTTTTACGATTTTTATTGACTATGAGTTAGCGCTTTTCTTATCCTTTAACTTCATGAATTCATTATTATCAGTAAAGATAACAACTATAATATATGATAATAAATTTGAGTATGATATCATCATCTGTATTTAACTGCACGTATTACATTTGAACAACAATTCATGAGTGATCAAACAAATGAAGCTAGTGATTATAATGATAAAATCATTGGTGATTGTCATACGTCTGATGATGAAGTTTTGTGGTTTTATTTAGGTCTTTCAATTGAAACTTTGAATTCTTAGGCAAAATGTTAGCACAACATGGGAACTATAACACTACAAAAAATTTTGAAAAGTGAAATGATCAATGGATTCTCAAAGAAAACTTGCTATTAGTCAGAGATCATTTAGCACATGTGTGCTATTTTTAGAATGACTAAATCTCTAAATCGTAATTCAGTTCATAACATTCAGTGGCGGCGAAGTCACTGAGACCCATGAGGCTTAAGCCTCACCTAGATTTCGCAAGATGAGGCTCAGTCTCACTTGCTTTTGTACTGGTTATTGCTATTTTATGCTTGCATCAAAGTAGGAGCAAAGAAAAGTATACTGTGGTATTTTCCAATCTTCTTTTTTATACTGATCATTTTTATTTTTACTGAAGTTGAATAAAAAGAAGACTTATTTTCTGCTTGATGCTTTCATAAAATTTCACATTAGAAAAACAATATTATGAACCTAAGTCAGTTTAATAACGCTCCGCCGCCCCTGATAACATGGATCGTTTTAAACTAAGATATTATAAATAATTTGAATATCTTCAGATCTTTTGGATGCCATCCTATCTTGAAATAAAAACGTAGAAGCTATCGATACATATCAACCATACCAGTTATAAGTTTTTAAATAGAACCTATATCCTCACAAGCAATGATTACACTAATGGGCTTTTCCAGATTATTGATTTCAAGAGTTCATCTATTGAAAATAATTCAAGCCTGCAAGATCAAATAAGAACAAAGTATAAACTGTATTTAATAATTAAAGTAAAACTTGATTATATACGAAATTTATTAATAATATTTTCCATCCGATGAAACAACGTAGGTCATTAGTGATTTTTAGTTGATGCTTCATATACAACTCGACGACTGTTTTTTATGGCTGGCATTTTTGATGTTAAAGTATAAACTGGTTGGGAATTAGACTTTTTTTTAATCATAATATATTTTGGTGATGGATCACGTCTTGATAATACATCTTCTGAAATAGATCGATGCTTTATTAATTTTACATATTGCATTTGTTGTTGCTCATCTTCATCGTCGGAATCGTTGAAAACTACAGTTGGACGTGGTCGTAAATAATATTTTCGTTGTTTTTTAGGTTGATCTTTTTCATAGATTGTTTCCTGATAACCTGTTCGTGGATCAATAATAACTTTTTTCATTATTTTTGTTGGTTCATCATCAGCATAATCAATTTGCGTCCTTTTAGTCTGTAAAATATTTTTCTTTGATGGTCGCGAAACTAAATAACCAGAAGATGGTTCATAAAAAATAGGTTGCGATTCACGAGGACGTAATTTCAATCGTCGATGTTCAACAGGTGATGCACTTGGTGTATGAGTATGTCGTATTACTTTTATTATGTTATCATCGTCATCAGTGAGAATTCGATCGCCATTAGTTTTTTTTCGCATTTGTAACTTAGGCTAAATAATAAACAATTATATGATTTTCAATAGTTAAATTAAATCCACACACACACACACACACACACTTCACTTCTATGCTTTCGATAATCAGGAAAAATTTCATCATTCGAAATATATTTAATACGTTGTTCTTTACGTGGTTTGATTGGAACTAATCGACCATATATTTGTGAATCATTATCATCCTCATCATCCTCATCATCGTTATCGCTATCTTCATTATAATAATATTGTTTTGGTTTTTTTGCTTTTCGTCGACTAGATACAAGAATATATTCAGTAGTTCGATCAGTCATATTAAATAGAATTGTAAATAATGAATAGAAAGTCCATGCCAATAGTTATACAAATCAACAGGTGGTAGGTAATTGAGTTTTTATGCAACAGAATTAACTATGATGCGTAGTCAACAAGAAATTAAAAGAAAAAAAAACAAGATGAAAATGTTTTTCTATTTATAACTTGCATCAATAGAAATGTTAAGATATTATTAAATAAAAAAAAGGGAATATTTTAATAGCCATTCAAAATAACGGAATAGTTGATTAATGGTAAATAAATAAGATTTTATAATAAATTTAAATATTAGTAAATAAAATCAATAGGTTGTAAGATACTTTGAATACATTTGGTTACTTCTTTGTAAGATAGAATAAAAATGATATTAACAATAAAAATGTCTGTCGTACTCTTGCGTTCGACTTCAACTAAGAATCTATTGATTCCAAAACTAGATTGAAGATAGGAATTTAATTTCTTACACTTACAGGAAAGTCGAACAAATGCATCTTTTATTGTTCTAACTCTCTGAATTATGTTATTGATCAAATCGTTTTACTTTTCTTCTTCCTAAGTTTTTAAGCGATAGAAATTGTCCTGTGAACATGGCAATGATTGTTTTTCAAAGATGAATATGACAAATAATTAGAATCAATTGATGTAGTAAACCACCATGAATGGATTACCTAGAGCATCGAACTGTTCACTAAATACATTGAGTTATAACATTACTATCATCTCAACATACACAATCTCTCATTGGATAATTTCATATTTTTTATTTTTATTTTGATTACGAATGAAAGCTGCTAGCAGAATGACTGATTGTCAACTCATCTTACCGAACCCACAAACGATGTATGGGATTGGAGCAATAACAGATTTCAATCATAAGTACGCTTTTCAATCAATTTAAGCATAATTCAAGAATTGTTCGCACACTTTACTTCATATTTCATTCCGCACACGTAAATCCGTCATTCATTTTGTCCTTTTGTTCTTCGACTGTTTTTGTTGTTGCAAAATTGAATTGAAAATTTGAAAATTTTTTATACATTTTCATGAAAAATTGCTTACATGTGTTCTATTTATAAATCTCTCGGCTACATAAACCATAGAAAAATAGAGGTATCCAAATAAACTAAAGAATCTGTAGCTAAACGTTTCAACCTTGTGAAATAAGTCGCTCATCAACATTTAGGAATCAGAAGAGATCAAACTAGAAAATAAATTTAAAGTATCTTGTATTGAAATTTGACAACGATGTTGTAAGGTTTTGATTTTGTGAATACATATCCTTATAATTATATATAGTCATTGGTGAACCATTTGAAAATGTTTGTGACGCTACCTTGATATTATGTCTACGCTATAATTATGCAAGTAAATATGTGATTTAACAGAATATGAATGGAGACGTGTTGATAAATCATGAAATATTGTATCAACTAAATTCTCTAGAATTATGATTTATACTCTATGAAGTGAGTATAATTTGAAATTCACAATCAAATACGATATAGCATAAGTAATGCAACTGATTACTACTGTTTGAGATGGGTAGATATTTATTGAGAAAAAACCATAAAAATCATTCTTATGCATTTTCATTGTTCATCTTATGGATACGCAGCGTTTTTCTTTCTACTGTAAAACATGGCATGAAATTGCAAACGATATTTGTATGAAAAAGTAGAATAAGGAAAAGGGTTGTGAATATTATTCAATAGTTTATTGAAATTGCTGCGTTACGTATTTTATTCATTTTAACTGCGCCGAATCATATCCTATTTATATTTTTTTCTGCCAAAAAATACTGTTAACATAGTGTCAGAATGATCCAGGAAAAAACTGAATTGACATACTTTTTTTAAACCTAATTTAAAATAACCTAACCCTGAATGTGTGCACTAGCAGAACAAGATTTACTATTTATTTATTTATTTATTTATTTCGCATCAGTTAGTTTCGGTTGCTTGCCAAGTCTAAATTCATGTGTTGAATAATAACATAGCTTTAGAATTATTCTTTTTTTTTCTCTCTCCCTCTCTCTTGTAAGACGTCAGTTAGGCGTACGTCTTTCAATCATTATTCTTTCTCATGTTTGTCTTTCAAATAACGCATTGCACAAGTGATCAATTAATAAATTGTTTATCTCTGTACAATTTTGCTAGTGCATGCGTTCTGCAACGAAAACAGCAGGAAAAAGTGGGACATGATTGTGTTACTCTGTTTTTTTTTCGTGTTAACCATCGAACAACAGGTTAAATTCATCAATCAAATACTTGAATACATGCCGCTTTTTTCCTAGTGTTTTTCTTGTCGATGTTTAAAAAAATTAGACGCATTAGATATACAAAATCTGGTCAGTTGCACTTGATAAAAGAGTGAAAAAGAGAGAAAAAGAATAAACGCACGAAATGGTACTGCATAGGAATGTTTGACTTTGAGTGTGACAAGAGAATAGAAGGTTTTTTTCTTCTTCTGTCTCTCTTCAATTGTTCTGTCAGAGAATTTGCGTTGCTATTACAACTACTTATTCTTCATTACATAAAAGATACCGGCTACTCTTTACGTACTACTGCATTTTAGCATCACTTATGTTACTATAGATATTTCGTCTATTTAATCGACTTTAATCAATTCATTAAATATGCCCATTAATTGTTCAACACTTATTCAACGTAAACAGAATATTCTCCATAAAAATTTACGAGCCAGTAGTGAAGGCAAACTTCAGAATGGTGAGCAAAAAAAAATAATGTTATTCAGCCTAGTAGTTCAGTTCATACATATATATATGTATAATCATAAATTTATTTGTTGAAACCATATATTCAGATATAAGATGAACACTGTCATCAGCACATTGAATGTAAGGTCATGAAAATTGACAATTTTTAAAACATTGTATATAAATGAGATTTTTATGTAAATACTCTTAAGTGATGTGAGGTTCTCGATTGTTCAATAATCTTTTTCGTTTAAATTATACTTTTAGAAAAAGTAAAAGAAAACAAAAATCAGGAAGAAAGGTGAAACCTTATTATAGTGTAATTATATATTACATCTTCATCGATCGCAGTCTATTATTGTACAAATCCATATGCCGTTTGATTTTTTAAATCTAAATTAAAAGCTAATGAAAAGAAGTTGATCAAAAAGGAAATCCAAACTATGAAAATGAGTGACGCATGATTTGTACTTGTTTGAATCGTGTATATGCGTCAATTTTTCAAGTCTTGATCACTTTCATTTATGTATGCAAATTCTGTTTTGATTTTACTAAATTTTAGTTGTTAATGAAACTACTGCCGAATTACGCACGGGCGGTACTCAAAAGCCTTCTACTTATTCGTCTTCGGCCAATAATGTAACTGGAGCTTCTAGAGAATCATCAGCCATTCGTCGTTCACATTTATTTACAAATAATCGTGTTCAACCAGCTCCTGAATATAGTAATGGAGCACATTTACCATCGATTCGAGATGTATCCGGTTCTGTTGAACGACAAATTCAATCCTACGATACTCTGTATACTCCTCGTTCTAAAACGCATTTAGCAGGTGGAAGTCCAAAAAGTATGAGTCGCCCTGCATCAGCATCGATTTCATCTCTCTATAATACAATCGCGAAACGATCCACAGAAAATTTTATGAGTTACAACGGTGAAATCGAAGAATTAATATTACCATTTAGTCGTCAATCACGACGATTAGGTCATGAAAATAATAAACATCCATTGAATGTCAATCACACAATGACAAAAGAAACAGTGATACCTCAGAAGCATGTAGTTGATACAGGAACTGATACTCGGTATCCATCAAGTCCACGGGATAACAGTCAACAACAACGTGGACTAACTCCATCAAATAGACTTCGTTCGTCTATACCAAACGCACAAGTTGAAATACCTCATATCAATGAAACATTCACAAAAGAACGACCAAGTGCTGGTAAATTGATTGATTTAAATTTTTCATACATCCTTATTAGTTCATTTTCTTTCGCATAAGGTCAACTTTATCAACGACGTATACATAATAATGTTAAAGCACCATTTAAACAAAAAATAGATAAATATCGTCGTCGTTCAGAAGAAGCAACACAGGCTATGAATGGAAATACTCTACTGATAGCATCGAATGCTGGTCTATCCGCTACAACACCAGCATTGGCTAACATATCATCGACGAATACAAGACCACCACCATCTCCAGTACCAGTTCGTCGTGCTACATCAGATGGTGAAATTCAAGCTCGTCTTGACGTACTTCGTTTATCCATGAATTCAAATATTGCTCAAACCGAACAACAACAACAGCAGCAGCAGCAGCAGAATAGTTCACGTAATCGTCTTAAATCTCCATATTTATATACTACACATCAACAATTAGTTCCGCCAGGAACTCCTCAGACAAGTGGTACAGGTCTTCGTCGTAATCAAATGAACTCTACTAGTACACATTCCCAACATCGTCAAAATAATGGTATAAACTATCGTCGATTGCATCAATCCTCTGTAAAACAATCAGCAACCAATAATCCAGGAAATCTTTATTTAGCCTTTATAGCATCACGTCATTTATCAACATTAGAGGATGCACCGTTAGATCATGATATAGATCATTCAAAATTATTGCGTATATTTAGTTGGCTTAAAAATATCGAAGAATATCGACATCAACAATTAGATCACGATAAACTACTCATTGAACAAGATCAACGTATGAAAGAACACAAAGATGATTTATCATTATATTCCGAAATACAATTTGCTGTTGATGATCTACCAGCAAATACAACGGGAAAACCGTCTGAGAAAATTGCGACTATGGAATTTGATAACTAAACAATACAAATTTACAGGTGCATAGAATAACAGTGAATCTTTGGTGCTCTTGTTTTTATGAATTATTTTGTTTTCTTCACTTTCTTGAAATGAACTTTTCATGGCAAAAAAAAAATTTTTTAAAGAGTATTTTACTTGAATATATATTTTAAAAAGCTAAGCAAATATATTTTTCCTACCTTTTTTTGTCCATAAAAATCAAAATTATTTTAACGATGTTTGTATCAGTTTTTGATCTCTCTCCGATGTCCACACTCTCAACGATGAATCTCAATAAATTCAATAGACAGTAAAGATACTTCTAAAATACTTTACATTGCTCTTAAATATGACTCAAGCATAGAAAACAAAAGCGAAAATTTTTATTTAGATTCGTTTTTAACGTAAATGAAATTAGCGAGAACTATCAGAGGAAGTTGATTCATCATCATCATCTTCTTCTTCATCATTGAATACACGTAAAGCTTCGCCTGTATAATAGAGTACTGCTCTTGGTAAAACACGTTGTTTGAGCAATAATGCAAATTCAATATCAGCTTCTAAACGTATTTGATCTTCATTGGTCATTTCATGAATACCATTTGTTGGAATAGTTGGTGATGAAAAAAATTCAAAAAAAGATTTAACAGGTTCTTCGATACATTCAAATCTAACTTGTCCTGTTATTTTATTTCGGATTCGTTTTGTACGTTTTCGAATTGTTAGATTATGATCAGGTTTCCATGTAATTATACTACCATAACAACAATCAACTTCTGGTCCATCGTAGGATCGATATGGATTGATATTATTTGATTCAAATCGAATTCTATATTGTTTGGTAAGAATTGTTTCAATAAAAAAAGGGTTGGTTGGTAAAAAATGAAATTCAAGAGTAAAACTACTCGTTTCAACATCCGGTGGATTAAGTGTACAACGAATGTCACTGAGATATTTTAAACAAAGTTCATCTCGTCGTTGAATAGGATAATCATAAGAATCAATATTTTTAAGAACTTTTAACCAGAAATTTTCGAGACCCTTTCTTTGAACGTTAGCTGTTTGTTGATTATTTATTTGTGCAATCGACGATTGATTGATTAATTTTTCTAGTTCTTTCGGTTCGCAAGATCCATCAATAATGCTTCGTTGCCGTTCAATAATTCGTTCAAATTCAGGATTATATGCATACTGTAAATCTTGAAGTTGTCGATGAAATTCAACGCGTAATCGAAAATACTCTACTTGATAATTAAGTAAAGCATTTATTCGACGTTGAATATCAGGCCGACAATTTGACCAAAGACTTGATGATGAATGATGTAAATTTTCTATGACTGGAGAATTTTCTGTTGTAGCCATTTAAATAACAAAGATTTTTTTTCTCTTCGTTTTTCTAATAATGAAATAATCTATAATAGATTCGATTTCCCGCAGTTTAATCGACAAAATTCTCATGATAGAATTCATCTGATAGGTAAATAAAAAGTCAACTGAAAGTAAATAATCATTGAATTAATCTCATAAGGAAATTTTCTTTTCCATGTTCGTTTAAACTCTTTAAGAAACAAAAAGAAAATCCTATATTGTTCGTTGACGATTTGTACGAGTACCTTTTTCTTCAAGTATTCTTCATATAAGAATGTGAACTCGATCACTCTGTAGAGAAAAGAAGCATTATAATCTCAATTAAGTATACATTTTTTATAACTGTAAAGTAAAACAACGAAATTTCTTCAAAAAAATCAAAATATCTTTCCCGAACACAACAAGAGATTATCGATTGTTTCAAAAGAAGAGAAAAAGTTTTATTCTCGTTTTATAACGAAAAAAGAAATCAATATAATTGTGACACTTCAATGTAAAATAGAAACGTTTGATCAACTATCGGTTTTATAAAATAGACATAATCATCAGTGAAAAAATAAGAAAAGAAATAGTGTGTGAAAGCTTGACATTGTTTCTCACAGCTTAGTTTTTAAATCTATCCTTTTATCTTTATTCATTTCAAGTTAAGAGACTAAACTAGTCATTTGTCAGCTTGGCGATTGAAGAATTGTTAATGATGCAGTCAACTCGAGACGGCATGTCAGGAAATTGAAATGGAGAGATACTCGATATGGGTGATGGAACAGAAAAAAAAGAAGAAAAATCGGTCAATTAAACTTTTTGCTTAGAGACAAATCAAAAGAAGAAGAAGAAAAAAACAAGCTTTCTGCTCTTGACTAATGATCATACTGTTTATGATGTGAATACATACGTGTTTGCTTACAATACTATCACAATAAAAAAAAAGACCGCCGTATGATCGTTGTTTTTGTATAAATGCAAAAGATAAGGTGAACAGTTTCTGTCTTGATAAGTATACTCACTCGTTCTTTTCAATATCTTATGTGATAATCATCAAAAGAGAGAGAGAGAGAGAGAGAGAAAGATTCTCTCATGACGTCTCTCAAATGTCATTTATTCAATTTTCATTTTATAATAATGGTGTTGGTCATTAGGGGTTACAGATTTATGATTATCTTTTTTGTTTTATATTCGTGTCATGTAAAACAAAAATAAATTTGTCATTCCAATACATCAGCAGCTTGCCCACATTGAATGAGAGTGAACGAAACACAGAAAAAATTAATTAAACTTGTTCACACCTGAACGATGGAGTGTGAGGAAAATCAAATTTTCGACACAAGAAAACAATCAATTATCAATTGGGTTATACGATGACATGCGTATACAGAAAAGCCCGTGTTCATGTCGTACATGTTTGAAACTAGAAATAAGAAGAGAGAGAGAGAGAGCGGGAAAAATAGATGTATAATACATCGTTATGGCTTCTGGTAAGAAATTAGCTTGAAGGCAAAAGCTTGCTTATCAAGTCATACAATCATTAGTCGACGCGGCACTTCGTATTCAAGTAGAAAAAATAAGATATGAACGAGATGGACACGTCAACTAGCGTAAGAAAAATAAAACGGAAATATTTCTGCTAGCATTATCATTATCACGGTTGTGTTAGTAGTTCAATGTATCGTTCAATTGTTGAGAAAACATTCTGTTCGTCTATTGTTCACGTCTATGTATATGAATGTATATACATCCGGATGACATGCAGACTTCCCACTGTGAGAAACTAATTTTTTTTTCTTCGAGCAATATGTCTCAAAAAGCAATAAAAATAAGAACGTGAATGAACAGCATCGTTAATTGGAGTGACAGTTGACGTAAGTATACTGCAACTTGAAATTTATTATGTATTCTGCTCTTTTCTCGTGTTCATGTCGTTTAACTAAACAAGACAATGACCGTACGCGACATATGATTATAAGTGAATTACCACAACCATTGTCTCATGAGATCTCCATATGTGGTTACTTCTTCTTCTTTTTTTTTTGTTATTTCATCTTGTCCTTTTTATTTTCAATACTGGTCGCAAATACATGTAAGTTTCTCTATGCAACATCATATGGTACACACCTACCGATGACCTTTAGCAAAAATATAATTTGATTGTGTAACAATTACAGACAAAAAGAAAGATCAGAGCACAGCTAGTGGAGCACAATTTTCTAATGATCGATGATTGCACACAATCAGTATGTCACCTATCTATCTTTTTGGTATCATCGTGATGATGTAAAACAAGTCGACCGATGTATGCTGTCTGTTTATACAGACATACTCTTCACTTGACAGCGCGCGAGTGAGTGAGAAAAAGATAGACGCCAATCATACATTGCTTTCTTTTTTTCTTTTCTTCTCTCGCTTTCTCTTGGCTTGTGAACATACGAGTCAGCACGAGAGAGAAATCAAATATCACTCAACAAGCTGCTTCACACAAGACACTCATATAAATGTTGCTACTAGTGAGTAAAATCTAATCAATGACAGGAGTGAGATAATCTGACAAGAATTCTTTTTAAACAAAGTCTATAGTATGCTTGACTTTTTCTTATTATTCATTGTTTTCTTTCTTCAGATGTATATTCTTCTGTTTGTCGCAACATTTATTCGCATACTTAATTGTCAATTAAATGATTTTCAAATCATTTGTCAAGCTGGTATTCGACAAGATAATACGAAGTAAGATATCTATCCGAATCGGTTTTTATATAGAATTATTTTTATCTATACAGCTATATTCATTGTGGTCGTAAACAACTAACAGAAATTCCAAATTTTATTCGTATAACAAATACATTATACGATGAACTTGTTTTGAATGACAATCAAATAACTGAAATTCATGCGAATGCTTTTCAAGGTTTACGTGTTAAACGTTTAAATCTTGCTGGAAATAAAATTCGTTTTCTTTCACCTCATGCATTTATCGAATTATCAAATTATCTCGAAGAATTAATTATAGAATTTGATTCGAATTCTTTTCATCATATTCCTGATGCAATAAAAATCAATCTAATAAATTTACGTTCATTAAAATTAATTAATTTAAATTTAATCGAAATAAAAAATCATACATTTATTAAATTTCGTAAACTCGAACAATTATCAATAATAAAATCTCATATTAAATCGATTCAATCGGATGGCTTTCAAGCATTGAATAGTTTACGTTCGTTAAATTTAGATCAAAATAATCTAAATGATTCGTCATGGAATTCATTAATGAAATATTTACCTAATCTAGAAACATTATGTTTAAGTCAAAATAATTTTAATTATCTTAAAAATATTCATTTGAAATATTTAAAAATTCTTGATCTATCCTCGAATGGTTTACAATATATTGATAGAAATATATTTCATTCGTTAGAAAAACTTTATTTACAAAATAATGAAATTAATTCATTACAATTAACATTTTTATTAGCGTTGAAAAATTTAAAAGAATTAAATTTAGATTTTAATCGTTTAACTTTTCTACCGGAGAAGATTTTTCAAATCAGTTCAAATCTTATTTATTTATCATTACAAGGCAATGATTTAAATTATTTAACTAATTATTCATTTTATGGTTTAAAAAATTTAATTCATTTAAATCTAGCAAGAAATCGTTTACAATTTGCTTGGAATCAAAAACCGTTTCAATATTTAAATTCATTGAGAATATTAAATCTTGATAGAAATTTACATATGAATATAACAAAGAAGATTTTAGAAGATTTATCAATGAATCTATTTGAATTATCCATGCAAAATTGTAATCTAACAAAAATTAATTTTTCATTAGATTTTTTATTTAACCTTCAACGGTTAAAATTATCATCCAATAATTTAAAAGGATTGCCAAAAAACTTTTTAAATTATTCGATTATATCAATTGATCTGCAGCGAAATCTATTTACGTCTATACCCGATCTAGTGGAAAATATATCATCGAATTTAATTGATCTCGATCTTAGTTCAAATCAAATATCAAATTTAAATGAAAAAGATCTATTAAAATATTCACATTTGAAAACTATTGGTCTAACAGGAAATCCATTAGATTGTAGTTGCCATCTTAAATGGATTCAACAATGGTTAAGAGAAAATTATGAACAAGATTTAATTAAATTTCTACAATGGACATGTGCAAAACCACAACATCTTTTTGGAAAACAATTGACAACTATTAAAGAAAACGATATGATATGTAATGAAAATGAAAATACTAATCAACACGAGATAATTACAGAGTAAGAAAAAATTGAATCGACATTTTTATCCACTCTCACCGTGTCGAGATGTAATCTTAGATATTAATCACCTTAGCAAAGTCGCGATTATGAGTTACTAGTCATTCACTTTCATACGATTATATTTCTTTGAGTACTCACAGAGTAGAAGTACACAGGCAAAACCAAAATGCTACGATAATCTTTTTTTTATGTCTCTGTTCTGAGTAACGATATATCAGATGTAATATTCCCTTGTTGAACTATGGAATGAGACGAATAGATCATGGTAAAATCTCTTGAGAATATTAGTTCTAAATAGATTCGCTGGAAGTCAGAAAAGCTCTTTGTCAGCACTATAAGTAAGGCTAATGTTATTGATTATAATGACATGATATAATCAGTGCATGCAAAAAAGAAAGAAATAGAATGGCGATGATTTCAATGACACATATTTCAATCACCATTACCATCTATTGTATATACCATAAAAATATTGACTGATCGTTTTTAATTTTACCTCCTTAACTGTATAAAGGTAGTCTTAGCACATAATTGCAAATTGATATATGCATAAAGATAAACAAGACTTAGTAGCATTGCGTCGTATGTTTTTATGGTATTGAGTTGTAGTACAATAATTAATTTTTTCTTCTTCTTCCTTATCTATAGATCAACATCAATAACTATAGTATCATCGAGTGATGTTCCTTTGACATCAGTAAAAACTAATAGTATTCAAAGTTCAACAATTGAATCATCATTGAACGAATTAATAATTAAAGATATTGTATTTGATCCAAATGGTATTTTAATCATATCATGGGAATATCTATTGTCACAATTACCAAAATATTATCATTTAGAAATCTATGATAAAAATCACTATATAATATATCAAAGTTTAATTGATGGCCAGCAACGTTCTGCTGAAATTGATATATCAGATTATTTTGAAAAAGTTCCATCGATATATATTGTTTGTATTAATATTGAACATCGAAAATATTGTCGAAATATTTTTTTAAAACTAAATTCAAATTTAATTAAATCGACTTCAATTGTTTTGTCATCAAATAAACATAACTATGAACAATGGATTTATCTTCTGGGTGGAATTCTTCTTGGAGCTATTCTAGTGTGTTCTATATTAATTATTATTTGTTATTATCGTCTCCGTTATTATTCAAAAGAAAATCTATCACAAATACCATCGATTAAATCCGATGAAAAATCATTAAAAACATTTTATTATCATCCATTAAATGTTATAAGTTATCCTCAACCGCAAAGTAGTAATACTAGTGAATGCTCATTACATTCATCCATTGATACAAATCATTTAGCTAATGATCCTTATCATGTGTATCAACAAATACCATCTGTACATAATTGTCAATTACATCCGAAAAGAACACATATTCTAATATGAAGAGGAAAAATTGAATATTTATTTATTTTTTTGTTTTGTTTTGTTGAACAAGTCATTGTGTGTATGATTTTATAGTAATAATTAAAAGACAACATTTTGGTAAATAGATTGATTTCGTAATATGTCTTTCCAAGGTTTTCTATTTTTCTCATTTCATGCCATAGTGATCATTGCTCTATAGCCAAAAGTATGGCTAACTTTATTCAAGCATATAATCGTCTCTTACAACGAATATGTTTTTCTTATATCAGATTAAGTGATTTTTCCCTAAAAGCAAAACGATCATAGTTATGAACGAATGAATGAATACTACCCTAAATACAAAATGATATTAACCTTTCTGTGTGTATAGTTATGTACGTAAATTGAGTACGTAGTAGAATGAAGCTTATACAAGCGTTTTTTTTTTCTATACATATTTTGTAAAAACACAGACATGTATGAAAATTATCTTTTATTAACTGCTCATCAATATGTAAATCAAATGAGTTCAATGAGTAATTGACGTACGTGAGTGTGTGTGTTTATTGACAAGCCATATTATTCTTTTATTTTTTGTTACACTCGATTGAACATTTCATTTTAAAATATAGAATCTAAATAGATTCAGTCAAATAAAAACTAATCGAATCAAATCTTTGCGCAACTTCAACAGATATCTGTTATGATTGACTGACAGATAGACACGAAAACATGTATTGTCCATTGAAATTGATGCTTTTTTTTATCTATTTATCTGTCTGTTGTCGTCGTCAATTAAAGAACCTGTTATGATCAATGAACAAAAAACAAGGAATACCTACTGTGTGTGACAATCCGCCATATTTGTAATAAAATATGTTCAATGATTATCTTTTTTTCTCTCTCTTCATATATCAATATAAAATCATGCTCCATGCTGTGATCAAATGATTGATAATTATATTTGTATTCAGTTTTAGTCACATATATACGCATCTGTCGGTTAGATCTTTGAAGATGTTTATTATCGTACGAGTCTTTAAGTTTAACCTCTCTTTCAATGATGATATAAATAATTGTATATCTAAGTACGTTTACTATGAAAATGATAAATGAATTTCATTATCTTTGGTTTTCACACTTATGATCAACTGATGGGGACGTTCAAGATGAGTAGATTGAAGATATTACAATCGCTTCATCTTCGCAAGTGTCACTATAATGAGTTATTGACATTATTTCATTTGATACGAGTTACAGCTAATTAATTGTTAGAAAAAGCAGAGAACTGATGAAGATTTTCTATTTCTCAATCCTCGGACAAAAGAAGATAGATGGCAGTTATTTCAGAAATACTCCATTGGTGATCTGAGAGGAGTTCTTTTATTCGTTGAGTTCGTTATCAACTTTTCATTGGCAAACTCATTGACGTTGAAAAATGAACGATCTCTAACAAATAATCAAGTAATTTATTCAATGTTTATTTTTCTAACTAATTGGTTTATTTTAAGTATTGAAACATAGAAAGTGGGTAGCATCAATACCATTATTTTTTTCTTCAAGTTTTATTTGATGATAAGAAACTATAATTAAATATAATAATTTGTCATGATTTTACAGCTGGAATTATATATAATTCATTTTGTTGTCATAAGCGAACGTAACACTTTTAGTATTACTTTATATCGTACGAACTAATTATAAGAAATACAGTCTAATTCACTGAATTGAAAGATAACACAGGATAAATTCTAACTATTATTAAATTTATATTTTTCACAGAATCAACGTAACTCTGATGAAAAACAATAGCTTATCCTCTGATGTCAGCAAGATAACTCAACCTCAATGTGCTCCTTTATCTACAGTTGGAACCGATCGCAAACGAGTCATCGAACCGGAGCAGAAATCTTTCGCCAAACAAAACAAAAAGTCAAAGTCGCATCTTTCCTCTACTACAACAACTACGGCACCAATGCTAGACTTTGAATCCACCCTGGTAGGATTGTAGATATCATTCTAGATGAATACTAATACTTGACAACGATTTGATTTCTTGAAATAGAACTAAATTCACTATAAGTAGGCAGTTTTGAACATATCGATGAGTGCTTCTTGTTTTTCTCTTACTTTCATGAAATAATGAAATCTCATTATCAAAGCTAGATGATCTTAGACGAATTGAAAGTAGATAAATGGTTTATTAAAGTACGAATGAGTTCAGATATTTATCTCTTCATTAATCCATAGGAACGTCTGTTGTATTTTAGGTGATGGCTGCACAAGAACTTCGGCAAGCCAGAAACGTATTAGTTATTACTGGTGCAGGTATTTCTGCAGATTCCGGACTACCAACTTATCGTGGTATTGGTGGTCTGTATAGTAACGGTCAGGAGACTGAAGAGGGACTGACAATTGAGGAAGCTCTGTCGAGTTACATTATGCGAACGGAGCCAGATATATCTTGGAAGTACATTTGCCAAATCGAATCTGCTTGTCGCTCGGCTAAACAAAATGCTGCACACGAAGCACTCGTAGCACTTGAATCTAAATTTGAACATCTAACTGTAGTTACACAGAATGTTGATGGTTTACATCGTAGTGCTGGCACAAACAACCTGATCGAAATTCACGGCAATATTCATCAACTTTTTTGCATCTCCTGTGACCGTGAAAAATATGTTGACGACTTCGACGGTATGAAAATTCCACCTACTTGTAACCGCTGTGGTGGACTTATACGACCGCGTATCGTCCTATTTGGTGAGATGTTGCCAATAAGTGCACTCGCACAACTTTCTGAAATAATAAACCAAGGTATCGATGCTATTATTACAATTGGTACTAGCAGTATATTTCCATATATCGCGCAACCTGTTTTACGTGCTGCAGAAAACAACATCTTAACTATTGAAATTAATCCGAAAGATACCAAAGTGTCACATGCGGTACGATATCACTTACGTGAACGAGCTATTATCGCCTTGCCGGCCTTGTTGAAACATCTTTCGTAACTCATCTGAAATCGACTACTAATGCTGCACCTTGTAATTAGCTGAACATATGAATGCTTTTACATAGAAGCGTCTACGTTTTTATCGGGTTAATATTAACCCATACCATCAGGTCGACCTTAAATAAGTGGGCCAAGCAGTAGAATCTGAAAAATCCATATTGTCGTGTGATATGTATTTAATTTTTGAAATGGTACTTTGAAATAAAATAAAAGATTCATGATACTGTAATAACAGTAAATTACGAAAAAAATGAGAAATCCCAGGTGAATGAATCCGACAACGGATCTTATTGAATCCTATGGGATCCGCCTCCTCGATAAAATGCGATGGGATTCCTGGACACGGCCCCATTGTCGGGTCCGACAGCAAAAAATCNTAACCGGACCGGTAAAACCGCGGTAAACCGGCGATTTTTTGCACATGTTTATCACATGTAAAAGTAAAAAAAAAGAATCTTTAAAATAGTTTAATTGATGATTTGGAAGACTTTTTCTGTCAAAAATTATAGATGAACCGGTTAACCGCTTTTTTTAGCGGTAACCGCGGTAAATGCCATATCATTTTTTGTGGTAAACCGCGGTATTTATCCGTTCTGCGGTAATGAGAGCCGGTAACCGAACCGGTAAAACCGCAGTTAACTGCCGATTTTCATGCGGTTTTTATTACATGGGAGTATATTCACTGTCTGACCCTTGTCGGAATGATTCTCCTGGGAATATCCATGATCGCTGAACGTCTGGTGCTGCCGCACTGCAATCAGTTATATACAGATAGTTCTTCATCAAAGCTGTTAGGTGTGCATAAATGTTATCGTCAACAGATGACACTATGTCGCCGTTAAGTTAAAAAGATATTTATTCTTTTTGTATTGGTTTATGTGTTCCTCTTCAGAGTGGTCAATGATCATCTATATAAAACAGAAACAATTTTCTCGATTTTTTTACTATCTTAATTTACTAAATAATTAAATAATTTAGATTAAACATTATCGAAAAAAACCTAGAGAAGCATGTTTCTCTGTTATAACTGATCATTTGCCACCTCGTCCTATACTCTTTCTAATCAACAGCAATTACTGATACGACTCAGCTTTTTGATATAGCTCAAATTATAAATAATTATAAATTAGACTTAGTTTCGTATTCTTTAAAAGGTGAGGCACTTCGTTGGTATAAGAACAAAAAGACAACGCCTAGTTCTTGGTCGATATTCGCTCGAGAAGTGAAGAGGGCATTTATTTCATCTTTTTATGAAGAATTAACTTTTAAGACGCTTGAATCATACACACAAGGAATAAATCAGTATATTCGCAATTTTTATAACGAAGTTCTAAAACTTTATGCAGAAGTTGATCACACAATGAGTGAATCCACTAAATTAAAAAATCTACTCAATAAAACTAAATCAGCAACTACCCAGTAATATCTATAATATGCTTAAGAGATCGAAAAAATTTGATTTATCAAATATCAATTCTATAGCCGATACTAATCATTATAAATCGTCTACTCAACCAAATAGATCGTTTTCTCAATTTAATTCTTACAAATCTCGGTCAAATATTAATTTGCAATTGTAACTGCTCAACGAAGCCATCAGAATAAAGATTTTCTTACAACTATACTAATATAATATCAGATAATATCAACCAAATCGTACTACCAGGTATAATCCACTAATTAGAAGCTGTTTACGTTTTTAATACCAGAGACATCGAAAGGTGGTGTTATCTCGAGAGTCAACAAAAAACCGTCAAAATTGACAATAATATTTATTACTACAATAAATGCACACGCAGCTGAAAATTGATGTACCGATATTATCATAGGAATGGATTATATTAATTCATACAATCTTCAATTTAACATTAAATAAAAGGTTTCCATTGAAGTAAATTATAATCAGTATAGTATTAACATTGATAATAATGCTCAAACTAAATTCGTCCCTGTTATTCTATCGAATTCCATCGAATATTTGACAATGAGAAGCATAATATTGGTAACAATCTTATGCACCATTTCACATTCGCCACCAGTTTGCGAATCTTATCATCAACTTAATAAAGAACAAGCAATGTATGATATTATTCAAAAATCTATTAGTGCAGGATTAATTAGACAACCTCATTCTGCGTGTGCTACGCCTGCTATCTTAGTATAGAAAAAAGATGGAAAATATCGATTTGTTGTGGATTATAAAAAATTGAACTTAATTACGATTAAAGACTCATTACCATTACCGACTATAGAAGATACTATTAGGAATTTAGAGCCAGATTACAAATATATCTCAAAACTAGATCTTAAATCTGTCGTTTATTAAATCCCTATAGAAGAATGTGATAAGGAAAAACTGCTTTTATTACACAAGTTGGACTATATCAATTTAATGTGCTACCTATGGGGATTAAAAATGCACCACCTACGTTTCAAAAGGTTATGACCAACATCTTAAAGTCTTGTCGTCAATTTTCTCTCGTTTATTTTGATGATATTTTAATATTTTCCAAGCCACATAAAGAACATCTTAATCATCTAATACGAAATTTTGTTATGTATCCTCAAAAATGTGAATACTAGTTTCACAAATAAATTATCTCGATCATACTAATAGCAAAAACAGTATTGCTATACTAGATGCTAATGTATACTCCGTACATTATCAGAAGCAAACAAATTTATTGGTGCTCTAAGTTGGTAAAGAAAATTCATACGGAATGTTACTACAGCCAGTCACCGCTCGAATTCACTCAATTATACCGACCTTATTAAAAGATAGTCGCTCTCAATTCACATGAAAATATACTCAATCATAAACCTATGTTATCATTTGCAATTAATGGCACCATATTGAGAAAAGATATAGTACGATAGAAAAGGAAGTTCTCGCAATTTATAAGTGCTTTGTTTGTATGAGGCCGCTACTATTAGGTCGAAGCATCATTATAATGACGGATCATTGTCTTTTATGTTATATAATGACAAAAACAGTTAAAAATGCGAGAGTTAATACAATCGCTAATTAAATCCAAGAATACAACAACGAACAAGGTGACGAACTGCTTGATATCGAATATGAACTTCAGAGTAAAAATGAAATTGGTCACATAGCAGTATCAAAAGGCAAGTATTCAGGATACATGGTTTTGTTACCATGCAAAAATTTAGATGTGTTCCTGGTATTAGTACACATAATGCACTAGAAACACATCTGCTATCACAATTTTCTCATAACCATTTTAATGTAATAAAATGGAAAGCTGAGCAAAAGAAAGATTTAACAATACAAAATATACTAAGCAATTACGTTCTGATCAAAATGATATTTTTCACAAAGTATTATTATATTCACATTTCTCTAAGACCAAATCTGAAGCAATCTGTTTATCACCGATAATGGTTAAACCTCTTTCTTATGCAATTTACAATGATCCAGTGATAGGAGACCATTTTGCTACAGGCCGCACATATTATAAACCAAAACAGCATTATTGGTGGTCTTGCATGAAATAGTCGATCAAACACCACAAAATCATGTTTTATGTCAAAGAAAATACGAATGAATTCGTTCTATTCCGTCACCTGGTGGCCCCTAATAACTGACTATTCTAGACACATAACAGCTATAGCCTTACCAAATTGTACTGCACAAACAACAGCTGAAGCTTTATTTAATGAGCATTTCTGTAAATATGGTATTCCTGTTACAATTATAAGTGATGATCGATTACATTTCAATAATCAATTAACAAAAAATATACGTCACTTTGTTGGATATGATTATATTTTCTTCACATCACATTATCCTCAAACGAACGATTGGTAAAAAGAGCTATCGCCACATTGATTCCACAAATATTTAAATTGCAGGATATGAAAAATAATAATTGGGACATATACTTACAAGCAGTAGTTTTTGCTTGTAATTCAGATATTCACAAAACAGCAAAATATTCACCTTATGAATTACATTGTGATCGTCAATCTTGTCTTTCTATTCACTAAAGACCATATATATATTCTTTTAAACTTTATCATTATACAACAGCAAATAAGGAATAAACAATACTATGATAATAATCGGCTAGATCCACATTACAAATTTAGTGATAAAATATTAACTCGAATTAAAGACATAAAAGAGAAATTACATGTTTTATTCTCATCAACACCAAAAATTATCATTATTGTTAAACATTCCATTTACATAGTTAAGGATGAAGACAATACGATAGAATCGCAAGTCCATGCTAGGGATTTTATGACCTATCCATATTACTATTACATGATTTCTAAACGGTTACATTAATTTTACTTGTGATATGTCAATTTCAACAAAACCAGATCTTTCTAAGTCTTATTCAGCGTCATCTTTAATCGAAACAACAGCCATTTCATCGTACACTTCATCTGCAAAAGTCATTACACTAATTATAGGAACAAACTCCACTCGTTACACAGTAGCTTTACACATTTTCGATCAAATCAAATATATAATTACTATGCTACGTGAAAATCAATCTCACCACAACGAGAAGAATAAAATATATATTGTTGGCACTTTTCCATGTGATAAAACATCATCTGAACTTCTATCGTACGCAGCATTAGAAGTAAATATTAATACATATAATAAACATTTACTCAATTTAGGTAATATTATAATATTAAATTTCAAAATAATGAATCACCATCCCTCTAATAAATACAAAGCTCAACGAAATTAAGTACGCCGTGAAACGTTAGCTGACAAAAATAAATATTTATTTGTAGATCCATTGAACCACCATGAACCATAAAACACCTACAAGAATTTCTTCAACGTCAGCAAATTAAGTTTTCTTAAGTACCACTATTTCATAAGCAACACCTCCATATTCGCTTTAACGATCTAACCGATCGTAGCAAGGCCGACAACAGTTTACCAAGAGACACATTTTTGTTTTGGTAATTCATTCTTGACGAAAAGGGTGAAGGTGTTAGCATCAACAAATGACACTATGCTACCACTAACTTAAAAGATATTTGTTCTTTCTGTATTGGTTTATGTGTTCATCTTAGATGTGGTCTATGATCATATATCTTTCTCTCTCTCGCAACATCTCAATATATATATATCTTTTCCCCCACTTTTTTCTTCAGCTGCCGTTCATCTTTATTATTTGTCTTGATTCAGATAGATAGCTAACTATTGTGAAATTTCGTTCAGTATCGTTGACGCATAATATTACATCTAATCAATAAACAATCACGTGAAATTAGTTATCGATTGCTTATCTTTAAATTAACAATACAGAATTCTCTTGTAAGTCTCCTACGTGAGTTCTCTATATGCACACAGACGTATCCCAGGAGATTCAATCCGACCAGTGAATCCGATTGTTTCCGGCATCGGATCCTATGGATTTCGTTGCTTTTCGGTCGGCTCCATTGAATTCCAACGATTTCCTAACTAACGGATCCCAGTCCGGTTTCTGCCGAAAAATTCCGTTAAGTTCCGCAAAATTTCGACCCGGAATTCGTCGGAACCGATGGGAATCGATCGGAATGGTCCGACCAAATCTGGACCGGAATCCAACGGAACCGATCGGTTCCGACCGATTCCGACGTACCCTGATTCTCCTGGGATTATTACGATATTTACCATTCAGCTTACATTTAACACGTAAGCAGGAGTAAATATAATAAGAGAGGCGTGTTTAAAAAAAATATGCTGCTATTACTTGAAGAAAAGCTAGAAATTGTCTTCCACTTTGAAGAAAAAAATCAGTTCATTCCATAGAAGACATGAAAATATTCAAGTTTTTATTTTGCTTAGAACTGACAGAACAAAACTTCACGTATCGACGAAATTTTTCTGAAATTTGGTAAAAAAAATTGGGTGCGAGTATCCTAGTACAGAAAATTCACATCTATTCTATAGAGTCTAAGTCGATTAGTATTCGTGTTCGATGATTATATTTATTTTGCACGAATAAAGAGAAGAAATGTGCACATCAACCTTTTTTCCTACTCTTTCATCGACTACCCTCGAAGAAGATAAGGTCTCCAGCTTACATACTTCTACAATGCACGCTGGAAGTGCTCGACAAGTACTAAAAAATGTAAAACAAACTGATTCAACGAGCAAATGACTGTGTTTTGTAGAATATTTTTATTGGTAATTTATTGTTAGAAGTTATTAAAGATAATACACATTTAAATTAACTTGTCCAAGTTTCTTTTACTAAGAAAATATGAATCCGATTTTGAATCAATGACAGACAAAAAAATTTACTTGGAGCTCATTCACATATAAGGAATACATCGTATTATTCTATGTCATTTCGCTCCTGCGCTACTATATAGCTATGTGCTGTCTGTAAATTTCAATAATTTCTAGCGCTTTCTAATTAGTAGTATCAGTTAAGCAAATTGAATACGAATATCATATTTAAACTTTAAAATTGTTTCTATAAAATTTAATATTATAAGGTTTCGGATGTTTTTTTTTGGTTACTTACTGGATGCTTATTATTCAATTGAAGCTCTAATCGATTCATGATTGTCACCAATTTCGTCACATATCAAGATTTGACGTAAATAAAAATTCATACCAATTTTATAATGCATAGCAATATTTTTTATTAGAGAATACAAAATGAGCTCTAGGCCATATTATTAATAACGTCGCGGCATTAAGTTTCCAAAACCATGGCGGTGCGGCAGTGGCAGATGTTCTGTCGCGATGGACATCTATGGTAGACAGAAAGAGATTCACAGACAAGCAGAAAGGGTGGACTTGATAAATTGGATTTCCCATTTCAGTTTTTTTTGTACCCTTTGTCTATACACTTAGAAAAAGTCCATGAGACCCAATAGTAATTATGATGAACAGATGTTTCAGTTCAGAGTAAGACCATATCAGCAAGAACATATTTCTTTTGCCTTAGCCTTACATGACGAGTTAACCAACAGCCGACATCTCGGCACACATGTATTTGATATTAATTCTTCAAAAAATAGTCAAATTTTGACTTTTATCTCATCGAATTGCAAGCATCCACATGTACTCTCAACTCATACTATTTCATGTTTCTCCCTTCATTCGAAAGAAAATAGATGGATCCATGACATTGAAAGCATTTTTAAGTTTAATTAGTAATGAAAACACACTCTTCTTCAGAGATGGATATTGGAAGAATACCGCAGTCAGATGAGATTATAGCTCTGAAATAACGTCTAATTATACAGCGTAATCTAAATTGCATCATGATATACTGACAAGACTTCTTGACCTGGAAAACATTTAAGAGGCAGACACGAAATATACATTTCTTTAGTGTTTTTTCAATCTTCTTCTTTCTCTAAACAGATATTCAGTAGATGAAATACCTAACAAATTGGAAAAAGTATTTTTTGACTATAATACGAATCTATTTTGGGTGGAGTAAGTTTGTACGAAACTTCAAACATTCTTCGCCAGATCACGTACCCAGTAATAATCCTATTTTAAGAATGAAGCAGAAACTTTTTAATGCAACAAGAAATATAATCGATCGTAGATATTTGTTTTAGTTCCATGCGAAAAGATTCGTACTGTAATTTAATCATATATCGGCGACATCTGACGGTTGTAGTAGTTGCTATCGAAAATGTGTCTTCCATCAACAAATTGTCGCAATGCATTCCAAACGTCAAAAGAAGCAGTTACTTTAAGAATGCCATGTGAACATGTTAAGTACAACTGATTTTATACGAGTTTTTGAAAACATTTGAAACTTCTTATCGAGAATATATTATACGTACTGCAATTCTATCAGAAATTGTGTAATAACTTGCCGTCAAAGAATTAAGCAATACTATGTGTAAAAGAAATCTATCTTATTTTCGCACAAGGATTCTGTATTATTTACTTTTATTTTGTGAAGCATTGTTGATTTGTCAAGTTTTATCTTATTCAAACCTACCGTAAATGGCAGAATACCAGGTATGATCTGACGGCTTCTCTGTTTCTGTTTTTGGAATTATTGAGCATTGATAAATTTTATTTTCTATTATTTCTGTAATATTTATGAATTTTATCTGAACAAAGTTATAAACAAATTTCTTGCTGCTGTTTCTATCTGAAGATAAAGACTCTCTGTGTTTAGACCAGTTCGACCTTAGTTTCTAGTATTATATTGTATATGGGCGATACTACTTGAATCGTTGAATACACTTTACACTTTTATAACCTAGCATACCTTATAAATTTTACTCAATAGACATTTGAGACAAAAAAATGCATTCAGCCATGGGTCATGTTTCAAAACCTGGGTGTTTAATAATTATTCTGAGGCCGTTTTCAATGATCTTGCAAAAATTTTTAAATTGAAGATCTCATTCAAAAATGAATTATTTTACTAGGATATACAACAAGAATTATATGCTGATGATCCTCGATTTGCTTTCATTGTTATGGGTACAAATGAAGCCCTGTTTGGTATATTGCATAGCAATAATCGAGAGATAATTGCACGGTTTTCAGTAGATTTGCCAAGAAAACGTTCTTGTAGTGGTACAAGAGCAATTCGATTTGCTCGACTTCGAAAAGAAAAACGACAGAATTACGTACGAAAAGTATTTGAAATAGCTGTACAGCGCTTCATTATTGATGATAAAGTCAATGTAGATGGTATTATACTTGCAAATGCAGCTGAGTTCAATGCTGAACTTTATCATTTAAATGATATAACTGATCCTGTCAGTTCTTTTTTTTTGACGTTTTCTAAATGTCATTTGTTATCTGAATATCTGCTTTAAGCGTATTCAAGAGAATATTCTTCAAAGAGTGACTGTTTGTCACGATGGTGACATTGGTTTCAATCAAGCAATTGAATTGGCTAGTGAATCCATTGGCAATATCAAATTTGTACAACAGAAAAAGATTCTTTGCAAGTTTTATTTGTTATCAGATTAAATTTCAACATTCTATTCTCCTTTAGTGCAGTTTTTCAATGAAGTATCGAAAGATTCAAACCAATATTGTTTCGGTCTCGAAGATACATTGAAACAACTCGAAACTGGTGATTTGGAAATATTGATCATTTGGAAGAACTTCGATCTCACGCGTTGTAGTATGCGTAATAATAAAACAAAAGAAATCAAAATTATTTATTTACATCCCGATCAAGACAAATATACGGATACTGAATTTGAACAAGTTGAACAAATGAGATTAGTAGATTGGTTTGCCAATAATTACCAAAAACTAGGTAAGAGAAAACTATTCACGTATTTATCATTTGTTTTATTCGTATGCTTCTTTTCTAAGATGTTAAACTCGAAATTGTAACAGACACGAGTCAAGAAGGCTCTCAATTTGTTCAAGGATTTACTGGAATCGGAGGTTCGATTGCATTCATCATAATTTTATTTTTCGGTTTTTATTCGTTTATTTATCAGGTATTCTCAAGCGCAAATTTGATCAGCAACTTTCGAACATTCAAAATATTTCAGAGCATCTCGATAATAGTGAGTAGGAAGACCCAAAAACATTGATTCTTTCTATGCTTTTTTTAGATGACGACGATTATGGATCTTTCTTCGATTAATTGACAATATTTCATTCGGTTCACCAGTATTGTCTACGTTTTTTTTTCATTTCTGATTAGCGCATCACTAGAAAGTAAGCTTTTTAATACGAGATATACCCCATCCGAAGATTTTATATGTTTCATTTTCCGGTAAATTCGAACGAAAAGATTATCATAAATAAATTGGGATATGGGTGTGTATATGGAGTTGAATATAGGCGTTGAGAAACTAGAGATGAAAATATATTGATTTACATATTCATTGTTGATATACTACGTTGATTGTTCACGCAAACATCACTCAGATAACGTCGAAATAGTTTCTATTCTGCAATTATCTGAACATTTTCATTTTATTGACAAGTAAAACTAGAATAAATTGAGAAGATTAAAAGATCATTTTTTTTGAATTTTTTATACGAAAATGAATCTGCTACAGAATATAAAAAATGCTTTTGTCACTCAACACTTTGGAAACCTAACTCCATAAGTGTACACCGTATTTTCACTTATAGATAAATTTTTTGACTGAATCTGTACATGGAAAGCCATTTTTATAGTTTTTCCAACTGAGAATTTTCGAATTTTCTGGAAATGAGAATATTGAACACGTGTTCAGAATTTACTTCTACAAGTAAGTTATCCTAAAAAAATCAATCATTGACTAAAATACAGATAGTATTCCAAAATATCTTGATTTAAAGTGGGTAAGAGAAGGAAAGCTATTATCAATAATTTTACTACGATCATAATTTGTTTTGCCTACACTTCCCATGTTGCCGGTTTTACGAAATAATGGACATTGCAATGCATTTTTTCCCTATAGAGATGCAATGGATGCAATTGCATGATAATGCATTATTTTAAATTAATCCATTGCAATGCATTGATTTATCAACGCATCATAATGCATTTTTTTTTATTAATAATACATTATAATGCATTGAAAACTTTATATTCGGCACCTGTTATACAGGATCGATATAATCCTATTAAATAGATGTCCAAATTACCATAATTGTATCTCTGTGGTTCTGTACATATATCCCCTTTACTTAGCCCTTTAACCTTAATCTATCTATCTAAGTAAACTTAACCCTTAACTTTCATCAACCCTCTTATATATATATATATATATCCCATAATGTATCATCTTAATCATATCGATAAGAATCTAAAACAAAAGAAAATAAATAAATAATTTTATTATTATTGATTTCAAACCAGAGACGTGCACATGGCATATTTTTTTCTCCTGCCCTTGCCTGTCCTGTTAGCTACCTTGATCTTGGCGGGCGGGTGGCAGGACGGGACAAAAATCTAAATCTCATCCTGTCATATAGGACAGGACAACAGGACCGTCCTGCCCTGTGCATGTCTGTGATTCAAACTTACCACTTAGATCATGTCGAATTGTAGTTGAAAGCGGAAATAGTTTCAGATTAGGAAAACAAAACGATTCATGATCTAATCAGTTATACTTGATACTGTGAGCAACTTTAGTTCACTAGATACATCAGAAACTGAGCAATGACGAAGAGTGAAAATTGCTTTTGAGAAGGTTAAGGATTGTGATATCTTTCATTCTACAGAATATTCTAAAAGCATTCAAAACTCTAGTAGTATTTCGTTGCATCAAATAGAAACTGGAGGTCGGATTTCGGGTTGTTAGTGCACATTTTAGCGATTGAGTAAACTTGGAAACTCTTTGGCTTGCCCGGAGAAATGTTTCGCAAACTGAAAGGATAATCTGATATACCTCATCAGATTTTGAGTCAAGTTTTCAATAGTGTAGGTTTTCGATTATCGGAGAAAAGGGATTAGAAAAATACTCTGAGCGATCTAATTCTGGTTACATTTTTTATTAGATCTTTAACTTGCGCGACTCTTGTTGAAAAGCGCTTGATACACAGAAAGCTGTTGTGAATCAAACATCTACCTGCCAAATCACTTTTTCAATATTTCTTGTACGAATATAGTGAATTTTCTAATTTAAAAGCATTACTCTAAATAATACTTTGAAATGCATTGAATAATAATGCATTATCCTCAATTTCTATATTATGCCTGATAATGTATTGTAATGCATTTAAATTTTACTGTATTTTCAAACCATTTTTTCGTTATTAGAAATAATGCATTGAAAATCTAGCCATTATCCTTCATTTTCACCATTATTTGGAATAATTCATTAAAATGCATTGAAAAGTCAAAAAATAATTAATTATAATGCATTAATTCATTTTTTTTGAAATAATGGAAAATAATGCGTCATTTTCCCATTATTCATCCATTATCGGCTACATGGGTTTCTTCTATCTTGCTTGTTTGTTTCCTATTTTTGCAATACTACTAAAAATTTATGCATCAAGAAAAATTGCGATGGAAATTTTGAATAAACGCGAGACTACTCCATCGATGTTATTTTATGTTGAAACAAAACTTACTAAGAGGTGTTACATATTCACGATATCACGGATGCTGGATAAGCTCAAGGAGAAGGTGAAGATATAAAATCTACAACATACACCATATACTGGCAACATCTATGATTTATACAACTTTTATTCACGCTGTGAAAACCATATTGTAGCTTCAAGCAATTGTCTTAGGGCGATATGGCATATCTCCTGTCGGCATCTCCCAGCTTCTCCCGGTGAAGCGAAAGACAAAGACTCTGTATTGCAGGAGTACCCTTATACATCGCTTTCCGCACAGTTCTTCGATATAATTGTGACGATTTAGATACAAGAGATGCTTGCGCTGATGAGACTACGCTTTGTTTAGCTTCTTCATATCACAAATCGCATCGTTTACACCCACAGCACGCGCTTATATATGCAACCAAGAGAAAGAGCGAGAGAATGACAAGATAGACATAATAATAGAAAGATGAGAATAACAGGAAAGATAATCATGGAAGATGATATATGTGTTTCTGTCAGCAGAATAAGCAACAAGCGAATCTTAATTATGAACGCATAAACAGCAAGAGATATGTTGAAGAGGAAAAATCAGAAGATAAAAAGTGATGTATGAACACTCTCATCATAGAACGTCACAATAATGATGCAGTGTATTCCATGGTGCCGTGATATAACACGTAAACATGCGCAGTCGTATTACACTTCTGAATTCTTTGGCTATGATTAAAGCTACTCACATGGATAATGACATTAGTGCGTCAGTAGGATGATAGTAAAGTATAGTGATGCGTTTAACCATATTGTATTTCAGTAGAAATCAAAGCAGTCAATATACAACAAAACTGATTAGAAAGTAACTAAAACATAACTTTCTCTATTTGTTGTTTGATGTAAAAGTGAACAAAGACTTTTCACGTCAAGTGAATCTGGCTTTTCTTTGTAAAGATGTGTCAAAAAAAAAACACAATTTTAATTAGTTTGTGTCATTTGTATGATCAAAGAGTAGTGCAAAGAAAGAAACATTAGAGATCAATGAAAGGATGTGGATGTAGGTGTAACTGGAAAGATGCACTCTGATCCAGATCCACACCCACATCCCTTTATAAATACATGGAAAGTGGAGTGAAACAAATGTAGTCGCTTCTTTCAAATGAAAAAAATCAAAAATTTGAAACATTTACATGATACGGCAGCACATAAATGAAATTATTTTCTTGAGTATGATTTTCACATGTACATTGTTGTGCCTTTCCTTGTTTTTCTTTCATATTTTTCTTTGTTCGTGTGCAACAATTTCTTTCTCGTCTTCATCTTTCGCTCAGTTTTAGTACTCATTTCTTCAGACTTTCTTTATTTCAGGCTTCACATTAGAAAAGAATTTCTATGACGCTCTACTTCTGTTTACCTGAGTCTGAGGGTGCCAGTCTGAATATTTTCTTCATTCCACACATAGTGCTTTATTTACACTAAAATCATTTCTTCGATTTGAAAGAAGTTCACTCAGATTTATCTAATCTTCCAGTGACTTACTACTTCACGATTTTCAGTTATAAAATGAAATCGCCGTACGTAATGTGGTAGTTTCGCTCACAACATTCATCCTCAATGACTCTTAGAATTTCGACTATCATCTCTGAATCAAAAACAATCACAAAATGAATGATTCGAAAACAATAAGATATTTTTCTCTTCTTTCTGTTAATAAAAACAAAAAAAAACATTTGGAGATTTTCTTTCTCATTAATTCAAAAACAAATTTGATTACTGATTTAGTTCTCTATTTCGGCGACTTCTTTACATGGCAGCACGATGTTCTGATGTTGATTCTTCGTTGGTCTTCTCCTCTCGAGAACGTTTTCTTGATGTCTACAACGAACCGAAGAAGAAAATTCTTTCTCCAATTAGAAATTACGAAAATTTACCACTTGTATCACTTGAAGAATCTGTGTCTAAATTAGAAAACTTCATCAACGATCTGAAAATCGATGTTTGGGTAGCAAAGCAAAACTCTGAAGAAGAAGTTGACGACGACCATCTGAAACATGATGAACGAGCATCAATTCATCTTTATACAATGCACCCATCTGTCCCACGTCTTCTGAACGAAGCTCTTCGTATTGATAATAGAGAATGTTTGTTACCATGGTTTCTTTTCTTCAAACTATTTCTCACAGCGCTATGGAAGCTGAAATCAGTCGAATATACAGTTTGGAGAGGAATGAAAGGCAACTACGGTGCTGACTTACGCAAGGGACAGAAATTCTTTTGGTGGGGTTTTTCATCCTGTACTCTTAGTCGTAAAGTTTTCGAAAAAGAGCAATTCCTTGGAAATTATGGTGTCAGAACTCTATTTAAAATTGAATGTACACATGGAAAAAATATAACAAATTATTCCTATTATGAGAATGAAGAAGAAGTATTACTGTTGCCGTGTAGTTATTTCGAAGTTTTGAATGTTGGTATAGAAGAAAATGATATGTGTATTATTCATGTCAAACAACTACCGCCACCAGTTTCGTTGGTAGCGTCACCGGTTCCACTGATAGAGCCATCGGTTTCATTGACAGAGCCGGCAGCTTCGCTGAAAGAGTCATCAGCCTCCTTGGTAGATCCATTAGTTCTATTGCTAGAGCCATCGGTTTCACTGGCAGAGCCATCAGTTTCATTGACAGAGCCATCAGTTTCATTGGCAGAGCCATCGGTTTCATTGACGGAGCCATCAGCCTCCTTGGTAGATCCATTAGTTCTATTGCTAGAGCCATCAGTTTCGTTGACAGAGCCAACAGCTTCACTGACAGAGCCAGCAGCTTCACTGAAAAAGCCATCAGCCTCCTTAGTAGATCCATTAGTTCTATTGCTAGAGTCACGGATTCCATTGATAGAGCCATCTGTTTCATTGATAGAGCCACCACTCGCAACTGATAGTTCAGGGGCGTCGAAGGTATTTCCTGCACTGTCACATGAACAACTAAGTCGAAACCAACGGCGTCGACAAAGACAAAAACAAAAAAGGCTGGTCGAAATTGCTGATGCGCTAACAACGACAACGAACGAGGCAAAAGAGACTATTACACCAAAAATTACAGAGCAGCAAAGTAGCCTAGGAGAAAGTGTTTTGTCGAAAGAACAGAAGACTACATCCAAACAAAGTGCAAGCATAAAATCAAATATATTTCTCGAGACGAATAATTTGACCGATCAAGTTATGTGCACGGAACCAAAACTTTCAAGTGAAGCATCGATGTCCACTATTTCGAAATCGCACACAAGAACAACAACAGCAACAATAAACTTTGATCGCCTGAACACCAGACCCAGGAAATCGATTACTGCTACAGATTGCCTTCGTATCGCCACAGACGATCAGTATTTTCTTGTTTGCCCAAAGAACAGACTATGTTTACTTGATAGAGAGGGAAATGAACATTGGAGCATTAAACGCAACTTTGATATTGATGATATCTGCTATTCAACTTACTTAAAGCAGTTTCTTATTTTGGCTGATTACGATTTATACTCTTTAGATGTAGAAAGGTCAACAAAATTAAGAATAGAAATCGCTCAGTTTGCTCGTAACATGGATGAATGTTCGTGTCACGAGAATTTATTCTTGGTTATAAAAGATTATGGTGGACACACTATTGAAGTTTGGGATATGGAATCTAATTGGAAACTTAAAAAAACATATCAGCAGCCAATTTCCTGTAAAGAAGGACAAGGAATCTGTACAGTTCGTTTTAGTAGCGATGGAAATTATTTGGGAGTTACTTTAACAGAGCCTTTTACTGGGAAAGCATTCTTTCAATTGCGTAACTCAAAAGATATGAAAATACTGACAAAAGTGGAGCTTCCATTATATGAAGGATATTGCAATCATTATATTCTTTCACTTCCAAACAATGAATTCTTAGTTTATAAATATTCAGAAAAGTTAATGTTCTTAATTGATTCAAATGGACAACGTAAAAAAGCTATTCAGTACACTAAAGGTGTTTGTACAATGGCAATAATCAATAACTGTTTTGTTATTCGTACAAATCGACCAGATGAACTTCATTTTTATGATCTTTAACTTCAAAGTCCATTATTATGGCAAACTTGAATCGTTTTAACTGATCAGATTTCATCTTTCACTTTCTCATCACTTAATTAATCGTCTTGATGAAATTCCATTTCAGACTGTGTTTTTCTTTGCGCTCAAATGTTAGCACGTTACCTACATCCTCAAAATGGGTGTGATTGCCGATCTTTTTTTCACCCACACCCCAATGTCAGGTCTTGAGAATTTGAACACAAGTATTTGACTCAAATTGGCGACAGACATGAGTTGCAAGGAATGTGTTCTGGTGAAAATTCTACTATCTAATTGCTCGCTTTTGATTTGATTGATACAACCCATCAGTCTGTAATGATAATAGTTAGAATTAATGAATGAATACTTCTAATACAAACAGGATGAAAAAGTCATAAGATAGTCCAAAACCGTTCATTGATAAAATTTAGTTGGGGTCTGTGAATATTTAAGTTTTCTTCATACACGCCATCAGATCAATTCTCATACCACAATACCTATACCTCAAGTTTACTATACTCGTGAGAAACGGCGAGTATTTTTCTGCACATATATTTTAGTTCCATTGCCGACCCGTGTAAGAATGCATCACGCTACTTACATTATGTATTTTATAATATTCAACAGAAAACACCCACACCCTCAAGAGCATCTTCTCTAAGTACAATCACAGTAGGCGCGTTGTGGCGTGAGGAAACCTTTATTACTTCTTTTCACTTTAAAAAAACTGTCATTATGACTAATCAATATGTTAGATCGTTCACGAAGAAGCTGTAAATAGTTTATTTCTTAATTAAACACAGAGTTTAAAAATAAATCTTATTGTCCTGACGCAATACAAGCCGCATTAAGATTGCATCGGTGTGATTTAACGTCTGTACACCATCGTGAATTTTTCAATTCATTACTGGCTGATTTCCAATCGTTTTTGTAGAGAGCTGCTTTCATTTTTACGAATTCTTTGAGTGTACCACAACCAGCAAAAGCAACATCTGTCAACGCTGCATGAACACTTGTTGGCATACCTGGGGCATAGGATGCAGCGCATGCACTCGCCTCAGGATATATATCATTTTTGAAGATATCAGTAGCTTGATAATCAGTTATACATGCTTTTCTTGTGGAAAACATGCAATCGTTGAGAACATTTTCTTTTTTCAATCCATAGCTACGTAAAACTTGTTTAGCATCCGTGCGGTGTAGGTTAAAACCAACGCCAATTGTTGGAATTTGTTTTGTATCGTAGTAACAACACAGACGTGTACCTTCATTAAGTTTTGTTTGCCTGAGACTGCACTCACTGGCAATACTGACTACTAAAAAGACGAGAACATGCAGACTGTGTTTCATCATCATTCCTGTGAAGAGTGAAAGTTGTTTTTCAGTAGCTTAATTATATTCGTATACACTCAATAGAAATTGAAAAGTAGGAAGGGGTATACTTTTTTATATTTGATTGCTTTTTTCGAAAAGCATTTAGTTTCCTCGAATAAATTACTAGTTCCTATGAATATTTATTATTCTAATGCGTTACGGCATTTTTTGTTCGCCATTTCCGAAATATTTCTTTCACTTCATCGAATTAGTTTGAAGAACTGAAAGGCATAGTAATAAATTATATAAGCTTGCTGGTGCTCTCGAGATATTTCATGAATAATCGATAAGAGAAGAGAAAAGGTGGAACATATGAGTTTACATGAATAAATTTGGCTTTTGGTTTGTTTTCAATAAAACGTATTAGAAGCGGTGCTTGTATCTTCACTTACACTCTCATCATAGATCAAGTAACAGCCTTGTGATGTCTAGCAAACGAAATCACGAGAATAGTTAATATCATTCGAAATAAATACATGCCAATAAAATAATTAATATAAGTACAAACATACATTTCATTTACTCGAAAAAGAAAGACCAAGTGTTGAAAATTAGAAAAGCAATATTCAGAAAATATAAGGGTTATTATTCGTAGTTAATAAAGAGTAGACTTCGACATATTTCAGTGTTTTACGACCTAACTATTTCTTGTTCTCTTCGTCAAATATAAAACAAGAAAATGACATTAAGAATACGTGAAAAGTAACAATCACCATTATTTCTTACTGTTAGTAGTGTTATCTCATTTGAAATTTTGTTTATTAATGTAGATTACATGAATAAAGAAAAATAATTAGAAAAAAATCAAAATGTACTTAAAACAAGAATTTCAAAAACGATTATTCATTGAACAGGTTTAGTTCAAGAGATTTTCCTTAAATATTGATCACGACGTTTTAGTTCAGCATAATTCGGATATGGAGTATGTGTTGGTGCAATAGATGATCCAGATTGAATAATCATCGGTAATTTAAAATATTCTGTTGGTTTTTTATCATGATTATCAATGCCATCTGTAGCATGTGTACCTCCGTAATCATAAGCGCCTGCAACACGCATATATCTACGAGGTCTGTTTGTTGTGGCGTCTTCATCGTATTCATCCATATTGATTTCTTGTTTAGCTAATGGAGGCTTTCTTGAAATCCATTGTGGTGTTGGGCCTCTGTTTGCATTGACTTTTTGCTTGTAGGCTTCACAATGAGGACAATGATCACAATAGTTGCTTTTGCTATCGTGCCCAGCAATAGTTATTGTGTGCAATTGGTCGGTATAATTATTTGGAGAATTTAAAGCATGTCCCTGATTTGTTCTTAATGCATCATTCCTTCCAGATGCATCATTTTTACCCTGGATGGAATTTCGATGCGAACTACCTTGATCAAGTTCTTTTTCACTATCAGACGAGGTAGTGTTCCCAGCGCTTCTGACAACTAAAACAAAAATATTCCTAAATAAATTTCAAAAATATCAATCAGATGAACATACTCCTCGAGTTGCGTCTTCTATTGGATGAAGTACGAGAGTAAGTTGAAGTGTTTGTATGAACTCTACCTACTTGTTGGCTATGAGCCGGAGCCGATGGTTGTAATTGACTATTAGAAAGTGATGGTGCGTTGTCTCTATTCGCAGAATCTTCGCTTAATGAGGATTCGGCGTCTTCCTGATCGTTATCTGGATCTTCATGTGATGAAAGGTTTTCGTTGTCATTATCATCACTGCCTTCAGATGGTGCCGGAGATGGCATTTTAGGTTCAATCTTAATGGGTGCAGGTTTTTTATTCTTACCTCCTGCAGAGCCCATGGCGATGTTATTTCAAAGGTGATATGCTAAACAAATTTATAAAAGTTCTCTAAAACGTGAATGTGATAAATAACTTGCTGTTTTATTAATGGATGATGAAAAAAGATAACAATAAAGACAAATATAAAATAGAGTCTTGCGTTAGAAAAAATATCAAGATAAGGTTATTAAAAGTGAAAGGATTTTGTCGTAGCCATAAAAAGTACTGTTCTTTATCATGAAGATGAAGAAAAAGGCATATTATGATGTTGATTTATGTATGTTTCTTCCAGTAAATCTATTTAATCAGTGCACATTTAGCTATGTATTCACAATATTGCATTTTATTGAAAGTACGAGCTACAAAAAGTTGTGCTCAATTTGAAGTTTTTATAAAGATGTCATAATATCAAATTGCACCGTAGAAGATTTCATCATTTATTTTTACTCATCAAAAAATATCAATCAACTTTTTTTTTATTATCATTCAAAAAAATAGTCACGCAAGTGCTCCAGACGGAAAATTTTTTGTACTGCTGTTAACCTTTGCATCCTTCTTAATATCAATTAGATTCTAGTTGAAATACATCTTTTCAAATACAAGAAGTTCAATCGATATTATCGCTTTTAAAAAATTGCATGTACCATTCAATTTATGATAGAAATCTAACAGCATAAACTTTTTATGAGTTTCACATCAAATTCAGGCAGTGAAGAACCAAAATAAATTTCAAGTATTTATTTAGTAAAAGAACAAGTACAATAACAAGAGTGATAAAAGAAAAAAGACGAATCATTGCGATTAATTGAACTACAGTATAACAACAGCATTTATATTCGTTTCATGTACAATACACCGAATGTTAGCATACCTAAAATATGAACAAATGTGTCATACTGAGTATAGGTAGTTCGTTTCTTTTTTTCAAGGATAAAATACGGATACTTCTATAAATGTTATCACGTTATCTCAGTAGGTAGTAGACTCAAGATTCGTGTATGTTTCTTATTCGTCAGTATGTTCTCATGAGAACAAAAAGTTCTTTATCTCTCTGTAAGATTAAAATATACTTGCTTAAAGTGCCAAGAATACTTGCATAACGACTAATAGAATTTCTTCGTTGTGTTGTTGTTTTCTCATAAAATTTCAAACACCCAGCCTTAACAAATACAGAGAAATTGATTTTCAAGATTTTATAATTCAATCAATTTACCCAATAATTTTGACTTTCAAGCCATATATAAAGATCTGCGTCAATAAAATTTGTGGTCCAATCAATAATAGATGAGATAACGAAATCTATATTTAGCTGCTGTTGATTTAGAAGACATTCAGCTAGTATAGCTGAAAATGAGATAAATGTTATAATTCGACTCCATGTTATTGCTCCATCGCCGAATAATTCTTTAGCTATTTCATGATGATTATTTTCCACATCGATTAATGATGATGATGATGAAACACGAAAATAAAATGGTGGCTGTTGAGAATAATACTTTGTTTCACAATCCGACGCTATACTACGTATAATCATATATAAACGATTAGTTGTTGTTGCTGCTGTTTTATTTGTTAAACGCCAATTGAAATAATCTGTTATAATTGAACGAGTTGTTGTTGAAGAATCATTTGAACACATTTTATTGACGAGAGTTGTTTATTATCGTGCTGAATGAATTCTCTGCGAACGAAATGAATACATTTATACAGTCAAAGTGTTCATTGTGTTGACGACTGATGAATGAGAGAACAAAAATTCATATAGAGGCAAAGAAACGAGAGAGAGAGAGAGAGACAGCGATCTATTTTTTTCTTCTAGTGATTGTTCGTTTCCGTTTTGTACTCGTCTATTTTTTCCGTATAACAGTCCGATTCGTGAGCTATATCGAAAGATAATCATATTCAGCTGCTTCTACGAACGATCATATCGAACAATTTTCCAAATTAGAGATACTTGAAAAAGAACAATAAATGCCGCTATCAAATAGCTGTGATCATTTTCATGTCAAAATGATGTTAAGATGTGTAGGTGATCAATAATTTCACCGATTAAAGTACTTGGCATTTTCTTGTTGTTTAAATAATATTGATACGTTAGTCGCATGAATGAGATCGTTTTCATTACTGTCTGATTTATGACTCATCGTTTAATTAATGAAGTAAGACATTTGCGTTCTTTTTTTTTTTGGAAGTTATAATCAATGAATGCTGATAAATTTAAATCTACTAAATCTCGATTAAAATCAAATCATTCTATGGAATATCATCGACGAAAATCGACAGAGTATTTATTTCAACCAATAGTACCATTCAACGATAAAGATCATCAACGTAAAGAACCATCACCATTTCGAACTGGTCTTAAATATTTGAAATTACTAGGTCAAATAAAACGTCAAAACGAAACGGATACAATACATCAAATGAAACCAACAATACTTGATCGTCTTGAACGTACATCAGCATTTTCAACAAATTATTATGCACCATTACTACCTGTTTCAACGCATTTAACAAATAAATCTGTACAAGTTGATGATTTTGATGATTTATCCTATAAAACGGCAATAAATAATAATTATTCATATTTATCGTTCTATGAATTTCTATGTAGTTTTATTTTAGTATTATTATTGATTTCAATAGTATTATTTCTTCATTTAAATTCATATCCTATGCATTGTATAATGCATAAGAAATATTGGTATCCTAATGATTTAGCAACTGGTTTTCTATGTGAAAATACAAATATTGAAATACATTATGTTGAAATCTATTCCATAGTTTACCAAATTGAAATTAAAAGAAATATAAAAGCAGTCAATTGCCAAGGTTTCGATATTCTTTCATGTTTACCAATTGATTATTTGTTAGTACCCAAAGGACAAATGATTCGTCGTAATGATCAATTAATTAAATATTGTAATCGTACACAGAAAATGAACTGTCATAATCATTCATTAAATATTTTACCATATGAATATAAATGGAATTTAAAAAATAATCACGTCAATCGATTAAGTCATTGTTCATGTTTAACAGATTCAAATAATACAAAATGTTTCCATTTCAAAATTAATAGTCAATGTAATCTACATATACCTTGGTTTGATTATTGTCTTAGACATTCAACAACTAATTCGCTATGTCAAGCATACATCTTTGACAGAATAGAAATGATCGTGGGAATTAACAAAGAAAGTCAAATGATTTTATAACATAAATTGTTGCATCTTTGCAGTTATGTCTACAGTTGATTGAACAATAGCTTGCCGCTGACGTATATAAGTTTTGAGAATGTTGAAAAATATCTGTCGAAATAAAGTCGATGTCAAACAATGAATATAAAAAGTGATAGAAAAGTTCGCATTCAAGAATATAGTTAGTATAGCAGTGACTATTAAGAATGTAAAGTATTCTGTGGTATTCTGTTGATTAACAGAATTGAACATGAGCATACAATAGACACCATAGGGTAATGTACATATAAGAAACAAAGCGATTTTCGATAACATCAGAAGAAGCATTTGATTTTGAAACTGTTGATTATGACGAACTAATACTGCATTTCGTACTTGTCAATAAATAGCAATCAGACAAACGATCCTTAGAAATGCTGGTGCTAGAATATTGGTGCATATTTCTAGAGCAGGCCATGTTAAAAAGTAGAATATAGTATAATCAGTTAGATTTACACGTGCTGGACCACAAGTAATACGATTGAATGGAAATGCAGTACTAAAAGATGATTGAAGGACATGCCTATTGAATGCTACAGTACATGCAATGGTCATAAGGAGTAATATAAGGACATTTTCTTTTGTACATAGTTGTCTTGTATGATGTGGTAATCGAGCACGAACTACTCGATCGAATTCTATGTAAATTAATAACCATGGTGATATTGTTTGAACAAAATTTATGGTAAATGTTCGAAATCTGCACAATGAGATACAATAAGGACTTAATTGAGATAAACTAGGATTGATGAGAAAAAAATCGTAGAGACTCATAAATAAATACAACATATCAAATATTTTAATGCTAAGAAAGAGAATAGTAGTAGAAGTTGAACGTAATTGACGTTGAGAAAATGTCAATAAGCTGCATGAATGTCCAACAATACCCAACGAAAATGTAGCCACATAACCATACATTCCTATTGTTGCTGACAAAGCTACTGTAGACATAATTTGAACTTATGCTTCGTTAGTGAATTAGATATACTGATAGATGTATAGTTTTCACACAAGAAACTTCTTCAAGAGTGACATCAGCGGAACGACACATTCCTATCTACTGTTTCTTTTACAGAAGATTGCACAAATAAATGGGCATAAGAGCACTTAAAGGCTTTCTTTTATCGTCGGTATGGATCAAAAAATCTTCCCTTCTAAATTATATTTTATTACAATCCTCAAGTAAAAGAAAATCTATTTTATAATAGTAACTGGATTTTAACCCCTACGCAGAAAATTCGCTCAATTAAAACAAAAACTAGAGGTTAACGTTCTTTAGAAGTTTGCATGGTTTATCTTGATATTCAGCATGCAGACATTGACAGTCATCACCTATCATGAAGCTATCATGATTGTCAATGAAAAATAGATAGAATAAATTTTTAAAACAATGATTATTTCTACTTCAATTCAGTAAGATGGCTATGAATGAACATGAGTAACTCTTTTTCACTTTTGTGCATCTCCTGCATTATATGAATAGATGTAACACAAAAGATAAGTTTTAATGAGATTTAAAATGCTGAAGCACTTTGAATCATGCACTTAGCTAAGTATATTTTTAATAGATTTATGTATAAATAAAAGAATCTGCGTAGATTGCGAACAAAAAATCGGAATGGATACATCCTCAAATGATGCACAATTATATAAAAAGAACAGGCAAAAGGTCTAAGCTTTGGAATGATTACGTATCCAATATAAAAAAAGTTTGCTTTAAAAAAGTTTTTTTTCATAGGAATGCAAATTATGTACGCCACCTTCAAGTTGAGCTGATGCCGTACGGTTTTCAACTCGAATGATACCTTTTTGAGAATCATCATGTAATTGTTTAACTGATTGACAGCCAATATCTTGGAATGATTTTTGTACACCTGTATAAAGATAACCACCAATAAATCGATGAATACTCCCCTTATCAACAACACTTCCAGCAACACCTTGCGCAACTTTAACATGATCACCTTCGGAATAATATCGACTTGCAGCAGATAATTCTTGGCATGCATTCATTGCATCAAGACTGCCCATGCCACGATCTAATTATTTAAAAGAAAAAAAATCTTCGTTTAATTTATGTGTGATTAAAATGTAAAAAAAAAAGATAGAAGTACTTCCTGTAACTTATATTTTACAAAAGTCAAAGAAAAGAATAATCTATTTACATTTCTTAAGTCGAACACCATCTTGATAGTAGTATTCACCAGGTGCTTCCTGTGTACCAGCTAATAACGAGCCCATCATAACACAATTAGCTCCTAATGTTAATGCTTTAACAATATGTCCAACACATGATATTCCACCATCAGCAATAACGGGTACATCAAATTGACGAGCATATTCAGCTACTTTATAAACAGCGGTAGCTTGAGCTCGTCCAACAGCCATAACTTCTTGTGTGATACAGATTGATCCACTACCCATACCAACACGAAGCGCATCAGCACCAGCTTCAATTAAATTTTTTGCTTGAGTTTGTGTAACAACATTACCAGCAATAACTTGTATATGTGGATAGAGATTTTTTATATGTTTTATCATATTAATTTGATAGATAGAATTTCCCTGTGATGAATCAAGTACAATAACATCAACACCCACTTGTACGAGTGCTTCAAGACGTTTTTCATCTTCTTTTCGTGTACCTATAGCTGCTCCGCATAATAATTGTCGACGATTATCTTTTGATGCTAATGGATAATCACGATTTTTTTCCAAATCAGTACGAGCAATTAATGAAACAAGATCCCCATTGGAATCAATAATAGGTAATTTACCTAAAAGAGTTTATTTAAAATGAACACATTCCTCTTCAAACTTTACTGAGTAGATTTTAGATCGAAAATCTCAAAAGTTTGTTTCATTCTAATAAAGCACGAACAAATGAACCGTTTCATATAGATTGAAGGAGAATGAGAAAAGTCACATCTCTGCCTTGAAAATTATCAAGTATGTGAAATATGCGATAAAAGAAAAAAGTGTTATCTGTAAGAGAAAAACTCGTACTCAACACTCTTACGCATTTCTTTATACAGCTTATTTTGCATTCCAACAAGAAACTTATGATTAGAGATAGGCGTGTTATTTGATCCTATATGATTTGTTAGTAATTGTTAAAGACTTAACGAGAAAAAATAAATAATTTTGAACAAACAAACCTTTTTTACTACGTTGTAAAATATGATAAGCATCTTTAAGTGTAAGATCATTTTTAGCTGTAACAAGTTCTTCAATGGGTGTCATTACTTGACTAACAGGAATTGTTGACCATTGATCTTTAGGCAAAAAGTCAATATCCCGGAATGTTATTAAACCTAATAATTTGCTATTAATTTTTCCATTTTCTGTCACCGGAATACCTTTTATATATTCATAATATAAAATAAATAGGATGAAACGTATTTATTTTTACCAGAGAAACCATGCAGTTTCTTGATCGCATAAACATCTGCAACTGTATTGTTCGGTGCAAGAATCAAAGGATCAGTGATAAAACCTTGTTCATACCGTTTAACACGTCTGACTTCACTTGCTTGATATTCAACCGAACAATTATGATGAATGATTCCTATGCCACCATTCAATGCCATTGCAACTAAAATAAATGACATTTTCCCGTCTTCTCTATCAATGCTTACTTTATATCTTACTAGCCATTCCTGATTCTGTGACAGTATCCATCGGACTAGATATAAATGGTGTTTTGATAGTAATTGTTTTCGTAAGTTTCGATTGAAGTGAAACACTATCCGATGAAAAATTTATGAAACCGGGTAGAATAATAAAATCATTATAAGTGATGCCATCATTATTTTCAAATAATTGTTTTTGTGTTAAACCATCTGATAACAAATTATGATGATCACATTTACCATTACCGTTTTGCATCGTGGCTTTTATTTTACTCTGTCTTGATGACTTTACTGGTTGAAAATGAAGTTATTAGGAAAACGAACATACATATTAAAGCACGAACGTGATAAAATGTTATATTTAACATTGATAGTAGCTCTAACTATGTTGCTATGATTGGCTGAGAATAATTAAATAAACGAGATAAAGGAATCACTTATATAATAGTAGAATGAATATTGTCATTTTATATAATTACAATACGTATTCATCAATTGTTTAAAACTGATGATTATACGTATAATGAAATGTTTAGATTTTATTAACATGAAAAGAGTTGGTTGTAGATCATTGATGCGACACGAAAGTGAGCATTTCACTAAATGATAGACTAAGAAGTTGAAACACCCACCTCTCATAGTACTATTCGATTTTGTCGCAACAACTATAAGATTTTCCCAATTCAATTGTAAGGTCTGGTGTGTTACATATGGACAGACACTTCGAATTAAGATATTTTTACTAAAATATTTATTCAAACAAGAAACACATGACAGGAGAGCACACGTCATTTTAACTAATGAAGTGTCCACAACAAGTTTCTAGGAGTATTTCTTTTTACAATATATATATATATATATATATAGATGTGAAAATATTTTTCTTTTTATTATCTCGGATTAAAGGTATCCATTTGAGTTCATTCTAGGATGTCAGTAATCTATCAAATGAGCAGATTTAATTAATCAAAACACTCAATACTTGTATTATGTTCAATAAGGAAAATGAACATTTTTTGTTTTAATAGTAGATCATTCTTCGAAACAATAATAATCAATTCAAGCTATTCTTTAGAATTTTGTTTAATTAACTGGTGACGCAGAGGAAATTGCCGGTTTTCGATGAAGTGTTCTCTCAAGTTAGACTCGACTAGAAAGGTTGGTTCTGATGTTGAAAGATAGCGAATTCTTATGTAGAATTTATTAATATATTTTATTTTAATTCAGCGTTTGTCGTTTCTTGATAGCATAAAAATTACTGAATGCCACAGAAAACATCGACTGTTTAGCACTTGACTACAATAAAATGTCATTTGTATTTGTTAAATAATTTTCTATGCGCTATCCAGGCACACTATGAAAAGTAGATCAACGTATTTGTTTCTTTTGATACAAAACGAATTTTTTGTGCAAAGCTTTACTATTTAAAAGACCGCATAAAAAATATGCCTAATTATTAATTTTTTGTGCCTTTTCATGTCAAGCGAAACATGTCGACATCGTTATTCAGCTAGAAAAGGACGTCCGCCCTTATAAAGAAGTACATTTTGTAGAGCTTGAAATTATGCATCTATTGATAAAAAAATTCATATTTTTCTAAAGCTGACTTTTGATAAAATTGGGAAAAAAACGTTCGATTCCGTTGACCCAGGACGTCTTTTCGATGTCTTGTACTTTGCGATGGAGAGGCAACCAAACCTAATGCTCCATTAGATGCACCAAATATTCTACATGTCTCACTATAAGAAAGAAAATTTTCTACTCAACCTAACTCGATAAAATTGATTTTTACGCATTTCTGATTTTGTTGTTGAGCAGTCGATGTGTTTGTGGTATTCAGTAATTTTTATGCTACTAAGAAACGACAAACGTTGAGTTAAAAGGAAACATATCAATAAATTCTACACAAAATTCTCTATCTTTCAACATCAGAATCAATCTTTCTAGTCGAATCTAACTTGAGAAAACACCTTATCGAAAACCGACAGTTTCCTTTGTCTCGCCCGTTAGTTTTTAAGAAAAAAAATAGAATTCTATTACATCCTATATTTCAGCCTACTTGTTCTAGCCACTGAATATGGTAATAATGCAAATACTTGTTAAATCGCTGTTAAGGCATACAAAAACAAAAACAAAATTAGAACTCTGCGTGCTAGTAAATGCTTTTAGAAGGAAACAATCAAGCAACACGAGAGCTGCTTATTTCATTTTGAATATAAAATAATGTAATAGCTGGTGACTTCCGAAATATAATCACGTTTCACGTGTTGAAATACTCTGATTCACATGAATAAGAATAATCTGCATTGCAACTTATGATAAAATAAACTAACGAAGCCACTTATTTATATATTGAATGTGAGAACTTGAAGAAAACACCAATAATCAAACGAAGCATTGCATCTACAAAGAAGAATTCGCCTTTCTATTGATAACGAACTACAATTATGCAGCATATCGTGATGATTATTTTCTCTCGGTTCAACCTTTATTGACAAAAGGAAATTCATTGAAGATTCCGACAGCAATCTAAAATCAGCAGTGAAGCATAGAAATCTTCCGCAATCAACATATACATCCGGTGCTTCTATATAATCAAAAGTTGTTCGCTAGTCATAATATTTCCTTTCAGCCAGTTCATTTGGTACTCATAGATAAATAGTCCGAATACCAATTTTCACTATTACTAATTGATAATGAAGTAATGATAAAAAGAGCGAATGAAGAAAATTGAAGCAAAGTATTCAGATAATTAGTTCAAATGAGGTAATTTGAAACGACGGTTGGCATATTAAAAGAAGAAGAAGAAGAAGAAGGAGAAGAAGAAGAAAAATCTCTTTTTCTGCTATCGATGGAAACCATTTTATTGGTTGTTCAATGTTGCCAATGATTCTTTCCTTCTTAGCTGTCTGCCTGTCTTCATATGAGATCTTCATTTGGCAAACAACATTATCATTTATTTTCGTCCGATAGGTTTATTCAAAGAACACTATGCCGATGCCATTAGGAAAAATTCAAGCAGTTCAAGATGAAATTGAAAGATTTCATGATGATGAAGATAATGATTATCGAAATATTCGTTTAAAAATTACAACTGATGAACAAGATTTTTCTTTTCTTAACAAACCAACACATACCAAACGTTCGGTTCATTATGATATTGCACCCATATTTGATCATGAATATCAGCCATTAAGATCTACTTATGAAATCGAACAAGCTTCAATCGATAATGTTCTTCGTCGACGATATATTGCACATTGGGGCTTGCCAGGTAATGCAAAAAAAGCAATTACTCTAATCGGACACTTATATCTATGAGATGAGCAAATTGTTTTCTTTTTCTTCTTTCAATTAAAATAGAGTGGCTTGGTGATAATCAGTTTTTACTACAAAAACATCGACCACCCGCTAATTCTGTAAGCGAATGTCTGATATCAATCGCATCAATACATAGTGAAACAGTTAATATTTGGACACATTTAATTGGTGCACTCTGTGTTTGTGTAACATATATACTTTTTCTTATTGATAACTATCATCAAATGGATTTAAGTGATTTGATATCATTTAGTTTTTTCTTTATATCAGCTATATTATGTTTAACATTTTCAACTTTACTACACATATTTATTAATTATTCACCAAGTGTTTTAGTTATCGCTTCGAAACTTGATTATCTAGGTAGGCTAACAAGAAGAATACGTGTATTATAATATTTTTATGAGTGGGTTTAGGCTATCGAAAGCTTTGGATTGAATATTTCTACTAGATAGGCCTTTTGTTTCGAATAAATCCATTGAAATGATTCGCGCGTATGCTAGATAGGTTGTATAGTCTTGCACACTATCCGATGGGTGAAAATCAACGCAAGACATCTATCAAACTCTTGTGTATATCGATTCGAAATTATCTTGAGAAAGCGGCAAAAATACTAAAAGGTCTTTTCGTTTCTATAGGAATAAATATTTTAATATTTGGTTCAATGGTTCCTGTTATTCATTACTTGTTTTATTGTTCTTTTCAATTAAAAGCTATCTACATTAGTGTACTATTCGTGCTTTCAATTGTATCAATGATTGGTACAAGCAGTGCTGCATGTTCAAAGCCACGTTATCGTCCATTTAAAGCTATTTTATTTATTGGTCTTGGTCTTTATGGTATACTAAATAAAATTGACTTTAACTGTTGAAACACTTTTATCTCATTTTTTTTTGTTTATAAGGTGTAGCTCCAGCAACTCATGCTTGCATTCTTCATGGTTTATCGCGCATGTTTGAAATGGGTTTCTTATATTTATGCATTATGGCTGTGATATATATTGCCGGTGGTGTTGTTTATGCAATTCGAATACCGGAACGATGTTTTCCTGGTAAGAAGAAAAAACAAGAGAAAGAATTATTAATGTTTTGATTTTTTTTCATATTTTATAATAACAGGTCGCTTTGATATAGTTGGCCATAGCCATCAAATTTTGCATATTGCTGTTATTGCTGCTGTTTATTTACATTTTTATGGTATCTGTTGTTTATTTCATAATGTAATTCAGACAGAACAATGTATTATACCAACCGTATTAAAACTTGGTATCACTGATTTGTCCGTTTCTTCTTGAGAATTTTTCTATTACATAAAAGATAATATTCTTGTGATTCTATTTTATTATCTAGTTGACAGCTTCTTCTCTCTGTCTTTCAATATCTTTCATTTGTATGACTATTTGCAATTTGATGAAGTGAAAATATTCAATAAAACACGTTTTTATGATGACTATATCACCAGTTATGGATTATCGGCATAATAATGCTGTGGAAGATCATACAGACATGCAATCGATGTTGTTATTAATGCATATAAACAAAGTCTTTGATGAACGAACTTTTTGGCCTGATTACATATATTTTTTGTTTAGAAAAGAAAAAAAGTAGGCCAAAACATTCACTTTGACCGTTCTCACATCTATCCCTTTTTTTTCTCACATCCATACATGTAGATAGACAAAAGACATAAATGAAATAGACGTCATGAAACAAAAATGACTTCAAATACATAGATTACTTATAAGAAGGAGAAAAATAATCGGACATGGTGGCACAGTATCCAAAGAACATACCAAGAGATGGAAAGAAAAACGCGAGAAATAAACTTTTCAATAGGACTAAAAAAGAACCCCGATAATGTGTATCTATTGTTTGTTTCGTTTGATAAACTGAGATTCGGTTGTTTTGATGGAATTTTAATTTTGTGCTTTTATCAGTACGCCAGGCGCTCGTTCGCTTCGAACGCTAGTGAATCCTTTTGATTTCTCATCAGCATTTCGTGGCTGTCGGATAATAACTAATTTTTGTCGTGTATTTTCATCGAAATTAATCGATTTAAGTTTTGTAATTAATCGATCGGGTCGTTGAAGATTACTTAAAGAAGAAAAACAAGATTAAAATATTATATAAAATTCTGCAATGGTCAAAACTTACTTAACACGACGTAATCGACTAGCACATGGTTTACCACTTTTCAGGTTATATTGAGCATAAAATTCAACTTCATCACCGGCTCGTAAATCAATTCCGGATTCAATTTCGGAATTATGAAAAAAGATTTTTTTATTTTCTTCACATGCAAAATCAATAAAACCAAACTAAAAATCAGAGAAAACTTTCGTTTTACTTTGCTCTTGAGAAAAAAACTTGATATTACCTGTCCTTTAACTGTATCAACTTTTCCTTTACGCGTTTCATTTTCTAAAATAATATTCACAGCACGTCTTGAATAGTCCAGTCCAACAGCAACCGAAAATGTTACTGAATCATTCGGTAATAAAATAACACGTTTGTTTTTAACCCCTGTGATACTAAATGTGAAGCATTCACCTGGTATACCATCATCAGCTATCTTTTGGATTCGGCCAAATACTTCACATTCATCATTGGATATCATTCGAACTGGAGTTACAACACGACCACAATGTATTGTTGGAAGAATCGACTGTTGTATAGAAATATCTTTCTTGATACAGCATTATAATACAAAACTTTACTTACATAGAAATTATTAATAGTTGATGATACTTTGAGAATATTTTCCGCTACTAGACGGCTAGATATTTTTCTTAAGCTGAATTCAACTTCATCACCTAATTCTACTTGTATATTGTCACCCGTAAATGAACTCATGGAAAATGCAACTGGTTCAATACTGCCCATTGTAGTACCTTGTTCAATAAAGCCTTTTCCTTCACGAAGAATTGCAATCCAACCATGAACACGATTTCGTTCGATTAATGCTACATTCAAAGCTAATTTACTACCCGGTGTTATATTGAATTCCACCTAAATATTCAAATAAGCGCATTCAATTTTTTGCTTTCAAATACTTTTCATAGTAGTCAATGTCGATTACAAATCATTAATCAAATTATGATACTCTTGTTAATCTAGCATTGAAGTATTTACTTTATCTCCATAATATAGTGCTGATGTATTGCTGAGATTAGTTGATAAATATTGTATGGTAGATTCATTACTCTGATGTACATATCGAATCAGGCCTGGTTCTTGTTGACGATTGTTAATAGACGATGAAACTGTATCATTACCATTGGTTTGTTTAGTTTCAGAGGCTTCATTGGAACGACCATTTCGTTCTAATCGTGCATCATTGGCATCACGTTCAACAATACCCATTAATCTTAATTCGTGACCATTGATATTCGTTAGACTATCTTTTGCTATTAATTTAATTCGAATAGCTTGTGGTAAATCCTTTATATCAATGAATATAGACAAACAATTAAAAATTAAAAAACAATCAATTAAACAAACCCCGTTAATTATATTCGATGCTAATGTAAATTCCAATAGGTCACCTTCTGTTATTTGGAAATTATCTTTCATAACTTCACTAAATCGAAATGACACAATCTGATCTGATGATAAATATTTAATCTGACCACCTATTGTAGTATCTAATTTGATCACAATACCCTAAAAGTATAGAAATTAGATAAATTTTTTACAAAATAAAAACACGCAAAATCTTTTACTATCTGTCGTTGTTCTTTTGATTTAAGAAAACTTTGATCAAGTAACGATATCTGTGTAGCACGCATCATACCATCACGTTTATCTTTTGCAATAACAAATTGTACAATATCACTATCAAGCAATGTATATAAACCGCAACGATCACGGTCACCAAATGGTAATTCTGACATTTTTCTATTTGTTCAGTATTAAAATAAAATAAAATAGAAATAAAAAATAAATTTTTACTTTTCTAATGCATCGTAAATTAAACGACCAGCTAATGCGTTCTCTGATTTTTTTAATTTATTTTGTAAGGGTTGTAATATACGACCAATATGAGGTGTTTTATCAATTTCATCGAATTCAACTGTACCTTTTGGTAATATAATTATATTACTAGCGACTTCTTTATTCTAAATAAAAGAAAAATTCATTTAATTCAAATTTCTAATTTCGCGACTTCTCACTCCAACTATATATTTAGACATGTAGCAAGTACTTCGTGCTGTACACAATAATGAATGGCGCAAAACAATTAATTATATCAAATAGATTTCCGAGAAACTCAAATATAGTAGCTTGTAGCAACTATCAGACTCTATGGAGATTGATTTTCGATTCAAATGCCTTCAGAAATAATCGCTAACATAACACATACATGTCGATCTTGAATATCAAATTCCACTTCTACACCTGGTTGAATCATAGTTGCAGTAGCAGTAGGTCCGAACTCGGTGATATGAAAAAATATCTCTTTAAGTGCATCTTCACGTTCAATAAAACCAAAGCTATCCTTCATGGTTGATATAACACCACGATAACGTTTTATAGTTGATGACGTCGATGGAATCGGTTGATCGAGAAGTACAACATTTCGTGCAAAAAATTGATTGGTACGACGATCTTGGCCAACATTAAATGAAACCTTGATGAGAAAAGAAAAGCCTACAGTGATGATAAATTTTATTTGAAATACTTACTCGATCACCAACTTTTACTTGAACAGTTGAATCTTGCAGATCAGTGAGACCGTACGGTAAAAAATAAGTTTCACCTTTTTTTACATAAGTTACTTTTCCATCAGGGATAAAATCAAATGGTGGAAACTACAAAAAAAGAAGAAATAAATGCAAGACAACAGAAACAAAAATAGTTACCTCATTTTGTACTTGTTGTAGTCGGGCAACTACTGCAATAGTGCCTTCTACGCGATTTTCACCTACTATTTCTGAACTAGCAGGTATAATATTAACAGCAACTGGCTTTTTCTTTCGTTTATCAATGGTTGTTTCAAATTCGACTACATCTATTATTTTTTATTTAAATTAGTTTTAATCATTTTGCTCATCGATATTCTTTACCTCCTATTTTAGCTTGTTGGATATCATTTTTATATTCACTAAAGTGAAAAAAATAGCGGCCATCACGATGACAACAATACACAAAACCATATGTTGAACAAAGCTTTTCAATAATGCCCAATTCTCGCTGGACTTTCATCAGAATCATATCGTCACTTGTATTTATAGTATTCATCGATGTTGTTAACAATTTACTATTTGATCCTCGTTGATAATGATCTAATTGATTGAATTAAAGCAAAATAACTGTTTTCTTTTTCTCTTCGGATCCTTTTTTTTGCTTACCATGATGATGATATAATTTAGTTGGTACCGATGTCATTGTAACAAGAGAAAGAGAAAAACGATGAAAGATAAAATCAAACGAATATAAACAAGAAAGTGAGAAATAAAACAGAAAAAAAAGGAAAATAAACTACGACTATACAAATCTAAAATAGTCAATACATAATTAATCGATTGATAAGAAAAATTTTCAATAGAACTTTTTATCTGTAAAACAAACCTTTATATACTCACTACGAAGGCAAAAGAAAGCTAGAGGAACAATTAATATATCAGCTGCTATCGTTAAGTTCTAAGTAATTTAATTGGTTATTAGAAATTGACTAATTAAAAATAAATATAAAAATCTGCTTTTTTAATGTTACTTGGAGTTTAAATATTGCTTTGAAAAACTATTTTAACACTAATGTTTATTAAGAAATTCTATTTTCTTTTGTAATGCATGTATATTATTACACAATATAAAAAAAACATGTGAAAGATGTCTCTAATTCTCATCTATGATGATATATGTACCACTATAGCCAGCATTTCTAATAGAAATCTAAAACAAAATCTAAAACTGCATAGCATTTTTGCAAGCTAAGTGCAAAATGATACTTTGTTTTTTCAAACGAAGTATCATAAAGTATCCAAGGTATAGATTGCTCCGGTTAGACTGTCATTGTTGTTATTACGATTCGTAAAAACAACAATTGATATGCATATAGATAAATGTTTTAACGCATAATATGATATGTCCAAAGATGTCGGAGCATGAAATACAATAGATCTCTATTAATAAAAAAATTGAGGATTTCGAAGTTTCCATAGAATGAAAAGCAAAGTGCAAATTTTCTTCAGCAGGTATCTGCTCGATACTTTGTTTTTATGACCAAAGTGTAAAACAGAGTATCAAATCGATTGAGTAAGTATCATGAATACTGTGTCACAAAGGCTGATACCTGTTGTTAGAAACGCTGCCACTAGCGATGTAAGCCGAGCAGCTGAGTCGCCGTCGTCATATAAGCAGAAATACTAAATTTTTGAATATTTTCGATACTCAGAAACAATATTTTGGATTCTTCTGATCTAACTGTTAATAAGAACGTTCTATATTATCATTTTTCCCTTTTTTGTTGCATAATTCTCAACATTACGAAACTTGTTAAAAATAGCATCTAAACATTTTAAGCCGCCGCCGGTGAACCAAAACAATTTTTATTTTCGAGGCGTCTCCGCCAACCGCGGCGTCGGCTTACACCTTTATGTACCACACCCAGGGGAGTGGTATTAAGTAGTGTACAAATAATTAAACAGAATTTAGTCGTTTAATTTATTCACATGAGTAACTATTTAGTGAAGCTCCTCAGTGAAAAATATTCGCTGATTTCAATCAAATTATTTTGCAACAAAACCCAATCCGTAATCAGATTGATAATTTTGATTATAATCGATCGTCATTTAACCCAAACTTGATGTTATTGCTAGTCCACTGGAAATTAGTTTAATTGAAATCGGATTGTTTTCCAGTAAAATTCGCATTGCCAATCGATTGATAATTTGAATTGCGCTACAGAACAATCCGGATTTCAATTAAACTAATTTTCAGTGAACTAGCAATAACATCAAGTTTGGGTTAAATGACGATCGATTATAATCAAAATTATCAATCCGATTACGGATTGGGTATTGTTGCAAAATAATTCGACTGAAATCAGCGAATATTTTTCACTGGGTCGTCACAGTAATATGAATTTTCATCACGAGTACATATATCTACCGTATAGAAAATACGAGTATTTGTAATATACCGATATTACAACACAACCAACACAGCTCGAAATTCATGTGAACAATATTTACATATAATTCGCCTATTTGTTCCTACTAGGCAGATTCCAATACAACTTAAGGGTGTAGTCACTTGGAAATAATGAGGTCTTGCACGATTAAAAAGTACACAAAAACCAAACGGCAACGTGATTAGACAATCACATGTTCCGTTCTTTTCCATTTCTAGGAAGTAAAATAAAAATTCAACGAATCGAACTTCTGTGGATTCAGCGTGACCGAAGCATTGGGATCAATAATGACGACATGGCGTTGATGTCTGATGTCACAAGGAAGAAGATTTTCATACTTCTCAATATAAAAAGTATAGAAGTAACCCATTCTGCCATCCATTTATTTCAAATTACAACAATTGTACAGTTATTTGAATAGAAAATATTAGTTATGGCTATGATCCAAGCAAATCGCATAGGTATCAAAGACGTAGGATCTACAGCAAACGTACCAAACAATGATATTGCAAAATTGATGTATTACTTCAAGTGTGTATGTGGAGCAATTGAATGCAATATGACTCCACAGATGAATCGTTTGAGTAGCTATAACAGTTGGAGATATTTATCTGCTGATGAAATTCGACAACTAATCGCTCTGTGTTATGTATTTAGTCCAGATGTCTTTGAAGATAAAGTTTTTTTCAATAATCCAGCGTTGTGCGGAAACTCTTCGAATAAATTCTATGAAATCAGTCAAGTTCGTAATCAACTTCTTGCCGTTTCGTCTATTGTAATTAGTGGTCAAAGTCGACGAGTGAACAAAATCATGGTCTACAAAAGGACGTGGATGACGGAATACTTTGCTAATCCGATGTTACGTCTTGTTCAACGTTATTCTGCGTAATTCTACTACTGAACAAACTTAACATTTCAATTTCTCATTATTTAAACTTGAACTTTTTTGATAAAATAAATCATTGTTCATTGCTTCTATGATATAAATAAGAGAAGAAATACTCCGAATTATTTGATGTTTTTGTATTTGCGAATTCATTTTTCTTCTACTTACTCCGATAAAAACATCGTGCATTACGTTGTAAAAATTCTTTTACTCCTTTAGTTGGAATGTTGTTTTTACTCAGTTAATGTTTCAATAAGATCGAAAGTCTCATAAAAACAGAAAAGAAAGTAAAAATTCAGTTTGTCATTCATTCCGAAAAGTAGAACGTAAAATGATTGAATGTGGGTGTGGGCGTGACTGAGGCTGTGGAAGTACAAGAATTCAATGCTTACCTTCGCTTTCCTTCCACTTTCATTCAGCTGAAGCAAATTGAACGATAAGATCGTTCTAAATAAAATGGTAAAGTGTCTGTAATTTCATATTTAAAGCAAATGGACGCAAAAAAGAAGAAGTCAGAAATACAAAAAACATCCTTTGAAAGAGCGTTTCAAGTTCTACAAAATGGCATATTCGTTATATTTTTGTCCTCGCTTTTCATATTTAGAAAATATCGTTATTGTCGCATGTCCGCTTGTAAAATGTGACTTTTTCACAGTGTAAGATCTGCAAGTTTTTGGTAGTATGAGCTAGAAGGCTGACATTTGGTGTGGCAGTGGGGCGCAGACAGCGTAATAACAATACAAAAAAATTATTAAAATCGGTGGAATAGATCAAGAGTTATTACGCAAATACAGCTAAAAGCATAATCGTACCAAAAAGTTGCAATTCACTCATATAATTCAATAGATCATAGAGTCAGTAACAAATGTAACACCATCATTATCACCAATCACTTCAATGGTATCTGCGAACAGTAATAATCTTGTTTTACCACCAACATCATCCAACTCATCATTGAGTATATCATTTGATTCTGAAAGAAATGAAAATGAAAATATTCCATTCGTCATGTCTGACTCATTAACAACATCTGAACTTCCAGTACGACGTACTTATGTTATTTTGACTGAACTTGATGAACCATTTTTTGATCCTTATCCGATTGAATTTACCATATCCATTAGAATAACGATGCTTTTTTCTGCTCTCGTTTTTCATACAGTATGAACTTTCTCTTTATTCTTTTTTTTTGTATCAAACGCACTAGAATTCGATTTTCCTGGTTACTTAGCCGATTTTGTAATTCTCTCGTTAGATTTTATTATTCTTTTTTATCTGATTTTCTCTTGCATTGTCTATATTTTTTGATATCTTCGGTGATGATAAAAATCGAGTGTATTTCGTACAGGATCTCTCTATATCTTTCCCATTTTGAAACTTTTTTCTTGGCTTGTTGATATTATTTTCCAGCTGATCTTTTTTCTATGATGAACACCAACAATAGTATTTGCTTGGAATTTATTATCATTCATTGCTTTATATATCATAATAAAGTAGAATATGATCAAAGAAACTTCAATAGATTCTTAGGAAATATTTTATAGTTATTGAAAATACTCATATGATTATTTGTGATATTTTGAAAACTATCGACTTTGTTTCTAATTATAAATTAAGGTTTAAGATCTTTTCTGTTTCAAATTTTTTTTCAATGAATTTTCTACAGATTTATTTGATTGTGTATTTACTTCTTACACACTTCGTTGTCTGTTTTTTTTATTCTTCTTTCTATATTCGATTTCAGTCAAATACACGAAAACTTTTAAACTGTTTTTATGTCTATTTTAAAACGTTTTTTATTTACCTTCGATACTGTCGAGTCCAGGTAAAATAGATAAATATTTATTATCTTGTATTCATACCAGCAACACCAGATAGTAACGGTGAAAAAAGATTTATTTATCAAATGTTAGAATCATAAATATTATATTTCGAACAATGTTTTCTTTGGATGATATAAAACCAAATAAAAAAACTAAATTTAATTAGTTTTGATGTAAATAATAATTATTCAAAAGAATAATGTTCGTATTATCAAAATCTGTTACCATTGTTTCTGCTTTATTAATTGTAATTTACTTGGAAAATATTGTCGTTCAAACACAATCTCTAACTGGAAACGGTAAGTTTGACTTCGGTCCAAATCAATTGGCATCAAATGTTTGGTATAAACCAAAAGGACAATTAATCAATGGTCATTATGAAAATAGTTATTCAAATTTTAGTTTATGGCCTAATTTAGAATTACATTTACGAAATAATAATGGTTCAATACTAATTCAAGCTTCTGAAATTGGATTTATGAAAAACGAAGCATTAATGGCTTTTCGTAATAGTAATATTCCTGTCGTTGCAGTTCTACCTGGTTTTACTCAATGTTATGATGGTAATGTTTTAGCATTATTAGAACTTTATGGTCAATCGCCAAAAGAAAATTTATTTTGCACAATATTTAATATTTGTAATTCAACAGAGAGACAGAATCCAAATGGAAAAGGATGGTTTGTTACTCAAGATAATTTTTCGTATACTCCTGATTTATTAAACTTTGATGAAAGAATGCCAAATTTAATTCCTTATCTTGATTATAATAAATTAATGAATACATCGATAAATCCTCCGCAGTGGTTATATTCGAATCTTTCTTGGGCAGATCGAAAAATGAAAGCACGTATTGACGTTTGTCCTCAAGCTGGTTCAGATCGTATTAAGAATCTTATGAATGATTATATTAAATATGTATCTGTTGTAAATGAGAAATTTAATTCTACAAAAATTCCTCGAATACAAATCAATTGGAATGTTATTGCAGGTTGGGAATGGAGAGATGAACATTGTTTAGATTTGTTATATGAAAAATTCAATAATGCTACCGATTTTGATTATGCGTATCGTTATGTTACTAATCCTTGCCATCAGGATGTTCAACATTTGAACGATTTAAGTGAACTACTTTGTTCAGTAGGAAGCTGTCCTGAAGTTGTTTTTATGGATATCGATCTAACTTATATTACATCATATTCATTAGAAGTTCTTCATATGAATAAACAAATTTTAAAAACATTGAATATTCCATTTGGCATTAGTTTAGTTGATCAATGCGCAGAAATCGACAATTGCATTGTAGAAATTGTTTCATCGGAGAATCCAAAAGTTATTTTAAATCTTGATGCTAAATCCAAATATCCTAATTTGAATCGAAATCAAATGCAAGAATTTAGTTTACTAAATGTTTTAAATTTCTTAATCAATCAAAGTATCGTTGATGATGATACACATATTGCAATTACAAGTTGGACTACATGGCCTATTGAAATCGGCCAAGAAATAGTTGAATCAAAATCAGGCTCTATGGCACATACTGCAAATCAAATTTTTGAGAAAATATTAATTCCTAATTCATTTGCAAGATAGATGCAGGTATGTAGTGCTTTACAAAAAACAAAAATCTATTTTGTTTTATATTCATCGTTTCAAAATAAATATTGTCAAGATGTTTAAAATCAATGAATGCGATGACATTGATAAATATTTCGTAAATATATATTAGTACAAATACAATCATTTGAAAATAGCATTAATCAGTGTTAAATCAAGGCAACATCATTTTCTAGTAGAAAAATGAATATTCTTATATAAGTGATCAATTGAGAATTATCGGCATGAAATATGCGTTGGAAAATTTGTATTTGTTTTTCAAATGTACTATGTAGAAAAAGAAGAAAACTTCCATTTATAATTAAGCACATATGAAATATGAATTTAATTGATTTAGAACATGATACTATCTTTTTTTGTCATTCTTGATAAATCTTTAACTAAATAAATAGTTTTTTTTTGCAAAATACTGTTATAAAATCAAAGGAAAATCTTCCAGTTCAATTGATCACTACTGAACACGAGTAAAATGATGTTATGTTGTTCGATTTATTTGTCAAATTTCTAATACAATTTAAATATTATCATAATGATTCATTTATTACGAAAAAAAAGTATTCGAAGAAACATCAAATTTTCAACAAGGTCTCTGTGTTGAAGTAAAAACAAACTAGATGATGAATTTTGTAGGTCATCCTCAAGAAGTTACCTTGAAAAGTGTTTTATTTCTAGGATAGACTACAAGAATTTTTCTTCTCTTCCTTGACTTCCAAAAGTAAAATAAAAAGAAAATTTAGTTCACTATCAGATGGGACCATAGCACCGCATAAGTCTTGAATTTTTTCAGTTTTTAACTCCAATAAATATTGTTTAACTCGATCACAATATTCTGTCGGATCTTCATTGTTAGCCGTACGTTTCATAAACTTATGATTAGGATGTTGATCAAAAAATGAATTCGGTATTGATAATGGTTCTCGTCGTCTAAAATAAGTTGATTCTTCATTAGTTGATCAATCTCTCTCGACAATTGCACACTTAATTAAATTGTGTATTTTAAAATGCAGGACTTATTTTATTTCCGATATCGTCTACACGTGATTCTTTTAAAGGATTGATCTCATCTTGACGTATAAGTTGAATAGAACATGCGTCTAATTTTTTTGTATCACGAAGAGCCAATCTTTGTTGAACAGACAAATGTTGTGTACGATTATTTGCTATAATAATTGTATCGAGTTTTGAACATAAGCCAATTTTATCGTTGTCTGTTAAATTCATAATAAAATCTCGTTTCCTAACAGTTATTTTTCTTGCAAGTAATTCAGGTATGCAAGGAAAACGTACGCATAAATTATATAACTCGTCTAACTTGTTTTGTATTCGTTTTTGAGAAATTGACGTGAAAATATTTGATATGGTTTGTAAAATAGTTTTCGCTTCAGGAACTAAATCATCTATATTTTGAAAATTTTTACTTAAATCAGGTGATCGAATAGCAAATATATCAGCATCAGCTATAACTGCTGATAAGAATAGACTTTGAAGACCTCGCTGAACTTGTGTAAAATATTTCATTAATTTTTCATTCCTTAATAAATCATAATCCCGTTCAAGCCTTTCAATATCACATGGAACATGAATAGCAGTTGTAATAGACATAGGATTCGACGATTTTGTTATAGATGATTCGAGTTGTTGTTCAAATAAATCAAAAGTTATAGTTAACCAACGTTTTCCTAATGTTGGATCTTTAAATATTTCAATTTTAGTCATCAAAGTATCATGAATAATTTTCCATGGTTCTGATTTAAGAAAACGCAAAAATTGTTCAACATTTGATAGATGCTCATGAAAATAATTTTCAATATTTTGATATGTACGAGAATGATCTCGTATTCTTAAAATAGATACCGATTCTTCATTGGAAATATTTTTATAAAAATTTGCAGTTATATCTTGCTTTTCTCCACGTAAAACTTCAATATCTTCGCATAAAAATAAGACTGAAATGATTCATATTTTATTTCGTTTGCATCCGAAAGATTTAATAGAAGATCTTTGATTTCAATTAATCGTCCGTGTGCATCGCGACCTTCATCGACAATTTTTTGTAAACATGTTTCTAACGATATTTTATAAGCATTTGGATGAAAATTTGTTGATGAATCTAATTTCATTTCTGAACAATTTTCTTGATATATACGACACAAATATGTCACAAAATCGGCGGTGTGGATGTGGGTGTGCTCTTGATGTGTACACCCTACGTGACACCGACACCATCGTAGACCCCGATTCCCTATGGCAGACCCTGATTCTCCGTGGTAGTCCCCATAAGAGCTGTACTGGTTATTGTTCAACACAGAATTACTTTGGAATCGACTAATCTGAATTACTTGTAATTCATTTGCGTCATCCAGTGTTTATTTGTATTGGGCAAAAGTATTTCAGTACGTATTAAGAGAGAATGAATCAGTCACAAAAAAACAGGATATAAAATACGCACAAACTTCTGTATCATTATTTTGTTATCTATTATTCAAACGAATACTAAGAACACCTAGAAACATCTTAGATCTTCTCAATCATTTATATTTTCCATATGAGTGTTTTTGATCATAGGTTATCAAATAATATCATTGATTTCGAAATACAAGTATGAAATTCTTTAAATAGAAATAAGGTACTAATTATTCTTGAGTTCGTTGACTTCGACTAAATAAGCATTGATATGACATAGAAAAAGAACAATTTGAAATAAGGTACCAAGCATTATCAACAAATCAATAACCTCAGCCTATATGTTTGACATAGGGTGAAGATGATTTTCTCCAGTATGTTTAAAGAGCAGGATTATAGACATAGATATCTTGTCTTTATTTATTTATTCTTTTATCATTTATATTTTTATTTAATATTGACATGATGCCATCATCATTAAAATTCATTTTATTTTATTTACTTTTGTTTTCATTTTTCGTGCATCATAGTGATACGTAGAATGATAAGACAGGATATATACGGTATGTCACTAAATATTATTGCTCATTCTTTGTTTACTGTTTAGAAATATGCGGCTATGAATGATGTTCTGCTTCAGCAATTTGATATTATGTTCGATCATACATAAGCCACCATCATTGCTTACGTCACTCATGCTTTCATTTAAACGTCCTTTTTTGCGCCTGTTATTTTTATTTACAGTAATAAATTGGTTATATTGGTTTTCATTATGCTGTTTACTATTTTAGTCATAATTGTACTGATTTGTTGATGTGAATTGCCTTTTGAAATATAGCTTTTGTTTAAACTAGTGTGATTTGTTATATTGTTTCGGTTAGTTATCAACTTTTCGAGTGTGAATTTCAGTTTGATATTTTTTTCAATGGATTTGTCTCCATTCGAATCAAAAGTACGATCTTTTTTCTGCTGTCATCTTTCTATATGGACTATATCTATAATCAGATATTTGTTTTATTCAATATTTATATTTTACATGCAGTAATAAACTTAATTTTAATGATACACGATGTACTATATAATAAGAAACTTAAAAACAGCAGGGATGAAAGAGGACACGTCTGACTGCTGACGTCTAATAGTTGAAAGTAATTTTTCTTATTCTCCTAACAATCGTTTTAGTATCTCATCGCCCAGTTCTTAATTTGTATCATAATTATAATTCTCCCCATGATTTAATAGTATAATTTGGTATTTTCAATACGAGTCTTACATGCATATATTTTTCACGTCTCTTGATAATGGTAATTTAATCTAATCGAAACGTCGAAAATAAATATATTTTTATTTAATCTGAATAATTAATAATGCTTTACAAAATCACGTTATTTATATTGATTTGTCTCTTAAGTAGATATTAGCATATGTCATTGTTTGTTTATTGGAAACATAATTACGCAGCTTTAATTCTTTACTTTTGAGGGTATTAGGTACAAACCAATCAAAATAACCACCTAATATAGTATCCGAGTAGTTTGTACGTTAGTCATATCATTATGCTTCTTACATAAATATATTCGTCAATAATATAATGTCTTGCATTTTTAGAATTCCGCCTAACATTTTCCTGACAAAGAAAGCCTATTTCATGACGCGATCTATACACATATCACAGAATCACGCCCTGAAGTGAATGCTACTGCTTCGTGAGCATCACACACATATCATTTATTTTTCGTGCGTAAACAAACTTCGTATTTTACTTTGCATAACCGTGTGAACTGTTTATGGTTGACTGACTTGTATGTGATTATAAATGCATTTATCCAACGAATATTTACTCATTTATTTTCATTCTAGTGGAGTGTATATACTCATTGAAGAGGATCAGCTCACATATTTGTGGCATTTTTTATCTTGATTGTCATGCGCGTGAGTTTCGTTGTTCGACATTTTCTATCCGTTCATCAGCGATTGATACTGCTCTCTAGAGGGTGTGAGTGTGGGTGTGGGTGTGGGTGAGAGTCTGGGTGTGGGTCTGGGCGTGGAGCTGGGCGTGGAGCTGGGCGTGGAGCTGGGTGCATCTTTCCAGTTACATTCGCACCCACACCGGCACAGTAGATTGGAAAGAAAATGTATTTGATCATATATCAACCGGAACCAGTCTTTTTCTTTCTAGGACATTTAGATAGTCACAACAATTGTTCTCATCGAAAAGAATTCGATTTAACTGACAGTCATGTCGGTATTTAAATTAAAACGCATTCCAACAACGGCAAGTCGAATAGATATATTGCCAGATGAATCGAGTTGGCCAGAGACAACTTCGGCACAGACGGCTTCAACGAAAAGTAAATTCAACGTTCGAAAGCCCAGTCTTGGCGGTGCTCGTCGGCCAAACAACACCACCACCACAGACAATGGTTACAGTAGCGCCGTTCGTCGTAGCACTATTGCTTGGGGGACTATGTCTCAAACGCTGAATCTTCAAGTTGAACAATATAGACGTTCGTCCGAATTAGCTGCTGCCCGCCCTAGATCAAATAGGGTAATTAAAGAACGACATGATCACATTACCACGGTGTTTGAGGATGCAAAAGATTCTGACGAGGAGGCATCGATAATTGTCCCAAGGAAGCCATCGTATCATCGCGCAAGTACAGCAGGTTCAATAGCCGAATTTGAAGAAGGGATAACGGGAGATGTATCATTGCTAAGAACGGACGTACACATCGTTCCGATAGCGACCCTTGTCGAACGATTTCATGCAAACTTGCAAAATGGTTTGAGTGATGCTATAGTCACAGAACATCGTGCTCAATACGGGAAGAACACATTAACACCACCGCCAAAACCGAGTTATCTCTGGATGCTTCTCAGACAGATGCTTGTCGGTTTAATGGAATTTTATGGGTCGCTACTTTATTCGCTTTTCTAAGCTATGTAAGTCTTGCCTTAAGGAAGACGACCGATTAATTTTATTTTTCTAGGGACCATTCGGTGATCCCACTCCGGACAAAACTAATTTGGGTTTAGGAATTGTTCTCATCCTGGTTATCGTTTCGAATGCTCTATTCAATTTCTATCAAGAAATAAAATCACTCAAGATAGTTGCCTCATTTTCACACATGCAACCAACTATTACAATAGTGAAACGAAACGGTTTAGAAATGCAAATTAATGCCGAAGAACTTGTACCTGGAGACATTGTTCGCATGCGTATGGGCGAGAAAGTCCCAGCGGATTGTCGACTCATCACATGCGATGGTCTTCAGATGAATTCGTCGGAATTAACCGGAGAATCGGAACCAGTTCAGTGTGGTGTTAAATGTACAAGCCTCAATTTCATGGAATCAACCAATTTGGTTTTCTATTCTTCACTCATTGTACAAGGCAGCGCTGAGGCAATTGTCGTCAATATAGGTGATGATACCGTACTTGGACAAGTGGGAGAATTGACACGAGGCACTGGCGGTGCTGAAATAACAGGACTACATCGCGAAATCAATCGTTTTGTAATGTTCGTTATAAGCGCTGCACTCACATCGGTTGTTCTCATTTGGATAACATGGGCAGCGTGGCTCAATGTCGCACAGAAACGATATATCACTCTCAATGGTCAGTATGAAATGAAAGCAAAGTAATAAGTTCTAAGACTGTCTCAAACGGGAGAGAGGCCCAAATCCCACTAACTTCAAGTATTTTGTTCAGGGAAGCTGAAAACTTTCCTTTAGCCGATCTCAACAAAACAAAAAATTGGATGAGATTTCTTCTAATCAACGATATTGTGTCTGGATTTTCTTTACCTGAACAGAAAAAGCAGCGTGCGCGTGTGTGAAGTATTACTTCCTTTTGTCTAGATGGCACATTTTTTTCTTTGTATACAGAGTGACAATACACTTAAAAATCAGTTAATAGAGGTAACGTTTTGCACAGTTGTCTCCTTTATCCACTGTGGTCATATGAAATTTCCATATGTCTGTGAAAAAGCTACGCCAACCGAAAATTTATTTCAGCACCAGTATCTATTTTAGATTCAGGTAGACCAATTTAAAATATTGCAAACCTGAAAAATATCTTACACTGAAAATTCTATTTTACAGAAAATCGACCTTAATTAAGATAAAGCACTTTCAAAATTTTATTATTCATACGTCGTGGAATTTTGAATGTTCAGAAAATGTTTGATTTTCCAAATAAAATAATTCCAATCAGTTTGTCTAGAAAAATTGTATTTAAAGAAATTGGAAAAATAACAATAATTTTATAGACAGTTGAAAATCATTTAAACAATGACTACTGTAGAGTCATTGTCCGATCATGCATATAAGTCAGTCGACAGTTGTAGCGAGGTGGTATACTATTTTTTTTCAAAAAACAGAACGACCTAGCCCATTTTGTGAGGGGCCTGCGAAAAATAAATTTTATATCGTTTTACTTTTAAGAGCCAAAAGCTACAGGAATCTTACTCCTTTTGCCCTTTTAGTAATATCAATCTCTTTAGCTCCTTTAATGCCTTTAGTCCTTTTAGTCCTTTTAGTCCATTTAGTTCATTTGGTCCCTTTAGTTCTTGTAATGCCTTTTGCACCTTTAGTGTTAAAGGTACTAAAGGGACTAAAGGTGCTAAAGGCACTACAGTGACTAAAAGAGCTATAGGGAATATAAGGAACTAAAAGAACTAAAGAAGGAAGATTCGTGTAGCTTTTAGAGCTTAAAAGTAAAACGATATAAAATTTATTTTTCGTGGACCTATGCATTTTGTACTGATAAACACGTGATGGTGATTTATTTCTTATGGTTTACAATAGTATTAGAAATAGAATTTTCTGAATGTAAAATATATATTTGTAAACTTTCATATTTTACAAACTATATTTGGGGTGTTACGTAATATTTTTATATTCAAAATTGAGCATCGTATTTTGAGTCTTTTTTCAGATTACAGTTTTTAAATCGTTAAATTTTTTTCTCATCATTGGGCCCTAAAGGGGTATTTTCTAGAAAAGTCCGCATGAATCCATGCACTTTCGATTTTCTATTTAGAAAATAGAATTTTTTATACCTACCTTCTAGAATGTCGTATTATTGAAAAAGTAGAAATTTGTCGATGACTTCGTGTGGACTTTCCTACAATATATTTTAGTTTACAGTGTATATTGTAAAAGAACCTCCATAAATATAATATGTCAACTTAACAAATAGGAAAAATCTGTTATCAGACGTCACTGTTTTTATTATTTCATAAATTAATCGCAAAACTGCACATCTCGCTGTGATTTCTAAGTCGAGGTTTTCAGTATTTTCGGTAATGAGGCGAAAAGTACCCATAGACAAAATACCAAGATTGCTATATTACTGTCGATACGAAATAGTAGATATCAAGAACTTGTTATTGACAACAGATCAGAATCTTGCGCTGTTTTTCGAGCTTTAAATAAGAAGAAGTGTAAACCAATCGTTCAATATTACAACCAGCGACTTGTTGATGTGCGTAGATAATTCACATTTCTAGAATTATAGAGCTGATATTTCTGTGTCAAGCGAGATATTTGCATTCATTATAGTACAAAATTCGTAAAATGTCTTTTAAATAGAGCAATATTCTATTGCTGTCGCGTAAAAACAAACGATACACCTTTTAAACAAAATGCTGAAGACCATTGTCATCATTTTTCTGCTCTTCGAATTGAACTCAAATTCTTAGATAAAGGTCAGTGAAACAGTCAGATTTTGGCTTGATCTGGTCACACCAATGAAATGATTCTAACTTTATCAGAATCGCTCTGATTTTCATGGCATCTCAGAACAGCTATAGTCTTTTGAATGAATGGAAGTATTTTTCTAGCACTGCCACTGTGAAGTAGGATATATTCCAAGTTAATGTCGAACGTATCCGTTCAATCAGGTGAAAGCTGAGGTCGTTTCATTCATTTTATTCGTAATCAAGACAAATAAAAACCCGGCGTCTTTGCTGATCTTTGTTAAGTAATATTAGTTGAACATAACGAACAGCAGGAGATAATGATATGTGATTTTCGTCATTCGAAAAAAAGACGTACTGACCGTTATCTCTCTGAATCGCACTATCATTCGATAGAGAAAATCAAATTCTGTCAATCAGCCTGTTAGCTTGTTGGGTGGTGCAATGAATCAAAATTGAATTCGGAAGAGTCAATTTGTACGGTTAGAAAAATTTATTAGAAGTAATTTGAATCATTTTTCATAGGGGGCAATATTCAAACAGCTAGTTTTTATCGATTTCTTTAGTGAAAAAATTATTCATGCTTATTTCAAATTGAAAAAAAAACAAGAGCATCATGATTTTCACTAAATATTTTGCCAATATTTTTTTTCTAAAAAAGTGCACTCAAACAGGTATTTTCTATTCACTTCAGTATTTCGACAATCCCATCGATTCTGCGCAAGAGAAATCATTATGGCACAGAAAATATAGTTTCGACATCTACGGTAAAATGGAAAGAATGAGTGTCGTACTGTCTTAAGCGTAGACTATTTTGTGATCCTTATAACAGTGAATTCACAAAATCAGAGGTAGCTCTCTGATTATTCTTGAAAATATTCGAAGTAAATATATTTTTCTCACATAGGCAATATTACCAATTCGATTGGAATGGTCGTCGCCTATATTCCTGAAGGTTTACCAGCCGCTGTCACTCTCGTATTGAGTATTGTGGCCAAGAGAATGTACAAACAAAAAATACTTGTCAAAAGTTTGGCTACCGTCGAAACATTTAACACCGTTCCTGTAAGTATCTGAATGTATCTCAATTTTTGTTTGATCTTTTCTGTTTCTCTGAATAAGATCATCGCTACCGACAAAACTGGTACATTAACCATGAATCAAATGACAATTACAGCAATTTTATGGGGTCGTATGGGTGAATACTTGGTTCCGATTCACGTTAACGAAGATAAAACGGTAGAGACAGAAGAACATGCTACTAATAGTAGTCGACCATCTTTCACTGTTAAAAGCGAATCTAACACAATGAATGGCTTGGTCCTCGGTGCTTGCCTCTGTAATAATGCTACAAAGCAATCGTCTTCGTCTGATAACGAAGATGATTCTGAAAATCCAGCTATGGAGACGAACTATGAGGAGTCCTCAGAACATACCACCAAGTTGGTGGGAGATGCAGCTGACGTTGCACTCTATCGCCTTTGCCAGGACACACTTGCGATCAATATTGAACATGTACGAGTAGTCAATCCACGTATCAATGCTGTGCCGTTCAATTCAAAGAATAAGTTCATGCTGACAGCCAATCTTCTCGAAAAAAACGAAATGAATACTAATGAGAATGTTCTCATTACACTGAAAGGTGCCCCCCGATTTTATTCTATCTCGGTGTTCAACGTATAGAGATGATCAGAGTAATAGTGAGATGCCAATCACCACTGAGTTTAAAGAGTCGATTCAGCGGCGACAAGAAAAACTAGGCAGATCTGGTTATCGAGTCATCGCCATGGTTCAGCAAATAATTAGTAAAGATAAATACGATGCCAACATAAACGAATACAAGAAGGCCAAGAAAGAGGAACGACTGACATCTGACGAGCCCGATCTCAATGGATTGCCACATAACCAGTATTGCTTCATCGGTGAGTGTCAATTTCATTTATTTCTACCAGACATCATGCATCATACTATAGGTATGTTCTCTCTACTTGATCCGGCCCGCCCCGAAGTGCCCGGTGCAGTACTAAAAGCATTTCAGGCACAGATTCGTGTGGCTATGGTCACTGGGGATCATCCAACAACAGCAGCAGCCATCGCAAAAAAGTCAATATTCTCTCACAAGAAATTAGTATCAATGGTGGCATTGATACATTTCGAATTGAACAAGATAATGAAAAAGGCCAAACATTAGCTTATCTCATGCGCAACACAACTATACCCCTCGAAACACATGTTATCGGTGAACTAACTACCAATGTCGAAGCCACGTGTATGAAAACGCTTGATATGAGCGCAAATGTGGCAAACAAAAAGAAGAGGAGGAACATGAAACCGAATATTTGCAAGCGAATACTGAAACGAATTCAATTCTATTTCAAGGATCCTAATGAAGTCAAAATTGCTGAGAAGTTAGAAATAATCCCATACGGAGTCGTCGTGACTGGTGGTGATATTCCTTCGATGGATGTAAGTGATAATAATATACGCACTCTAGTTTATCTTTCTAGTCCTACAGGATTACATGTGGGATTGGGTTTTGTCACACAAAGAGCTTGTCTTTGCACGAACATCGCCCGAACAAAAGCTGCGTATTGTCATGGAGCTATCGAAGAGAGGCGAAGTAGTGGCAGTTACGGGTGATGGAACCAATGATGCACCGGCACTCAAACAAGCCGATCTCGGCGTAGCGATGGCTGCTGGAACTGATGTGGCCAAAGAGGCAGGTGATATGATCTTGCTCGATAACAATTTTTCGTCGATTATAAAAGCTATTGAAACGGGTCGATTGTTAAGCGACAATCTAAAAAAAGTGGCCATCTACCTACTACCAGGAGGTAAGCTATATATGATGTTCAGTTAGTAAAATATATTTCGGTATAATAATTTATTCGGTCTTAAGAGTCTTTCGGATGTCAATGACTCTTATTGCATTACTTGCTTTAGCTTGAATTTTAAATCGATGCCCACGAACCTCGTAAATCGAATGAAACGTAAGAAGCGTGTGTCTTAACATCACTTCGTATCAGATCTCAGAACCATGCCCACCCCCTCCCACATACACACCACACTTGAATTCATTATGGTAATGCAATGCAGAGTGTCTGCATTTCAAAATAAAGCTAAAATTTGAAACGAGTTATCTTATGCCTTATTTGGATTAAGTTCATCAAAAAATAGTGAAAGATATGATTTTTATTATTGTTAACTTAATTTTCAGAGATAAGTAATCAAGAACATCGACACTACAAGAATGCCCACTAAATTCGTAGCTTATCGTTCACTTCATCATTCGAAAATATCTCATTCTGATCCCTTAGGAGAAAATAGATTGAAAATAAAATAAAACATGAGGTGACTAGCTATTAACAGAATATAGCCATAATTGTTATCATGACTGAGAAGTCCCTTCAAAATATACTAAATTTCTGTCAGCGCACAGTTGAGTGCAGTTTTGACTCGGAGCAGCATCGCTGTACTCCTGTAGCATAATCATGAGCGGTAAAAACTTTTATCTGGCACTGGTGTCCTCTCTAAAAAAAATGTCTTTAGATTCATGTAGACTGATAGAGTCATGTTATTAATCACCTGTTTCATTTAACAATTCAATTAAGGCAATAAGAAACTAAGAGTCGCCTAGTCATTTAGGCACAAAGCGAATGGTTTGGACGAGTACCAACATTTTTAACTGGTTGCCAAAATTTTGCCTTTCTTCTTCACATACCATTTTATATAAAAATTATCGTTTTATTTTTTATGGATTCTTCAGACATTAGATGCGCAGCTCTCCAATAAGATACTGCATTCGTCTAAAAATTTGGAAAAATTACATTCCACTCCCATCATCTTACTACACAGCTGATTTACAACAATAAAGTATCTTAAAGATTAATGTCTCTAACAATAAGTTGACCACTATGTTATGTTTTACCCCTAATAAAAAGAAATATTAAACTATTGAACTGCACACATGGTGCATGGTTTTTCTTTGCTATCATTCGTCGATAGGTTCCTGGTCTGAAGTGATGCCGGTTTACTTTAACATCTGGCTTGGTATTCCTTTATCATTATCGGCGTTTTTGGCCATCATCTTCTGTATGCTAAACGATGTTGTCAATTCATTGGCGATGGTCTCCGAAAAAGCTGAACGAGATATTATGTCACGACCTCCGGCAATTCGTCACAAGACTCATTTACTAGATTGGAAATTACTCTTCCATGCCTATCTCATTGTATGTAATATTGAATGCTTCTCTGCATACTTTTGCTTCTTCTGGTACTATTCAGTGCAAGGTAAAATTGAGCAATAACAATTTCACGCATGAATCAATAAGAGTATCATTTAGGCATTCCTCTTAGCAGCATTTTTTTTACGTATTCGCATTATGGTACAGATCCTTACATAGCCAAAAGTTCAGATGATCTACTGCTTATTCAACAAAAGGGACAATGTATTTATTATGTTGCTTTGTGCATCATGCAATTTTTCAATTTACTCTCTTCACGAACACGATACGTTTCATTCTTCAGTTATAATCCACTGTTTGGCAAAGCACGTAATTTAACCATCCCATGTGGCATCCTTTTTTCAACAAGCGTCGGTTTAGTACTGACATTGATACCGTGGTTTAATTCAGTATTCAAAACTCATCCTGTACCTGTTCGATTTGTCTGCCCTGCAATAGGCTTTGGTGCAGCCCTATTTCTATTCGATGAGTTAAGAAAATTGCTGGTACGACGATTTCCCAATTCTTTTATTGCCAAGATGGCTTGGTAAAGACAGAAAGACACCTTTTTTTCTTATTCTCAAAAACGTTTTGTCACTTACTTTATTAATTTAATATTCAAGCTACCAAACATAAATTCTGTAGAAAATTATCTTGTCCATGTGATCAAATCAGTATGAGTGATAAAACTGCCAATATGTTGATTTCATCTAAAATGAAGGAATCATCAGTTAGTTTAAATGACTGTACTGATCTCTCAGGAGTGCCGAGAACGGGTAAAAAGGCGAATCCTCGTCTTATTCAGGATCATATAGCTTTTATAATATATCAATAAAGAATATTTCAATTAGCATAATTAAAATAATATGTAGCTCTCAATAAATTAAATTTAAAATAGACTTATGATTGAATACAACAGACTTATGCTGCATTTTTTATTTTCAATTAAAACTGGTGGTGCGGGTGTGGATACTTACACGTTGATTCGAACACCATACGCGGTGTGAATGTATCTTTTTTTCAACTACACAGACACCAACACCCAGACCATCTTATCCACATGGATAGATAAAATACTATCATATGTTGATTCTCCATTCATACGATTATTAGTATAATTACTCTTTATCGTGTATCTTGTCTGTATCATATAGTATCATATTTCACAATGTTATATTATTATATGTCGTTAGCGTTGATGCTCACTTATATGAAGCTGCTAAGAGTGTATATGATATGTACGATTGTATGTTGTGAAGGAAACGAATAAAGTTTAATAACATCTGCACTAATATTCCTTCTATCAGAAATCATTACATAGTTAAAGAAATAAGAAGAAAAAAATAGTAGAAGATATCTGAGGTGCGGTTTGTGAGAAGCGTCGAAGAGATAATTCACAAACCATCAATCATTTATAAACATGAGTTAAAAATCATAGCCACACTGTTATCGTCGCCATTGGTCACAACCAAATCCCACTTGAAATCATTTCTAAAAGCACCTCCTGTTACAGATAGAGGGTATGCGCCAACTGTATAGCCTATTTGGTTTTGAAACGTTCCATCTTCATTTCCAAGTAGTACACCGATCGTGCTATCATCGAAGCTGTTAGTCACTGCTAGATCTAACTTACTACCATGATTGAAGTCACCTGCTGTGATAGATACTGGATAAACACCAGCAGAATACTTTTTTTGCCTTTGGAATGTTCCATCTCCATTGCCAAGTAGCATGACGATATTGTTATCATCGTAGTTAACCAATGCGAGATCCAGCTTACCATTACCATGGAAATCATCAGCAATGATAGATATTGGCAAAGAACCAACTGGATACGTTGCTTGACTATTGAAGCTTCCATCTCCACGGCTAAATAGCAAACTGATAGCGTTGTCAACTGCGTTGGTCACTGTTAGCTTTAGTTTGACATCGTTGTTGAAATCACCTGTTGTAATATATTCTGGGAAGGGGCCTGTCAAATATCTATTGGGTAGACCATATGGTGTTTGACAGACAATTTCTATAAATAGAAAGAAACAGTGAAACATATGTAATTAAGTGCATTGGCTAGTTTCATTGTAATGTTGTACGATGAAGAAAAAAACTGTCGAAAGAATGGATGCAAGAAAGGTCTATTTTGTGCTCTCTCAAATAGAGTTTTAGCTTATAGAAAAAATTCTATGATACAATAGACTGTAGATGTATTAGTTTAAACCTTACAGAATTGTTCATTTTCTCTGGTAGTAATGGTTTTTCGGTTACTCGGTGCAGCAATGACGAAATTTAACACGAGAAATACACTAACTGTACAGACTATTCAAAAAACAAATTGATACCAGTGATGGCAATGCAACGACAATACCATCATTTGTGTTGTATATTATGTTTATTGACATACTCACTGTATATTTGATGGGCATACATATTATGATCTTTCACGATAATCAAATTCACAAAAGAATGAATCGAATATTGTTTGCAACTACCTTATATATGTCTATTATTTTCACAAGAATAGCATAAGATAAGTAATATTATTTTTAGCGCCGAAGTAAATGAATATTCGTACCTTTATATTATAAACTTAACATGCCCGTAATACATTGCAAATTTATGCTCTATTTTTATTTGAATCTTAAACAATGTTCTACTTTTAATGCTATTCTTTTCAATAGATATTATAATAGTAGCTGCCATTGTCTTTTGTATGCGTAAGGAAACATTGAATGTATTGCTTGGTCGTTTACAAGCAAACCTCTATATATAATATATGCTATTTTTATCAACTAACGAAGATAAGTTTCAGCCAATAATGTTTCTACTATAATGAATACTGTATCTATATATTCTTCATTCATTAGCGGTAGACGATAAGTTTAAATTTTGAAACATGAATCATATAGTGCTTTCGTCAAAGTAATTTTGATCAGAAATAGATCTAATTCATATTTTCCAAAACTTAGATTGAAGTCGATTTGTCTTATTCTTAATTATTCTCATTTAAACTCTTGCTCGTATATCAAAAGATTCTCACTATTAGGAATTCTCTCCCTCAGAAAAAGACCCACATTAAATGTTTAATCAATTAAGAAATTCAATATTAATTAAACTTTTCTCGAATATTTATCAGCTTAGATGTCAGATTGAAGGCTGGTTTGACTCTTTGCCAATTAGAGAGACTCTATCAATTCAGTGTTTTACTTTTAGAAAAGAATGCAAGTGAAATAAATAGGGCAATTCTTGAAAATCTAGGCCAAAATATATGACTAACACTCATAAAAAAATTAGTAGAAAAAATAAACCGAATATGAGCTACACAGGACGTCTCTTCTCTTACGTGTGACAAAAAACTGTTTATTTGCTCTCTTATCATACACCTTTGATAAATAAAATCTAGAATTTGAACTCATTTCATTTGCTAATGTACGTAATAATGATGCAATAAAAAGCGATTACGTGTTTTCTCAAACTATGAAATGTACTAAATTTTAAAAATATTGAGAAGTATCTAAATCTTTTTATATCATAATACTATTTTAGTTAATTTTAAAATTCAATTATAATAATTATAAATTAAGCGAAGATAATTTAATTGTTAGATGAATCTACGGCGATTTTGCAGTATGAAAAAAATTTAATTTCTTTTCTGCATAAACGATTCTTTTAAATTCAACGATTTAATCCTAGTTGCTAAAAGCCAAAAATGATAAGATTCTCTTCATTTATTTTAATTATTTTTTTTGTAAAATAATCACGCTTTCGTGAAAGATAAATAACATCTTAGAATGGTTATGAGCGTGTAGATGATGATCTCTCGATCATATGTTCGAATCTACTCTTTATCCTTATATATTTCCATTTATACTTGTCCCACCTCATGGCATGGCGGTCAAATAGTCGAACCAGTCGCGGGTGCGTTGATTTTGAGACAAAGATTAGTCATTTAACTCGTCTGTTTCTCACTTGAGTAGCACAATAGAAAAGGCTTCACAGGAACATAAAATGTGATTCTAAAAACCGAGGAGGTCTTTAAAATTCAAGGAATTTGAAATATTTTTAACATTGGCAAATATGAAACAATTAATATAGTACGCACAATAACTTTATGAGATACATAGTGAATTCATTTTCAAACTTTTACAACTCCCATCATGATTTATGATACACGTAAACATTAACGACTAGCGAATGATTTTGAGGATATACATTATGTAATTGAGAATAATTTCATATTACTTGTCAGCTACATACTTCAACAAAGTTGACCATAAGGTATAGTATAAAATTAAAACCAATGTAGAAAAAATTGCTTAAATATAGATTAGATTCAGCATTTTACAATATGGTAGAATCTTTGATACGTGATCAATATAGTTACGTTTAAAGTTATTGAAAATTGCATTAATCAAAACTGATACTTTCGATGTGTATGTTTTCATTGACAAGTTTTTGATTGATGAAACAAAAGCAAATACTTCAGATTTTTTCAAAGGTGATAGTTCATTCAATTTTTCTGTTTCTTGACAGATATTAGTATTAAACCATTGGCACTAAATTTGTGGCAATACCCAATGGGTTCAATAATAGACAAAAAGAAAATTATGAAAATGCTTATTTATGATTTACTACAACAATAAATTACAACTCTCTATTAGTATGAGTTTTTCGAGAAAATCGAGTAGTTTAAGTTTATATTGTTCGAAAAGATAACTTTTCCATCCTCCATGTTGCTGACCATATCCACCACCGTAATCTCCGACATCAAGAGCACCTCCGTATATTCGCCCATATGTTGGATTTGGATTTTCAGCCGCATAGTTATCAAGTCGCTCACCTACCAAACCTGAAGAAAAAATCAAACGAATTCATCTTTATTTGATCTCACTATAAAATATTTAAACTATAAAATAGTTCCAAAAAACTTACTGTTAACACCACCGGGGATATTTTGGTTAATCCACATATCCGATCTCATTTCTCCCATGCCTCCACCCATATCCATTCCACCACCATTTTGATCATAACCAAGCCAATTTGATATCACTTAGCGTCAACAAAAACATTCTAACATTTTCTCGAAGCTTCTACACACTAATATTGTAAGCTACCGATTCATTCACACTGAAATTAGTAACTTTAAACCTGTTACTTTGTACTTAAATGCTGTTTGTGCGTATCTGATCAGTTGCTTTGATATTTCTCCATTCTTCATTAGCTATTCGATCAATGGATAATGAAATGTATGAAAAATATCTACTAAGGATAACGTCTGAATACTAGCAGATTATATAGCAAGTTCGTGCACCTCATTTTGTGCTGTGTAGTGAATTAAGATGTTAAAATGGTTGTTTAAATAGAAAGCAACTTGTAGGCATGAACACCCCACAAGTAAAATGTGCATATGTCTTCAAAATCTCGCTCGATCACTCTGAAGATTCATTCACAGAGAGAGTTTTCACTACTCTGTCTACTGGTAGTCTCAGAATTCCGAAGTGTTCTGATCATGTATTGAAGATTTTCGATAGCCCTAATGAAAAAAACGAGGACTCTGAAAAGATATATATTAATTCTGACTATCAGTTTGCAGCATACATGAAATTGTATATATTCTGAGCTCTGCTGAAAAGGGGTAGCCCATACTAAAAATACATGTTCTACACGATGGTGCAGACAAGATTTTTCACGCATACAGTAGGGAATGAATTGATCATTAATTCATTTCTGCATCGTCACGAATTGGTTCTTTTTTTTATTAAACAAGAGTTCTCTAATGCTGATTTTGCTGCTAAACATCTCTTGATAATATTTTCTAATACTTAACATAGCGAATCCATCCATCCGCTCTTACAAATTATTTTGTTTTTAAAAGACGTTTTTCTTAGAGAATATCTTGTATAGATTAATTGATACTCAAGAGTGCTGTATCTTATGGCTATCTTTATCAGAGAAGATTTTAAGAAATACAAGCGATATCTAATTCTTATAATCGTTCAATGGTAATCTAGACACGGTGAATATAACTCTAAGAGAACTATCCAAAAGGACTCCTATAATTGTAAATAAATTGTTGAATCTTATAGTTGACCTTTATAGAATTGAGAAGTAATAGAAAGGGAGGATAAAATAATATTGTGTTTTTTAACGAACTTGGCACTGAGTCTTGAATAGTTCATTTTAGCAGTTTCGAAATAAATATTGAGTATCTCAAAGACAAGATGTTGGCATTAAGCAACTATCTAACGTTCGACATCTCAGAATCTAATACCACGATGTCAATCATACTACCATTTGACATCCAAAGCAAAGCTTGTTGGAGCATGCCAGCAAAATCGAGCCATCCTTGTTTTAGTTCTCAGTATAATCTGAATATAATTCTTTGTTGATTGTAATTCAACATCATGATACCAATTTGTATTCAATAGGTTTATACAGAAATTATTTTTAAAAATCTGGTTGCTCATTTATATATTTTTTATAAGTAGTCTAAATCAAAAGTGCTTCATTGAACTTATTATATTGTGGAATTAAGACAAAGTTTAGAAAACATTAGTTCATGAAAGAATATTGATTATGCAAATGGAGGAACTGAATCGCATACATGTGGATCATCGTCACGAGCCGTCTTAAAATCACAAATCAATGCTCGTCGACATGCATGATTACATTGGGAGCCATCTGTGTGCGATTTCGTATAGTATGTGTATACTGTGCTCATCAGTGGTCCGTCAATATCAGATTCTAGTCTTTTAATGAAGTTGTCCCAATCGACAGGAAACAAGTTCTCTAATTGATAGGCATCTCGAACATTATATTCATCTTGCAAAATCGTTCTGTTGTAGAGATTCGTTGCAGTTAAATTCATAATGACTGTACGATGATCGAGCACCCAATATGAGCTCGACGGATAGTCACCATCCATTGTATAAATACGATAGCCCGGATTCAAGAATGATTCGGTTGTCAACGACGGTGCTATGTAAGCCTATAATTACAGTATAATAACGAAAAATAAAAACTAGATACACAAATTTTACTCATGATGATAATGCACTTACCATTGAAACGGGTCGTTGTGGATCATTTTCATCGTAGAACATGTTGAATTCATCTCTATGTGTGTGACCATAAAATTGACCGGAGATCGTATTTTCGAATCTAATTAACATATAACGGATAAACGAAGATGAATGTTCTCGAATGTCTCACCGATTGACGATTCTATTAAAATTCCAGCCGAATGCTGCAAAACACGTACGTGGTGGATGATGAGCAATAATATGAACTTTTTCTCCATTGTCTTCAGCATATTGTAACCATTGTATGAGCTAAAATGTGTCAACAAATGTTAATACTTCGTCTTGCCTTTTCATATAATAACTTACCCATTCAAGTTGATTGAGTGGATCAGTCGAATTGGCATATAACCAATAATTGTCCGATGCGTAATAGTTCGTATTGAGAGAAATCAATCGTAGACCTGGACGTACAAGTGTTGTATAGAATCCACCACGAAGAATACTTTCACGCGTATCATTAGGTAGACCAAGTGTATTTATCCAACTATCAGCTAATGCTTGATATAGCCATGAAATATTGTCTGATTTAATAATCGGTGTCGGAAAGAGATTGCATGGAGCTAAAGAAATCATAAAGTGTGCAATGAATGAAAAAGTCGAGACGAAACTGGTACCTGCTTCATGGTTACCGACGGCCGAATACAGCATTTTCTTTGGAAATGTTGTAGCCAACAAATTATTGATTGTAGTTATCGAATAGAGTTGATCAGCACGAGACTGATTCCACACATTGTGAGGTGGTGTATCACCAGTGTAATAGATGAAATCAATCTGTTACAGTAGAAAAGAATAAATAGAATAAATAAAGTTTTATCTATAACCTCTTCCGTTTTGGAGGCATACTCAAGTATGGCTTGAGCCGTCCAATATGGTAGGTCACAATGAAGACTGGTCCCCCTGAAAAGAACAGACATTTAATACTATATATTGTCAAATGATTGAAAAAACTTACCAGAAACCAGCACCCGGATGGCCAGGAACTGTATTTAAGAAAGTGAATTTCTTTTAAATATTGACACAAGTCTACAGAAAATACTCACGAGGTGGACCCTTTCGACAGCACAATGGCTCGAGACAATCTGCTTCAGATCCTGGCTTGTACTCAAAATCCACGTGAATATCGGCCAATTGGAGTACCTTCAGTTTTGGAGAGTCAGGCTAAAATGCAAAAAAGTGTATGTTCAGTGGTTATATGATACTCAAACGACGTACGGTACGTAGCATCTCATACAGAAGAGTAATTATTTTTGCTGTGACACTTTCTAGATATTCGATAAATTATTCTCAATTCGGATACAATAGGTTATGCTCTGTCCTCTCATATAAAAAGAAGAGAATATTTAACGTCACCGATTTGAACACGAATACTATATTGCTCAGCATATTTATTCTATGGCACATACACGTACATACTTACCGAAGGAGGTTTTGGCGGTTGTGGAGCTGGCTTTTTGTCAGGAATTGCAACAGTCCAATTCAAGGCAGGATAATCAGTCTGTCTATCACAGTTGAAAGCAAGTGAACATAGTGCCTTATTACTGAAATGCGTCAGGTATATGACTTGGAGAACGGCATCCTATTTGCAAGCAAATAAACTATATCTAGATGAAAATAGTAGAGATCTTTCACTTTATATTCGTACACAGCGCCACTACAAACATCGAGAACCAAACCGAATTCGTTGCAAATTTCTAGAGTCACATTTTCGATGCGCTCCGTTTGATTGACGTCGATGAGTATTCGAAGCTAATACACAAACGATCAGATATGAAAATGCGAGAATAAACAAGGTTCACTCACTATAGGTAGAAGAATGTGGCATATTTCACAATATACTTCCTCTGCGTTGATATGTTGTTGGAACATCCATCGAAGTGCCTTGATATTATTGGAATGTTCGAAACGATGTCGATAGTTGAGGACAGTGGCAAACATTTCTTCGTTCTCATTGGTGATACCGTCGACTATTTGACCAACAGTATCCTCTTGAATTGCTCTAGCATCAATTACTGTATGACCAATAATGATGAAGAGAAGGAGCTGAGAAACTATTTGCCAAATCATAGACAAAAACTTGAAAAGAAACAAAAGGAGAACTGCAACAAATACGAACTGAAATAACAATGTTTGATAACTGCAAACTTTTTTCGCTCTATCTCATTGTTGTGTGCACGTGTTTTGTGGCAACTTATCTTGTCGTATACGAGAAATTTCGATGCTTGTTGACAAGATAAACAATTTCGGACGGTCAAAATAACTGCACTAACGTAACATTCGTTTTTTCATTTAATTTAGAACAAAGTCGTTCTGCATTGCTTCTCAAGTCACCAATGCTTGCTCATCGGTCATTGCATGTAATTTTATCGTTCTAATACAATCCGACGTTTTTGTTTTTATATCAGTAAACATACCTTATAGGAAAGAACATATCCAAGTGCTAAATCGTTTTTCAACTGAAACTATTGACTTTTGACTTTTTTAGGTCTTCTCTTGTTAATGGATGGGTACTTCACACAATTTTCAACATATGTGTACAAGATTTTCTGAGAATGGTAGTATGATAGGTCTAACCAGGCCGCATTTTCGAGACTTGTGAGCCTGTCGATGTTTTTGAAGCTAATGCAATAATGATGAACGACTAGAAACCAGCTATACAGATAGAGCACCAGGGCTATTGTACGATCCTGGCAAGACTTGCTTGCCATAGGCATCGGTCACGATTTTTAGACCACTGCCATTAACAGGCTCAGATAGGCCAACAGGTCAGCAGCTGGTTGAACCTCTGACTGAGACAAGTCTAAGAATCGTGGTCTATACCTATGCCAAACAGGTCTTGCCCGTATTGAACAATAGCCCTGATGCACTGCTTGAATAGCTGGTTTCTAGTCTTTCATCATTATTGTATTAACTTCAAAAACATCGACAGACCCAGATACCTCGAAAACGTGGCCTGGTTGGACCTCTAGGAAGTAATGTTACTGAAATATATGCTTGGCGTCGAAATATTTTTATTTTGAAATAAAGCTCAAAACAGACGCTCAAAATACCTTAGATTAGGATCAGCGTACGTGTTTTATTAAGATTCAAGGAAATAAGCAATCATTTGAAATGTAATGGTTTCTGCGACTTATATTATTATTGGGCGTGTGAGCGTGGGTGTAAATGCTGAAGGAGAGAGGGGACTTGTTTTACTGGGGGACGATCAGTCTTTTTTGGGTCTACATCCTTAATATAGCACATAGAAAATCTTAGTACAACTTTATAGCCGTTAATCAGCGTATTACACCTATAGGAGTGCATATATAGTTACTTCCTATAATGAAACGCATTCGTCCTATAAATTCAGTTTTTCATATATTTCTCATTTGTGATAATGAATAGACTTATATGATTTTGATATCATTTCAGTTCAAGTGCATTGCAGAAATACTAATTCCGAAATTTAAAAATTAAAGCCTGAATAAGATTAGCAGCAATGTCTGGGTGTGTGGGTGGAGTCTGAGACTGGTGGTGTACCTATCTTTCAACTGTAAGCATACTCAAATTCATATACATACCGGAACTGATATCACTGAGTTCTTATTACATACTTTGTAAAATATTGCTTATATTTGTGCACAATTGAAGCAATTTGAATAATCTTTCGATACGTTGCGCTTTTCTTCGAAGCCCGTCAAAGATTTATCAAGGTTCTAAGAATCGTTTAAAGAGTTTTGTAGAATGCATGAACGTCTTAAAAAGTTTGGAGCTCATCGCACCTGCCAAAAACTTTTTGTATGATCCGTATTGCGCACGCAATCCTATTTAATTTTGAGAAGGGTAATTTTTTTTCAGTGCAATCCAATAAAACATACTACCGAATAGCACAGCTCGTTGTGCTCCTCCATTTTCTGTTACGTAGCCTTATTCCACTTAGAAAGTATATGTTCCTTGAGAAATTATTCTGTTACACGTTAGACTGCTTCTCATCAGAGGTTGTTTCTTCGAAACATAATTTCGCTTCGAATAAATCGCCTCACTCCAGAAATATGTCGAATATATTGAAAAAATTGGTCTTGTTACTACATATTCGTGATTCTGTCGTTGTTAGTAGTATACTTTTCCTCGACATGCCGTTCAAAATTGCAATAGTATTCTGTCTTCTTGTTTCATGCGTCAACACCGAGCAGACAACTGATGTAATCCGAATTCCATTGACACCAAAGTTGTCGACTAGTGGAAGTTTGATTTTAGCTAACCAGATTCACACGAAATCACAGTCTATTTTCAAGTTTCCATTTAACAACGTCATCACCATCCTTCGTGCGAATTTCTGATCTGATGTTCGCTTTCTCACATGCGACTCCCCTGCTTTATGGATTACATTTTCGTGACCTGATCTATACAGATAGTCACGCTTATGCTCGTTTTATGATCAACAACAAAGTTCTCCTATCGAATACTAATGGCCGTGCAACTACTGCTGCAGTTTTTGACCTTGGAGCTGATTTGAATGATATTGACCCACGAGATGGATCAGTCATATATAATGGAACCGAAGCAGGGATCTACTTTCCTTACACTAATGTAGAACTCGTCTTTCTACCTCCTGGTCTCCATGTTGTTGAAGTGGGTGTACGAATCAAAGGAAATAATGCTAATGTTGATTGGGGTACATTTACTCTTGAGTTGGTAGAATACGCTCCTGGTGATAACATCAAACTCGAATATCCTGAATAATGATGAGATAGAGTTATTCATATTTAAAAAAAATCTTGTTTCATCGTATATGAAAGAGGGCTAGAAGACGAATCAGGATTTCTAGACTACAGATCTATCCAATATCCGATAGTATAGATATAACACACGTACAGTTTACGAAAATAATCTGAATTCTCATGAGACATAACAGCAAGAAAGATTCTTAATTTAAGTGGATGTGAGCGTGTGGATCATTGATATAAGTGTTGGACTGGATCTAAATGCAGATCATCACATATCATACATATCTAACCTGATAACTAAACTCAGAGAGTGGGTGTTAGTAGATGTGTGAATAGTATATTTCTGAGACCGGCACCCTCGCACACGCCCAGTTCAACATTCTGGTTACTTTGAATCCGCTTAATAATATAATGTGCCACAAATTCTATAGAATTTATATTATATAAAATGTAAGAAATATCAAGATACTTTGGGTTTACTACTGAGACGATGCATTTCGACATGCAATAAATAAATGTCAGCGAAAAAAAATTACAGCACAATCTATTCGTTCAAGTCATCAAACAGTATGATACAGAATTATACAGAAGTTGTGATGATGAAATATATAATACTTGTGGACTGCTTCTTGTAGTATCTATTGTTGGTTTTAGCAACACTGATTTATATTATTCATTATCTATTTAAGAAGCTTTTAGTGTACATTGGTGATGTCTCGCATGACCTTATATTAATTAATTTATTAACAGTTCCCCTCAAATTCATATGAATATACGAATACAATTGGAATCCAAAGCAATATATTGTATTATATTGTTATTGTATCGTAGAGTAATACTTGCATCGTTCGAACTTTGAACAATTAGTTAGATATACAAAACTTAACACGCATGAATTTCTATTTATTAATGACTTTTAGATTGTTCCCTAAATAGCGAAGCCATCTCGAAATGAATTCGTCAAGAAGATCATAATTTTCGTTACGCAGAAAGAAAAAGAACGCTCTGATTCTTAAGTTGTTGAATGTGAGTGAAATTGTGTGAATAACGAGTTCTTCATCGCCCTCGTTCTCTCTCAAGATAGGTATTTATCACTTTTTTTCGTCCTCAATAAATGCAGGACACAGAAAACGACAAAGTTATGAGTATATGCAAGACAATAGATAACAATGAGCTTCACTATCAAAGATAATGATATAGAAAACACACGAGAAAAAGATAAACCCAGTGTATAATAGCACTTTTTAAGTTAATATTAAATCGCACGGTCATTCTTTTCATATAATAAACGATAGTAAGTAAAAGACGAGAAAATTGCCTCAAAATACAGATTTTGAACTCCTGATATAGATGCAGTCTATTTCGGTTCTTGCCGTTCTTGTACTCGCTTTTAGTTGTACATTAGCTCTCGATGTCACATTAAATCAATATTGGAAATTATGGAAAGAAGCTAATAATAAACATTATTCTAATGCTGAAGAAGATATTCGGTATGTAAAAACTTTTTCCAACCCTAGATTTCATTTATTAATCTTACAAAAATGTATTTGACAGCCGAATTACATGGGAAAGTAATTTTGAAAAAGTAAAAACACACAATCTTCAAGCCGATCTTGGCGTTCATACATATTGGCTCGAAATGAATAAATTTGCTGATTTGGTAAAATTTTATAAGTATAAATATTAATTGTTTTCTATGTTAAAAAAAAGACTATCCATGAATTTACCAAAATGATGAGCGGTTACCATGTTTCAATGCGTATCGAGCGTAACAAAGATCGTCATGAGTTTACTCGAAATGTAAATGTTAAACTACCAGACACTGTTGGTACATATAGATACTAATAGAAGCTAATTATCTTCTTTACGACAATATCATTGTTTTTTTTTTATAGACTGGCGTGACAAAGGTTATGTTACTCCTGTTAAAACTCAAGGTCAATGTATTGCAGGTTGGGCTTTCTCATCAACTGGTTCACTTGAAGGTCAACACTTCAATGCAACAGGCAAATTAGTTTCACTCTCGGAACAAAATTTAGTCGATTGTTCTGGTACACATGGTAACATGGGTTGTGTTGGTGGTGAAGCCGACCAAGCTTTCCAATATATCAAGTATAATGGTGGCATTGACACTGAGGACTCATATCCATATGAAAGCGACGATAATCGATGCCGATTCAACGCAACAAGTGTTGGCGCTACTGTTACTGGCTTCGTTGATATACAATCAAAAAATGAAAGTGCTCTTCAAGAAGCTGTTGCTACCGTTGGTCCAATTTCAGTTGCCATTGATTCTAGTCACCCCTCATTTCAATTGTACAAACAGGGCGGTATGTGTTTTATTTATTTCTGTGAGCTTTGAAAACATTTCAAATTACTTCATTTAGTCTACCACGAGCCATTCTGCTCTCAAATCCACCTTGACCACGCTCTTCTCACTGTAGGTTATGGCACTGATTCTGGCAAAGATTACTGGCTCGTCAAAAACAGGTAACTATTATAATTGATTTTTATTAAGCATTTCATCGATTTTATCTTGTAATTATTTCTAGTTGGGGTGTAAGCTGGGGTGAACAAGGTTACATTCGAATGACACGTAACAAACGTAACGAATGTGGTATTGCTACATCTGCCAGCTATCCACTTGTTTAGAAGAACCCATGAATGTAGCACGTCGGACACTTTTTGTCTTTCTCTTTCGGTAACACTTGTTAGAACTGCAATTAAATTACAAAAAAGAACATCTAGGTTTATTAAAGAACGGGAACTTGTAAGACTATATAAATCGGCTCAATGTTGCTTTTCTCTATACAGTATCTGTTGTTTGTGAAATTCATCGAATCTTATGCAAAATGAAGCAATGAATCTTTTAATACTGAATTTGCCGCGTCTAGCGTGTGATTCGAAGTCTAAACGAGTTTGTTATTAGAGAAGTACTTTATCGAAAAATATTCACCTGAAAACTCACTAGTTGTATAAAATCATACGTAGTTGTGTTCTCATACCGATCAAAAATACATGTGAAAAAAAACCAGCACTTCTGATGAGTCTCGGGAACCTGGTTAAATACATTCTAAAACATGCACTGAAAGTGATCAATTTTTGAAAACATTTGTTCATCGAAATGCTATTGATAGCGCCCTTTCTTGACCCAAATTCGATCGTATTCTGACAAGCCACAATATATTGTAATCACGTGGCATACATCAAAAACGATTTGTAAATACCTAAAAGTACTAGAATTGAACAATTCATATACTGGCATTTATCGATAAGTAACACTCGTTGCTTATAGATGGTCACCTAGACCACTATTGTTAACATTTTCAGGCCTTATCGCTTCAATTTGAAGAACATAAAAAAGTCATATATAGATACACCTGAAATCACTAAAAGTTGAAAATTTGTGTAGTAATCAATTTTTGCATCTGAAAATCAGTAGTACTTGAAGCTTGTATGCAATATCGAGGGAAGCTTGGCAGTTTAAAATGTATAATTGTAGTGTAACTGAGAAATAGATGTAGCATTTTATTTTCTAGCTCTATTCTCCGCAACCTTGCACCTTTACGGACAAGCACATCTATCCATCTGGCGTAAGATAGAAAAACTAGACATATTAATGCTTTTGTGAATTTTACTACAACGATCCTTCCTGATGATAATGATGATGAATGTGATCTAAGATAGAGAAAAGAAACATGTTAACATTATTTTATTTTATCCTTTTGGTGTAAGTTAAAAATACACTGTAGCTGAACTGGTAATTCCTGTAATATGAAATTGAAGTGTTTTTTAGAGTTTTTTTTATGCATTGGCTGAATAAGATAGGTAATTTGTTCAAAAACTTTTTCAAAAGATCAAATATTTTCATTTTTTATAATAAAACGTGAAATATAAAATTAGTAAAAGAACATCAAGAGAAGACTAATTATGTAGTACACTATATCCGAAGCCGTAGATCAATTTTTGGAGCCAACATAAAGTTTCGTTTAAAAATGTCAAGACTCCGCTAATACTTGTGAACTCAGTAAAGTTCTCCATAATTACTAGACCTACGACAGCTCTCAGTTCTTGGAACCGATTCTTTTCAAAGAACTGTACCCAATACATAGTTCCTTTTCTGGAACTATCTCCACATAACAGTTCTTTTTCGAGAACCATATCCTCCCAACAGTTCCTTTTCGGGAACCATATCCTCCGAACAGTTCTTCTTCAGGAACTGTGGCATAACAAACAGTTCCTTATCGAGAACTGTTGCAGCCCTGCCCATATAGATGATCACGGTGCTGTTTTAAACAGATCAGTTCCGATCAAAGAACTGGTCAGACAATTCAGTTCCGATCAAAGAACTTGTGAGACAGTTCCGAAGATCGGAACTAATATGGAACTGTCGTAGGTCTAATAATTACTACGAAAAGAATACACATACTTGAAAAAGTGTATGAATTTACATGAATCTTAGGTTTATCGAAGCTCTTAGCTGCACAGTCGCTTGAATAAATTGAAATATATTTCTATTTTGAAATAGACATTGTTATGATAGCTTTCTCCTATAACAAGTCTCATAAACTCATTTACTTTGTCCTTAACAAATCCGCAAGTTAATTTTAATTTCGTTTGCCAAACAAATATTTCTTGCTATCCCATATTTCGATGGCAACTGCTGTTGTAACCATTCGACAAGTTCATCTGTGGTAGTCATTGATTGTTCTCTATAATTGTCATCTCTACAATGAACTATTAACTGATGAAGATTCGGCATTTTCTTCACAAGATCCAATACGCATGTTCGAATTTCGACTGAAATACGAAGTATTTCACATTGTATTCCCAACGATGAACAACTCAATACAGTACAATCTGCGTTGTTATAATGATAATGATAACTGTACAAATCGAGTTTTCGAATCAAATTATGCGTAATTTCGAATGGTGCCATCTGTGTAGGAGAAGATCGCCATGTTTCAATGCTTAACGAGTTGAGACGAGATGCCCGATCAAGCAGCAATTGTAATTGACTTGGAAATTTTTCATCATAATTATACCATGCCACACTCAGTGAGGTCAATTGATGAAAATTCGGAACGATCGTCCATAAATGATTATTGATAGGAAGATAAATAGTGAGATCTCGAACGTTAGAAAAGCTAATATTTTGACATTGATCCAAATCGTCAGATAGAAAATGCATATATTTTAGTTGATTTACACGATCATAGGAACAATAACAGTTATTGTGAGGACAAGTTGACTCGAATATAAGTGGAAAATATGCTGTAAAATGATCAAAAGCATACGGTAAAGTGTATAGATAAATTGCGGCGATGTCTGGATCCCAATCACATTGAACAAACCAGCAATGTTCTTCAAGCCAAAATTGACTTCGAAATGAATTAATAAGTTCATCAAAACTTTGTTTCCAATTTCTATCATTCACTAGTTTTCTCGTCAATTTGAGCCGAAATCGTTTTAATTTGATTAAATGATCACGAATAATTTTTTCCCATTGACGACCATCAACAGAAATATCGTTAATTGTTCGTGCTGTCAAACTGCATAAATTAGGCATATGTTTGAAAATATTTATTATATTATTTTGCTCAGCAGCAACAAACCATGTATCGAAGTGAGTTATCAACGAAATAATTGATGGATACGTTTTACTATCAGAATCGTATGTGAAACATGCAGAAAGATATCGAAGACGCGCTGTAGATTGGATCAGTTGAGCGAAGTCACTCAGATGACAAATCATATTCGGGACGAATAGATATTCAAGTGATGAAGAAATTATATTTGGTGCAGAAAACTCGATACCATCACTAGTATCAATGTCTATATAGCAGTAGATCAGTTTGGGTAGACTCCAAATTGTGTTTATAATGTTAGCTACATCAGTCTGGGAACATGAAAAGTAACAATTCGTCAATTTGATATGAGTGAGATGTGATAAATGACAACAATCCAATAAAATTTTATTCATCATTGTGACAGAAATCAAATCATACAAGTTAAGTGTTCGTAAGTGTGCAAATTGATGGAGAGTAAAATCTTGAGCAACGAAACGAACTATTTGTTGCGAATTTTCATCATCGGAAAGATGTAGTGTAGTTATTCGATTGACAATCGATGGTAAGTATTGTTGACAAACAGTATCAAGATCATGTTTCGATACCAATCGTAAGTCAAATCCACGAACAGAAATATGATCGAAAATAAGCACATCAAAACGATACTTAAGCCCATAGAACGATTGAAGAAGTTGACCAGTCGAGAAAAATTCGAATATAGAAAGCAGAAGTTCGTTTGCCAACGATTCTAAAGTCATCGTCTTCGTTACTTGTACTATTTCGGTTAGATTTGTTAACGGGATGAAAAATTGAAAAGATGACATTCCTCTTCCTATCCCACTCGAAACGAAAAAGAAAAAATATATCAATACTCCTTTTCGTTGTTTTTCTTTCTGCTTACTTTTTGTCTAGCTAGATTATTTTATCCCTGTTCAAATAATAAATAAGAGAAGAATGATAAAAAAAAGCATGTGCCAACATCCACGTAAAGAATTATTTCTTTGTCGTAGTGAAATTTCAAAATCGAAGTCATTGATACAGCAGCCAATCTCACTTCCTTTAATCAACTGAAAGGATTGTGGCAACACAAAATTTGCAACGTTGATAGAAGCTAGTATGTCGTCTCCATCATTTCAGAAACAAATACGCTGAGACGGGGGAAAGCAGATCATGTATATCTTTTAAAAAGAGAGAGAGAGAGAGACTTTTATTACATTTATATAAATTATTGCTAATTTTCTTGTACTTGAATTTCAATAGAATTATCGACGAAATACATGAAATAAAATATCCAATAAGAAATAAACATGCATAATTTGTTGATCTGATACATTTTGATACTTCCAGCAAAAGTAGTAAATAGGTTGTGGGCGAGGTCTTTTTATTTTAAGTACTCATTCTATAGAAACACATACATTTAGTCATTGATCTATATCGAGGCGGGATCATAAAAAGAGATGAACATTGAATTTATAAGAAATATTAATTTTATATTATTGTCATTCGTCCACTAAGAACTATGTTTTCAATGTAAGCAAAAAGAACGACTTAACAATGAATGCAACAAAATATAATAACTGCTTATACTACGCTTTGATGTTTGATTGTATTTAAGTTTTGTTTACTTTGGATACATCTACAATCATGAAATGAGTTTTCGTCTTTTTACCAGGGCATATATCAAATATGAATTTCTAATTATCGTCGAATGATCGTTTCGAATAAAACCTATAATAATATCCACGATTATATAATCTATTTTCATTTACAAAGAAAACGAAAGTCATATACACAAATGACTTCATCAGAAGAACCAGCAAGAGAAATGTATCCCCGTGTATTTTACAATCGATCCTTTTCTTTTCTCATCTCAACCTGAACATGCTAATGACGACAATTATTCTTGTCGTTTCAATCTATTCTATAGTATACCATTAGATTGGTCACGGATAAAAATTTACATTATGAACAATACATATTATTGATAGATAGGCAAATCTAATCAATTACTTTCGAAGCAGCTGAATATAATTACAATATAAATATTCGAATTCAAATATACGAAGCATCTATGAAAAAAGGAATGTTTAATCTTCCGCCACCACCGCAATTTATTCTCCCACCTCCACCACTACTTCCATCAGATATATTGGATTTTAAAATGCATCCATTAACTTGTTCTTCTATTCGATCACCACGAAGCCAACATATTGATGTTCATATGATCTTTATCAGTTGTTTAACGTTCCTGATTGTTTCAATTCTTCTTACTCTACTATTCATATGGATTCAATCGTGTCACCGAAGAAAAGCTTTAATGAATAAATTTAATTCGACAACAATGCCTACTACTCAAAAAGAGTCTTCATTCTATAGTAATTGTTCGTATGAAACAATTGATTGTGACAATCATCTTGAATCAATCATTACGAAAGACACAATTATTTCAATAAATCGGAATGATATAATGTGTAATCAGTATCATCAAATCTCGTCTCCTTCTTCATATTATGAGTTTATATTTTATTAATATTCAATTATTTGATGGTAAACTTTAACAGTGACTACTTTTGTCGGTATTTACAAAAGAAAAAAATTCTTTCATGGACGTTAAAATAAATTGTGCAAATCAAACGTTTTCTTCATCTGATAGAATCGGAGAAACAATAGGTTTTTTCTTTTTTGATCTTTGTTTAGTTTTTTGAACACTATCCAAGAGATTATTCATTAATTTTGTAGTTTTTGGTCGTTTTTTTCGTTTCGGTGCATTTCTTTCTGGTATGGGAGTATTGTCATCTTCGGATAGATTTAAATCATTTTCATTTTCGTTTTCTTTTGCTTTTTGAGTTTTTTGTTTAAGTAAATCGAGTGCTGATTTTAACCTAGTGTTCTTCTTAAATTGATGTGAAGTACTTTCGAATAGGACTGGTGCAAAAAAACAATCAATACGAGATTGAATCTAAAATTTTAAGTATTCATATAAACATGAAGTCATTGACAAAAAAGAAGCGTACTTCATTTGTATTCATTCGTTTAATTACGGGTAGTATCATATCATCAATTTTTCTTCGATCCCATTTGAGTTTACTTCCTATGAATCTATAATAAATTGATGATTAATAAGAAGCGTGAAGGTTTTAATTAATTTACTCTCGAATGAGTTCTAATTGTGGCATAGCCCATGTAAACTTTGATTTATCAGGATCGACTTTCGGAGAAATATAAGCATCATAAATAGCTTGGTTCGGAAAACCTAAATATAAGTGAACTGTTTTTTCGTTTCGATTAGAAAAAATAAAAATCTGATATCATTCGTTTTTTGACGGTATTTATACTGCAGAAAAGAAGTTTTTGTACTACATTGTCTATGGCCCTACTAGGACTATTTGAGTAAGAAAACCTTATGCTTGTTTTTCAATTACAAATTCTAACAAGATTTTTACGGAAAATATCAAATATGATGATAGTTTCAATGAAAATTTTACCTTCAAAAAGTGCTAAATTTTTCAATCGTTTTAATACTTTCGATTGAGTTTTATAATCAGGCTTTTGCGCTTTTTTCCACCAATGTCTAATAAAATATTAAAACAAATCCGGTAGAGAAAATAAAGAGTTTTACCGAAATTTTTCTAATCGTTCCATGCATGTACCATGAAATTCTTGTAGTATTTCTAAAGCTGTCATAATACCAGCATTGGGAATACCGTTCGTATAATCCGAACCAACAATCATACCAATAGCAATCATGGATTCTCGATCTAAACCTAAATTATGCAACAGGTGTTAGATTCAAAGTGTTTTTTCTTCCATTCTTTTATTTAGGAAACGCTAGAAAAAAGTTTTCGTTATAATTATTCGCATGAAATCTCATAGTTCAATGTACCTAATTGATTTGCAATTATGGTTGAATCGTAATGTTCAACTAATTGCTCTTGACGAAAAAAATGTCGATAAACATGGGATGCACCAAATAACCAAACATCACTATCATCCGTAATAACTCCATCACATTGATTTGTTAAATCCAAATAAGCACATTGCGCTTCAGCTTCTGTTGGACTTACAAGATATGGAATACCAAATAAACGAAGAAGATACTAATAGATAAGGCAAAATCAAACAAATGATAAAATCGTTGTTTCTTTTTTCTTTTTGGCTCACCTGTGTATCTTCATGCATTGTATCTGTTAATGTCATTGTTAAACGTTCATTACCACGAGCTGCCGTCAGCTGAACAGCTATATCATTGGCTAACTCTGCTTGAAGTTCATCTAATCTTTCCTAAAAATAATCATCGATTGAAACGAAAGGTTTTTCTCTTCTACACAGTTCCTCTTACAGATTGATATATTGATGGTTGGCTACTGTCAAAGTCGGCTAGTAATGATTGATCTTTGTTATTGTCAATAAACATTGTAATATCTTCAATAGCTGTACTATTATTACTACTTTCATTTTCATCGTTATCAAGTTCTATAAATTCAGAAGATTGATTCGTATTTGTTTTGCTAATATCGTTGCTTTCATCATCATCACCACCAATAAAATGTGGAAGAATAATGGGTTCAGTAGATTTCGGAATTGTTGGAACATCGATAAAGTCAGAATCTAAAGGAAAAAACAAAATGGTAAGTTCTTCTATTCAGAAAAATGTTTTATTTAAGTTCACCATCGGAATCTGAAGAAGATTCAATTGTATTCGATAGATCATCATTATTATTTTCACTGATTGATCTCTGTTGATCTTCTAATGAGCGCTTAATAGCTATTTCCAATGCGATAGCTTCTTCATCATACTCTCTAATCGAAGAGTTTTCAACAGTTGGTTCATTTATTGGAGATGTTTTTTTTTCTTTTTCAATCGGTTTGTCTATCGTAACAATTTGTTCTTCTTCCAAAGATGATGATTTAAAATCATCTTTTTCAATTAAAAAGCCGATGTCAACAGTTGTATTTTGTTGCTGAACGTGCGTAGTAACAGGATCTCGATCCATTAGAGTATTAACACAAAAATCACTTGTCGACTGACGACTAAATGATGTTGACGATGAAATTCTTGATAGATTTGTTGCTGGTTCACTTTTTTGTGTAGTATCCGGTTTGATGAGAATATATTGTGTACAAGAATCGGATGCTAATTTACCTGCATAAACTTTAGTATTTGATTCTAATGGAATGTCTAGAATCAAAATCATGTTTTATAAGGATGAAATAGAAAGCGAGAAAAATTATTTCTACCAAATTTTTGTCGTTTAATAGCTTTATTAAGTTCAACAATCTTTTGACTAACGGTATTTTGTTTAAGTAATTTTTGTACTTGATAATCAGAAAAATCGTCACTTTTCTAAAGATGAACAATAATAACTCAATCTTTTTCTTTTTTGCGTATGTAACATTACTAACTTGAGGCATATCTTCGATTTGTTTTCGGCCACGTTTAAGACGTTCTTTCAAATTAGTCTATTGAAAAAAGTCAAAATCATATCGTTGAATTATTATTACTCGATGAATAGTTTACTAGAATTTCATGTTGCATTTCAACAGGTAAATTACTAAGTGCATCATCGTCCATTTCATTTACCTATAGGATTAACAAAAATTAGAATAATAATAATAAATTAAATACTAACATTAGGTAATAGATAATGATCATTAGCATCGTTATCTGCTTGTGTTTTTGACCATATTGTTCGTTGTCTTTTTACTTTAGTTACTGGTTGAAGCTCAGTATTTTCTATAATTTCAGCATCATCATCTTCTTCGCCTCTGAAAGAGATAATATTAAAATTAGTTTATTTTTAATATGTTGTGAAGTATTTACTCATTCTCATCATAGGCCAATTGTTCATATATATCAGTATCTGGCAATTCAAATATATCTTTTTCACGCTCGTCACAAGGTGCTGGTGGTAATGATTGAACTAAAATGAAAATCAAACAATTAAATATAACAAGAAATGCAAACGCTTTTTTCATTAATATAAGATTTTCGTGTAAAACTGCCATTATAATACATCACAAAACGGAGCATTCAGTGACAAATATGAATCAAATGCAGTTATTCTTATTTATGAGTCTAGTTTGCATAACTATAGAAGATGAAAGCCAAGGGAAAATATGTCAATGATGAATTCAGTACCGGCACTTACACTTTTCGACTTATGGAATGGATCAGGTGAGAAATTATTCAGTAGCTTTTAATTCTTCTACAATCTTTCAACTCAAACATGCTCGAGGGCATGCTCATATAAAACATTGAAATAGACATTTTACACGAATTTGCCTGCCTACTCTTGTTTCAAGCTGTTTGAGAATGTAATATTTCGATTTTACAAACAAAATATAAATAGTTACTTACTTTCTTCGCCTCTTAGCTGTTGAATAGCTAACATCTTCAAGTAATTTGTTCGCATTTTACTTTTTGCTTCTTTGATTTTTATTGCTGCAACTTCTCGTCGTTGCCGTCGTTCAGCCGAAAAAACGAAAAGACACTCGTTTTGAAAACAAATCTTTAATCTTATTATTCAAACTTACAAGGGTTCGTCGTTTCAATTCTGGTACTCCGCCATCAAATATAAAAATTGGTTTAATTTTAAAATGTAATAATTTGCAAATACGATGTAATAATAGAATTATATGTGGATTTTGTCGGTCACGCATGCCTTTAGCTGCTTGATGTAGCCAAATACTGATATCTGTTCGAGATAAGAATTATACGAATATAGATTAATTTAAGTATATCTTTATTTTTACATTCTTACCAATAGCTAAGACTTTTCCTTCTAAACCTTTATTCATATTAACCGGTCGGCCGGTTGCTTCAATTAGTTGCCAAAAATTTTGTACTCCCATGCTATTCTATAAAATTAACAAAATCTCTTTTTTGTTTGTCTAAAAAATATTTTTAATCATCATCACCATTATTATTCGACACATTACATTAAAAATAAATATCAAAAATGGACAGTAAAAAGAACACTACAGGAACTACTAATGGTAAACGTATTTATTTACACGTAGTAGTAAAATGAGGACGATGCTATCTCCGCTGGCAACAGCTCATTGTCGATAGTAAGAATTGAAAAAAGAAATGGAAAGGAGAAGCTTGACAAAATAAAAAAATTAACTCAAATCGAGCTGAAAAACACAATTGTTTTTTTGTTCATTATTTTCATTTTTACCAATCGAACATAATCGCACACAATCTATTGTTTGTTTACCAAAATTAAATTCGTTGGTTTCTTCGTGCTGTATAGATGAATATTTTCTTTTACATTTTAGTAATGTTATATGTGCTACAAACTCGTAATAATTTCCAGCACAAAAAATACCATGAACAGTTTGTTTTTGTTGTTCTTCCGTTAAACGTTGAACGATTAATGTTCGTAAATTCTCTAATCGTTGATTTTTTTTACATTTAACATACAAGACTTTATCGTGAAATATATTCACATCATTAAATTCTAGATTAATCGGATCGGGATATGAGCAGTGGTATCGAATTTCATCTTGAAGAGAATTGAATAGTTTTATACATTGTTCGATTTGTGATGCTGTTTCAATATGTAATGTTAATAGTGTTAAATGAAGATTCGATGTACTCGTATGCGAGGAGAACATTGATGGATAAGATGAAAGTAAACGCTCTTGATAATTAGAATAATTCGAAATGAAGATAGGATCGGTCATAGGTATCGAAAGAAAATAATTGGGTTTGTAGGCACCGTCAGTAATTGTCAAGTAACGTGGTGGAGGAATGGTAACATTAGGTTTTTCAATGATATCGTTATCAGGCGTCCTTATAGATATAAATGGAAATTATTTTCGATGGAAATATAAAACTAGAAGCCTACCGAGATGAATCAGTGTTTTCCATACTATTTTTATGTCTTTCAATGACATCATAGATTGTTTGTTTATTTCCAGTAGAACCGAACATTAAATCGGTTCGTGTTTCTTTATCCCAAATGATTTCATTATTATATTTAAAATATTGTATTCGATGTTTCGGTATAGCAAGTATACTTGAATGTCGATCACTTACAGTTGACAAATCAACTTTAAAGTCAAACTCATCAAATGATTTTTCTTGCATACCAAGAAAACGATCAACATATCCAACACGAAAAAGTCGTTTATCGAGAAGATCATCCCATTCAACACGTGCTATAACGTCTTCAGCAGTTTTCATAGAACTACGTTTAAGATGTTCTGTTTCTTGTTCATTGGTGTAATTGTGTTGTGCAGTTTCTAATGAAATACTTGTTTTACTATTTTTTCGTGAGCGTTGTGTTGAGGATACAGTCGAATTCGCTTGATTATTATTACTAGCATTTGAATGAACAGTGACTGTTTGAATATTATTTTCATTGAACCACTGAAGAAGACGAGAATAAATTGATAAAATCATTGGTTTATTAAGTAATGTTTCGCAATAGGACTGAAGAAGTTGTTGAATAACTATGATTTGATCGGGAGCAAGGCGAGGTGCAGTTATTATTATTTCAGGAAGTTTTGATGGATAATCCTCTATGATCAAAAATAAAACTTTGTTTTTTGTTTTTTCTATGATACTTACTATCCAATTGTAATGTCAATGAAATATCATATTGATCAAGTCGAATTTTTAAAATATAAGAGAATTGTCCGATCGATGATAAGATACGTATTTTGTCTTTGAAATGATCGCGTAATGAAGTCATTTCTTCGTCTTGTACATCGCTCATAGATTTTGTTTCATTTGTAGTAGCCATAAGGTCGTCTGTTCGAACTTCAAAAGTATCCATTAATTGATAATGAAATGTTTTATTGTCTTTTTCTGTTAGCCGTCGACAACACGCACTTGACTGTGCAAAAAAAGAAAGGTAGCTTTATATACATTTATATACCTTCAACATTCTTGAAGTATATTTACGTATATCCAGGCAGTACAGAAATCTTCCGACCTTTTGCACTTCGTTTGCTTGAAATTGAAGTAATCAATTTCTGTGTATATTCATATAAAATAATATTGCAATATATTATATTGTTGCTCAATTATGTTGCTTTCATTGGTTAAATGTTTGAAACCAATGAAGTCTTTGTAAATGACTAAAACATGACTCGTGGTTAATCTTACTCAATTTTATTTATTTCTGTATTAGAAAGCGTAAAATCTACATGTCAAAATCTGTTAGTAGATTGAGCACCAATAGAAATTCACGTTTGAACCTCCGTAATGATGAGACTTTTTCTTTGATAAATCTGCTTTAGTGTGCTATAATCTATTATTTCATTATGGTGGTCGAAATACGAATGGAGTCATTTAATCTTCGCTAGACAATATGAAGTTGCTACTTGTATTCTATAGTTATTACATTTTTCTTTACAACAATAAATCGATATGAATAACTTATTTTGTTTTTTTGCAGATAAATAAAACAATAAAATGGGTCGACGACCTGCACGATGCTATCGGTATTGCAAGAACAAGCCTTACGTATGTTCTATTTTTTTTATTTTTAAAACAAAGATTCAAGTCATATTCATTACTTTTTTATTTTTATAGCCAAAATCTCGGTTTTGTCGTGGTGTACCCGATCCAAAAATTCGTATCTTTGATTTAGGACGAAAGAAAGCACGTGTTGATGAATTTCCATTATGTGTTCATCTTGTATCCGATGAATATGAACAGCTTTCAAGTGAAGCACTTGAAGCTGGACGTATCTGTGCTAACAAATACTTAGTTAAACACTGTGGTAAAGATGCATTTCATATAAGAATGCGGGTTCATCCATTTCATGTTCTTCGAATCAATAAAATGTTATCATGTGCTGGTGCCGATCGTTTACAAACAGGTATGCGTGGTGCTTTTGGTAAACCATTAGGAACTGTTGCTCGTGTCAATATTGGACAAGTTATCATATCAGTCCGTGTTAAAGATCAACATAAAGCTCAAACAGTTGAAGCATTACGTCGTGCTAAATTCAAATTTCCAGGTCGACAAAAAATCTTCGTTTCGGATAAATGGGGTTTCACAAAATTCACCCGTGAAGATTATGATCGCCTATGGCAACAAGGACAATTAGCATATGATGGTGTCAATGTTAAGTATTTGCCTAACCATGGACCACTCGATGCTTGGAAAAAACGACAAACCGTTTAAATTAATTTGTTATGGTTATTTATAAAAATAACGCAATTTTTATGAAATAAGATCAGCATAAAGAATAACAAGAATAAAATATAAACCGAATAATTGATGTTATTTTTTAGAAGGCTTCATTTATCTATAATTGGTTGTATTCAATTCATGCTTACGAATTTATTCTATACAGTAAAGATTGTGAGAAGAACATGAGAAAGTTTTCATTGAACTTAAAAATAGTTAGGACACATTTTCTTCTTCATTTGTGAAAAATGTAAATTCGTTTTTTCAATTGAAATATCGATTCAGGATTTTAGAGACAGGCGAGTTGATTATAAAAATTTATTATGGATCTCTTTCTTGTACACAACAGTATCTTTTTTAAATCAATTGGAATAATTGCAAACTAAAACTATTCTTGATGGTACTTTTAACTAATTCATCAGATTGCATCTTTTCAGGGTAAAGATCATTAGAGACTGATAATTCATGAATGAAAAATTCATTGTAACATTACTTTAGTCAGCCTAAGAATATAATTAAAATCTTCTAAGAGAATTAATACCTCAAAAGGTAGCAGATATTGGACTAACGTGGAATAAATTGAAGTTCGCACTAACAAATCTAAAGCACAGACTGTCTTAGCAAGATAGTTGTATTTATAAGATGCATACATTGTGAATGTTCAACAGTTTCGTGACATATTTCAGTTGAATACTGAGAAGTTTAGAGAAAATCAAAAAACTGAATTACAATGGGACCAGCTACGATTTAGGCAAAAAATTCCTATTTACCATCTTTCAATCATATTTTAATATCATGTTCTGTGTGTTTTGAACGAATCTATCAAGTTTAAAGTCATCTACAGAATGTTCTTTTGATACTTTTGAATTAATCATATGTTTTTCCGAGACATATGAGGACGTTTTTTGCTTAACACTTGTTCAAATCAGTAATCCAAATCAACACACCATGGCAATATGTATTAAACTTGATAGCATATATCGGTATTAAAATTTTAAATGTAGAAAAATCAATAAAAGACTCATCTTTGATTTTTATTCGAATTCGAGGACAATACCTGATTGATACTAATGTGAAAGTTTAGATTATTCCATTTATTGAGTAGCTCCGAAAATAAGATGCGATTATAAGATTTGTCCGATCCGTAGGCAGCGGAACGATTTCGATCTAGGGTAGGCTCAACGTTTTGGACAAATCAAGTCTCACCATTGAAAAAAAAATAGAGTTGAAGTCAGACTGAAATCGACTAAAAGCACTTTAAGTGTCAATTATAAGCACACGATTTTGATCGTCTTTTAATCATTTTTGTTTAGCTCGCATTTCTGCACGGCACAAGTAATGTTATTCGAGTGTCTAAGATTTGAAAGTAATTTTAAACAGAAGTTACAGAAACAATTCAGCTATCTTAAATTTAGAATTACGAATTGGATGCCAATTTTAATGCCAAAAACGTTCAACTAATACTTTATTGCGAACGAGTTATTAGTAGAGAAAATATGAATGATCTTGTAATAATGCGTTATTTGTTAGAAAAGCGCCAAAACGAAACAAGAATAAAACCATTTTGCATATAACAACCTATCCAAACATTTATCTGTTCCAACTTCAGTCTATCAAGGTCTACCCACTTTCAGCTTAGGGTAGGCTTCAGCTTCGCTAGCCTAACGGCTCCGTCGCCTACGGTACGATCTCATTCAGAGACCTAGTTCGGATAGATGTCAACATCGTCTAGAAACATCCCTAGGCGAACTTTTTTTGACATGCACATGAACATCTTGAGCGCAAGTCTTGACAAGCGCTTGAATAAAAGAGTTCGACTAGGGATAATCAATGGTTTGAGCTATATCGTTCATAATTCTTTTATTGACGTCCCTTGTTCTTAAAATAGATATTAATTCGCTCATGTGTATTGAAATTTTATTGCACGAAAAAAAAAAACATAATATTCAAAGCAATTATTTTTTTCTTCACATATATGATCGAAATAAAGAAGAACATGCGAAGTCGAATTCATTTACCAAGGTCGACATGACGCATCCTCATCGCGACAATATTGCCAGTATCCTTCAAATCGACCTGTTGCGGGCTGCATCAATGATGTGTAAACAGTTTCCTGAAACGAGAAATAAATACAGTGATACTCAAAGCAACAATAAGATAAGTGACTATACTTTATTAAGCATCGGCCGTGAAGAAAGTACATCAAATAAAGAGTCAAATGCAACTTGATTTTTGCCTTTTGTTTTCATGCATTCAATACATGGTGTTAAACGATCATCAAAAATCGGTTGTTTTTTCCAATTATCATAGTTAGTTTGTGCTATAAACCATAAATTATCTTTGCCCAATACTTTAATATCATCGGATCCAATTCGTGATCGAGTTATAATGGCACCCTATAGTCAAAAAAACCCAGAATACAGTTCTGACATAAAATAAATGTGCTTACTTCCCCAGCTTTTGTTCCAGCAACAATGTAAAAACATGGAGCTAACAGTGGTTCTTCAGCTAAGTATTTCAGTGTTTGATCATAACTTTCAGATTTTGTGAGCATATCACGAATAGCAAATGTAATAAATGATTGATTACGATTAATATTATAGATCCATTCAATTAAACCGATATAACCACCTTTAACAACATTACGTTCGTTGATTGAAACACTAAATACACCTGGTTTAATACCGGTCAATGATCCAATAAAACTAAATCGAATATTAAAATGATTGCAGGAAAGCGTCTAACTAAATCTATCATACCCGAGAAAAGTCGTGGTTTTGAAAAGAACTTGGCCATTTTGTGTATAATTAATTTGAACCATGAGTGGACGCAGTTTTTCTGTTAATCCCCAAGTATGATTTATCTTATCCCAACTAAAACATAGATTCATATAATAGTATAGTTCATTTATATCTTAAACAAATAATCTTTCAGAAAAGTGAATATACACAGCAAAGTAGACTTTTATCCGAGATTTAATCGTTGCTTTCTCTCTTATGAATTCCATTTGACTTTGATGAGAACGACACATATAAACTCGTAAATTGGCGAATTACTTCTGAACAAAACAAAAGAACGATGTTAATAACGTGCCTTATGAATTTGGTCACTCTCTGATCTGACCATATTCTATCTATTTTAAACTACGCTTAACACATATAGTGAAATAAAACAATATTTTTTTTTCTCTTTTACCCGAAGGGTCCTCCGAAGTCAAGATTTCGTCCATGAAAGATATTGCCATTTTCATCTTGTCCAACAACAGATGTACATAAAGACGAGACTTCATAAAAAATATTGTACAGAACGACTTCACCTAGATAACAAGAACTAAATATGATAAATTATAAGAAAACATTATATTCAATTTACCTAATGGCAATCCAGATGCTTGACTAATTCCTTTCATTTCGTCGCCATAGGGTGCTGGTAACGTATCAGCCATTTCTGGCTATTTTAATAGAATGATAAAAACAAAAGCGAAATCCTGAGCAAATAGATCATCAGTGAAATCCTACTAGTTTAGTATCAATAAGAGTAATCAAATATTGAAGTTCTGGTGAAATTTCCATAAGAAACGTTTTCAAATATGCAAGTAAATCAGTGAGCTGAAACGGTACATAAGGAAATAATCTGAATCCACATTAATCTTACTTCAGTTTTATATCTAGCTGCAACATCTTTCCAACGTTCGATTGGTGGTGCATCTAAGTTGATAACGTAGGTTGGTAAAATTCGATCAGGCGTTGGTGGATATTGGCCAGATAAACATTCTTTTCCAATCTTAGTTAAAAGAAATGGTAAAAAAACAATGATAATCATTAATTAAATTGTACATACGATTCCTTGAATCAAACAGATAAAGAATAAAACCGAGCCTGCGTGATACACTTTCATCCTTGTTCGAAGACAACTAATACGATTGCTGAGTGCTACACCTGAAAACTTACCCAAAAATAAGATAAGATAAGAATAAAAAAAAACATCAATAAGCTTGTGAGGAAAAAATAACCTGGCTTGATACAACATATATTTTAATAAATTCAATCGTAGGCAAACAAAAGAAAAACCTAACTATGAAATACATTTTAAACTCTTCGCACTTAAACGCCATTCCTGTTATCAAGTAGTTACAACCAACGGATGCAAATAATTTCATATTGTAGGCATCGGTAACAAAATTCAATTCAATAATGATATTCAATAGATAATAAGTGCACAAAAAATGAGGGTGTGTGTGGTTGACTAGATTTAAAAACGCCCTTCAAGCATTGCTGCTATCTAGAGGGTGTGACTTTTTGTTTTATAATTGTGCCCGATAACGACATCTTACTCATGTCTGATTTGTTTCCTACTTTTCATCCGAAGTACTGTGTTCTTACGACGAGTCTGATATTTTTTGTTGTACGGAAATAGATTTTTAGGATTCTTTCAGTTTAACTTAAGCACATTCTTCATGATAGTAATTACTATGTCATTAATAAAAATTAAAGACTATTCTCAGGTGAGAAAAAAATGACTGGTTTAATATTATTAGAAAATGACGGACATAACGAACAGATGCTGGTTTCTCATACGTGAAATGTAATTTTAAGAAACGATCTGATCATTCATATTTTATGATAAATTTTTGATAAATAGCCATGTTTCGATGTATGGATTAGTATTAATACTAATTCGTTTTAGTAAATTTATGTTATAAACTAATTTATCATGTTGCAGTTTACTATTTTAGTTGTTTCAAAATGTTTATTTTATTGATAAATACGAGCAAAAAGAAACGCCATATTTGCTCATTCATTTATAACCGTCGTACAAAACGAATCGCATTTAAAAAAAAAGTAAAACAACCAATATATTGCCTAGTTTATATTCGATCAAGTTCTTTTTGTCTTCTAAGTTATAATTCAAAATATAACGCATAAAAAAGCACAACACGAAAATAATAAACTATTCGATGTTTTTCGAGAAAATACATAAAAAATATTATCATGACTTTCCAGGTGAAGCAATAGAGGCTGGTGTTATAATTGGATACTTTTTTAATTTTACATCGGGTTGTTGTCGTTGCAACATTTCAGCAACAGCATCGTGAAATCCTGATTGATTTAATAAGAATGCGCTGATATGCCCACGAGGAATATATCGGATATGACAACCTGGCCATAAATCATTCATATGTGGAATACCATCACGTATGATATATCCATCGTTTATACAAGCAATAAACAGAGCATTGGATATGTTCGATTGTACTGGACGTGAATAATTGAACAGAGACGTAAATTCATCCATTAAAAGGCGCATCATATCTTTAATAGGATCGGCAATCGTCATATTGGAATCAGTAGATCGATTTCGTTCACGTAAATATTCATAGAATGTTTGATATGCTTTGTTTTCATAGAATTGCTGTTTTAAAAGTGCCCATGGGATAGTGCGTGAAAGTACACCATCACAATATACTGTCGAACTTGTTGACCAGGAAGCACAGGATAATAGAGAAAGAGGTCCAGGCCAGCTGAAATATGAATATATAAAATGATTAGCAACGTTATTGAACTAGTAATTTGAGTCTATGCAAATCGTATGTAAAGAAATGAAAGTGAAACTTCTGTTCATTTTCAGACAATCTGAACCTATTTCGTAATTACAAAACTAGAATTTTATTTTCATTCAGATGCCTGTGAATGTCTGAAAATCTTGTCTAGTTAACTCTATTCGAATCACTATTGAAATCTGTTTTCATCTAATCATGCCATAGAGTCTTACTTTGTAAATGCTAACGAAGCCATATGTCCTCCAAGAGAGAATCCATGCAGAATAGCTGGCGTTAATTTCATTTTTTGACACCAGTGAAGTAATACCAGTGTTTCTAAAATAAGTGCTTTACCCATAATATATAAATCGGTAACATAGAATAATGATGAACGCGATTGTTGTGGGGGCTTTCTTAAACCGTAATATGGATTTTCAAGAAGAATGGAAGCTATTCGATATTGATTTATTAATGGTACTGCAGTGACTAGTCGTCGTCGACTGAAACCGTGATCACCGGTTCCGGCATAGCAAAGTCCTATGGGTATTGGATCTATACCTAACCGATGATCACGTGGTAAAATAAGTTGAAAATGAGCTGTAGCTATTTCGGGTGGGACCTATCCAGATAAATACAACAAACTAACGATATTATGAATGAAACTATTATATTTCTCACCAAATTGGGTAAATAATCGGCAAGTGGTGAACGAAATCGACCATGAATATAAGTGCAATCACCTTTTATCTCTTGTTTAACAATTTCAATAGTATTGTCTTGTACACTTTCAGCTGGTACAAGTTTTAAACATTCATCTCTAACACCAATTTTATCGCGACGATACATAAAAATTTCTTGCAGATGCAATGGATTTCCCCAACCACGTACAAATGATTGGGTCAATATGAAACGCCGAAAGATATTATCAAAATTCATTCTTTCAATCGTACTCGAATCTTTAATATCATCTAGAGAATTATTTATGCGATGTTTTTTTTCCTTTTAATCAAACAAACAAATAGAAAAAGATAGTACAAGGTTGTTGTTTTTTCAATCGTTTATAAACACAAGCATAGGGGAAAAGCCAACAATTTTATGTTCATTTTATTTTCCTAGAATCCATCTCACTAGTTTACTACGATAGAGAAACAAATTTTAAAACAAAAAGAAGAACAACATTTTTCTATTGCATAGAACCGGAAATGTTAAGCAACATTTGAGGACCATGTGGTAAATAGACGATATTTCGTGATTTCGATAATTGACCAGCAATATCTTCGGCGGCTTCTATTCGTCGAAGTTCGATCAAACCTAAACGCATATGCAAAGAAAAATACGTGAAACAACGCAGAGAAGAGCTAGTCAAAAATTTACCATCGCCAGCTTCACCTAGCGCTTTGCCAATCAGATCAGCTGCACGTGCATCACCTTCGGCTGCAATAACATTCGCTTGACGACTTTGTTCAGCCTTTGATTTTCAAAATAAACAAAGTAGATAAGACAAATTTTATCTTAATTCATTTACTTTTTCGACTAAAAATCGTTGTTTTTCAGCATCTTGTTGTGCAACTTGTTTTAATTCAACGGCACTTGTAAATTCTGGTCCGAAACTCACGTGGGTCTGTGCAAAAGAGAAGAAATAGGATCACGTTGACTTTCGTCGTTCGAATGTCTTACAATTGAAATATCGTCAAGTAGTAAACCAAATTGAGCTGCACGTTCTGTTAATAATTCACTAACACGTTGAGAAATAAGTGTACGTTGTGTGATCAATTCAATTGCATCAAATTGAGCCTACTGATTATTTATAGTAACAAGAAAATAAAGCAAGGTTACCAATGATTTACCACAACAGATTTTAAAACTTCATTCGTAATTGATGGTAAAACACGTTCTTCATAATCTAAACCCAAATTAGTGAAGATTTTCGGTAAAATTTCAGCTCTTGGTCGATAAAGAATACGTAATGTTATATTAATCGTTTGTAAATCTAAGAGAAAAGTAATTATTTTCTGTTATTTTTCCAAGAGAAAAAAAATCGTTGCCGTCTCATCCACATCGTTCACATACCTTTTGTTCCGGTTATTGATGGAATAGATCGTGGTCGCGTACGAATATCAAATATAATGGGTCTATGAAGCCATGGAATCATAAAGTGTGTTCCTTCACCTATAACATCTGGTTTAACACCTTGAAAACGATCAAAAATTACCGCTCGATGACCCCCATCAACTAAAACAGATTCATAAAGTTAGATAAAACATTAAAAAGATTTATTGGTCTGACACTGCGAACTTTCCATCAAGCATCTCATAATCTTACATTAATTACAGTTCAATATTGAGACAACAAAAGCAGTTCAATGCTACACATGATTAGATTCTCGAAAATCATTCGGATGCATCAGTACAATATGGACGGTCATCCTACTTTATAAATTCCTCCGATAAGATACCAACAACAAAAAAAAAGCTTATTTCTTCTTTTAATAAATTACCATTATAGAGCATAGAATTGATGGCACCACCAGCAATCGCTAAGCCAATACCAAGTCTTCCTAAATAATAAAATCTTCGATCTAAATCAACTACTATCAAAATCTTACCAATATTGTTAAACAAACGAGATGAAGCCATTGTCGCCTCTCTGCCTCTTTTGTTTTTATACTCTAAAAGTAGATATGCATGATCATAAGCGAATCGAATATGTTTAGTTGTTTTATTTTTATTTAGCAAATAGTTCCGGAAAAAAAAACAAACGAAGCCATATGAAAATTCATATCTCTATCGATACAACAATGTACCACTATTTTAATCTATCTATCTACTACAGTAACAAACCAATGCAATATATACATAGAAAAAGATTAAATAACAATAAACTTTGAAAGAAAAAAAAAACATGCATACTTTAAACAAACAACCGAAACCCACTCGAACAAAATTGAGCACCGTTTTGAGACGACAAAAGAGAAGAAGAAAACAAAAACAAAAACAAAAACAAAACGTATATCAAGTTTAGCACCGTTCAGATATTGTCCGTCGATTTGATGGTCGTGGTTGACCACGATTACGAGTTGGGAAATGTTCCCCACTGGTTTTTAATGAATGTGACGTATCACTGTTCTTTGCTGCAGCAGCAGCAAGCGCTTCAGGTGCTGGAACAGTCTAGAAGAAAAAAAATGAAATTATTAGAAGAAAAACAAATATTTAACTTTTTTCTTGTCAATTACTTTAATTCCTGATTTGGTTGGATAAAACTGTTGTGGAAATGATGCACCATCAACACGAAAATCTTCCAACTTTTTATAGTTTTTTAAAATATCTTCAAGTTTCGAATTTATTTTTTGTTTTTGTCGAGAATATTTTAAAAATGCCCAGAATTTTTCCAAACCATATAATTGTCCTAAATAGAAGAATAGTTTATTAATTGATATTGAATCTTTCGTTTTCTGTTTCTATTTTGATTATTACCAGCTTCATAATCGCGAAGAGTTTCTTGCTGAAAATCTTCAAATACATGTTGACGAAAATTATTTTCTAAACCATATGTATAAAATCGAAATAAACATTCAACACCATAGCTAAACATAAATAAGAAAAATATATTTTTCTTATTTTCATAAAACAATTTATCTTTATACCGATGACCAGTTCTAGCATCGTCAACAGCCGATTGTTTAAATTCATTATACATACGACGATTAAAATTTTCACGTAAGAAAAATGACCAAAACCGATACAGTGTATTCATTTCCATGGATTGGCCAGGACCCAGTTTAGTACGTTCTAAAAGTAAAAAGAAACAATAAAGTTCACCGAATTACAAAACTTCCAAGAGAAATATACGAATTTTGGTACTCCGAGAATTCATAGAGCTAAAAAATCTGGTTCTTATGGTGAACTCCTCATGAAATTTTATGATCTATTAGATTAAAACTCAGTTTTTTGCTCATGAGTTTATTACCATCAAGACATTCTTGTTTGTATTTAAGATAAACTTGTTGAGTGAAACCATTTTGTTGTAAAAGTGTATGCGATGGATGTTGAAATTGCGGAATTTCCACTGGAGTTGAACCATAAAAATTTGAACTATTACTATGCCAATAATGATTTTCATTATACGATGATGAATATTGATCATAGAAATCTTGTTGTCGATTTCTAAATGAAGAAAATGATTATCTTTTATAATAATCGATCTTTAATTTATTGTGTCTATTAGGAACAAGTAATATATGAAAATCATTTTTGTTGTTGTTGTCGTAATTAAGCAAAACACAAGTTATTTTGTTTTCTTTCTATAATCATTTACCTTATTGTCATTGAATAATAAGAAAAATGAACTTATCTGTAATAAGGAAAATCTTTCTCGGTAAACGTACTCAATTCAAATATATAGAAAAATAAATGCAAACAAAAATACATGAGAATTCTTACGCAGTATTTGATATTGTATTGCTTCGTGATTTGTTTGTTGGATGACCGCGGGAATCAAAAACCCAGCCAACTGAACTTTCTATGGGCGGATTTTCACTATGACGTGTTTTACGTTTAAGGCCAGGTGTCTAAAACAAGACGGATTATAATTTACCATCTATTTAAAGAAAAACCTACATCAGGTTTAACAACAGGTGCATCTTTGGTAATTGGATAAAATCGAGCAAAATGTTTTGCACGCGAATGAGGCGTTCGCGGTTCTTCTTTATGTGTATCAGATGGTTGTTTTTTATTAGTTGCATCTTTCATTGCAGCTTGTGCATCAGCAACATTATTCTCATTGGTATTTTCAATATTATTTGGTAACGATTGAGATACAAAATCATTACTTGGTGATGATGATGATAAATTTTGTTGATTGTGATTAGGTTGATTTTTAGGACGATAGAATGGTTCAACTTGTGGTGTTGAAATATTGTTTGAACGGATAATATTAATTGCTGGACTACGAAATTGCTTTTCATTTGTTACATTCAATTGATTATTGTCTAATAGAAAAAAATATTTCGTTCTTAATAACAAAAGAGTCATTGGAGATTTTCAGGTATATTCATTATTTTATAGTCTAACTTTAACAAAGAGTCGCATAGACAAGGGTTTCATGGTGTTATTCAAATAAAAAAAGAGACATTGGATTCTAATGTATTTTCACAAGTTCTATTCAACGACAAGATGGATTTATTGATCTATTTGTACACACTACATTTATCAAAACAAGAATCTACTGGCTATGAAAATTGTCTATAGAGGAAAAGTTGTTTCAGAAGTCAAAATCTCACTAAATTAGCTACTATTCTCTATGTTGTTCGCACTAATTTACAGCGTTCATCATCCTAATCAACTATATGCCTAGACAAAGTATGAAATCATAAAATATCCATAGATAGGTTTCTCGATGGTTAAAAAATGCCCTAGATAGCTCATAAAAATCTAATTTTTGTAGATAAATATTTTAAGAGCACAGCTCCAGCTATTAGTGTATGTTTTTACCTGTCTCAGTTTTTGATGGAATGCATTGGTCGGTGACTTCATCTTCGTTTTCATTGGTTTTCTTTTCAGCATTTGTTTCTGATTGATCACGTAAAGCATCCATCTCATCTTGACTTATCAATGTTAGTGTATTTTCAAACGATGGCTTTGGTCTATCATGCCATAATGCTTCTTCATACCATCTTAAACCATCCTCAATAATTTTTGCTACTTCAGCGGTTACTTTAGCTCTTGGTGTATGATCAACCGTACGACTATAATTTTGTGGATGGTGTTTACGATTTGATGGTGGAGTTGGCGTTATAATAAGAATTTTATCAATGTCTTCATCGTCTAACTCAAAATCAGAACCTTCACTTTTACTAAAAATTAAGAAGAAATCAGTTTTTTTCAGAAAAAAATGAACCGCATACTGTTGACTATATGTATCAAGTGTTAATGATGTTGTTCGACGTCGATTGGGCACACGAAATACTGGTCCATTTGTTTGTTTATTTGGTAATTCTTCATCAAATTGAAAATCTAATTCTTCACGATTATCTGATCTTGTTGGCTCTTGTGGTAGTATAACCTGAGATGGCTCTTTTTTCTCCTAAACAACAATAAAAAATGATAAAATAAAAATCAACATGACTAAGTTAAAACCTTTTTCTTTGTTGGTTTCTTTCGTTTTGTTGTTTTATGATTCCAATCAGTTTCAGTTTTTGTTTCTTCTTTTTCTAATAAAGGCGTTTCATTATTGTCAATTTGAATATCTAATTTTAAAAGGGTTAGCCTGGAAAATATATAACTACGTGTATTCGTACTTTGATATTCATTTTTCCATATTTTTCCAGGTTGAAAATCAGGTACATCAGGATTTAATGCTGTTAAATGATTGTTTACGTCAATAATTAATGGCCATCGATTAGGTTCATTTCGGCAACGTACCATATATTTATCATTAAGTTCAACAACAAAACTATCTTGAACAGCCTAGAAATAGGACAAGAGCATTTTTCTATCGTTAAGGAATTGTTTTTTTTTAGAACTAACATCAGCAATAAGATGAACATCATCACATAATGATCGAACTCGATTAAAACTGGCAATTAACGATAGTGGTACATAACCGTCTTTTGTCATCTGCTGTCGAAGAAATATATCTACTTGAAGATTTTCTGGACTAAAATAATATTCCCTAGAATAAAGTTCAAAGGATAAATTTTCATTCTTTCGTCGAAAACATCAAAACACGTACACTTGACGTCGAAGAAGCTCTTTTAATTGTTGTTCAGTATAAGCAGGTATTATTGGAGTGGAATAGCCATCAACAGTAGAAAACGATGTGTCTATATCGGTCGGTGAATTTGTCGATTCGTAATAATAAGGACCTTCGATATAGGGTAATACAAACGAACAATCATCAATAATGACAGTTTCATCGTCAAATATAAATTTATGAACATCTTGTATTGGATTGTTCAGACCTGTATTCATACGAGAAGAAAAAGACATTCAATTAGAAAATAATTGCATGAAGAAGCTACGATAAAAATCTACTTTTAGAGAATGTTTTATTTCATGTAGTCAAACAGATTTATCCAGAAGTAATGTAATCAGGATTTTGTCAATAGGACTATGGCATGAGAGTGCTGTCGGTTAGAAAGGCTCATGAAGTCAATTGGTGAGCTCCTCCTCAGTAATGCCAACTGAAACTGATTTTTTAAAATCATCAACACTAAATGGTAACTACTGTATCATGCATTAGTATTCACACCAGTAGAAAAATTAATATTCCATAAACGAGATGTACAACAAAAAATTTCCAAGGTTGTTCTGTATGGTAAATTGTTTACTTAGTATATATTATAACAAACCATTTGACTAATAGTTCATAATGAACTTCAAAATCAATTATCTAATCGATTTCTATTATGTGAATACTGTATTAATCGTTTTACGAGATTTTGGTCATTATACCTCATACGAATGTATTTTACAAGCGATTTCATATTTTTTCTGCCGAATAGATACGCCATTTTCATACCAATGCATTTGTAGTAGTTAATAGAAAGACAGTTTTACCTGTTTCATCTCCAGTTGGATTGGCATTAGCAGATACTTCCGGTTTCTTTTTTCGTTTGCCGTGTTTCTCAGGATATAATTGTACTGGATTACCTGCTTGATCATAATCTTAAAGAAAAAGAACAAGAAAATTAATCAGTACAAATTGAAATAATAATATTGACATACAATAATATGCATAATAATCTTGATATGGATTATAAACAGTTGGTGTTGTTCGATTCTTTCGATTACGCTTAGGGGTTGCACCATCAAGACTACGTGTACGAGTTCGATTATTTGTACGTCCACCACGCGAATTTCGACTTGAACGATTTGCTTTAACTGAAGTTGGCTTTGTAATACTTGGAGAGTCGGTTGATAATACTGGCTTTTCATTACCTTCGTTGTTTTCAAATGGTAATGGTACCCATTTTTGTTTGCCTGAGACAAATATTTCATTCAAGAGTGAATTCTGCAAAAATTTTTCTTCAAATTACCTTTTCTATTACGTGTCCGTGGTGTATTTGGCTGCGATGAAACGGTTACAGTCGGTTCATCGGAGGCCTCAGCGAGACTAGGCCAATCTTTTGGCTTGAAAGCAAAACAGTTAAAATATATATTGAGCAATTAAAAAATCTGCTTATATCTTACAGGTAACACAGCAGAATCAGGTGGTGTATCTAATGTGTGAATATTCGCATTTGCTGATGAGGATTGTTGCCAAGCTGAACAGTTGTTCGCATTCGATATAGCTGTTTCGTTTGGCATGGTCCCTCTTGTTCTTTTCAGAACAATTTTTTTTTGCAAAATTTAGTTATATCTTAGATCTTCAACAGACAAGAATAAAAAATGAATGAAATGATATTTCGTATGTTTCGAGATAAAAACATAGGAGAAACTTAAAAAAAAACATACACAAAAGTGAAGGGTATATATATAAGCACGTGATCATAAAAATACGCAGTTATTTTTGCTTATTTCGCATACGTCTAATTGTTAAGATTAGGTGTGCGTTTTATCCGTATTGTGATAAACTATGGATAGTACTTATTTCGTTTTATTGGTTTGACTTTTTCACCGTTTGAATATAGTATCAAGAAATCATGATGCGATCATTCCCAGCCTCATTCGAAAAGAATTTGATTTCATTCTAATTGCCAATATTTGATTTCGATTATTAAAATTACAATTTAATATAAACCCACAGCTAATTATTGTACGACCGATGTCGCTAGAATCGTGTAAATCTATATTCCATATGATGATGATGACCTTTAGTAATGTAATTATTTATGTTTGCAATGCATCGCTTGATTCAATTCTCATCGATCATCAATCAGCAATCATATGTTCTAGTATAATTAAAGGAAGTTTCTTAGTCAAAGGTTAACAAAACATTCTGAATATTGAATAAATTTACAACAAAAACCCGATCATTTAAATAATACTATGCAAAATAGTGTTGATACAAATAAAAGTTGCCAACAGCTGAGAAATCTTAAAGTTACGAATTCTTTTTTTTCTATATTGGTAATCATCAGTACCAATTCGAATTCGATAGAAAATTCTCCTAAACATCGAAGATTCCTTGCTTAATTATTTGAGTGTACAACTGAATTAGAAAATTTGTTCGATATTTATTGTCTCACAAGGAAAACTCTGTCAGGGATAAGTTGTCATCGCATCGAAGTAAGTCTCATTAGATAGATTTTGTTAGTGTAAAACAATTTTTAGAAAGAATCGATTTCCAATAATCCTTTTTCGTCTAAGATCGTATTTGGTCAGTTCTTTGTGGAAGCATTAGTTTTTCTAATATCGCTTCTTAATTTAGTATCAAAGTTGAAAACATGTGTATTTCATATGATAGGAAATTTTTGGTAGTCTCATACTTTCACAATTAATTGATTCCATTAAGATCTTCAATGGAATATGAGAGAAAAATCTTACGATATTATCTGGATAAATTCACTAATCATAATGATTACAAATTTTTAAAGTCATTGAACAAATTAATTCACAAATAATAGACAATGATTATTTTAGAAGAGAACTAATATTGCTTATGAATTGTTTATTATTCCTTAATCAATCAAATGCAATCCTTAATCTACAAGTATCTTTTTAAAAGACTGAAAAAAGTTTCTAATGCAAAAAACGAATTGATATTAATTTGTTGGACATGAATATTGAATTCCATCAACTGAGTGAAGTGCTTTAGCATATCGAATTGAATTATTTTCATCATTATCGTTATCAACAGCAAATATTTTTACATTTGTTATACAACCAATATAAACAGGTATATCATCGACAATAGGTGGCAAATTGTCCATTCTACCAATATATAATGGTCCATTGGTATTTAAATCGAAATCAATTGATAATAGTTCTTCATCTGGCTCATATTTATCAACATATAAACGAATGAATGATAGATCTTTTTGAACGTCAACTGTATGCCATTGTCCATCACACACTTCATTATCATTAATATCGTTTGGCCAATGAACAATATGTATTTCATCAACACTATTTTGTAATAGCGTAACAACAATGTTACCTTTATCGAGATAAACAAATAAATAAGTATCCTCATTTGTACTTGTTGCAGCTAATATAATACCACTTTTAACACGAGATTTAAAATGAAATGATATATTGAATCGTTGACCAAGACGGAATGAATTTTCTAGAAATAAAAATAAATAAGTGCACAACTAAATAACTACATAGACAAGAGAATATGAAAACTATTCATCGAACTCTATGACGACACCAGAGCTGAGTATAGGACAGGACCGCCCTGTTGCCCGACGGGACAGGGCAAAAAAACTTGTTCTGTGCTCAGCTCTGGACGACACCAAGAGATTAGCCACTATTAACAGTCTCTTGAATCTACCACTTACCAAGTATTATTTCATTTTCACCATTGATAAAAACTCCTGATTCTTCTTTTTCATAACATGTTTTTATGTTATGATTATTTTCGTTATTAACATTAATATCGAATGTTACTGGTTGATTATTAATATGTATTGCACTTAAACAACCTTGGAATTGAAGTTGATGATGTCGAATTTTAAAATGATGCACTTGACGGCGGCGATGCGAAAGGAATGTTTCATCCGATGGAATGTTTCCAAAATGATATATTCCATCTGTTTCTAATGTTAATTTACTACCTAAATAAAAATTTAATGGTTATTTGTGTATAATAGTTAGGCCACGAACCTGGTGGAATTATAAAACCTTCGAAGTTCGAGTCAATAAATAATGTTGCATTATTTCCAGTTCGTACGATATCAACTTGATGCCATTGATCATCATTCAATCGATTGATACTTTCGATTTCTCCTTTACCTGAACCGCAATCAAAAGCAAAAACTAATCGACCTTTATGAAGCCATACAGCAATGAATTCATTTAATATATATGAATTGTACGCTAAATAAAAATAAAACATTTAAATTTTCAATGACAAAATTGACTATACGTACGATCACTGCCTGAATAGAATACTAAACCGTGTGTAAATCGAGTTCGCAATCTAAATGAAATATTCATTGAAAGACTAATCGATGGTTCGATGATTGTTATTAATGCACGACTTTCACGATGATCATCGCCAAATCGATAGCCAATATCGCGGCCAAGATCATCGGAAGGTGTTCGACTTAGACGACATGAACGTCGTTGACGATAGGATTCTTCATCTTCATCATCATCATTATCATCATCTTGTTCGTCTTTTTCCATTGACATTGTACTAGTAGTCTTTCTATTAGTTATTGTTGTAGTGGTGGTGGTAGTTGTTGTTGTTGTTGTTGTTGTTGTTGTCGTCCTCGTTGATGCTGTAGTAGTCATTGTTCGTTTTTTAGTTTGAAATGTCGTACTAGCAAGCTCATTGATTATATCAACTGATGGAAATATTCCAGAATTTAGAGTTTTATTACTGAAATCATCATTTAATTGAAATAATTTAAGTTTATAACCATCTGTATATGCTGGCTGAGTAGAATTATAATCAAATTTTGGATAAACAATGGGTCCTCTATTATAGTTATTATTTAGAATTCCATTAGTTTGACAATTTCGTTCGACATTTTTCAATTTAACAACATTATTAAAATTAATTAATGATCCATCAATATTAACATCACCAATACAACCAATTAAACGTTGCACATCAGTCACTAGAGTTTGTGGTACACCACCAATAAATATTGTTTTAAACAATTGATAGTTATTATATTCACTTTCTATATCTAATTTTCCGCATTCTGTATCATTTAAATATAAACGATAAGATTGTGAATCTCGATAAATACTTATATAATTCCACCAAATATTTGATAGAAAATTTTCACATCGTATTATTGGTAAATCTTTATGTTTAATCATAAGATGATTTTGTTCAAAATAGATTATTAATTTATTCATATATTCATTTTCATTATTCATATACATCAATGTACCCGATGGTTGAGATGTTTGAAAACGCGCTGTTATAGCCCATGGTGTTGTTAGATTTTTTTCCGAAATTTCAACGTAACTTTCTTGATCAAGATAATTAAATTGTACTGTACGTAGAGTTTCTTCAATTGAACATGTCGTTTCAACATTTCCGCTACGTTTAAAATGTTCAGATTTAAATGTCAATTCAGTACGGTCGATCATTATGGATTGTATACAACCGCTAAAGCCTCGACTTGTTATTGCATCACGTAATGAATCTTGTCCAAGATATTTTCCAACATAAATATTATCATTACCACCTTCAATACGTGATTCTTCATCACGATCATACATAGATTCCGATGGTTTATCATCCAATTGAACAACGATTTCTGTATTTTGTTTTTTTATTTGTAAACGATGTAGTTTATTATCATTAACATTATCTTCAAGACGTAAACTAACAAGACCACTGCCTGTATTCATAAGAATTTCTGGATGTGAATCAATAATTTGTACAGCAAAGAAACGTTTTTCAATATCACCACCACCGTATGCAAGTAAAAGACCATTGGGCGTTTGAGTTTTAAATATAATTGTTAGAAGAAATGAATGTTCCAGACGGCGTAAACGTCGCTTAGAAAATATAACATAACCATCACCTTTAAGACTAATACCAGGTACGGCTTCGTGTTGAATCATCGATGGGATTGATCCTTGATTATAATTCATAGCTGATTGAAAATTCCATAGACTAACACTATGATCATCGAGACGTACGTTTGAAATTGAGCCAGCAAACGGCGGATACGTTTGTTTCAATGATACTTGTGATGGTACTCCACCAATAAGAAATACTGATCGATCATCGCTTAGATCAAGTATCGATTGACCACCACTTTCTGCATCACTTGTACCGACAAATATATCTTTTCCGGCGGCATCGACGACAGTTAGATGGCCATGTGAACCAATTCTTTCTCCTGTAACATCATACCATTGATTATTAGTAAATCTTTGTGGTGTTATAATGGACATTGGCCGCTGTTGTCCAAGATCATAGGTAAATTCGACTTGTCCGTTTTGATTCAGTCTTAACGACATATATCGATCATCATTTTCACTACCGGCATAAGCTAAAAGTCCGTCAGGTTCCATTGTACGAAATGACAAAGCTAATTTTGAATGTTGTTTATTAAGATTAACCTGTGATTTACTATAGGGTTTGTGTAAACTAACACTACTCGTACGATTAAATTGTGCACCAACACGAACCGAACTAACAATTGAACGTGATTCATCAACAAGACGACGAATATCAGCTAAAATATTAGCGATATTTTCTTGCAAATGAATTGTTTGATCATAGGAATATTTGGCTGTTTTTAATTGTTCATCAGTATCTGATTCCCATCGTTTCATGAGTTTGATAGCATCGGTTATATCAGCAAATTCCATTTGTAATGGCCGATCACTGATTGTCGATGCATTCATAGGTTTTTCAGCAAGAATCTTCTCACGTAAACGTGCAAATTCAGTTGTTTTAGTTTGACTATCATCATACATACGTGTCGAATGTGGTTCCAAATTATCTGCTGTATATTTTAATTCATTAATACGCAATTTATATGCTGGCAGGAGATTTTCACTTGTCATCAATGATTCATCGTAGGCATTTGCTGCACGTGTTGCACGATCTAAACGTTGTTGATCTTCAATATTAAGTTTAATTTGCGTTTTTAACGGTGATAATAATGATTGATTTAATTGTTCTTTTTCGAGTCTTTCAATTCGTTGTCGTTGTTGATAGATATGTTCTTGTGAATAGGATATATTTTGCAGTAATTCATTTGATGTTGAATCCAATAGATTTACTGTATCAATAATATTCTTATAGACAAATACCGGAAATAGTGTTGCATTATTTTGTGTTTTCATATTTTCATATAAAATTTCAAGATATTGAGATGTTTCAGTTAGATTTTGCACATAGGTAAATATTTCTCGAACATCAAGATGAACACGACGGTTCTGTTCGATGATTTCATCGACTGATGAATGTAAGGTCTGTATGGATTCGTTGAGATTTTTTGCATTGTTTAATGTTCGAAAATATGCATTTTGTAATCTTTCGAAATTTGTCGCTAGATTAACTTGTAGTGATTCAGTTATATTCGATAATTGAGTTTCTGTTGTTTGTTTTAATGTGATACTTTGTTTTAATTTCGTACGAATTAAAATAATATCATCAAATGAATTGACTTGACTTGATATGCGTTGAAGTTTCTCATGGGCGTTTTGAAGGTGTTTTTCCATGTGTGATGTACGCTGTTCAAAATTGAATGTTTGATTATTCAGTTTTTCGATATGATTTAAATGCCTCTTAAGATCATCACTTAACGATTGAAGATATGTATATAAATATGAAGCCGATTGACTGAAATCTCTTATGGCATTTTGTTCAGATTCAATACTGAATCGTTCAACACTATCGTGAACACTATTAAAGAGAAGAAAATATAATTACTTATCAGAAATATGAGAGATTACAAGAAAAAAGTTGTCCGAATACGAACACAGGTAAATAGTGTAGTTTTCAGTGAATGATCTCAATAGAGATAAGTAGGATTTTGAAGAATCGTGCTTTCAAATATATCTATACGTGATAGTTCAGTTTTGAAATTATTTATACATTAGGCCAACATGAATGAGGAATGCTAGTCTGATGTAGAAGATTTTATAATCGGTTTCTATTTTTATGAAGTGAATTCATATTGAATACAATTCAATAATCAAAGACTCTCTAACTGCCTATTCAGTCTTTCAATCGAGTCTATACACATTATCTAAAACCCAATCAGCTGTGAGAATCGCGGAAAAATATGGTGAATACTCATGCACTGCAATTGGTAATCGGGATTAGTCTCATCGTTTTCTCAAGAGCAATAGAGTAGCTAAACTACTTCTATTCTAGAAGTAAGCTACGTTTACGAAAATGCCATTGCACATTGAGAACTGAAACTGATAATGCTACTTTTCCCCAAAAGTCTCATCCTTTATAGCGATTTCATAACCGATTGAAAAATCGAGAGACTTCTTCCGTAGAAAACACTATAACTTTAAAATTCGATTAAAAATACATTCAACATACTTATCGATAAGATCAATGATAAAATTAGGATCATCATTTGTATGTTGTGTTAAATTTGCTGCGAATGCTTCGATATCATCAGCGAAATTTCTCATCGCTTGTGTTTGTTCGACTACACGTTCATATTCTTCTTGAACACGTTTTAGTAATCTTTTAACCACATCTTGTTCGTGATTAACTTCAATTTGTGTTTGCTTGAAATCATTGTCGAATTCATCGAACATCCGAGTTAAATTAGTAATCTGTTCATTGAGACAAAATGAATTTGATGGATTTATATGTGATGCACATCGTTGTCTATTGCCACGAAGATTATTAGCAAGTAAACGATATTCATTTGCGCGTAAACGCATACGTTGAATACGTTCATTGGCTGTATGTCCTTCAGTGATTCGATCAGCATTTTCAATTGTTCGATTTATATTTATGCGTAACTGATCAACATCATCAATTAATTGACGCGCACACCAACCTTCAGGTACAACATTTGATTTATCACACGGAAGACAACCACGACCTAATATCAATGAAATAATTATATTATCAAACAAATACGAACACTCCTGAAATTGCGCTATAAACATATAGATGCAATTTTTCGTCATTGACTCGTGATATTTTAACTAAACTCAAAAGTGATCGTTATAAAAACTGGAAATTGAATTAAATATTCTACTTAAATATTAGCTCAATATTATCAATTCTGTCGGTAAAAAGTCACATGAAATGTACTTCATAAATTTCCCTACTATAGTTAACATATCCCAATCATGCAAAGTAAGAAATATGATTGATTTGATATAAAAAAAAACCATGTAAATAAGATAAAAGTGTGCTTTTCATGTTTCTATCGAAACAAACCTTCAACAATCGTATAATATTCTTCACATTGATCACATCGTTCTCCTCGAACGCCTTCGATACAATAACATCGACCAGTTTGTGCATCACAACTTAATCCTGTATTGCTCAAATCTCTTACGGTTCCAAATCGATCACATTGACATTGTTTACATCCATCCACATTTAAATACCAATAGCCTGGCAGACATACGTCACAATTCCTAAATAACAGGTGGGAAATAAATATTTCAAAATTTTAATTCAATAACATATGCTTTACCTTCCACCAACACCTGGTTTGCATTGGCATTGGCCAGTGTAAAGATCGCACGATGGTCCAATACTACCCAAACCACAAGCACATGGTTTGCATCCTTCATTAGTGCATGCATGATAACCATAATGATTTTCCAAACAACTATCGCATGCAAGGCCAGTGACACCAGGCTTACATTGACATCGTCCAGACATATGATCACATCTCAATGAACCACATTGTGAACATGCACATGGCGCACAATTTCTAGCTTGAATAGCATCACCATAAAACCATTCACGACAACGTTCACACATAATTCCAGCTGTATTATTTAAACAATTAACACAACGACCACTTTGTTGATCACAAGCATTCCAATCATAGGGATCAATATTTGAATTACATTCACATGGTGTACATCGACTACCAACTTTACTTGGTTCACCCCAAAATGCTAGAAGAAAAATAGATAGATTCGAGAATATAATGTTTCGTTAGGCTCATCGTATTAATAGATACTAAACATCAAATATAGGGAACGCTCTAGTTTTCGGTTAATTTCATATTATGATTCGAACGATTAATTTAACTGATAGATAAGCATACAGCAGTGATTTTGTTAGACCGATAGAAGCTTTCCACGTACTGTTATTTAATTCATTGACTCCATGAATATTAATTGTTTACTTAGATCATAATTGAATCACTTCGCATTGGCTATGCTGATTGTATGAGGATATAATTCTACTATTTACGAATGTTACTCATATTTTGAAGAGAATTTTGCAATAGCCTAAATCTTATTGCTAAGAAATTCCGAGAAAATAATCTAATATCAATGGTTCTCAGTTGCCATGAAAATATATCCTAAACTTCTCTGTCTCATTTCTCAGTGCTCGACAAAATCTTGATTCAAAACTTACACTCATCTTAGCCTTCTTGATAACACCTAACCTGCATTCCACGAATAGAAATCGTTATATAGTCTTACAATACCTGGATAACATGATTGACATTTGTCACCATAATAACCTTGTTCACAAAAGCATTTTGTTGTTTCACCTGTTGTTACATTCATTTCACAAGTCAATGCAAAATTATTTGATTCAACAGCTAATGGACATGCACAAATACGGCATGATATATTTTGTGTAGGATCACCATTATAACCTGGCATACAATTTTCACAATAAGTACCTGTTGTATGATTTTCACATGCTAAACAATGGCCAGTTTCAACATCACAGAAATCACTTTGTCCATTGCATTTACATGGTACACACGTGTAAGTATGTGCACCATTTGTACCACCATATTGCTTATAATAACCTTGTGCACATGTTTCACATGACGTGCCAGCATAATTCGGTGGACATGAACATACTTCAATTGTACGCGCAATTGAACGTTGTGGTGAGAGATTATTTGCTGATTTAAGATCGGCTTGTTGTAATTGAACAGCAATAATCGAACTTGTTGTTGAATCTGGCGAATATGGCCATGCAAGTATATGTAAACTTGAGAGATCGCTAAGTGTTTGTAAGAATGTTTCACGTGTTACAGCAGCTGATGAGCGTGTTTGAAAACGAAAATTAGCTTCTTTTAGTGTTATTGAAACATCTTCATCAAGACGATTTGCTTCCAATGGTCGAGGATAGTAATAAACAATTGTTAAATCTCGCCCGCGAAGTATAACCAATGGGTTTTTATTTATATTTTGTTCAAAATTATTTATTGATGATGTATAACTTAATTTAAATGTTAAATTTCCACCATAAGCAAGAATTTTATTTCCAAGATAATGTCTTGGTGCCGACCAATAGATTGGCGATTGATCAAGATTATCATAATTCATAAACATTGTTAAACGTCCTTCACGTCGATCATAACGTATATTGGACCGACTTAATGTCCAATCGGACATATTACGTATAACTCGATAGTTAAATAAACTTGAATGGCAGAGTTTTGTTGCGCCAAAACAATAACAACTAGTACATCCTTTTGGATTGTCCGATGATAATGCAAATGTACCATCAATACAACGGTCACACCTTGGCCCATAAATATTTTCTTTGCATAAACATGTACCTGTATATGTATCACATATTGGTTCAAGTGTACCATCCGAATCACAATCACATCGAAGACAACGTGGATAATCATAATGACCTATAAACAATAATTATAATCATATATTCGAATAACTTTGCATTGAACAGTTAACTATTTACAAACCTGAAGCACAACGATCACATGTTCGACTACCGATATTATCTCGGCATGGACATTGACCTGTTTGAAGATCACAATCAAGACGCCCATTAATGACACCTTCGATACGACATTGACAATCTTCACAACCGATTAATGGATCTTTAAAGAATACAGGCGGAAAAAGAAGTAGAGAGATTTATTGTATACGATAGAAAAATGAATGAACTTACCAAAACCATATGTTCGCGATGCACATTGATCACAATAACGACCAGTAACTCTTGGTGGACAAATACAATCACCTGTTAATTCATTGCAAATTTTTGTTGGACACGCACATGGACGACAATCAGGAAAGCCCCAATAGCCTGTTCGACAACGATTACATCGTCGACCAATAACATCCCGTCTACAAGTACATTGACCACCATAAGATTCACATTGACCATTGGGATCTATTGAACCGTGGACATCACATGAACACGGATACGCTTGTTCATTAAATGTTGACGACAACGAATAAAGTGCTTGACGACAGAATGGACTTGCTTTTTCAATTTTTAAATCATAATTAGGAGCTGACTTTGATATACATTCTTGAACGAATTTCGAAGCACGATCACCATCAACGGCTGCGGCTGCTTGAGCAGGCGACGCAGCTACAACTTTATCTTTCATTGGTTCAATCTTTTGTGTCGTAAGATAATCGATAAGTAACGATGTATTAGGATTAACTAATGCAAGATAAACAGTAAATTCAGGTTCATCAAGTCGAATAGCTGTTGAACCATTTTGAAGTGTTACTATTTGAGAACAACCGCCAGGTGTACGTCGTTGACATACTGGTGCAGCAATTTCACCAATTTGACTTTCACCTGTTCGACTATAAAAAATAACTGTTAATGGCGTTGAATCTGAAGCTCCATAGGAATTTGATTGATAATAATGAATATAAAATTGAAATGTTGCTGGATAGTTTTCTGCTTTTGCATAGACATCAGTTAAACGTCCATAAACATAAATATTTGGTGTAGAGAAATTTAGTGGAACAACCGAAGTATTGACTGGTGCCGATGGAAAATAATTGGTTTTTAAATGTTCATTATAATAATCTTCAGCTTGAAATATTTGAATAGGTGCGTTCGATGAGCTAGCTGATGCTTTATTTGAATTATCACAAATTGATAAACCATGTGAATTATCATCAACAGAGCCACGTACACACGAAAATTTCGGTCGAAGAAGATCATAATTAAATTGTGAAACTGGTACCGCAGTTATCTTATGTATACCAACAGGACTACTACTATCGGTTTGTTGCACAATATTTAATATAACTGTAGCACGTCGTGAATCAGTAACCGTCATTAGTTTTGGTTTTGTTATTCGTTGATTACCACCATTACCCAATGTTGTTACTATTTGTCGACATACAAATGTATATGGACATTCGGTCAGTATTAATGATCCTGGTATCATGTCGCCATCGATAGTTTGAACTCGAGCATAGGATGTACCAGCGCTAATCGTATGATAATCAACAAGAAGATAATATTGACCAGGTTTCGACATGAACCAATCATAACGATAGTCTCGACCGCGTTCAATAGTTGTTAATGAATTAATTGATAATTCTTGAAGAAGATTTGAATCAACAATATAACTATTCGATACTGAATTTGATGTTGGATTACTTATACTTGACATACCATTTAATGATGGATAATTATATTGATAACATTCTTCTGAATTATCCCATTCACATGGACGTCCATAAGCAAATGGATCCGTTTGTTGAAGTGCTTGTGCTTCAATATAATCAATAGGAATGAAAATAATATAATCCACTAGAATTGGATCAGTAGTTTTTAATGTTAATAAATATTCATTGAATGGTGCAGCTTCACTTGTGACGAATGTACTAGCAGTAGCATATGTAGCTTGTCGATCCGAAAGAGGAAGATCAATATCAAATGTTTGTGCCCCTGCTGCTGGTGTAGCTGTTGTTCCAATATCTCCGATTGACACAAAATGACCATTGATTTGTGGCATTTTATAATCTAGACTATTCTTATTAGTTGATGTTCCATTATATGTTCTATATCGAATTAAAACTCGATAAGCTGTTGGTTTCATTAATTGTATAGGTAATTGTACTGCGGATTGCAAGGACGAATATCGAACATAACCTTTCCATGAAAAATTTCCAAATTCATTTGTATCAAATTCATATCGAACTGGTGTTTGATATTTTTTTGTTAGACCATCTTCAAGTTCATATTGTAAATGATGTAAACTAGGAAAGTAATGTCCCATGGCTGGTTGATTACAATCACGACCAACAATCGACGGACGACAAACACACTGACCTGTTAGTTTATCACATATGCTATGCAGCGAACCACCAAGTGAACATCGACATGGTTCACAGCCAAATATATTATTACGTTTTAATGCATAATAACCATCAGCACAAACATCACAACGTGTTGTCGAATTTAGAGTTGTTAGTTTACATGGACACTGACCTGTAACAGCATCACAAGTATTTAAATGACCTAGCGTACCTTCATCCGAACAATCGCATGGTTCACATCCTAATTTAACAAAACAAAAAACATGTTTCTATTTTTTGTTGTTGAAGACAATAGAATTAATTTTACCAAGTGGATTACTGCCTTTCATATTCCAAAAACCTTCCTTACAACGATCACATTGTCGTCCTTCAACGTTTTGTTTACATAAACATAATACACCTGGAATATTATGTCGACCACAACCAGGAAAATCATTTCGAACACCGGCTGGCACACATTTACATTCCTCACAATAAGGAAAGTTAAATAATCCTTTGAAAAAAAGAATTTTGAATGAAAGAAATCGAATTTTTTAAACAATATAAAGTTTTTACCCGCTGCACATTCTTGACATTTGGCACCAAAAAAGTTATTTTTACATACACATTGTCCTGTGACTTGATCACAACTCAAACCTAATGATCCATGCATATCGCATGAACACGGAATACATTCCGGATAACGAAAATAACCTTTAAAACGTAAATTAAAACGTACGAACTAAACAAACTGAAAAATCAAAACGATTTCTTCGTTACCAGGTGCACACTGATTACATTGTCGTCCACCGAAATTCGGCTTACAATGGCATTGACCACGTTGATCACATGCTAGAAAACAAAATTTTCAATATATCATTGCACTAATTATCACAATATATTCTCTTAGAATTTCTAAAACTATTTTAGCCAACAGCTACGTGATCAATATGTAGACCACCGCTAGGATCCCATTTTTTTCCCAGATGAGGAGTATGTGGGGAAAGTGAGACCCATTCATTCTAATAAATCTCATAAAAGCTTCCCGAGGACACTTAATATTTCTTTCAAATCATTTTTAGTTTATAAAAAACGAACCATCATAAACAACTCCGATTGAATCACAAGCGCATGGTTCACACAGTGGATGATTGAAAAACCCAGATGCACATTGTTCACATGTTTGTCCAGTAAAATTCGCTTTGCATATACAAAGACCTGTGTCTTTATTACATATTTCGATTGTTGAGCCTAGTCATAATTTCGATAAAAAAAGTATATATATATATATATATTTATATGTATATTTCTCTATGTTTGCAGCTTTTTTCTAACCATTATTATTGCAAACACATGGTAAACATCCAGGATACCCAAAGTGACCATTTTTACACGTATTACATGTTCGGTTTTGATAATTTAATCGGCATGGACATTGGCTTTAAACAAAAATATAAAATATAAAATCAATTGAACGTGTGAAACAAGAGAAACTCGAAATTGTTTTTATCTCCGATGACTCACCCAGTTTCAGCATCGCAAATATTTCCATCACTACCAGCTCGTTCACATTCACATGGAATACAGCCAGCTTTAAAATTATAATAACCAGGTGCACAACGATCACAATAATCGCCTTCGAAATTCATTTTACATACACATCGACCAGAATCAGGTAAACACTTATTATCAGCTGTTCCATTAACAGAACATAAACATGGTTTACATCCAGCAGCATAATCAAAATATCCAACAGCACATTCGTCACATGCTAAACCAGTAAATTGTGGTTTACATTCACATGTTCCTGTACCTTCAGCACAAGCACCAGTGGAAACTTTCAGATCACATTTACATTGTTGACACATATCAGTATCGCTAACTTTACGTGTAAAATTTCGAAAATATCCTCGTACACATCGTTCACAATTGATGCCCTCTGTATTGTCTTCACAATTAATACAACGTCCACCGCCTTCATATTTTCCGTGTATATCAATACTTAATCTTTCTTTTTCGACTTTTTCATCATAAACACATTCACTTGAATGACCATAACATTGGCAGGGTTCACATTCGAATGCGCCAGTATCTGAATCACGAGATTGACGCCATTTCTTTTGCAAGAATGGCTCGCAGCATTCTTGACAGTAATCTCCACATGTATTGTGACGGCAACGACAAACCATTTTATTAGGATCTTTTGCATGAGGCTTATCGCATGATTCGGCATGACCTAGAACAATCATATTCGATAATAATTATTTTTTTCATTAGTCGACTCTTCTTCGTTTGCCTCTGTTTTCACGAAATATTCAATTGGTAGAGATGGAAATAACGTAATGGGCAATTTGAAATAGTTGATCTACTTTTATTTCGTATAATTAATTAATTAATTTTTTTTTGAAGCATCATCTTATACTGTGGAATCTGAGAAGCCCACTTTTCAATGAATATTAACCTTTTAAATGAAGAAAAATTTAACTCTTGAAAAAATCTTTAAAAGAAACTAGAAGTGTGTCATCAAGGAAGTAGTTTTTGTATGAGAACAAAGATTCGAATATTAAAAAAAAAACGAAGAGTATTGATAATCAATATAGTTACAGTCAGGGTTGCCACCTCTTCCGCCTTTTGCGGAAAGTTTCCGCTTTGTCGTATAAGACGTGTTACATATCAAGCATGCGTACAGAATAATATTTGATATTATTGAATTAATTCTTATATTGTTTACAAATACTGTGAGTCATCATTCTTTTATTTTTGAAACTTTAATGAAATAAAAAGAAATCAAATAAATATGAAAAGTGCCTAATATTCTCAGAAGCATTACAAATCTGCAACTAGAGGTGTCAGCCGTACGGCTGAGCGCCACGACCACCAAATTACTGATAATTTTAAGAATTTTGGGGGAGACGCCGCTACGAAAAAACAAGTTTAGCCGTTGCGCCGCTGAAGACATTACTCATTCAAATAATGAGCCGCTGGAAATTTTCAAAAATTGAAAATTGTTGCCCGCCGTCACCGTTCAATCCTTCGGCTGACACCTCTATCTGCAACAATATAAGCTTCCGCTTTTTCTGTTTTTCTTTCCGCTATTTTCTGCTTTTCCGACTTTATCAGGTGGCAACCCTGGTTACAGTGTATACATTCTCGTAGAGAATCTACAGTAGTAAATTGACGGACCGAGGCGCTCAACCTATTGATCCGGAAGAAGTTCTCACACAAAAGAAATATAAAGGTCATGAAAGCTCACATGCCGAACTCTTTTCACATGAAATACTATTAGTTGTAATTGATTTAACGAGCACTGCCCGTCGAGTCGACAATGGCTGAATAATGGAAAAATGACTCATTGTTTTCCATTATTTCAAAAAAAAATGAATTAATGCATTATAATTAATTATTTTTTGACTTTTCAATGCATTTCAAAGTATTATTTAGAGTAAGGCTTTTAAATTAGAAAATTCACTATATTCGTACAAGAAATATTGAAAAATTGATTTGGCAGGTAGATGTTTGATGCACCACAGCTTTCTGTGTATCAAGCGGTTTTCAACAAGAGTCGCGCAAGTTAAAGATCTAATAAAAAATGTAACCAGGTTTAGATCGCTCAGAGTATTTTTCCAATCCCTTTTCCCCGATAATCGAAAACCTACACTATTGAAAACTTGACTCAAAATCTGATGAGGTATATCAGATTATCCTTTCAGTTTCCGAAACATTTCTCCGGGCAAGCCAAAGAGTTTCCAAGTTTACTCAATCGCTAAAATGTGCACTAACAACCCGAAATCCGACCTCCAGTTTCTATTTGATACAACGAAATACTACTAGAGTTTTGGACGCTTTTAGAGTATTCTGTCGAATGAAAGATATCACAGTCATTAAGCTTTTCAAAAGAAATTTTCATTCTTCGTCATTGCTCAGTTTCTGATGTATCTAGTGAACTAAAGTTGTTCACAGTATCAAGTATAACAGATTAGATCATGAATCGTTTTGTTTTTCAAATCTGAAACTATTTTAATACTATTGAAACAGCCTTATGTCATATATACGTTCTTCAACTGTTTTCGCTTTCAACGTCAATTCGACATGATCCAAGTGGTAAGTTTGAATTCAATAATAATAATAATTATTTATTGATTGTCTTTTGTTTTAGATTCTTATCGATATGGTCAAAATGGTACGTTATGGAATAGATATAAATAGTTAATAGATTAAGGTTAAGGAGTTAAGCTAAATTAAAGAAACAGATTAAGATTAAGGGATAGCTATAGATAAGTTAATAGATTAAGGTTAAGAGGATAGATGTGCAGAACCACAATTATGGTAATTGAGATACTGATTTAATAGGATTTTACAGATCTTATGTAGCAAGTGCCGAATAAGAATTTTTCAATGTACTATAAATAATAATGTATACAATTACATGGTAACCCAACCTATTTCATGAAGTATAATGCATTATTCATTCTAAAAACAAATGCATTAAATAGACTGCATTATCATGCAATTGCATACATTACATTGCTATTGTAAAATAATGCATTGCAATGTCCAGTATTTCCTAAAATCGGCTACAGGGGTGATTCCTTTAAGGATTATTCATTTAATTGAATTTTTTTTTTTATAAGAAAGATCATTTCCTTACGAACTGTCATGCGAATAAAACGAGTGAACCAAATCGATAAAATAATAGATTAATATCCTAAAACTAAATTTCAATAAACTAACCATTGCATTGGCAATGTCCACCAATACCAATATCTCTAATGGAATAGAAATATCGTCGTGTAACTGATTTGTCATGGCTGTCATGAATAATTGAATGTGAATGTAATGTCGTTGGTCGAAGTAATCTCAAACGAACATTCGTGGCACGTGTCCATTGTTGTAATGTATCACTATTGGAGAAATTTTTTATATTTGGTCTATCATTAATTAATGATACCACCATTTCTCCTCTAAAAAGTAGCAAATAATTTTATTTTCAGTTCTGTCCATCCATCAACAAAATAAAGAAAAATAATTACCCTTCTAATGGAATTCTACTAGCATATTTTGTTTCACAAACAACATCATCGTCTCGTACAAATGAATGATTGTAGAATGGCTCAAGTCCAAAAATTGAGCGGCATTCAACATCACTAGCAAAATAATACCATGTGGAAAATGTTTTTCCATAATCAGTTGATCGTTCCAATGACCAGACAGCCGGTCGAGGTGAATTAGCCATACGAATATAAATATAAGCTATGTGATATTCTTGACCAAGATTTATTGTTACATTTACTTTCTGATATTCATTACCTCGTGATAAGGGTGGGGACTAGAAACAAAAAATCGAGACAATTTTTTTGACGGTTCATCTTTTTCAATTTTTACTACCTGCCACCATCGATCTGTTCCATCTATAGTATAATTAACAATATGTTTTTTATCGGATACACTATGATCACAATGATCACAGTATTGGCCATAGATTAAATTTGAATCTTTGTAGTCTTTTTCATAAGGCGATGAACCAGTTAATTTACAATACAATTCCTTTTTGTGTTTAGTTTTATTCGCATTGTCTTTGTCAATAAATTCACCGCATGTTGATGTAGCTGATACAGTTATATGTTTTTCACGAGCAAGATTTAAATAAGGTGGCCTTAAATTCTCACCAAACGCAATTGAAATAAGCCATCCCAGTAAGAGCAGAAGTTCGCGTACAGACATTGTTCAATCACACAACTGAACGTTAATGTCTATGCCTATACAATAACACGTATATAAAACGAGAAGACAAAAAAACCTCAATGACCCGTATATATCCCTATGCGTCAATCGTATACTGACCAACATAAAAAAGAAAAAAAAAGAACGATGTTGGTTGTTAGTAAGAGAATATGAACGTGGCTGCGCTTCACTTATCGCGTTGAGAAAGAGAACCATATGCACATATACGTATACTGTGTCTCAAAGATTGTTGTACCTCGCTTTTTTTCTCTTTCGTATTTACGATAACACTAGACTCAAAAAGAGAATGAACATATATTTGATTCAATCGCATGACCGATATATATATATGTATACGTACAATGATGCAACAGTCGGTTGTGATATCACCATTCTTTTTTTTTTATTAAACATTTAAATATTTAAGCTTTCAACAAGACAAAAAGAGACATCGTACAAATAGATAATATATACACAGTTTTACAGATGAAAAACGAGAAAAAAGCCAAACTTAAATGTTTTCTAGACGTCATCGACGTTTTTTCAAACAGCAAAAGTAACAGTAGCATTTCCTTGTTTTGTGTTATATAAAAGCGCTGCAGATATGGTTGATTCTTTTACATGCGGGTTTTCTTTTCGAATTCGAGTTGATACAAATGTTGCTGATTCTTTTCGAGCAGTTGGCGTTGCTACCGTAAAAAAGCAAGAATAAAGTGCATAAAATTCGCGTCGAAAACTGTGATTAATATAATTATAAATCACTGGATTGAACCATGCAGATATCGATGATATTAAATAGCTGGGTATCAGTAGAAATCCATAGGCAAAATTTGCTCCATCGCGCGTATATAAAACTTCTTCATTATGTTCTAAATACATTTGAACAATTGTTAGTGGTAACCATGATATAGTAAAAAGAGCAGCAATACATATGAGTAATTTTCTACTTCGAATAAAACGTCTTCGTGTATGTGATTGACTTTGTAAATATTGTTGTGGATCTGTTATGTGTAGAGAACTTCGTTCATGATATTTTTCACGACATTGAGATGCACGACGAAAACGAGAAAAACAATGACTAGATTTTCCATCGTTTGAAACTGCCGATTGTTGAGTATCATTTGAACTTACGAATTCGCGTTCTTCCGCTGGATTTGGTGAATTTGTTTTAATAATATTACGTGGAGTTGCTCCATGATTGTGCGTTTCATAGGCACACATTTGTTGCATGCGCTTCTTAAGAAAACGACCTATGGAATAGCAACTTACAGATACGAAAAAAAATGGAACTAAATATTGTACGATAATAACAAAATAAGAAAACAATCGCATGTGTAAACCGGGTTCTAATACACAATAGAAAATTCTCTGCGTTGGACATGGATGTTGCATTCCATAATAATTATTTGATATATTTTGAGTATCATTTATGTTCGATGATACTGATGAATCATTATTGAATCTATATGAAACCATCGTTGGCAGAACGAATTCTTGTAGTTCTCGAGAGAAAAATTCCGGTAATGCAATAAATATTGATACACACCAAAGTAAAATCAATGTTAAAATTGTACAATTACGATGGAATTTTTGTTTGTTAACAATGAAAAACCAACGCTCAACAGCTATGACGGTCACAGTAAATGTCGATACAAGAGCTGTTAATGTTGGAGTAAAATTAACTAGTTTACAGAGAAATACGCCGAATATCCAATGTTCAAGTAAAGCAGCAGATAATGTCATCGGTATTGAAACACATAAAACAATTAAATCGTTGAGGCCTGGGAAGAGAGAGAAACAACATAATTAGCAGTATTGAGTGTCAACAAAAACTTTGCACTCACAAAGATTCATTAAAAATGTATTCGTAATTGAACGCAATTTTCTTTGTTGAAAAAATACAAGACATACACTTATGTTACCAAATACTCCGAAACAAAATGGTAGGAAATAAATAATATATATGGCTACTGAAGTACCAAGAGAAAAACGAAGTTTAGCTGTTGATATACTTGATGGACCATATCGATAATGGTCATCATCATTAAAACAAGAATGGCCAGGATTTGTTAGATTTAAATCCATGTGTTACATCCAATTAGATAATTTAAATCTAAAGAGAATGGAAGAAGGCATGTAACGCTAATGTAAACTTCACTGTTTTTGCAATAACTCATCATTAAATTCTCTTTATATATATATATATATATATATAAATACTAACTTGTTCATTGTGTCTTGATTAAAAGGTGAAGACGAAATTAGTTTTGTTTGCTTTTAAACATTTTTCAGTCGAACGAAGATCTTGAATTTACATACGCACTCTTAGTATTCGATACAACAAAAAAGCAATTATAATGATTTTTATTTATTTACATTTTTTGATTGATATGATAAAAAAGAATTAATAATAAATCTCAAGTCAGAAGAAGCACAAAAAAGGACTTCATTCTTGCTAGTTCTTTTCATTTTTAGGCTAATTTCAATTTAAAAAATTTCTTTAGAATTCGTAATTAGAGAATCGTATCATAGAATTCTCTTTTTCTCGCTAAACATTGTTCTCTAATTTAGCACATTACGTATTTATCATGAGCAACTTCAAAAAAGAAACCTCTCCGTTTTTAAATTTGTAGTCTTGCAATCTTTTCATTAATGAATGATTATTCAAGGCTAAGTGAATTCGACATTCTTATATTCAAAAGAAATCTTTGTTTTTCTCTCTCAAAATTTTAACAATTATCAATTAGCATTAAGTTTTTTTTTCTTACAGCATGCTTATACTGTGATTCAAAGCATATGGAATTTCAAAACTTAAACTTACTTAAAATACGCTGCAAGTGTTCATTTCTTTTGACAGTCAATAATGCTAATCATACAAAAACTAAAATAGACGAGTCGCGTGATACTCAACAACATTGTATTAAGTGCTTATCTAATTTCATTTCGCCTAACAACAATAGGATCTAGTAGGTTGTACTATCATGTTTATTCTATAGAAATAGGAAGGGAAAAAAGTAGTTTCCGTTTTCTTTCTCTTATTTAGAATAAACATCTAGATGAATAATGCATAATGAAATCTTATTTACTCACAATAGAAAGCTTCTAGGATAACTCAGTTTCTTGATTATTCACATCATCGAAATCATTACTCATAGTCAATAGCAGATGCACTCTATAATGATGTTAATGTACTGACTTTCTTTGTTATATTTTTTCTTTTGTTCGTCCAAAAACGTAAAGAACATCTATTCTGTCAAGAAATAGGATCAGAGTTAACAAAACGAGACAACTACTCCTATGCTCAATTCTTAGTTGTCAACTGATGTCAATCAAGAATACGGAATCAAACAATATTAACAAAAACTGAAACATCCGATATGTTTACATCCGATCAGGGATGATAAATCTATCATCAGAGGACGATAATTCCTGTTTCTATTCGTTGTTGCGTAAAAAGAGCTTTCAGTTGTCTTTTTTTTGTTCTGTCTAAATAATCAAAACTTTGCAAAACCAAGCATGTTCATTAATGTTTTTGCCAATTACTGAGAAGACAAAACATTCGGCCAAGAAAAGTTTTGGCAAAAGATAAAAACAAAGAAATAAAAGAGAGAAAATGCACATCTTACTATTGTTTATTGAAGAAAACATGTAAATTCAATGAAAGAACAATAGCGATGGGGATGCTCATTGCAGAAAAATATGTTTTAAAGTGACATTGTACACCTTATTGACTCATCGAAGCCGTTTTTTTGCTGAAAAGAATATTATTTCAGCTAGCAATCTTGAAATTCATCACTGTCTAGATTATCTACATATCCAACATGAAGAAAAAAGATTCTCTATTGACGCGTTCTTTCGATTTTTCTCTTGTTTGTCGATTTATCGTTTTCTTTTTACTAAAATAGGTCTACTCTAGATATTAGAAATATTTAAAGTACAATATTCTTCAATTTAATCCCTACTCACAGTTTATTAATGTTTTCTGAACTATTCTATTTCGCTCCAGATAAGTCATATTGATCGTAAATTGAGTTAGTAATTACTGTTTATTTGAAAACTAATCTAGTAGTATGAAATATATAATTAATATAATTGATCATGGCTAGACCTAACTTTTTTGCTTTTATTTATATATATGTAAAAATCTAGCTAAAAATCTAGTACTCGATGGAGTATCGAATTTTCAATATGATAAGAATTTATTTTAAATAAAACCTGGAGTTATCGTAGGTTGACTTTTGGGTTTTTACAATCATAAGTCAATTCCATAAAGGATAATTTTAAAATATGATTCGTGTCTAATTGTGGATTCACATAAATTAATGCGCGACACTAGAATTAATCAAAAAGTTTGTTTCAGAAACTTTCCCATATGAATATCGTACGAAAGAAAGAAGCCGAATATTTATTATAGGAGAACAAAGTTTACTCTACATGAACAAAAACCAGTGAGAACTATTATCAGTTTTGCAAAGATAGAATTTTTAAAGAATTCAAAATTGCTGTTCTAAATAATTACTACGATCTATAGATGTAATTTTCTTTAGATCTTACAGACAAAAATAGTTCTCAATGATAAGAAAGTTTTTATAGCTTTAATGAAGTATTTTGATTGAGATGCAACGAGTTCAGTGAAGGTTCATGCATATTTTTGGTCTCTAGGAAATAGTAAAGGATAACGCGGAAATGTCTCATGTTGTAGGAAATCATTTGTTCTATTATCTTGTATAATCTATTCTCTGGAGATTCTCTCTCAATCAGACTCTAATAATCATATTCACTTATATTTTTGCCTTTTCACTTAAATCTGACCAAAAAAATAAATTGAAAACAAACCTTGCAGAATTCTTTTTTGGAACTTGCTTTATATACAAACTAGAGCGACGGTGAAAGAGCAGCGATGATATAGAAGAAGAAAAAAAACGTTTCTCTATCTCTCTTTATGTGGATTATTGCACGTTTGGCTAATCATTATTGAGAGAGAAGAACATCAATGAATAGAAGAAAAGCACAAAGCATAAAATTTTAGTTGCTTTTTATTCTTTTTTCTTTCGGGCTATGAGAAATAATTGATTTTCTCATTTCAATAAGTAGAATCAACTTGATGACATTCTTTTTGTCATTATATATAAAGAGAAAATGAGTAACTACATAGAGTAAACATGACCCATGTCATAATTATGGAGCTTAGAATAATTTACGCCTTCTTCGCTTGAATAAAAAATTAGAATAGATTTTAATCCAAATAAAACATTATGAAACTGCTTTAAAAAACAGAAAGACAATTAAACGATGATTGACTTTTGCGCATATAACCAATAGGAAGGGATTCATAACTGTTCGTTGTGAAAGTAAGAACAAAAAGAAACGTTCAAGTTGCCTTCTGCATCAAAACAAAAAAAGTCGAGTTGAGGCTATTCATATTTTTTCGTTGGTTATCTACAACGTCAAAGTACGTTTGCATCCTTTGGGATTAACAGCTTCTTGAATCATCTTCTAAATACAAATAACTAAAAACGAAACTTAGAATGATGAAAATAAAAGCTTCTTATTTAATTTATTCTTATGTTTTACACTACAAAAGAAGGATCTTGAAAGAGATAAAAAAAAAACTAGCATGATTTAATTGACCATTCCAAGAGGTGCAATTTTCTTTTCTGTTAAATACTTAAACAGGAGTGCTCAGCCTAATATATTAGTTATTTAAAAGTTCTAATTGCATTCAAATACAAAAATGATGCCTTGAACATAAAATAATTTTTATTATCAATGTTCTTTTACTACATATCAACTATGATGATGCTCAGAACGTTTGAATATTAAATTATTTATGTGATGAATTGAACTATTAACATAGTAGAATTTTGTTTTCATGCCATCCATAGCCGAAATTGGGATATTTAGTGTATAATGAAGATATATTTCATACAAATCGATAAATACGTGCTAGAAAAACATTTTGATAGCTGCTTCTTAATTTTGTCTGTAATGTACTTTAAGATAATTCTTGGTGCTATTTACTATGCTTGCTTTCAAGAGAAGAGTACTTCAATAACAAAGCAAAATATGATTGAAGACAACGAGCAATGACAACAAGATAAATATCATTATTCATTTTTAAATCTTGTGTAGCCATCGTTTTTTATGTTTCAGGAGTAGTATTAATTTTATTTTCTATGAAAAGTAGTCAAATACCCCACTTTCACTTCATGCCTGTCTTAAATGTAGAAACGATGGTTATTCACAGTTTTACAATTTTCAACTTTTAGTCATTCGATGCTTTTAGCTACTTGCTAGAAGATATATATTATTGATGCTGTAGAATCATCTGCTCTGTGGTTGTACTCTGAAACCATTTTGAACATATGCGGAGTTGTTGTTTTTGTTTACAAGTTATTTTAAATGCAGTTTCAATTTTTATATTTGTTTTCGACAAGGCTAATACCGCACAGCATAACAATGCCATCTATTCTAGTTTAAACCTATTGACAATTAGCACGCTGATTAAATTCAATAGAGAAAATTTTCAATGAATAGTTTTGCTTATTTATGTATCATTTATTTTTATTTTTACATTGAATAAAATATGGCATAAACATATAATGAATTCATTGAAAGTTGAAAGTCGAACGAGATAAAATATTTTCTTTTGATGAATCAAAGGCATATTTTAAACAAGTTTATCACAATATCATTAGACGAGAAATAATAATTATTGAAGGACCAAAAGAAACAAAACATCCGCAAACACTTCATTACTTCATATTTTACGCTTCGAAATATTCTTATCAACGATGTAATTTTCCTGTGTCGTCATTTCAACCCATTATTCACACATAATGGCGTTTCTTCATTTTTTCTCATAATAAGCTATTCATACAACCTTGTATAATTCATTTCTTTCTCATCTATTTGTTTTTACAAATATAATCTTCCTATGCTGTTTCAAACTCTCGTAGTACTGTATTATATTCTAGACGTGACACAAATCGAACTAGGATGTAATGCTGAAAGTCTCTTCTACTGTGACAAGTGGAAACAATGAATCGTCATTTCATGATTAGTGAATCAGATGGCAAGAGAGAATTCAAGATAATAGCACGTTTCCTCAATAGAATTACTATTAGAAGATGATAGACTCGATCAAAGTGACCTTTAGAAAAAATATGATCTATCTATTATGTAATTACATTGGAATCATTTAATAATTATCAAAAGAGTCTTAATTAAAATTGCAACACTTATAAATATTCTCATTGCTGCATTCACAATCCGTCGTTAATAAAAAAAGAAGAATATCCCCTAAGGGACAAATCGATGAAAGTTAACTGTCGAAATGAAAATATGCATAGGAACCACACAAATGACTAACAGTCCTAAATCTTTATTAATAATGATTTGAACCGTCTTACGGGCGAGTCAACGAGTATGAAATCGTAGTACAGCAACTGTTGTATGGACCCATTGCGTTACTTTGATTATACAAACGACTCAATTATTAGCATTTTTCAGTGTGGGGTTCTTTTTCTTTAGTTTGTTTTGATCCCTAGCATCAAATAGAATTATTCTTATCTTTAATATTGTTTAAAAATAATTCCACCCTTTTATTATTTCCCTTTAGTTGACGTTTTTATTTCCTGGACTTTTGATCAATGTTTAATTGTTCAGAGAGCATCCATGACAGCACCGAGGAATCGAAGCACTCGATAAAATTTATTTTTGAGTTTTTTATGCTCATTCGAAAGATCAAGGTTTAAAACTACTGACTTGAAAATTTTAGCTTCTAATACCTTTCCTTCGAAAAGTTACTCAGAGGCGACTTTTACCACCCTCACAAATTTCCAATGAAAAAAATAGCAAAACATTTCTCCATCAAACAACCCCGTCTCATTAGTGGCGGAACCAGGATTTCAGCCTAGAGGAAGCTCAGCTCTACCTTAATTATTCAAATTATACTTACGATAGTAAAAGTTTTTTTTTGAAAACTGTCACGTTTGAGTCAGTTTTCTGAGTCCTAATATCTTACTCAATCAGTTCTTGCTCATATATTTATAAACATATATATTTATATCAACATATGGATGGGGATTCTATATTTAAATATATTTCATATTACTCAATCACATTAACAAAATTCTACTATTTTTATGTTGTATGGCAAATACATCAATAACCTTTTCAANATTAAGAGCTAAACCGCAAAGGTGATATTTTTGATGGCAGAGTATTTATTAAGCCTCACATTTCCAACTAATACGCATTTAGATAGGAATTTTACTAGTGGTTCATTCATGGTAAAAGTGCAGCTAACCCATACCCCTCTCTACACAGTTGTAATCAGTTTTTCAAGCTCTTTCATCTGAAACTATAATCATTCGATTCTATGACAAAAAGTATTTTTTGAAATTTTCAACAAATCCATGTACTCCCCCAGGAGGTCGGATAAGGTCGAAAATTTTTTCTGTGCTCAAAAATGAACTAACGTCGCTAAACGGCTTAGTATACTAATCTTATTTTGTTCTATGCTGAAATTTTTCTGAATCGATGATATCTAGTATTCGTCACATGTCGTTTATTTCCATAATTTCATTACCATATCGATAATGTTAACTACTTTTCGGATCGAGCATACCATTTTTTTTAAATAGTTCTTTGAAATTTGGTATAGAATTAAAAGTTACGTGAAATATCCGAAATTCTGCTTGGTGCCTACTTATTTAGAAAGATTAGATCAAATATACTGTGAAAAATAGAAAAAAAAACTAAAAGAAATTGCCACTTCCTATACTGGTTGATGCTTGCAACCTCCATAAAAGAACATCATCCAATACTTTAAATATCCAGTATTATTCACCTATCTATGGACTATCTTTCAGAGTATTCGTCTAACGATTTGAACAAACGTCTGAGGCATGAGACGGGGTTGTTTGATCGAGAAATATTTTGCTATTGCTTACATTGAAAATTTGTGAGGATGGTAAAAGTCGTCTCTGAGTAACTTTTCGAAGGAAAGATATTAGAAGCTAAAATTTTCAAGTTAGTAGTTTTAAACCTTGATCTTTCGAATGAACATAAAAAACCCAAAAATAAATTCTATTGAGTGCTCAATACACTGGAGCGATTCTCGACCGGCTCGTGGCAGCTCTCTTAATGTCTATTGTTTTGAAAGCTTTTTTCAAGCTCCTCAGACAAAATACTAAATCATTAGCCATTAGGTCGTATCGATATTCATCTACCAGATCAAAACATTATAGCATTAAAGTCTAACGATTTTCTTATTATCATAATTGAATCAATTAAAAATTACCATAGAGCAATGCATTTACCTACTTAAAACTGTTTAGTTATTTTAGTTCAAATTCATGCAACATTATTTATTTATCAACATTAGGCATCTATTTATAGTAAATTTAGAATATATTCATTGAACTCTTTAACGTAGATGAATGAATAAAAAAATTTATTGTAAAATTAATATTTCGACTTTAAAAAAAAATAGAAAAACAATTTTCACACATAAATCACATACTAAGCAAAACTGTATCTTTGCATATTATCAAGAGTTTTATTTTCTACTCAAGATACCATCGAAACAATAATCGTATTATAGTGTATAATCTGACTTGAAAGTTGAATAAGTATTTTTTTGCTTGCATGTAGATTACTTAGTCTTCGTGTTGAGCTTAAGAATCTAATTATTTTCAAAAAAAAAGAAAACGAGCATAATGAAAATAAAATAGATAATAAAATTTTTACCGGTCCGAACACGAGGATATGGATGGCTAAGTAATTCTCTAGCTGATCGACGCTGTTCAAGATCAGGCTTTAAACACAGTTCAATAAATTCGTAGGCTTCTTTTTGCCCTCGTAATTCCTCTGGAATAGGTGGGCCTTTTTTTGCTAATAATTGATTTTGAATATAGAATTGATCTTCAGGTGGACGTGTTACAGTTGCCCATGGTAACTAAAATTATTAAACAATTGATCGAAATCTTATATTCTAAAAGTTTACTTTGCCAGTTAACATTTCTATTATAGTACAACCAAGTGCCCATATATCAGATTTGTAAACATATTCTGGTTCTGGAGGTTTGAAGTCTAGTAGAAGAAAACAACATTGAGATAAGTCTAGATGTACAAATTGATTCGTATCAATATCCTATACGATCTTTTTCGATTTCGATTTATATAAAAGTTTTGTGAACAATAGTAAACAATATTACTCATTTTATTCCCTATACTGAAAGGTGGGTATTACGGAAAACGAGTTCAATACGTTCATTAGTAAGATCGTTCGCACAGAACAAAAAAAATGTTTTTTTGATTTCGTTCATGGAAATGCACTAAAACGTTTGTCTGACAGGTTTTGGGGTCGGGGAATCCGAATCCGATGTTAGTTTTTTGCTTTTTTTAGAAGAGAGAAAGAGTTTTTTTATAAGCGTTGACGGAAGGTAATCGTGTCGGAGAATCCGAATCGTTTTGGTGCTGACTCGTTCTTTGTCGACCGAGCCGGTCCTTCTAGTCGAATAAAACAGTGAATAAATTGAACTCTGAGGCGGATCACTGGTATGTTATCGAGTGATAGTATTTCGTCAGTTGTCATGGAAAGAGGCTTTTGAAAGTAGTCAAAATGGTGTAGATGATCTGTATGATGTGCTAATCTATCTACGAAGTATATTAGAACATGGTCACGACTAGCCGTTGAACATAATATTGATGAAAATCAACTTTCGTACCACAGAAACTAATTGGATAATGCTATATCGATAGTCTCTGTTTATGCAGGATTCTTGGATGGGGGGCGTAAAGCTGCTCAAAAAATATATTTTAATATACCCAGGAGAATCATTCCGATAGTAGGATCCTATCGAATTCTGACAAGGGTCAGACAGTGAATATACCGAATACCATGTGTTTCAATAAAACCGACGAAATCTTATGGAATTCCTGAACACGGACCTATAGTCGGATCCTTGGTATTGGATCCAATCGGATCCGATATTGGATTTTAACGGAATCCAACTCTAGCGAATCACCCTTACGCTCTGATGGCTAAAAATGCTCATTTGATCGTGAATAAAGAAATGATTATTTTCGTCGGAACCGACAATAGACTCGTGCCCAGGAATCCTATCGGATTCTGTTCTGTCGGGGAGTCGAATCCCGTAGGATTCGATAAGATCCGTTATCGGGTTCGTGCATCTGGGTAGCCCTCTAGGTTGTGGTAGAAAGAAAGCGAATGCGTATATGTTCCATGACTATGATCATATCTGGGTTTTTAGAACCACATTTTGATCAATGATTATCCAGTAGGGAGATCAGCAAATGAAATTATAATGCTATAAAACTAACTTGGTTATAATGCTTTTAAAATATTCTATATTTTCAGCGGAGGGTCAGCGGTGCTTATGCCACGTTACTTGTAGAGTAATGCGCTGAGCAGCTACAACGACCAAATGTTCGTTCAGTCGTGTGTCCGTTACACACAATGCAAGAAAATTTATAGCTATAGTCACATTTGCTTTTCTTTCGTTCTCTACATATATCTACGGAACGAAAAATAGTATACGTGTATATATATTATATCAGCGAGTTCCAAGGTTGCCAAGATTGGTGGAGGGGAGTAGAAGTATGCGGTTCCAAAAATTACACGGAACCGGAACTGCGGTTCCGGTCCCGGTTCCCAATCATTTCAAAACAGTAGTTCCGGTGCGATTCCAAAATTAGTATACAGAATCGTGGAACCGTTTACCTATCAAAGTGTGGTTATGATATACAATATGTGGCGTATTGACCATGTTTGCTGACGTCGCTGACCACAAAATTTGTATCTCCGCCTCAAGATCAGTATAGAATCACGCCTGACATGAGTTGCGAATCGCTTCTTTTCCAATAGTAGCTTGACAAAAAACGTGATGTAAGTGATGATATAAAAGAAACGATTCACGGTTCCATATTTTGTGGAACCGCAAACCTCTTTGAGGGGATGGGCGATGACAAGAGATCGGTGAAAAAATTTTCACTAAAAATGAATGACTTGTTGAGGGGACAGTTGAGTAGTTTTTGAAAATCGGTGAGCAAAACGGAAAAATTCTAAAATTTTTGCTGGGAAAACTCGAAAAGTTTTCAAGATTAGGGGACATCGCGCGTCCCCTACTCGGAACACCCGTGTCACCGATTTCTAGCAACCAACTGTCGGGTCTGTTCAATCGAACTCATTTGGTTTTTGCTCAATTCAATATTTGGTATAGAAATAAGACTCCGATAGATTTTGACAGAAGCCGTTTTGAAAAAATATCGAATCCCGAGTTGTCATGGATGATTCACAGAGTTCTCAAAGTATAAGCATTTCGACCAAGAGTAATCTTGAAAGGGCTGTACCTAAATAGCGGCTCGCCCTATTGGGTTGAGATTTATGAAAGACATACGTCTCGACAAGTTCAGTACGTATGCTATTCTCCTTTCCTGTTCGTAGGGTGTCGTTAATGATGTTTTATTTTTTGTGAACATTGTGATTTTTAGAGGATGCTTCCTGTGAAGAAATGTGCGTAGTGTGAGGACTAAGCTTGAAAAGTTGAAATAAAAATGTAAGATTTACAATTTTATCAATAAAATTAGCCTGGATTGCATGAAAAAGATCCGAAAAAGGGGACATATCTAAAATTTATTCAACTGGAAACACGTATTTGTGACCCATCAACAGTTTTCAATTGTTAACTCCCGCGACTGAAGAGAGGGTCATATGAAATAAGGTGGATTTCTGGTCTTGTAGTCTCTTGAAGATTTAGCTGCTCACAAATATTAATGTAGGTTCAGTCTGAGTCATTAACATCACGAGTACTTAGTGTTATGAATTCAAAACCTCAAATTTGATTTTTCTAGGTCTCATCAAATTAGATTGTTTGAGGTTAGAAATTCACCAATAAATGTTTTTCCATAGAACTTCTGACTCGCTGCACTTGTCGATACTAGGGGTATAATCGTTTTCAGATCTAAGTTTAGGCAAAAAAGTTCTTTTGATCGGAACTGAAACTGAGCTGTCATACACCTAGCCGATACTATGACTTGTAGAAAGTAGTATAAATGAAAGATGAAAATGAGGGCGCCTCGACTTTTTGGAAGCAGATGATAGTAATTGTTATGGGACTAGATTTCAATCGAAGTATTCATCAGGCTATGGGGATTTATAAGAGAATGTGCACTATCTGGATCTATTTGGTTGAAACAGTGGTCGAAAATGGCGAAACATTTAATCTTTTTCAAATCAACTCTGATAACAACTTTTCTGTCAGTATAAAATAGCTGGCACATACGTTTTACAGAAGATCTTGTTTATTGAATTTAGGCTCTCTTGGTCATAGCTAGACTTGAATAAAATAAAATGAGTGTTTATGTCTGTGTTTGTATGTATTTTGATGGAAGAACACTGATGTATCCATATGTATTCGTGAGTGCTCAGACTAACTGACGAATCTAATCGCTGATGTCAGTGCTAACTTCATCTAAATACAATATTCATGCTACAGCTCTCGTATGGGTCGCCTCTTTTATGCTCATATTTAGTCAGTAAAACGCATAAAATGTCGAGCTCTTGTTCAACCTCAATTGTTTTTCAAGCTAGAAGCTCAACAAAAGCGAGATTTTTTCTTAGCAAAACCATGCGACATCATTTTAATGTCGGCCACATCGAACAACTATAGGCTACCACCTTTGAACCACGGAATAGATTCTTACACTTTTTCATCCTAATATATCGGATTAGTTCAAAACTCGTGCAGCATGGATTACAAACACGTTGTCTCATATGGTCTATTTCTCAACTGCGAAACAATAATGCTTTGGAACCTAGGCTCTGAGTTTCAGAAGCCCTATGTTATTTCATATCAATTAGAAACACAATCGCATAATAGTTTTCAGATCATTAATGTCCTTTGTGAATTACATAACCATTTATTATTCTCCTTTCAGTAGGGGGCTTAGCGGCGTTTGCGTCGCGGTACTTGCGTTTATTAGAAGGTCTTCAGATAGACTGATTACAAGGATGTGGATGTGAGAACATGTTCATGTGCACCCGTAAATGGATCGCATGAGTATCACTTATGCGTCCTATGCAACATTCGACTCTATAGCTTGATATTGAAAGCATACAAGTGAAGATTCACGCAAATTGTTATACCAATTCTCGTAGCAATAAAACTAACGTAAGTGTTTAAATATTATAACCTACTCAATTTTCATGAAAATGCATCCTACTAAACAATAGAAAACGTACCAAAGATGTGGAAGATTTTAGATTCTTGAGGAAATTAATACAACGAATTCGGCCAGCCAGTGGCATAGTAAATATGTCTCAAATAACTTACATATAGTTCCTTTTTGTGTAGTACGTGAATCACTGGTATCGGATGATCGTGATTCGATACCAAGTCGATGTGATAAGTTAAAATCCTGAAATGAAATGTTCACCTAAATAATTCTATTTATTTTAACATTAACTTACACCTAATTTGACAATATAATTTCCATTTTCATTTGCAATAAATATATTATCACCTTTAACATCACAATGAACAATAAAATGTTCATGTAAAGCCATTAAAGCTTGTAAAAGTTGTTTAACAAATCCTCGAACATGTTCTTTAATATCAAGTGATGAGCTTAAACGAATACCACCTGTATTCAGATCTTCATCTTGATCGCTTGAATCACTCCATAAAGCATCATTTTTTCTTTTTATACGTTGACGTTTTTCAAATGATCGAATATCATTCAAAAATTCATTTACTGTCGATAAACAATATTCCATACAAATATAAATTGTTTTCTACGAAAAACGAAAACTCAATATTGAATAAAGAAATTTTCTTTTGTCATGTGTTTTCTCTACCTTATATTTTTCAATACCAAAGTATCGTACAATATTCGGATGATTAATAGACATAATCATATCGATTTCTTCTGCAATACGTCGAAGATTTCTCTGATATGCACTTGATAATGATGAATTTATGGGTGATAAATGTATTTCTTTCATACAAACAATCGAACCATTTGAACAATTAATTGCTCGGAATGCGACACCAGCACCGCCTCTACCAATACGTGTACCACGACGCCATGGAAAATCGATATTCCGCATTTTCAGTGATATCACAGGATCTGGAGTTGGTCCATTGGTTGTCGTTGCATTATTAAATATATGACCAATTTGTTTACGCTCACGAAACTTCTTTTCTAAATCATGTTCAAGATTTTTAATTTTCTGTATGATACGTTCACGAGGTGTAATGAAAGTTGAAGACATTAATTCATTAGATCGGCCGCCACTTTCATTTCTTCGATGTCCACCTAAAAATGAATGACAGTTGTTTTTTATTTTAAGTATTCAAATTATATTTTAGTCATTACGTGTTCGACTCAACGTTGTTGATGTAGACGATACACTATTTGAACGCGCTAGAAAAACATGCAGACATTGTGTGAAAATCAATAGATTTAATATAGTTTAAAATCATCAAATGCAATCGGATTAAGAAAACTTTAAATCAGCTTTTCCTTATTCTTACCAACATTCATGTTAGGAAAAGTACGATCAAGTAGGGAAGTAGTATCTTTTGAGAAAGACAGGAAATGTCCATTAACAATATAAGTCAAACAAAATTTTACCTTTTAATGTAACTAAAGAATGATTCACTCCTGCATTTCCGTAAAGAACATCAAGAGCAGCGGGCATTTCTTTGATTAATTTTTTATAATCATCATTTGAAAGTAATTGTAGATGAGTTGAATCTGCTAGAAAACGCAAAAAACTCATTCCAGGTGAAAGCCATTTTGGACTAAATTTTTAATTAAAATTCTTTTAAGAAATTCATGTGTGTTTGCTTTTTAATTTTTACCTGAAGACTTTATATCTAACTGTTCGAGTTTGTTTCATTGATGTGTGTTTAAATTTTTTCGCCACACATTTACACCATTGACAAAAAAATTCATTCATTGTGCTAACAAATTTTTCAAAGATTTCATGATTATTTGTTGGTATAGTTAGTAAAACTTCGGATAAAAGACGAAATAGATCAAAACCCGAATTATAAATATATAGAACAAGATCAGCTAATTTCGATTCGATTGTATGTTCATCAAACTTAGCAATTTCTGCCAGATAAAGTTTTGTTGAATCTTGATCCCAGAGTGTATTTAATATACGAACAAGATCAGTTAATGTAGTACTTAATCTTTCGACATGCTCCTATGAAAAAATAAGGAAATCGAAATGTTTATTTATTATCTTATGGAAAAAGAAGAGCAAGAAATACATACAGATAATTGATAAAATGTTACACGAATATCTTCATCTCGTGGTACTTTTCTAATTAGTTCAACATTCATTAATCCAGCATGTGAATTAAATAAACTAACAGCACTATTCCAATGATCAAAACGATTAACGACCAAATGTAATGAGCTAAGTTCAATGGAATTTAATGCTAATTTTGTACTTTCACTCGGTTGAATGTATAAAACTTTTCCTGTCCATGCATAATTGTGCCGATTTAAATTTTTCTTGGGTACAAAAATCATATAGCATAGCGGTGCTTCTTTTTTAGGTTTACATGGTTCATCTACTACAATTTGTTGTGAACATACAATACTCAATAATCTTTCGACTTGATCTTTTTCTGCTGATAACCAAGGCGGAACAAATACATGAAAATTATCAAAATCATCGACATACTAATTTTAAACGAGAGTATATATGTTTATATTTGGTTTGAAAACATCGATGAACTTACATTTCTACTCAAATAAATTTTAACTTGAGTATAAGAATTTTGTAGCAGCTGCTGCCATAAGCCATGATGATTAGAACATCTAAATTCAGCCGCAATTGAAAAATCCTTAACGACAAAAACAAATTGGTAGAAAAGAAAATTCATAAAATTCTATGAATAAACTTACCACAATAAGAGTTTTTGCTAATTGACAAACACGTATTGCACGTTGTTTGATTGTATCGAAATCTCGACGAAATTCACGTGTACTTGAAATAATATCGTTTCTAGATACGAGAGAGAAAACAAAACAGCTCGCAAGTTTATTAAATTACTTTTTTTGATCAGAAAATGATGCTGCTGAGTCACATAATGAAAATTCACTATGATGAAAATCATGTGGAACACTACTCGATGCAACAAATGAAGGTGGCTTGATGAGTTCAGATATTACACTACAACAAAAAAAGAGTAAAGAAATCCTATGCAAAATTATCATCCTAATAATTTATTAAAATGAACTAATTCGTTTTAAAGCTTATGTACAGAATGAGAACTATTAAAAGATTTCGATCGAACTAATTGCTACCAAAGAACTAGGTAATGGGCCAAACCGACGCTAATTAATGCAGGATATATTTTTGTGAATTACTCTTAGAAAAATTGAATCGACGATGGCCAGAATTCAATCTATAAAAGTAGTCTTTTGAATATAAAATAAAATACTTAAAGGGAGTTTATCTCCCAAAGACAAATCGCCAAAGGATTGAAATATTTATTTTTAATTTCAGTTGTTTGATCAGAAATATACCTCAAAACAGTCCTGATAATACCGTTTAACAACTAGTATGATAAAATCGGGGATTCTGCTGATCGTTAGTTAAGAAAATGTATAACATTGGATAGAAAGCTATTTTAACATTTCTAGACTAGATTCCGGGCAATCGTGCAAATATCTACAATCGTTTATAAACTTCATCGGGTTTTGTTAAATACAAAGTGAATTATTTCAAAATAAAACGACTAGTCGAATTCTGTAATTCCAGAAATACAAAAGAATATTTTGTTCAATCTTACTCAGCCGAAGAAGATGCATCATAAATTTTCGATGTATTACTCATGTTAATTGTAAATGCTTGATAGTATTTTTCCGTTTTACCGTTTAATTCTTCTTTCAATTGTACTAATATTCGTTGTATTAAAGTACTGCAAATAGTCAGAACAAAGAAAATGTATAAAACTTTTTCAATATAACCTATTTACCTAAAATCAATACACAAATCACGAATTTCATTACGATTTCCTAATGTCACTGTTAAATCACGTGAAAAATAATATTCTTTAATTAATTCTGATGTTTCTTCGTCAACATAATAATACAAATCTGTATTTGTTTCATTATTCATAATCATCATGTCGTCATCGTGTCCACCAAATGAACGATTAATACAAACTGTACTTAAAAATTGTTTATAATGCTAAAATTAAAATAAAAACACTATCATTAATAAACGTATTTAAAAAAAACGGCAACAAACCGTATAAAGCTTAAGTGTATTTTCATCGAATTCCATCAGTTCATCAACTATTTTCCGATGTGAAACAAATTGTTCCATCATGCGTATACTGTATAAACGAGTTGCTAACGCATCTCTATTAGATAGAATATGTAAAATTTGAAAAAAAGGAATATGGAAATTTTCCTGTTTGTTGAACTCACCTTAAAACTAATTTTGCTTCACGAACTAGCTGAACTCAGAAAAAAGAACAAATAAATGAATATATAACAAATGAGTTCTTTTTTCTATCTTACTTGTTGCCGACAAAGAGAATCTATTTCAATAGTAGCATTATTCATGTAAGGTTTATGATAAAGTATTAAGCATTCATTCATAACATCAAGCAAAACATTAATAATAAAAAAATATAACGGTAGCAACGAAGGCAAACCTAATTGTTGATGCAGTTCCAGCCAATTTTGCTTTAGAGTATCTTCTGTATACGAACATACTGTTTTTATTGTTGGACATGATTTTAGTACACTGAAAAGCCATTTTTCGATTGTTAATTCTCCAATATTGAGATTTGTTGTCGTGTCTTCCTCAACTGGATTATCTGTATCGACAAGTTTATCCTCAGTATCATCACTAGTAATATTTATCTTCGATTCTGATTTATTTCTGCTTGCTGTTGGGCATTCACAGAGTGATAGACCAGCAAGAACTTGTTCAACTTTTACTTTACGTCGATCATTTGCTTGTAATAAAGCAAGACGAGTTTTAACAAGAACTGGCGCAACGCGTTCAATTAGTGTTCTTGCTAAACCATCGTATTTAACTTGATAAGAACGTTTATCCATATAGTAAACAAAATTTCTAAGAAAAAATAAATGATAAGCGAGAAAAAAGAGCTAAATAGGCTTCTCAAGCTTACCGGTAACAATCGATACGATTTAATTTAGTGGTTTTAGGGTTTGCTTCATTTGGATTCGAATCATCAGAAACTAAATTATTTAAAAAAAATAAAATAATGTATATGGAAGATTAGTTCGATTACTGTTAAGACGAGAAAAATGATCAAGAGGCTCTTCAGGCCAACAACTCTAGAAAAAAAAACAAAGAAAACGATTGAATTTCCAAAGTTACACTGGATCACGAAGGGCATCTTTTTTCAGTTCGAACATCCTCTTTAAAAATTTCGCACATCATGTTTTCATGATTAGATTTTTTGAACGTTTGAAATCATAAGCTAATGCAATTTTTTATTGTTTTTTATTCAAATATCTAAATAAATCCTGCATGAGAATCGCCTGCGGTATTTGAATAGACTGAAAAATGAAACATTTCTTTCGTTAAGAAACTTTTTCTTATCCTGAATTCATTATACTTTGATGAGTTTAAACATACTTTTGGTAGAATATCACTTTCGTCATCATCTTCTGATTCGATTTCCTCGTCACTTTCTTCAGTTAATTTTACTCCATCATCATTGTCTTCTTCATCATCTTCTCCTTCTTCTTCATCACCTGTTGAATCGTAATCAGCAAAAGATTCATTTGCTCGTTTAGCTTTACGTTCGCGACTTGTTACCATCGAACGAAAACTTAATTTTGGCCAATCTTCACAATCATCACAACGTAAGAGTCCACTTATTTTTCTAACCGATGTCGTTAATTCATAATAAAGATTGTACCAAACAAAAAGTGCATCTAATCGACGATGAAATACTGATAATGTATCATTTGTATGACCACTATCAACATGTTTTAAACAGTAAAGTATATGTTGCTGATCAGCTAAATCAAATAGTTCTGTAAGATCATTTTCAGTTCGTTCACAATCTTCAATATAATCTTGTGATAGTGTACGAAAAAAACGTAATGGACTATCTTTAAATGCTATGCCATCACTATTTATTTCATATTTTAGCTCAGTACTTGTATTACGAGTTAGTGATGGCGATGATGTCTCTGATGATTCATTACTAGCCATGTGACCATCTAAATCATAAAAGAATAATAATCATTAACTCGCATGATTAGCGTTTTCTACTAGAATAAAAATTAGTTCCAAAATTATTGGAACACATTGCAGAGTAAGAAATCACTTTTTAGATGGCTTCTACTTCTTAAAAATTAGAAAAAGTTTTCGCGGATAGATCACTATAAATAGAATTTGAATTATCATATATCTGAGAGTAAGACTTCATCATGATTCAAGATAAGTATGCTTTATCGCTTTCTTCGTACATAATTTGAACTTGACTTTTAAGGGATGACTATTGGGTTGGCGACTACACAATAATATGATTAAACAAGCTGAAATCTTAATGTATTAAAATAATGGTGAGGATATGTAACGATGAGATCGACACTCTAGCGTATAGTGACTAGTTAATAATTAAAAAATAAGTCTTTCGGAACATTCTATCTATTCTCAAATAAATTTTCTTGTTAGAGTTATACTATTTTTCAACACTCAAATTTTAGCAATACTATTTGTGAAACACGATCTGAAAGAAGTGCTGAAGTATATAGGGTAAAAATTTGAATCCCCCCACAGACCGTTACAGAGAAATTAATTAATTAGTTAGTTAATTATATGGCCAGTTAATTAATTAGTTGATTCTTTTCTCTGTAACGGTCTGTGATGGTCTCTACCGACTCCATAGACCATAATACAGATCGTGACAGAGAAGCTACACAGATATCATCACAGACCATGCCCGAAAGGCTCCGTGAATGATTACAAAAAGTGGTAGAAACTCTGGAAAAGCTCACAGACCGTGGTAGACGGGCTCCAGCAAAGAAGTTTAATCGTGTCTCACATTTTTATCCCACAGGGATTGCGCTAATAGCTTTTATCAGTTAAGTTTGATTTCATTCTACCAGAATGACTATCATATCATGAATCATCATTTATACTCCGAAACCTTTGCGTGTTGCTTATGCGCCTTGCTTACTGATATCTTCTAAATCAGACCTTTTCATTAGTATGAAAAAAATGTTGCTTAGACAAGGTCTTTTGATTTAACTTACTTATTTATTTTTGTACTGGGCACGAAACGAAGAGCTAATCTCTTAGCATATATCTTGTCTCAGCGAATGTCTAGTTGTACAGATTATCGAGAGCTCACAGACTGAAAAAACTAAAATATAATAGTTTTTGTAGATTATTATTTTTCTAACTACTAGTGTTTTGTTTTCATAGCATTATGGTTTTATTTTGACTATTAATTTTTCATCTTATATAAAAAAAAAAGTAGAAAAGTGATTTGCTAATCTGTGATGCAATTTGTCGCCTTGAAACATACCTTTGGTTACATCAACTTCACTTTCAAGATATCTATTGGAAAGCTGAATAACATCTTGATTTATTGTAATTAAATCTTTAACACTTTCCGTTAAAAATTCGTAATGATGAGCTCGATTCATTTGAAAAGTACTTATTAAATCAATAAATGCTTTTGTTTCAACTCTTGAGCATCGTTCATTCATCGGATTCTTTTGTGATAAATCATTTAAACGCATATAAAGAAAATCTCGAATCGATGACGTTTGTGTTGCACATTGTATACCAGTATTATATGAGTAATTTGAAAGTAAACTATTAATCATGGTTAAATGTTCATTAAGAATAGCTTCTATATTACGAGTAAATGGTGATTTGGATTCTGGTTCTTGTTGTAGCGTCTGTATATTAGTTTGTTGTTCTGATTTGTAAGATGAATTTTTATGATCACGTGTAAGAGCTGCGAATCCACTAAGGTTATGACGATGAGAAGCACGTTTTCGATGTAGATGAAGTGACGATGAAAGTGATGTTGCTGTTGTTGTGTTAGTTAAAGGTTTTGCTGAAGACTTGGCATTCATTGATGGTGTCATAGCTATCGAATCTGAATGAGTACTTTGTAAAGATGAATAACTTTGAGCCAGCGGATCACTATTTGTTAGTCGTAAAGGTTCCGGTAGAAGAGTAGATATATTTGATGGATCATTTGCATTTGCAATCTTTGGTATAATATCTGGCTCCTTCCGTGTGGTGGAACTTGGTACGTTATTCGAATGAAATGATGAGCAAAACTGAAAGAAAAATTTTATTAGTTCCATACGAGGGTGTTCAAACGAGATATCTGTGAATAACCTACAAGCGTCATTGTGTGATATGATTTACAAGAAAAGACGAGATAAATATACATTGACATAGACTATTCGGTATGCTCAAACAAAGATATTCTTGATAACTCAATTTATCAAATGCGAAAGAATTCTACTGAAGAAAATTTCAACACCGGTGCTATTGTAAAGAGTTTACTATGTTAAATTATGTGTATCATCAAGCTCATGTCTTCAATTTAACAATTGACCCGTCCGGATGACTATATCAATAGAAATAGCTTAACTAAGAACGAATGTACGCTCTAGAAAAAAAATGAGAATTTATATTTTAATTACTTCAACGAATGGATTTGGTGCTGGCTTTTGATGCTGTTGTTTTGGAGAAGTTGAATGTTGTCGATTTACCAAAGCAGATCGAGAAATAATTGTTGGCTTTTTTTCAAGTAACCACATTAATTGTTTTAAAATATCTCGTCTTTTATCAACTGGTCCTTTTCCCCCACCATTATCAGTTTTTAAACCTTTCATTTTCTTATTAATACCACTTAATTCATCATCGCTGGACGATGATAGATTTTCTGTACTAGGTGTTCCAGATGATGTTGTCGATATTCGATTATTTCGTAGATGTTGATCAAGTAGAATCTTTTCATTGGCAGTTTCATTAGCATTTGCACTGGATGTTTTTAGTTGTTCAAGTGAACTTGTTTCTAAACTTACTAAATCAGTACCACTTCGATTTGATGATTGATTCGAAGCCGATGATGGAATAGCTAAAAATCTTGAATCTGGAGAATAATGTGAATAACTACGCGATGACGATGAGTGTGTATTAGATCGAGACAAAAACACGCTATCCGACATATAAGATGATTGTCGTGTTGTATCACCGGATGGGTCATAAGCACCATTAGGCATGGACAGTGTAGTTCGAAATTGTTTACGAAGAATGTGAGAATGCAATGATTGTGATTGTAGATTTACTGCTTGAGATTGTGAACGTGAAAATCCAGTAGATTTGTTCTTGGTTGTATTCCATGATGTACGTCGTCGTTGGTGAGATACTGACGGTTTAGGATGACAATCGGTTGAGACAGAAGCATGAAAAGAAACATTTGATGATTTTTTTGAACTTTCTCGAGTAGTTGGCGATCGACCTTGGAATTGAATTTGTTGTTGTTCTTCTTCTGACTGTATGCGTTTGGAGTTTTTATCAATTTCTGAATCTTCTGATTCAGTTACTGGAAGAAATTTCATGGGTATGTCTTCTTTTTCTTCCTCTTCATTCGCATTACGATTATACTGATCATTGAGTGGTAAAGATGAACTACGTCGAAGATCGTTTGGAAGCGATATTTGTGGTACAGTCATGGTATCAGAAACTATTGATTGTTGATGATCGCATATTGTTGATACAGTTGAATTTCCACGACTACGTTGTATTATTGGTTCTATTAATGTTAATGGAAGAGATGGCGAACGTTCAATTGTTGGTGATGATGATTCGGTTGTTGTTGATTGAACCCATATAGCAACCGATCGATTGTCCACGGGAAAATTTGAAGCTTTTTGTTGATCAGTTGTATATGGCGGTGGCACATAAATATCTGATGAAGGTCTCTCGCCCTTTGCTATTGATGACAAAGCAGTTTCTGACGATTGATCTGTTGGTGCAACAAAATTTGTTGATTCAAGAACATTTGTCTCAGTATCATCAACAAGTTGGAATTTTGGTACGGAAATCATCATTGTCACAGGATTTACCTGTGCATCAGGTATTTTTGATTCATCTTGAGGGTCTGAAGGTGTCATTGTCAATGATTCTGCCTTGCCATTATTTGAGTCCATCTAGAAAGTTATAAGTCTTTTTCTTAAAAGTTTTCACACGCATTACTATCACGCTATGATTCCATTGAAACCAGATCTTACTAGGTCAATCTAAGTAAGTCATACAATAAGAATGCAATCAAGTTCATAAAATTTCTTGACTCAATCGATAGATGTTATTTTGAATATTTATGCTATATTTTCAGCTATCGATCAAAAAGAAAATCAAATTAGCTCATTAATTTCCTTCACTTTTATAAGTAAAAATAATAGTGTGCAGAGAGCGCTGGTTCTGTTGCGTCGAGAGGTATCTGTATGAAAATATAGAATATGAAATAAAATATTCTGTAATTTATTTTTATCGTTAAAGCAAAGACTGAAATTTTTAGATTTTTTCGTGCATTTAAAACTATCTTATACCAGATATAAAACATGAGCTATAATGAAATTTTCAAAAATCAATGCTATAAATGAGTACATTTATTCGCTTGATGAAGTATCCGTACTTATATGCACGACAAAATAATGATGAGTACATGCTTTTTCAATATAGCAAGGTTAAAGAATAGCGGAAAAAGCTATCTTATAATGATGTTGACATAATTACATTAAAAAAGGTTTTTCTTGAAAATAATTGTGAAAAACCTTGAAATCATCATCACATGATACGTGTTTAAAAATAAAAATACATTAAAGGATAATATACGTGAATCAGAATTTTAATACTAAAAATAAACAAAATCAGCTCTGATTTCTAAAGGAGATGTGACTTTAAATTTATTAGATTAAGAGAGCTTTAGTCTTAGGTAAAATTCTATTTGCGTTTGAATGAATTATTATTAGTCATGACTGAATAGAGATTTTTGTCATCTACAGAAAAGACACACTCGTTTTTGAATTCATATTACTACCATAGCACTTACTGAATTGTGTTCATTTTATTAATTTTTTTTCTTTTACTAAGTTTTCTACCAAAAAAATTGGCGTAGATCTATTTTATGGGAAATTCGATCACTGCATAAATCTGAATGTAACCAAAATGTGTCATCCGATAGACGCATTGAGTACTACTGAAATTAGTATACTATTGTAGTTTCAATCAGATCTATCTATGAATTAGATTTTCTATCGAATAACTTCGTTTCCCATTTTTTACTACACACTCACTGAATGGAAAAATTATAATAAAATGGATATAGAACAAAAGTAACATGATCTGCACTGAATAGCAATATGCTAATCTCAATGTCAGTAGGTTATGAAGCACGTATGTATTCTAAAAGCATGAATCACTTGGGACGATTTTATCGTTAGCTATTGCAATAGTAGCCAATGAAAAAACTTAATTAATAATTAGCTAGTATTCATTTCATTAAAACCGATCAAAAGCTCATTCTTTTCTGCTCTCAATTCTTAAACTCAAAACTATTTTCAGTCGTGTCTAGAATAAATTTTACATAATTCAATAAATGATCTCTATCAAATAGATACGTTGAATAATCTAGTACTAGCTACTGAAAGTAACTATAAACACTCCCATTCGACTTTGATGTAAGTTTGATAATAATTAAACACTTCCATGATAATTCCGATATACGAATAATTTTCAACATGAAAGTTTCTCTTTTTTTTTCATTCTGAAATATATTCATTTTGATGCGGGAGACTGTTGTAAGAATTGTTTTTTCTGATTATTTTCTAAAGAATTCTGTTGTTTATTTTTTGGACTGTTTTCATTCCTGATAATTTCCCTGGTTGACTATGCATTAGAGAAAAAAACAATATTCTGCATACGATTACTTTCCAATCCGAACAAGTGTATCATCTTTTAAATCAACATTAATTATCATTATATCGATAGAAGACCTAAGAAAAACGAACGAGAATAAATTGATAAACGAACGAGAATAAATTGATAAACAAGCTTCGCTTCTAATCTATGACTCATGTTATGATTTCTTATGTTAATCTATTGTCCCTCACAATCCTAAAATTCATAAAACTGGAATGCGAAAGTCTAATTCTCAAGAAAACAAATCACATTTTTTTCCTATGAAAGTTACCCTTGAAAGTGTCTGGGAAAAATGTAACATAAATAGAAGGATTCAAAACAACGATATTTAAATAAATACATTCCCTTATGGTTCGTTGTTGTTATTTGCATAATCCAAATTATTCTGATATTTAGATACATGTTACCTATAATAACGAAAACTTCCAATCGAAAAATTAAGTTTTCATGCATATATCAACGTTGAAGACAGCGGCCTCCTGCAAAAACGCAAACATAGTCTGTGATTGGTTGCCCTATTCCTGTAGGCATACACGTAACTGATAATTTTTATTCAACAAAACTGTTTTCAATTTGTTTTGAGAATATATTGACTTAAGATAGTATGAAAATAATTTATTTGAAAAAGCTGTCTATCATTCCGCTATAATTTGGTCCAACGAATCACACCAGTTAGCAAGAATAAAATGAATATTTAATTGTTTCATAACAAGAAATTCAAAGACATTAGGAGTCTTCAGAATATGCTTAAATTCTTAGAAGATATTATCGTGAACAAATATGTCGCTTGTATTCGATGTCGTAGTATTTGAAATACCATGTGACAGCTTTTATTGGATTCTGAAATAAGACGTACTTAGAAATTGGCTGCTCAAAGTTACTAGCACAAAACTTTCTCTCTTGATATATTAATCCATGACTCGTGACATTTTTCTCGAGAAATCAGGCACGCTTCTCTTCCTAGAATTTTGACAGATCACTTCATCTATTTTTAATAAAATGATGGTTTAAGAGTTCAACGTTTTGCTGCTCTTTGAGCTTTCAATTATAATTTTCTTCATTAAAAGGATCTCATAAACAGCACGTAGCAATTTGTAAATATTCAGTAACTTTTTTATGAGTGCTTTTACGTATATTGCAAAGTTTCTGCATAGGATATTGTATTTTAGTCAACGGTGGTGTTGCCGTTCGACTTTTAACGGATTACAATACTTTGTGATAATCCACATTCAAATTCAAACATTCTATTCTATTCATATCAATCGATAATAACGCCAACAGATAAATTTTAATAAGTACACAGCACTAAAATAATTTCCGTCTTACACTTAATACTTAAATCAAATTTGTTGAATAGTAGATACGACAATGTCTCTTTCTCTTTTATAAAAAAAAATGCGTGAGAATAATTATGATCGATGATGACAACATTTCGCGTTCTATTGTTGCTTACACTCATGATGATCAATTCATTTATCTATCTGTTCTTCGTCATCCTATAATTTATTTTTTATGTCTTCCTAATCATTTCGGTTGATGCACTCTAATGGAAGAAAAAAGGATGCGCTTAATGTCTTTCGAATAAATATAAATGCTTGTCATCTGCACACCTTCGTTATGCTTCAACGATTCGGTTGAATAGATATGATAAAGAAAGAGAAAAACTAAAATTTATACGGGCATTCATATGATTGCATAGGTCAATGGTAGAAGCATCTGGTGAATATTATTTTGTTTTTAACTACTTCGTTTCGATAACCACTCTGGAAGAGAATCGAACTTGTAACAGAATAATTCGAATTCGAATGTGTTCATTCTCTTCTAAGTGGCCCTCGTGCGATGTATATATCAACGAAAACATCTGCTCGATTTCTCATAGAAATAATCTGTTTCTTTTTTTCAAACTTGAAAAGCGGCTCGTCTTCGTAGTTTATTTCTTTTGTTGATTGGGAAAAAATGCATACGCTTTTGAATATAATTGTTTTTGCTTTGTTTTGCAATATTATTATACAAGTTCAAAGTAAAAATAAAGATTATTTAGCAAAATTTTTCGAAACTAAGGATCCTGCTGATTTACCTGAAAATGCCAAACAATTTCTGTTACTTTGGCAATCCCAACAACGAGCTGATGGTGATGGGTATGAATATTACAATATTTTATTCGATTAGTTGATTGTTTTTTGTTTTCATTGAAGACATTGGTGTTGTGCTATAACTCCACCTACAACACCTGTTTTCTCTAGCACTGGCCATCTTTTACAGTAAAACAAGAAAGAAAACCTTTGCTCATATAAAATTTAATTCTATTTATTTTCAGTTATCAGCCATTACCGTGCCCCGACACATATATGGTCTGTTGCAAGGGTTATATAAATATTCAAGGTCAATGTTTTTCATTCAGCGACATTAAAGACATTCTTCCAGCTTGGCAAGCACTTTCTGCTGCATTCGGTTCAACAATGACAACTGAACAGATTCTTAATGCTGTTCATCAAATCGGTTAAATTAATAAAAAAAATAACAACAATTTATTTTTCTTTTTATTTTCATAATAAAAGAAAAATAAAGATAGAAGTTTAATTTGTATTTTTCATGTCTTATTGATTTCATTTACAACTAACACGTGATAGAGAATGAGATTGACTAAAACGCGCATCTAATCGTTGATCATCAACGCAATCGATATGCATGTTACGACTTATAGTTATTGACCGTTTTTGATTACCAGAGTAATCAAATTTTCGATTAGACTGTTTATAATAGCAAATCAATTTTTGAATTTCTTTCCGAAACATCGGTCCAGTTAATGTGTAAACATAAAAATGTGATGCATGATTTATTTGATGTAAAAGAATAAGTACTGTTGTATTCATCCATAATTCACATGTATATTTCATTTGAAATGGGTCACTTAATTTCGTGCGTATATAATCATTAATTTCCGATGGTAATGATAAAACAACAAATAAAATTGATGTTAGTAATAGAAAACCCGTTAATTGTCGATCTTTTTCCTGACGACGACGCACACCATGTGATGATACCCGTCGTAATGATTTATGTTTTCGTGCTAATCTAGTTATGATGAATATGTTACATAAAAATATAACGATAAATGGTATTAATACGGTTTTTACTATATCAATATATGAATCATAATGATTAACATAAAATAGTGAATATGTTCCATTTCTCGGAAAGCAGACACCATCTTTATCCACATGAAATCCATAAAGAAAATGACAATTAATCAAACTAAATAAAATAGCAACAATGGCTATCAGTAATTTTGCTGTCGATTCTCGGCAAAAATGATGATTTGCTGATCCATGTGATGTTAAGACGAAACGATCAATAGCAGCTAATGTCAAAAAATAATTTGATATATCTGTCGATGCATAAAAAAGAAAAATAACTGATTTACACATAAATGCACTTGATAAAAGTTGTATTCCAAAACCGTACCAAAGTAAATTTTCTAATGTGTAACCAACTAATACCACTATATCACTTACGCTTAACGCCAAAAAATATATTGAACATGAACGAGAACGAAGTGATTTTCGACTAAATACAAGGATTGATAAAGAATTACCAATGAAACCCAATATAACAGTCAATGTTCCTGCATATCGAAGAAAACGTCCAGTATCATATGCGCATTGAGTTGTAAAATTAGTGGAACCATTATTTTGAGGATACATAATCAATTTTGTCGACCAATTTAAACCAGTCATTGTTTAATAATGGAAAAAATTATAATGTGCTGCAAAAGAAAAAAGAAAAGCAAAGTCTATGTGTAATTACTGTTCATGACAATCGACTAATTGAAATTTACATCGTAACAGACGTTATTATACTTACATGTAAATGTCGTGATTGTTAGAACGAGGTTAATTTTTTTCCTGCTTATAATGATAATCTTCTTAGGCATATCCTTAGACTCGCCAAAGCATCATTTCATGACAGCCATCGGATCGTACGTGCAAAACAAATTACATGAATTCATGGCATTATTTTGTTATTTATTTTCTTGTCTTAATTAGTGTGTTAAGTCAAAATTTAGTATAAAAATAGATATCAAGGATTACTGCAAGTCATTATTATAGACATATTCGCGCATAGAACAACCCGTATGAACGCTTGGAACTAAGAGTAATAAAAAGAACGCAAACATCTGCTCTTACCCAAAATAGGAATATTTTGTGTGAAAACTTAATATTTACAAGTCAAAACATGCAATATATTTATGTGTGTAAAACATCAACTTATGCATACTACTAATGAAAATATGATGCCTGTTTTGAATATAGGATTCGTTGAGAATTCTTCGAGCAAATACGATACAATATTATAATTAATAGTAAAATAATGCTATTTTTACAGTTAATATAGCGCAAAAATAGTAGAAGCAATTTGAATGTTTTTTAATTAAATTTTCAATTGGACAATGTTATACGTCGAGTAGAAAGATAAAAATATCTCTCAAATCTTCAATTAATCATGCTATTCTGATTATAGAAAAGTTCATAGTTATACAGCAAATATGTCAAAGCAACTTTTATTTCAATAGAAATTCTATCTCGTCAATTAATATAGTAAACCAAAAAGAAAACCAAAGATCTTTCATATTTCTTATCGAAAAACGAACTTCAATTTGTTTTTATTTAAAAAATACTAACATTTTTACCTTTCGTATCTATAAGCAATGAAGAAAACAATGACTGCCGAATAGATTTTGATTTTGAAAGAAAATTTCAGCTCGTAGCAGAAATGTTTATCAGAACATCACTATAGAAGAGAGAATCCTACTAAACATCTCGATCATGACAGATTGAAAACTGGCATATATTTTCTTTCTCTCGTTCTTTTTTTCTTGTTTCTTATAGCGTACTCATTACGGTCACTATTACAGTTGTTTTCGTCATTATGTAAAATTAACTATAAGTCAGAACACATTATTTGAAAATTACTATTAAAAAATGAATTTAATTAAACTACCATTTTTAGATTTCACATTTTCCTATATAGACGTACACACCCTAGTAAAAAATAGCCAAACTGATTGTTTCTTGACGAAAGATTTTTACATTCTATCATTTCCAGTATGCATACGAGCTGCATGCCTTTTGAACTTAATTCCCATCGTTGATTCAATCGAAAATAATTAAGTTTTTTGGTTATAAGAAGAAAAAAATGGCTCCGCAATTGTCTGTCTCTACGAGATCGATAATGACAAATACATGTGGCAGTTATTTCTTGCGCTAACGCACTCGTTCCAGACTAATTAATACCGAAATCTGAGAAAAGCTATCTGATTAATTGGTGGCTTCCGGTTTGAAAAGCATAGTCATGTTGGCATGGCTATCATTGAAAGGAGTGTTTTCTATTTGATGAGCAGTAATTTTAAAACAGTAATTTTTTTAATTATCTCTCTAGTATTTCTATTGAATTATTTTGTCGTATCCTGATGACGTATATCATTGAAGTTGATTTTTAATAAAAATAATGTAGATCTTAAAATCCTAATAATATTTTTTTCTTCGATGATATCAGTGACGTTCGTTAATAATATTTGATACCATCATTACAATCTTATCAAAGTTAAGTAAAACATAGGCTTTCATTGATAAAAACAATGGTTTCTCAGTGATAAGATTTGTCTGGGGATAAACAACAGAAATTGTTTTTTTTTTAATATCGAAAACAAAACAACCGTTTTTTTGTATGCAATCATTAGAAATGATTCACTGGTTTGAGAAAAATAAAACTCCTTTTAATAAAATTGTAATTTGTTCTGATTTGAACTGTTCAATTTTTAAATTGCTAATCTATTTCTCAAATCAAGGCAGTTACATTTGATGTTTTTCTCGGCAGAAAGGATGGTTGCCTGAGCATTTTTTGTTGCAACTATAGAGAATGAACATTGAATAAATCTGTAGAATTTATCTTCGCTTCAATGTAAACCTTATTAACCATTCAGCTATGGCATACAGTTGCGCATGTATCATATGTCAAGACAGAATATATTATTAAATTATTTTCCTAGTCTATTAAACTTATTACGATAATCATTATTACACTTATGAAATTGTAGACATCCATATCATGCATATTAATTAAGATATAAGCTTTTGAAGGTTCCTACAACCTTTGATAAGACTCTTAACAAGTAAAATTATGATAAAATTCAGTACGATTATTAGAATTTACTAGTTTTGCTTTACGGGCGTACCACACAGGGACGGCACGAACGGGGGGGNCTTTGGAAATTTTTTTTTCAATTTTACTCCGATTTGAAGAAAATAGAAGAAATTTTTATTGATTTACTCCGATTTTTGAAAAAAAATCTCCCGTTTTCAAGTAACCCCCTATATTTTTGTTGCTTCGCGCCGTCCCTGGTATCACAATCATGCTTTAATAATGAGAATAAAATACAATAGGCATGTAATTACAAAACGCACTTAGATATATTTGTTGAGTTTTATACATTGTGTCAGGTACTTCACATTCAAACACAATCAGTAGACGTAGCGCTACAAATTATCCTTCAATTCTACTATACTGTTTAACATGCATACGCTTTGCTTTATTCAAGTGTCTGTGAATTTGCATTTTTTCATAGATATAAATAGTTTAAAAACGACATCTGTTGAAGTCTTGCAGTAAACATGTGAATTTAAGATTTCCCGAGACAATTACTACGGGCAACACGGAGAGTAATGGCAGAAACATTAAAATGAGTAAATGATGTAGACGAATACAGGAGTCTGTTTTTTTTTGTTCTGTTATTCGTTTGCTGTTGGCGTCTCACATTCTCAATCATGCCAGCAAAACGAGGAAAGAAAGCGAAACCCGTAAGCATTTAATATTCTCTATACATCTTTGTTTTTTTACTACAATGCATCGGAACCAATTTATTCATTCATATTACGTTCTTTGTGGTATTCAACTATGTAATACAATGGTTATAACTTCATTTTTTTTGTTTTGCGAGACAAAGTTAAATGTATAATCTCAAACAATGCGCCGAGTACAATTGAACGAAAAATTTTCCCAAGGTCGAAAAACAGTATAAAAACATGTTGAGTCCTGTTTGATCATGTTAAAGTAGTTTGTTCAGCGTGTACAAGATTAGATAAGATTTAGTTTTATGAGAAGCTAATATTGAGCTTCCAGAACGACATTTTGAATATCTCATGTAAACTATAGCAACGTTCGTGTCAATTTTTGTATATTATCAAGAATATTTCCATGTTATTCAAACTGAACAAAACCGTAGATTCTTTTAAATGCATTGAATCAAAAATTATCATTAATTTTTTAGATACTCTTTTACAGCTTGATAGAATCGATTCAAAGTTGACCCATCTTCATGTTATTAATGTATCTAAGCTGCTTCTATAAGCTACAGAGTCTATTTCAGCTTCATTAATGAGATAAGCTTTTCTTGGTAAAAATATATTCTGAAGCAGTATTCTGAATCTGAAATCAATAGAACAGAAAGTCTTGAGTACTACTGGTGATAATACAAACAAATATAGGTAGGAAGAATGAAATGAAAAACTTCCTTGTTAAGTGAAATTTGTCTTTTGCAGAGTCGTAAAAAATATTCAAAAAAAGAGCTCATGAATACTTTCGATTCTAATTATTTTGTGACCTTCAAGAACTATGGCTTTTCAAATTCATTTACACATCTTCACATCGAAGACTTCGCATTTGCTAACAGAGAAAAAAATATCGAATATCTTCAATGTTGCTTTCTAACACCGTATCATGAAAATAGAAAAATTTATTTCAATCAATATTTGTTGTGTTTTTTTAGCAATTGTACAGCCATATTGGTTCCGCTATCATTCCACTAGCAAGTATAGTTGCTGTTCCATCTGCTAGTCAACATTTTCCACAACAAAAGATACAAGCCCGTGAAGAATGGGGTCCGATAGCATCTACTCTACTACGTGCTTCCGCTACAGCTCACATGCTTATCCCATCGTCATCATCGAAGACTTCTCTAAACCAAGAAGATGACGACGACGATGATGAGGATTATCAACCAACGTCGAGACGGACAGCCATTGGACGAATGGATGCAAGTACTTCAGATGAAGATGAAAGGTAATTAAATGATTTTGTATCTCTAAGCAATTTTCTTGTTTAACATATGATACATAGTGATGATGCAAAATATTCGCGCAAACATCAAGATTCACTTCATGCATCTACTATTAGAAGCGTATGAATTTCTATTTATAGTATAATCAGTTTTGAATATTTTCTTTTTCAAGAGTATATCTCGAGCAGTATCAATATCCGATACTGAAAAACGTCTCTTTGGTCACGTGATCAATGATGATGGTAATTATATTTGTAAAATCTAATAAAGTTCCATCTCCTACTGATTCTATATCTCGAAAGCACCAACATCAACCGAAACAAGAACTAATCATGATCCTAATTCATCGAATCAGTTGGATCGAAAACAATCGGTGAATGCTGAACAATCCCACTCCGCAACAGCAACAACAACAACAACAACAACAACAACTACTACAGATGTATATTGCACATAGAATTGAAATATAAACGAACTTTTACACTTTTTTTTCTATTAAATAGAACAAAAATGTTAAACGAGCATCAGTTACTATTGTGAAACAAACAGTGCCTCCTTTAGTTTCTAACCCAACACCAAGTCGAGTAGGTCCGTCACCAGCAAGGAGTAACAACCAAGCCGATGTACGTTCTTCGTTTGTTTGTTTTACACAGATATGTTTATTTTATTTCAAGGATATTGCCGATGAAGCCAAATCAATAACAACAACGACAGCACGTTCTTCGCTTAATGATGCAACAACGTTACCAGTTAGTGCTCGATCTGTTTCATTTAAAGAACCTCTCGTTCATGAACTATACGATCCATCGTCATCAAAATCTCAACAAACAACTACTGTCATAAATAATAATAATTATTCTGTATTGGATAAAATTGGTATATTTATTTTTTCTTATTCGAAAACGATTCTTTTTCTTTTGTTATGTTTGCTTATGAAATAGTCATTCCACCGCCTGAAGAATACCAACACAATTTTAATGACCTTGAAAAACGTAATCAACTATTGACTCATGAAAATCAACAATTACGAGTTCTTAATCGAGTAATTTATTATTATTTCTAGATATCAATTGTTTTGTGAAATACAAACTAGAAACATTTGCCTAAGTATATAAAGGGGTAGAAATTTGCACTGCTCTCTTCACAGAAAATGACTGAAGATTTTCGCGAGGTCAAAACCAACTGTGGTAGAAGACTTTCAAAAGTTATCACAGGTCGTGATAGACGACCGCCGTCGACTATTGTAGATTATGACACACGGTCTGCGTAACGTAGTTTTTTCGTGTTTCACATTTTAATCCCATAGAAATTTCGCTAACATTTTTTTTGTCTCTTACGTTAAATAAATCATTTAGAATCTACAAACACAACAAGAAGAATTACTCAATCGTTTACAATCATCACAAAAACTATCGAAACGAGAATTAAGTGACCTATTAGAACGAGTTGGACGTGGTAAAAAAACGTTTTTGATGAATTATTTTCGAGCTTTCCGATTCGTTTTATTTTTGCTTCGTCCAATTAGATCAAACAAAAGAGCTCGGAAGTTTAAATAAAACATTACAAAATCGATGTGATCAATTGGAAAATGAATTGCTTTCATTGAGAGAACGCTATGCACAAGGTGAAAAATTACAATAACTACATAATTTTATTTTCCGTTTTGTTTTATTACAGATCAAGGTCAACCAAGTGGACGGCAACTTAAAGATGAAAATTATCAACTCAAGGATCATGTTCTTCGTTTAAACGCTTGTCTAAGCGAATATCAAGCAATGTATCCATCTGACGCATTAAAAAATGATATGCGTGTAAGTAGAATACAGAGTTTCGTTCTCGTTTGTAAAATAATCTCTCACACGAATAGATATTCGTGTTTCTTTTAAATGTTGAGAGCATGTCGAAAGTTCACAGGATTCGAGAAATAGAGAAGTCTACTAAGTAACAAGATGCTTTTAAAGTCAATATTATAAAAATCATGTAAATGCTAACATAGTATGTTCACCTTAATTAATTTTTTATTCGAAGCCTAATTATTTTGCCTACGATATTTACTGAGAGTTGTTTGATTTATTGATCTTATGAACATGATAAGATCATATATTAACAACGTAGCACACAATAAGCTAGATTAGAAAAAAAAATATCATTTATTAAATTCAAAAAATGTCACATTTATTTGTATAGAGGGCGGACGTTGTGTAAACATGAATCTTGATGACTTTAGCATTCACTGGCCGGGTTTCATGTCATCGTTTCTTTTACACGGGCTTCTTGTTATTGCATTAATGATTAAAATGCCGCTTTTTTTATACATATGTCGTTTCTTCAATGAATAATGGACTAATTACTTCGAGAAAAGATCTAGAATCAGTCAACTTTCATCAGTTCCGACATACATTATGTTGATTTTCATAGTAAGAATGCGTCGGATTCAACTATTAAGATTCAGCATTGAATGTAGTCATTTTCAATGACTTGCATAAACAATAAATGTACATACATCAACATAAATGAAGCAAACGTTGCTCAGAAATATTCGATTTCAAATCTTTACGTACTTCAATGATTGTTCAAACTAACAATTAGTTCGAATTCAAGTTTGACAACTATTTATTGAGGATGCAAGACGATAATATTTTTAATCATATATGATTATAGACGAGTTAATCGTGATTAATGAATATTTTTACTACGCCCTTTATAGGAAGTAAGAATGATTGAGACAACGTTTAGTAGCTGTATTGCTTCTTCAAATGTAGTGACTGTGTGCTTTGACTTTTATCATGAGTGTGTCATGCAATTTGTTCGTAATGGCATGCCTGTAATTAAACTGTCTAATAGATTAAAATACTAAGTATGGCTAACTTTCATAGGAACACTAGCGACACGTGTCGTGATTATTATTCCTATCGGATTATATGACAAAGTATAAGTTTTCACTGAAAAACTGTAACTTCAGTTGAACGAAACTGAAAACTTGGTTAGTAGAACATAATCGGCAGTATTTTGAGAAACGTCTCGGTGGACTTATTCAAGGCTTCAAAATAGTGTGTATCGTGTTTCAATTATCTATTCAATTTATAGAAACAACAATCAAAACTTAAAAGTCTACCATCGAAAGGACCATCGCCAATTTGGCTTGTATGTTTACCATCATAGTTTCTTGTTAATTAGAATAAAAAATGTACTTGCTTGTTCTAGTTGAACCAAAAATTTCTCGCTCCATTATTCGTTTGCTACGATGAAAAACTACACGAGAGAGAAGAATTTATTCGAAAACTTCAAGTAAAATAATAAATAAACTCTGAATAAAATAATCTTACCTGATATTACCCGAATAGGCTCAACTTGGTGAATTATATGATCAAGTTAAAGCAATAACCAACGAAAATATATCATTGCATGAACGTATTGTTCGTACATCATCATCATCGTCATCGCCAGTAATTCAAAAGTCTGCAAATATAAATGATTTGTACGAGTCCTCTCTTTCGTTTTTGCTATTTCGTTATTTTTTTCTTCTTATTTAGCGAAAATATCAAACGACAAGCTTATCTTGTTTTAGAAGAAAATAAAGTTCTTCAAGAGCAACTTAATTTACAAACAAATAAATTAACTGATGTACATAAAGTGCAAATACAAGAAGGTAAACAGTTTTGATTTTCATAAAAATTTTTAGAAGTACTTTCTTTGTACTAGTATCGGATTTAACTCGACGCTTAATGGTTATTGAAAGTGAAAAAACCGAAGCCGATCGATTAGTTCAAACTATGCGAATAAGAAATGAAGAACTAAGAAAAAAATATGAACAATCCATTATTGATAACGATCATCAAATACATGTCGAAGATCATGTTAGAGAAATTACTGAAATGAAACGAATAGCAGGTTTGATTTATTTTAACTTGATTATTAGTTTGTCGTAAATAGATATTTGTAGATGAATTAATAAAAAGGCATGCGGGTGAAATGGAACTTCTTCTTCGTCGAGTACAGGTATATGAATCAAGCGTGACTCCCATAGACAGATAAAAACGACTTATAAGTCTTATCAAATTCAGTCCATTTTTTTTCTGTCCAAGTAATTTGAATAATTAATCAATTATTCGATAGAACTCAATGTAATTGAGTTGCCATAAGTTGTCCTAAGTATATCGATATTTATCAAGAACATTATTAGAACTTCATATGAACGTAGAAAAGCATATATAAGAAAAAAAATCAATAATAGGCCCTTTTACTTCCAAAACATAGACATATCGGATTTTTGTGACATTCATCATCAAATATTTTAATCTAAATTTAGATCTCGATCACTAAATCGTTAATCCGTATTTCTCAACCATGATTTAGTACATCCACTTTCACATGCATCATGGCTTTAGTAGTTCATCTGAATTTATATTTTTATAAACATATTTATCGTGAAATAGTCATTTTCTATTTTCATATTACGATGGTGAAATAGGAGATTATTTTCATTGTAGAATTATCGAAAACAAAATCTGTAAATTCAGATTCATTGATTTATGCTAAAATCTCATTTTTCTTCTGATGTCACATCTTGTATACGAATTTATTGTATAGACCTCAATTTGTTTTAACCAGATTCTTTATTTTGTTTGAAAATGCATGCTAGGTTGCGTGACATACAAAAATTGTTGCGTGGTATTCTTAGTTTTTATGGGTAGCAGGGAAAAGATAAGCTCATCACCTGGAAAATTTGTCGTTCTAATTATAACAATAAAATTTATAAAGGTTAATTCTCAAAGAAAATCTATCATGCTCTATGACTTCACATACTCGCTAAAATAAAAGCAGAAGCATATCTATAGAAAATAAATTCCTACGAAAAACTGTCTGCAGCACGACTGAAACATTAACAACAGGAAAAAGGCGAATAAGATTTGTTATTTTTTCTATAAGTTCAAACGGTAGCAACTGAATAGTCTGTTTAAATTTTGAGTTCTAAAATTTATTCTATTTTAACAAAAAAAAAATAGGAATCTGAAGCTGCTAAGCGAATAGCACAAATACAATTAAACGAAACTCGCAATAGTATAGAACGCGTGAAAGGTGAAATAACGGCAACGAAAAAAATCAATCGAAAATTACTACTTCGTGTACAAACATATGAAAAAAAACTTGAATTACAACAAATCAAAGAACAACGAACAACAGCCATGCTGGATAAATCGATGGAAGAAATTGAAAGATATAAATTAGAACAAGAAAATCATCTCACATTAGTAAAGAAATCATGTTTTGTTTTCGTTTGATTGAAATCTTTTCAACGTACATTTTTATGATGTTTAAAGGCTAAAACTAAAGAACAAGAAGTCAATCAAACAAATTTACGAATGCACGAAGAAACTAAGAAAATTTCAGAGCTTGAAAATCGTCTTGAAATTTATAAAATTAAAAATAAAGAACGTATGAATGAAGTACAAGACCAGTAAGTTTATTGCAAAGATTTTATGGTAATTCTAATTATTTGATATTTTGAAACAGAATGAAAAGTCAAAATGAAAACTTGAAAGTACGTTGTTCCGAACATGAACAACGCATTCAACAGTTGATGAGTTTATTAAACGAAAAACAAGTGACTATCGATGATTTAAATGCAGAAAGACGGTATGGAGATTAAAAGATAATTCAGATGGAACTAATTAATCTTTTTTAGCAATCTTGAAGTAGACATTGAAACTATCTGGCGCACGACTAATGCTGATAATAAACGCATGCGAGAGCAATTGCTCGACATGCATGCGCTGAGTTAGCTCTATATTTGCAATCTACTTCCAATACAATGAAAACAGTTAACGATGATTATGGTGACCTATTTATTTTAGTTTATTTTTAACTTATAATGATAGTACTGATCTTTTCCATTTCTTTCCTATGATTCAGAGGGTAGTAAAACAAATATATATGTATGTATATATATATTTATTGGATCTATTCATATTTTCTTCGATGATAAATTTATTTTATTTTTTTTAATTTTAAATAAGGTTCGCTTTTATTTGTGTTTCTTTTCATAAAATACTTTTAAGAAAAAGACAATGAATATAGGGTCAATGTTTGTTAATTTAAAAATTATTTTCTTTCCATTCCATATCCGGTAAGACAATCATAAAATGGTGATAATTTGCCAAGACGTACTTGAGATTTCAAGAACCAAAGTGGTTTATTTTCGCATGGATCACCCTTACTAAAACTTTGCTGGCGCATAGGAACACCTTTAGCGGATTCGCTATTATGTCCAGCTTCGCCTTCCGCTTCCCATGCATCATAATAACGTTTGTTGACACGGCCACCGTATACTGATGAGCAATCAACCGCAACTGTTCAAATTAAAAAATGGCAAGTATTCAAAACAAGAAAGCTACCAACTGGGAAATCAGATATATAAATTAATTCGATGATCAACAAAAATATAAATTTACTCAGAAGCAAAACACTTACGAATGACGAGAAACAGGACCAGTATTACCGAAAGCACCGGTTTCATGTTTGTTATGATAAAACAGAAGTTATTAATCTTGAATTATTAAGAAGAAAAAATAATAAACTACAGATTTATCATATATGATTTTATAGTTTTAATATCAATTCATTCGTAATACGATATGTTATAAACATTTATGATTTAATCTATTCAGTGAAGATTTTAAGTAACTATTTTTCTTAAGTAGTCGAATACTCTTCATTGAAATCTTAAATAATAATTACGCATTTGAAGAGAAAGGGCAAACAATCTTTTCTATGAAGTACTCACATTTACTACCTTGAAACAAGGATGGCAATCAAAAACGGAAAAAAAGTTCTCTTCTTATAGTACTTGCTAAATTCATCGTGTTGAACGGCATTATATTTTTGTGGGAAACGATAGAGAAAGAGAAAGAGACTACAGACAAAAATAAATGAGAAGAAAATATCTTGCATCTCTAGTCATCTAGAAAAATCGAATCATCACTATATAGACTTGATAGAAGCAATCTATCTTTTCTGTTTTTATGTACTTCATTTTGAATACCCTGTCTTACTTGCTTCATCTGATAAAGAATCTAAATTACATGCAAATCGGAAATATTTCTTCTTGCTCTTCTTCTTCTTCTTCTTCTTTCTGCTTCCTATAGCTATTTTTGTTAGAATTTTTAAGTCAATATTACTATTGTTTCGCATCTGACGGAATCGACGTGATCCTTTATATCTTATAAGCCTGTCTCTCTCTCTCTCTCTCTCTCTCTCTCACATCTTGATTTACTGCGGAGATGAATGTTATTGTCTCAGTTTTTTTCATTGACTCTATCGGTTGTTGTTTATTTGTTTTTGAACATTATATTTGACATAAAATCGAGTTTTTATTTCTGTTATGTGTATGAATAAACAGCCAATCTTTAATGCAAAGAGGGAAAGAGAGAGAGAGAGAGAGATGAACCATAAAATCGGCGTCTCGAAGAGACAAGCTGAATGACGTCGTTTTTCTATTCGAAGTAAAAGAAAATAATGACAGAAAAGTAAACTTACGCTTATCTATTTAGTTAATTTTCATTAAAAATGCGAAAAATAGTAGAGAGAATATGTAAATCAATTCGCTTATTTCCATTGGACCAATGTTTCGACAAAAAACAACGAGTAGTCATCACAATCTTCCTTTTGGCTAAGAGGAAAAACACGATTCTCATCATACAAAAAAACATCGTATGCATACTATCAATAAATTGTTAGTCGACGATCGGGAAAAGAAGAAAAGACAACAGCTTGTTGCATTAACTATTAATAGTTGAATTAAAATATAAATGGGCATAGATTCGAATAGATAAAAACCTGAGACAGATTAGAAGATAATCGAAGACAGAAATGTAGGTATGAAATATCAAGTATTGATTATTGCCGTTGTGCTTATGCCATAAAAGAAATGCTAACATGAAGCTAATACTAGTATCTAAATGACGGTGCTACAATAAAATAAAAGCAATCTTTGTTAAGTAATGCATCATTTTTTGGATAAAAGAATAACATAGTTGTTTTTTTTGTGTGATGTAACTAAATCATAAAGGTAAGACATCAATATATCTATCCAAAGAGAATCTTTTTATTTAATGCAATGCCGATTAGCAATGTTAATATTTCTTTTCAATCAAAAGAGATGAGTATCGAGATATAAAAGTAACAAGTCAAAAATAGTTTTGTATGGCTTGAAAGATTCCATTGGATTCTTTACGAAAATATGTAAATGAACATGACGGAATGTGTAATTCTATGTATTTTAGAAGCTAAAATAGACAACCTTCAGATTCAGCATGGAGAACTAAAAATAATTCAATTACTAAAAGTTTCTTAATTAATGAATGCAAATTATTCTTGTAAAATTGCTTAATTAATAGAATTCGAAAAGTTTAGTCATCACAAAACAAAAGATAATGGATTAATAGTTTTTATTTTATTTATGTTTAGTACATACATGTCTATTTTTAGAGAGAATTTCATGAGGTCATATAACAATAATTGAGAAGAAAAAAAATATCAATCTATTTTCTAGCTGATTGATAGTACCATAAGTGTATCAAATTTGTTTTTTTATTATTGAATATCAACAATCTGAACTGTTTTGCTTGAAAACCTTCTTTTTTTTTCTTTTGTTCAAAGTATCAATTGTGTATCGTGCAGTAAAAATGGATTGAATCACAATTGATGGTTATTATTCAATTAGTAGATTGATTTTGTAAACGTTTATGTTCTCCAGAGTATTCTATGTGAACTTATTTTTGTTTCTCTTCTTTTTCTAGAGATCGTTTATCTTGATTTATCATGGAACATTAAGTATTTATTTTCCTATGCGATTTGTAGACATAATGAATATAACTATTATTTAAATTAAGATAAGATTGTATAATAAATCCTTGAGATTGAATATATATATATATATATATGCTTATTAATTAATTTCCGCAAGGCTACAAGAAGTACTCAGGGTATTTGCCTAATTTGATCAGTACTTTTTTCAATAGCTACAAGTAATTAAATGAACATCTAGAATGATTTCTACGAAGAAAACCAACAATTTAACCTCTCAATAAATGTTCAAATGAAAAAAAAGATGGCGTTGAATATCATTGAATATACGTATATGGGCAAAATCAGGCAAAACGCGACATACACCCCTTCATTCGATTTTTATTCTCCACACAGGCTTTCTTTTTGAATAATTTCTTTTATCACTGACTTACGTGAAACTCTTTACTCTTTCACATGACTATTAATTAATTAATTAAAAAGTAATTAGTGATTTTTGTGCAAACGGTATGAGAAAAAAGTCTGAAAATATCATGATAGACTCCAGAGTCGAAGCTGCGTCTATGATAAAAATTTTCAGCCAGATTGAATTCCAAAAAATTTCCTCCGCAAAAACTGGCTCCATAAATAAGCAATCAAGTGTAGAGCCACATCTGGTTATGTTATTATAATCCCTGGACTCTGAGAAATGACTTGTACGATTATGAAGATATCTTTTCGGTAGTGTATTCGTACTTCATCACGTCGCCAACGAAAAATTCATACGTTTGACAGAAAAATCTAAACATGCTGAAGAAAACATTGCATACGTATGTTGTAACCCGAGATGGCGTCTACCGGATATCGAATTTAGTTTTCTAAAATTATGTGGCAGTTTGGAGTTCTTTTTTTAAATTGAAGTCCGTAAAGTGAAAATTCGTGTCCTTTTTTGGTTCACGTCGCTAAAGACTGTTTTTTCCAGATAATTCCTATCAACAAAGCTCCTTAGTACTGATTTCTGCAGGATATCGAGAGTCACTTAAGATCCATATAATATATAAAAATCAAGTCTAGAAAAGCTGACTGTTTCGAGATATAGATATTTGAATTTTACGAAATCATGTCGCTAACAAATGATTTTGCCCATATATAAATTTGCTTCAAATAAAAGTAGCTGCTTGTCAAGCATTGATAGCGTGTTAGGAATAAAAAATGATCACGTGTTACAGTTAAACGTTTAATTACTTAATATGTTGAACAAAAATAGCTCATGTTACAATCTCTGAGGTATTTAGAAGCCAAATTTCATGTAACTGCTCTTGCTAATAATAGAGAGCAAGAGAGCAAGAGAGAGAGAGAGAGAGAGAGAGAGAGAGAGAGATGGTTTTATTCTATTTATATTGAATAACATGTTTCTCTAGTAACAGAAAATCATGCTAATATGTTTATCGAAATCTGTGGACCGTGAAGTACTAATCTAGATGCTTCAACGTATTTTGAGATCTTGTTTAATAAAAACAAGATATTTTCACAAAACCAGATCATCGAGAAACAAATCCACTGAACTTTGTTCATGTTAACAGAAAGTTTTGACTACAACTAATTATACTTTGATCTGGTCAAAAGTTCTGTAATTTAAAAGCAAATTAAAGAAAAAGAGAAAGAGAAAGTTCGAGTTATATTTTATTAAATGTTGATGATAGTTGCCATGATAATATATATATCAAGTTGAATCCTTTCTAACAATTTGCTAAAAGCTTTTTTGAACTCTTTTGTGGAACTCACATATATTTTCGAAGAAAATAGTGAGAGTAAGTTGAATTGTTAGATTTTTGCAGCTGCTCTGTACCCCCTGTAACGCCTTGATGAGAATCAGAGACGCAACTAATAATAATCCCAGGTCCCACAGTATTGATTATGGCAGAATGACAACAATGAAAATTAAATAGTATTGAATATTGGAAGAAGATCCAATTGTTTATTCAATGAACAGAGATAGTTGAGAATAAGAAGAACTCCACAAGCAAATAGCTGACACGAGTTAGATTGATTGTAAAGAAAAATCAAGTTGAAAAGAAAAAGGTAATATGTAATTGATCAAAAAGATGATTCTTTTTGATAGAGAAGAAAAGTATTAGTCAGAGAAGAAAAAGAAGAATTAGTATATTTCAGCGAAGACAGGTATATCAAGAAGCTTCTAAGAAACTTGAAGAGAAAAGCTGTTAGCGCAATCCCTTTGGGATTAAAAGTGTGAAACACGATGAAACTTCTTTTCTGGAATTCGTCTATTACTGTCTCTGGAGCTTCTCTATTACAGTCTGTATTATGATGTATGGAGTCTCTAGAAACCATCACAGGCAGTGACAGAGAAGTTGTACAGACCATCACAGACCGGGACAGAGAAATTAATTAATTAATCAGCTAACTAATTAATTAATTTCTCTGTCCCTGTCTGTGGGGATGGGGGGTCCAAATTTTTACCCTGTATACTTCAACACTCCTTTCAAATCGTGTTTCACAAAAAGAGAGTAAATATTTATCTCATTTCTCTNAAATGTTTAAAATGTTTTATTATCTTATTTTTGAACAAAATATGATCTCACTATACTTAAAAAATAAAAATTCTATTTGATCAGTATCTAATTGACCGAAATATGTGAGTTCCACATTTTAGCCCCAACGGGGCTGCGCTGAAAAGTTTTTTCGAAAAACTTTTAGGTACTTTGGATGCCACACGAACTAACCATATTTCATTTATTTAATTAGTTAAATTACGTTCAATAGGATTGGTTAGCCAAAAATTACATAGTATCAAGCCTGGCGAATATGATGGATATGACATTATATTGATGCTTTCTTCTGTCATCTAATTAATAACATTGAATAAGTATGGAGTCAACGATGATCGTCAAACAATTTTGTACATTTTGACCCTGATATCTCGGCTTGTTTCCATATTTCATTAACAAAAAGCTTCGGAGAATTTTCAATATGATACTTGTGACCTACAGTCTTGCCTGTATCTACGCTGAGCACTATTTTATTTAAAGAATATACTAAACAAAGTTTTGGTTAAAATCTGTTTTCATGAACAATAGTCTTTGACGATTCATTTTCAATAACACAGCTAGCATCATATGACTTATCACTAACTTATCTAAAATAAATCCATATCTCATCACTAGTAGTGCTAGAACGCAACTGCCATGATCAAACAAAATTTCATAAAATTTTTAAAACAATGAAATATGATTAGCCCGTGTGGTAGTCAAGGTACCTAAAAGTTTTTTCGAAAAAGAGTTCAAAAAAAAAACTTTTAACAAACTGTTAGAAAGGATTCAACTTGATATATATAATCATGGCAACTATCATCAACATTTAATAAAATATAACTCGAACTTTCTCTTTTTCTTTAATCTTTTTCTAAATTACAGAGCTTTTGGTCAGATCTAAGTAAAATAAACTTTTCAAACTGTCTCTATGTGATAGACTTTAAGCGAAACATGAAACAAAATAAATTTGAATGACACATCTTGCAATTACCGAATTGTCTTCAACTGCCATCTAGCGTGATTGATCGAAAACGAATGAACACCATCTATTATGCAGTCCTGATTATTTAACTTGAGTATTGAACTAACAAATAGTAAAGATATATCAAACTTAGTCTATGGTTTAATAATTGGCTTTTAAGAAGTTTTACTACGTAGATATATCATAATGAATTTACTACGTCAACAAGCTGTTCGTCAGGTATTATTGGAAATAGAGAATTTTACAGGCATAAAAATATATAAATCTTTGCAGATTAAAATATTACTCCGTTCAATACCTGAAATTCGTTGTATTAATGATGATCAAGCAAATTTTGATGAAAAACTCTATGCATTAACACGTGTCGAATCAATCCGTCATAAAACATCAACTATGTAAGACTTTCTGTGATGAAGAAAATACTTACAAGAACTATCAAATCTTCTCAATAGGCCTTTAGGTCGTTTTATAGTGTCATTACCACAATGCCAAGCTGCTTCATTAATTGATGGTGATCTTGAATTTAATAAGCATACAAATATTCGCTCGTTGGTAAATAGAAAAATCAAAACTATTGCAATAAAAATCTTATTGTATTTTACCAGCCAATCGAACAAACGAATCAAGAAGGAGTCTTAGATAAAGACGGTGGTTTAAGAGTACCAGTCAATCCTTCTACATTCATTAATGTAAATTATCATTATGAATGAAGATTTTTTCAATTATGATTATTGTAGACTGCTTTGAATGATTTAATTCCAGTGTTTCGTTCTTCTTTGTTTTACGATCAAAAACGATATCGATGGTATTTTGATGATTGGAGAAAAATGCCAAAATGGACTGAAATAAATGATGAATCTTTAATGGAACGAAAAACGAAAAAACTTGTTGTTGAATTCAGGTAAGACTAAACAAGAATTCATAGGATAACTTGAAATTTGAAATAAAAATCCAATTTAGTTCCCCTAATATTGCTAAACCTCTCCATGCAGGACATTTACGATCGACATTAGTGGGTCAATTTATTTCAACAATACATGAGCGTTTCGGTCATTCGGTCTATCGTTTAAATTATCTCGGTGATTGGGGAACACAATATGGTATGAAAATACATCATGTTAAAAATAAATTTTTTCTATTGCTCAATTTAGGTCTTCTTGCTGTTGGGTTTTCAAAATTTGGATCGTATGACGAACTTAATAAACATCCACTTAAACATCTTCTTGATGTAAATATGACTGCAATAGATTCTCTTTACTACAGACTGTTCTTTTTCCAGGTCTATGTTCGCGCAAATAAAGATGAATCGTTACATGAGGATGCCATGAAATATTTTGCTAAAATGGAAACAGGTAAATGATACTGCTCTAGATTTGTAACTTGAAAAATTGAAGATAAGAATGCTCAATGTTTAAATTTGCATGCATATTTTTATTTGTGATATAACCCGAATAGTTTTATCTCTCACTACTGTTGATTATAGGTGACAAAGAAGCAATAGATTTATGGAAAAAATTTCGTGAATTATCAATAGATAATTTAAAACAAGTTTACCAAGTAAATTAATTGTCATTATTCAGACACTTTCTATTTATTTATGCTCTATTTTTTGTTCAGCTATTTGGTATTCATTTTGATGAATATCAATCAGAATCACAATTTAGTAAACAAGCCAAAGAAATCATTGATAAACTTGATCAACTTGGCTATTGTAAAAAACGTGACGATGGCGTTTTAGAAGCGACTATTCCTTCTAAATATAATTCATTGCCACGAGATGCTTGTGTTGTTGTTCAAAAATCGGATGGAACTACGCTATATATAACGAGGTTAGTTGAGAGAATTCTTGTTTTATTTTTGTATGGTATAATTTTTTTAGAGATATTGCTGCATTAAAAACACGTTTAGAAACAATTCCCATTGAGAAAATATTGTACGTGGTAAGTTTTTGAGCAGAAGAAAATAAAAAACTAAATGTACTTTGCGTTTACTTTTATTTTGCAAAGGTAGATTCTAGTCAAACAGAACATTTTCGAAATTTATTAACAATATCAAAAGCAATGCAGATTGATCAAGTGAAAAATTGGTTTGAAATTTCATTAATATACTTAAAATGAATATGAATGGTTTGTGTATTTTTTTTAGGGATTTAGATGATTTTTATGTTCCATTCGGTCGTATGATTAATTTTCAAACACGAAAAGGAAAATTCGATTTATTATCTGATGTATTAGATGATGCAAACGAACGAGCACAAGAAGGACTTGATCGATTTTTGAGTAAGTTAAAATTACTTTACGACACTGATGAAATAATAGAATTCTTATTGTGTTCAACATAGTGTAGTTTTTCTTAAACTTTCGAAGTATAGAATAATTTTGAAAAATTTAATTTTAGTTCGTAGAGATGGAATCGATCATGCTAAAGTATCTGCGGTAATTGGAAAAGCTTATTTAATTTTAAACGATTTCTCACGTGCGCGACGTGCTGATTATATGTTTTCTTGGCATGAAATATCATCGAAAGATGGTGTTGCTTTTCTACTTCTCTATTGTCATGCTCGACTGTGCAGGTAAAATATTTGTTTTGAAAAATTTTAAATACAAAAGGACGTTTGTTTTTCTAGTCTAGAAAAACAAGTTAAAATGCCTATCGATTGGTCAGCCAATGTTAATCTATTAACAGATCGGCAAGAACATATTCTTATACAGCAATTGAGCACGTAAGTAAATATACATATTCGAGACTAATTTTTATGAAAAAGAAAATGTTCATGAATAAGATTATCGATAGAATTTATGACTATTGACAGATTTAGTAGTTCAATATTTTCCTTGTAAGTTATACGTTCTACCTAAGTACTAGAATAGACGAATGTCGCAGTTGAATAAAGGTGTCACTGGGCGTGTGATAGAAGACAAATAGAGATTAATGATTTACCTAAAAATCATACATTATATATAATAAGTTTCATTGATTACTGGTAAATATTGTAGAGTTCAAGTACTGAATTAGTAAAAACAGTTTGCATTGATACTTGTAATGATTTGACATTTTCTACGAAACCATAGGCAATAACGATTATGTCGAAGATTAATATATTGATTTGATAGCTACTTAAGATTACATATTTATTATGTATTTTGACAAAACCATGTTGTATAGACTTGATTTTTGATCTCCATCAGAAGATCTAATCAGCTAAACAATTGTTTTTGATGATTACTTCGGTTCGTTAACAAATAGCGTCAACGTTCTTGCGCTCTATTGGATAAGAACTTTACAACATCTGGAAAAATTTGCTCCTGAATAAATGTTTTTCTTACAAATAGATTACTTACATGAGCGATCGTATTCTATTTTGCTTGTGATTGATATCTCAATTATTAAATTAATACAAGTATAGAGGTTTCTACTAAAATAAAGACTCTGCTAATCTCTTCCAGTTATTATTTAATGAAGCAGAAAAACAACAACTGTTCTTATTTTGTTTTCTAGTTTTCAAGATGTACTCTTCGATGCTTATCGTTCGCATGAACCAACTAAAATTGTCCATTATCTTGTTCGACTTGTGTAAGTTCTTTTTCTCTTAGTATATTCATCAATCACACATAATAATATAATCACTTGATGTATAATTACACATACTGCATCTTTAACAGATTAACAAAGCTTAAATGCACGAAAATCCTTTTTTAATTATTAATGAAAAAAAAAGAAAATATAAAATGAGAGTAAAACGAAGCAGAACAAACGACAACATTGTATTTGCTTTTCTTTCTACAAAAAAGACTTCTACATATTGATTTATGACAAAATATTTGAAAAAAATAGAAAGAATAATAATGCTAGTCCGTTCCGCCTATTCTCGTTTTCGAGAAAATATATAATGTGATGTATGCGTTGACATATTATCACCAATAGCTGGATTTCCACCGCCACCAGTTGATCCTAATATTTGATAGCCTAAACGCATCATTCTACTGATAACATCCATATAAACAGGTGGATGTTCGTCTTTTTCAGCTGAATAATTTCCAAACCAAACAAACGATGAATCGGCTGCATTTGGAAGTATTTCATAGACAAGTTCTTTTTCAGCAAATATCCGATAGTGTTTAGGATAAGAAACAAGAACAATCAATGAAACAACATCGATTCGACCAGAAATCGATTCATTCGATGAAGCATTAACAATAGTACCGTTAGAGTCAGATGATGCCATTGATAATGTAATACAGAAATAAAATATGATATGAACAAGGAGTGTGTAGAGGGGTATGGGCGGTCCAATAAGATAAAGAAGAAAAAAACGACTAAGTTCTTAAGATAATAATTAAGGACATAGCTGCTTTTAGAGAAGAAAAAAGAAGAAAAAACAGAGAGGACAGTTAGGCTGGTTCTCTGTGTATCGTGCAGCAAGGTCTTTCTGTTCTTGGTTCGTCTTTCTTTTCGCTTAAGACCGGCTGATTGACATGATGAATGACATTTTCTTTATCTGGCAGTGGCTTTGCTATGCTGTTGTCCGTCTGTTTCTTGCATACCACATCAGTTTGTTGCTGTTAATGGGTGTTGTTGTTATTATTATTATTATTATTAGTGTTGTTGCGATCTCATTTTCTTTGTGTAACACACGTTGTTGCCCTTACTCGATGAAAATACTTCTTCCTCTATCTTCCACATTTGCTATTCGTAAGACATTGATAAGTGTGCAAGAAAAAAAATAGAAAAATATTATTAATTATGATAATCTTGACGACACTTTATTATTGAAGTTAAATATCGTTTGTCATCTTGAGCGTTTTCTCTTCTTTGGTATATACTTAAGTCATTAGATGCATATACTAGTTGACATTCTCTTAAAAATCAATTGGGAGAAGTTTTAGATTGATTGCTATGCAGAATATCATTAGAAGACAAAAACCAAAATTGTCATCTCTTAGATATATTTAGATGTATATGTACGCATATACAGATCAAGTAGAAATAATGAGAAATGGTTTTTCTAAAAAGTTTTTTCTATTATAGAAAATCTATAAATCGTGCACTTGCTAAACTTTACGTCAAAGATGAAGAAATAGAATTGGCTAAAGTAATTATAATTAGCATTCTTTTATTAATTGTTTATTAACATGCTTATAGGCTCGTCTATTGCTTTATCATATGTGTCGTCTATCACTTAAAGAAGGTCTTGAATTACTTGGTATTGAAGCACTCACTCGTATATGATTTGTTATTTGTTTTCTTTCAATAAATGAAAAAAAATTTTTTTTTTGTCTTGTTAAATTAATATTAATCGGAAAAAACATATTACAATTTGTTTTATTCAAAATATTGATAAATTCGAGATAAATATAAAAATCAAAAATTTCCTCATGTATATTTGATACTACTAAGATAAGAATATCAAATATTAAGAAAATAATCATGGAAAGAAATGTAATACGATAGGATCATTCCAAAAAGCAAAAATGTACAGTTGATAAATATAAATTTTACGGCTATGTTCTCTAATAGTAACAGATCCATTTGATCGTGCCATTCTAAATATCGTCATAGTAATAAACATTGTAAAATTTGTTCTTTACTTCTGCTATAAAACGTTTATAATAATAATAATAATATTTTAATTGTTTGCATATTTTTTAAAAGTTAAATGAAAAGAAGAAAGAACACATGATGACTCAATCGGCTTTTAAATTATCTTTTGAGGTTTCAAAAATGAATTTAACTAATTCTATATTTGACAGCTCAAAGCAAGTTTTGTAAATTGTGTTGATGCATCAACCACCAAGGTTAAATTGACTAGTTTTACATAAGAGTTTATTAATCAAACTTCAGCATATCTATACAAGAGAGAAAATATTTTTTTCAAGTTTAAATCCCTCCAACATCGGTATGACAAAGAAATACAACGACTAAAATATCACAATCCACTCCTTGCATGTTAATTGTTACTGAATTATCCGTACGTGTATCCCATAGACATCTTGATGCAACATGTAATCCAGCAGGAATTTTTTGAAAAACAGTGAGATGAACAACGATTTTATATCGTTGAGCACTACCACCTTTGATAGATGATAAATAATGTTTAACTTTTGAACGTATGAGATTTCCCAATATTAATAATTCTGCTTTATGTGTGTCATCAGAATCAAATTCCATACGTTTCGTTTGTTCACTTATATGTACATCTTTTTCGATGCCTGTTTTTAATGCAAACCAATTTACTGGAGGAGCAGGTCCTAATTTATAATTGTCAGATTCTCGTATATTTTTACCGGTTATACGCGGTAAGCCAGTATTAATTTTTGGTTGAATATGATCATAGAGCGTTTTCCGTTTCAAATAAGAACTACCAGTTGCATTCATCGATGAAACTTCTCGAGCTAGTCTTGCCATATTGTTACGTAGTATAAACCGTTTAGCTGCTTCCTGCACTGCTGAATTGTATTTGGTTGATGTTTCCAGTAGTTGGGTAGTGGACGACGAAATCTGGCTATTCTCCAAAAATGATTCTGTTGAACTACTATTTGCTATGCTTGGGAGATAATGAGAGCCATCTCGCTTAGATGGACGTGGAACTCGTTGTTTTGTTGTTGCACAAAGTTCACCAATGGGTTTAACCTCGGGAAGTTGAGCATCATATAACTGATGTTTAACCATTTTTGTTTCATCATGCATTTTCCTAATCGTAAAGAATCAGAAATATCAAATAATAATTAATATTCAAAAGATCTGTTTAATGTTTCTCAATAAATATTACATACCACGATTTAATAGGATATCGTTTTTGTACGTCGACCATTTTGATTGTATGATTTTCTTTTTTTCGTTAATGAAAAAGATCAAACTATGTAAACGAGTCAAAACATCTATGTAGTAGACTTTCTTTGCAGAATCATACGAGAAAAATGGTAGTATGTGCGCATTATAAATTTAACGATGCTGAGAAGCTCTAGTTTGTTCGTTTCTTAAATGTGTATTTTAGTTGATTAAGAAAATTTTGGATGACAAATAAATGCTTGAAAACGATTATGGTTGAATTTATTGAAAGCTCGTCAATGTTCCGCCCTATTTTCTTTGGTAAAAATAAATTGAAGCACCTAAAAGAAGTAACAATCGATAGGTAGGTGTGCCGTAGAAAGACCGAAAGGGAAAAATATCGAAAATTTGCACTAAGATGTTTCTATTCTTGAAATCATAATAGCATCATATCATAAATCATAGATAAATAAGAGTTATAAAGAAAAATACACATATCCAATATTTACTAGTTGTTGTTGTTTTATTTAGTTTGAAAATATATTTATCTGATACAAGGAAAGGTTTTCCTTTTTACGACTGAATAAATGAAATAACTGGAGTTGGCGGATGATTCTCACCAGATAAAAATGAGCAAACTGTAGTCATCATGATAGAAGTTTAATCGCTGTATACTATTTTACGTCTATTTTAGCTAGCTTTNAATATATTTATCTGATACAAGGAAAGGTTTTCCTTTTTACGACTGAATAAATGAAATAACTGGAGTTGGCGGATGATTCTCACCAGATAAAAATGAGCAAGCTGTAGTCATCATGATAGAAGTTTAATCGCTGTATACTATTTTACGTCTATTTTAGCTAGCTTTCATAAGATATAACTTATCAATAGTATCAATGGTTAACAGTGTCAAACCAATGGAATAATCAGATTAACAACAATGAACAATAAACTATTAGAACCTTTATTTAGCAGAGACGTCGCTTTTTTCTATCTTTTCTGTTTTCGACATTTTTCCTTCTCTATATTTTTCTTTCGACATCTTTCCTTTTCGATATTTTTCCTTTCGGTCTTTCGACGGCCAACCGATAAGTACGCTGTTCTTAGGTTATCTAGCATATTTAACAAGTGGACTACAATTTTTCTCCTCTTTACACAATGTTCATATCCAATAGGGTATTTGATTTATTTCGCACATTTTACAGACTAATTATTCGTCTGCAGAATTTTTATGGGTTGTGTACAAACGTCTAGTTATGAATCAAATATTTGTTTTTAAACTTTTAAATTTACTAATACCTTATGAGGTTCTAAGAACGAACTTAAAATTCTCGATATTCGATGACACGAACTGATTTAGTAATAGAAATACAAGCAAAAACTTTCAACCGTCTCTCATCGGTTAAATCTTCGTTATATATTTCAATATATTATAATTTTACTTTTTGAAGATAAAATTTTACTTATTTGGTTAAGTTATTATTAATAATATTTTAGAAAAGAAAAATACAGCTTTCAATGAAATACAATGCTTCGTCTTCTCTTTTGCCTTTCGTCGTTTTCAGGACAAAAAGGTATGCCACATTGAATAAATATACAAATGCGCAGTTCAAATGATGCTCGTCTTAATGAAAACAGAATGACGGCGACTGAAGATATTTCCATATGTTTTAAGAATGAAAAACATCTATGTAATTAAAAATCTTATTTCGCTTTATTTCTGATTGTAATAAATAGGAAGAATAATTATGAAATAAATTTCGCTGACACTCTTATGATAATGTGTCTTTTAAGCATAGACTTTGCCTTCGATGTATTCCAATAAAGCTAATTCACCAGCCAGTGTTTCTTTTCCTGTTGGAACAATTTGATCTTCCGGTAACAAAAATCCATATTCACCTAAGAATCAAGAATGATAATAATAGAATTGATATTTTATTTGTCGAAATAAAACTATGCTACTTACCAGTATCTCGAAGTTCAACGGCGTAACTGAATGTTATATTAGCTGTACCAAATGTCCAATCGACTGTATTACCCGATGCAATATAAATAGTGGAACCAATATTACCATGAACATAATTAGTGCCTTTGAGAAAAAAATATAATGCTGCATCATAAAACTCTACTCTACTTACCAAAAACAGCGCCGAGTGCTTTAACAGCTTTAGCTGATCCATCGTCTTGCAATTTGAATTGTGCTGGTTTGCTTGTTGTATAACCTAATAAGAAAAATGACAATAGAAATTTTCATATGATCATAATTACCCCATGGTGACATCCATAATTGCGAATACGAATGAAAATTAATGTAGTGCACAAAAGTATCATTATGAGTAAGAAGAAAATTTGATACTTGTGCTGTTTCAACTTCGGAAAATGGTTTACTACCACAGTATGTATCATCGCATGGATCAGATGAAGCACCACCTAGAAATATCATCAGAATAAATGATTAGATAGATAATAAATAAAAAGTTACCTTCACACCAATGATAATTCCAATTACGATTTGGATCAGCACCAATACAACCCGGTTGTGATGTTTTGCTGCGAGTCTTACGCCATAGTCGATCTAAAAATCGTGTTTACTGTCAATTTTCTCAATGCTTCTCTACTTTACCGCTTTTCCATGTATACGCATAACCATCAACATTAAAGACAGGTAAAATATAATAATCGAATTGATCTACGAAATGAGTAATTGTTGGGTCTGTACCATAGCTCGATAAAAGTGAATGAGCAATGTAGATATTCGTCGCTGGACTAATCCATTCTCGAGCATGAATACCTGAAAAGAAATATTTTCAAAATAATTTATGAAAAAAACAAAATGCGAAACTATCGCTTACCTCCATCCCACCAAACAGCTTTTTTAGCATTTACGGGAATGCCAGCAACTGTAACTGCTGTTTTATTCGATGATATTTTTAAACCTTTCATTTGACGTTTTTCATAGGATGTGCCAACAATAAATGATGTCGCCAATGAAGGATATGTTTGTACCATTGTATCAATCCATGCATGAATTTCTTCAATAGGATGATATTTATCATATGCAAAAGCACCAACATTTTCATATGATGGCATTAGTTTATGAATTAAGTTTTGTCGTTCAATAATAGATCCAATATCTTTCATAATAACATGATATTTTATTTTTATATCATCGGATGATAAAAAACTAGCAAAACTTTCAATAGATTCAGGTGCTATACTAACATCAATCTAATAAAAACAAAACAGAAAAGAGTATATGTTATAGATAAACAAAACTATTGAATTCTACCGGAATATTCACACGGAATTCTTCAGACCAAAAGTTAATATTTTGTTGATATGCTACGCGACTAAAACCAAGTAATTTAGCTACTTGTTCGTTGTTGGTAACATCTAAACGCCATAATTGATATTGTGAATACGATTTGAAACCGTAAACATTTAAATGAATAGTCAATAATAGAAATAATGGTATAAAATAGGGCAGCAACATTTTCATATCTTCACGAGCCAAGAAAATATGAAAAAGAAAAATATAATCATCGACATGAAGCTCTACATAAACTCCAACATGGGGAGAGAGATATGACAAAAAGTAGATAACAGAGTGTATTGTTTGCTAGTAAAAAAAATGTGTATATGTAACAGAAAATGACAGTCAGCATGATAGATCAAGACTCTTAAAAAACGAAACAACAAAAAGAGCCTTGAAATACTAACTGTTAAAACTGAATGGAGACCGATGTATTCAAAATCGATGACTTGATCACGATTAATTGCGCGATTAAGTCGCAACATATCGCCAAAACTGATGATTTTTTTGTCGATTGGAGGGAGATGAGTACACCCACACTTGCAGTTCTATTACACTCATATAACATTGTTCAAATTTTTTTTGCGAAAGGCTCTGATGACACAGGACGATGTCTTATTCTTTACAGGTATTACGCTAAACTCGACTAATTTCTAATTCAATAAAATACCCTTCAAGGTTCTAGTATAAGCATAATTTTTCATTGAACTTTTTTTTATTAAACTTCTTTCTTCATACATATAGACTTGAAACTTTTGAGCGTAAGATTTATTCGTATGGAGAATTCTTGAACTAAAGACTAAAGAGTAGTTTGATTAGAGCACTGATTAGCATTTATTTGTTCCAAATATAATGTTCTATCGATCTGAAAAGTAGCAATGTAAAATCAACTTCTCTCGAATCAACGTGAGGTGACGCTCAAATTACTTGATTAAAATTGAGGGAAAATAACACCTGAGGAACTCATTTTTAATGAGAAAAATTTCAATCAGATCATATTCTTTGTAAATATTTTTTTTAAATACCAGAGCAAAACTTTTTGTTCTGCGGATTTTCTCGTTTGATGGGATTTATCGGATCTAATAAGTTACCTTACTTGAAATAAAAAGGAAATGAAATAAAATTTTATTCTCAAAATATTATTGGGAGACATTGATGGCAGATAAATAGAAAGACGATGAAAGGTAAAATCAAAATTGTCACTTGAATTTTTTCTTTCGACGTTCAACCTTTCTAATTTCTTTTTTTATACATTTAAACACGAATCACATTTTTCTATTGCCTTTCAATTAGAATAGTCTGTTTGACACCTCTGAATGTGATATTGTTCTTTGTTCAAATAATTTGTTTTTATTTTCTTTTCGCCAATGAGAAGAGAATTTAGAAACAAACAATGAGTCCATAAGTGTGTATATACAACGTCGACAATAACATTACAACTACAATTAAGATGACTCAGCATAACGTTCATATTCTTGATCTTCCTGATGAAATATTACTTCTCGTTTTGAAGAAACTCGACAATATTGATGTTCTTTACTCTTTACTCGGTATTAACAATCGTCGACTTGATGTTATAGTTCAAGAAAAAATCTTCACTGATGTTCTTAGTTTTGTTTCCATATCAAACTTAACTGAAGAAATTTCTCCAATTTCAGCCTTAGCATTAAATCGATTTCGTAATGGCATATTACCAAGAATCCATAAAAATGTCAAATCGTTCATTGTTGAGTCTGATTCTTTCGAGTGCATTCTTGGTGCTGCTACTTATCCCAACCTCACTCAACTTAAAATTTTCAATTTCAACAGAGCATTCGTTTCACGTTTTTTCTTGGGTATGTTATTCAAGTGAATCGATTTTTGAAAAGATTAGCATGAACAAATATTTAGATGATTAAATTAAATGTTAAGTTTCTTTTAGACGATTCTCCTCTTCAACATATTGGTAAACAACAGATTACGGACCTTATTCTAATCAGTAATGAAAACAATAATGAAATAGAAAAAATTGAGTATGCCAAGCATGTTTATGCAATTATTTTTAATTTCTTTAAAAATCTAAAGCATTTAAGTATTGTGCACCCAGCTGTCCATGATTATCCATCTTTATCGTTAAATAATTTATCACCAATGACTTTTTCTTCTTCGACACTTACCAAATTATGTATTGATGTCAATGATTTTGATGATTGTCTTGCTTTGCTTGATGGCCGCCTCAAAAACTTAGCTATACTTGCTGCTCAAATTAATTATATCCATAGATTCGCATTCACATCTCACAATATGGTGAGTTAAACGGTTCCGTCTTAATGTTCGTTTTTTAACTAGTGTTTAATATCGAGAAAAGAGAAAAAGTTAATAAGAAGTGTGCTAAATATCGAAATTTAGTTCGATTAATAAGTGTGATATTCTGCTTTTGATTATTAGGAAAAAGTTTCAATTTTTTCATTTTCTAATAAACAATCATTTTGTATCAGGATTCTTCTTATCTTTAATGGTTTCTCTGAATATATTTTCAGTTTCGAGCTTTTCAAATTTAATATTAATCTTTTTGTGAAGTCACTATTGATCTGTTTGATTCTCGTTCGCTTATAGCTACTTATTGTACAAACATTGATAGCCTTTTACAAATGAATATTAATAGTACATTTACTATGTATCCAAGACGGACGTGATATTCATCGTCACTTTGTAGAGGAATTTGTTTAACTGTATAACCACTATTGGTTATCCCACGACTTTCTTCACGGTTTCTTTTGGTTTCCAACTTTTCTGATGAACGTGCATTGGCTTTTGTCTTTTTTCAATTCGTTCATTTTGTCCTGTTTACTCTTCAGATTCTTGTTATTCATTCTGAATATTTCAACTATGACGTTTCCTCTCAGCATTCACCGTAACGTTATCGTCATTGCCAACAAAAAACTCAGACAACACCAATGTGCCTTGTTCACATTTCATTATTTTTGCCGAAGTGATTATAATTAAAATAGAACAGATACATTTCATAGAATTTGAAAATAAATAATGTTTATAGATATTAATACTTGATGCAATTTAGTTTTTGAGTTAAATGATAAAAATAAATTTATAAATATTTTCTTTCTACATTTCAGGATGATCTACCCGGTTTAAAATCTTTTTCATTAATATGTAATCGTAGTACTAAAGGATATACTAATTTAGTTATACCTCTTCTTCGTCGAATGTCAAATCTAGAAGAATTAAATTTATATATTCATATCTTACGTGGACACACATTCGTCTCTGGCGTTGATCTTCATAATGAAATTCTTATTCATATGTCACGACTTCACACATTCACATTTTATCTTGCTTCGGAAACTATTATTACTGATCCAACAATTCGTATATCTGAATCAAATATTCAGAAAACTTTCGAAAATGGGAAATATCAACAGGTGATTTGTATGGTAGATTATTCTGATTCTAACACATTAATTTGTCGTGCTTTCACGCTTCCATTTAACTTTCATCGCCTCGAACATATCAGCTATAATATTCCAAATATTATATTTAATTCTGTTACTTATTTAAAAGTATGTGATGCAACTCCATTCAAGCATGAATTTTTTGTTCGACTTGCTAAAGCTTTTCCATTTCTTAAAAGTTTATCTATTGATAATATTTGGCCACCATTTTTGAAAGCTGAAAAACCTTATCATCGCGATAAAGACTGGTGCTCACTTGTTCAATATCCGTATCTTATTTCACTTGACATCCATCATGCTGCAGTTAATTATGTTGAACATTTTCTCAGTGAAAGAGAAATTTATCTACCTCGCTTAACTGAATTAAAAGTTTTTTATGAAGACTTGGCAACAGTAACACATAACTTTACAAGAGATGAAACGCGACGTAATTGTGCTCAAGTAAAAAAATTAATAATTGGACGTTGCACTTTTTATCCAGATGCTCTTTGTGTTTATTTTCCTTTGTTACCATATTAGTATTGTTCTCATTATCTAGATAGAAATTTTCTGTATGAAATATATCTAAGTTTCTTACAAAGAATGGTTGCAAACAAAGTATATGGGTTAAGTTGAAAAACGACAGAATCTGTTTTGAAAGCTTAAAAGCTTTCATGAAGAACAATCGACGAAAGATAATCATGGATTTGAATCGAGTTATCATTCAAGAGTAATAATATGCAGTTGAATAAAATTTGAAATAAAAATCTATCGTTGAGCACCATAATATGTTGTTGTCCATGGCAGTATTTATTGATTTGACATGATCACTATGATCAAGTTGATTTTGCAATTTCCTTAGTTTTATCATAGTACAGGTTCACTTATTTCGGGTCGGATTAATAATAGAACTCATTACTAATACTATATGTCAAAATATGGGATACGACTTGGTAAAGAGAAATATTGGCATATCCTTCAGTACAATCATAACATATTAACGAAAAGGATTTTAAACCGGGTAGATCATCCTGAAATCCCAGGTCGATCAACCTGAGCCGTAAACGGCCGTATACCTATCACTCACGGTGAAAAACGGCGACCGTATTTTGTAGTCGTTTACTGTTGCCGTAAACGAAGTTATACGATGAAATACGATCGTCGTAAACGAGGACCGTGAAAAATCTCCGTAAACGGTCATCGTAANTATTAATGAAAGCGATTTTAAACCGGGTAGATCATTCTGAAATATAGAAAGAGAATATTTATAAATTTATTTTTATCATTTAACTCAAAACTTAAATTACATCAAGCATTAATACATATAAATATTATTTATTTTCAAAATTCTATTTATACATGTCTTTCATATTCTATGCAATATATCTGTTCTATTTCGCTAATGATTACTTCGTATCTATTTAATATACATGCACAGAAGAATTACTGAACAACTCAATAGAATTATCAAATATTATATAAGAATCAATTTTTTAGCAGATTACAAAGCATTTAATATGATCTATTATATAGAATTAAAAAATAATCTTGAATATCTCAATAGAAAATAACTGTTGTCTTTATTTATGAATAATCATAATTAAAAAATTTAATTTAATGTGCACATATGAGTTAGTTTTGATTTTATTTCAAGAAGTTATTGAAAACCATATGAACACTTAAAAGACACAAGATTCATTTTAAATAATATATTTTCTTCTTTTTAATTGTTCGATGTGTCTAAACATAAAATATAAAAACAGAGAAGTATAAACAGATCTTCAAAATACCGTATTCATCTTCAAGTGCTATGAATAGTTTACCATCAGTTTCAATATTTTTTGCTAATGTGCGTAACTGTTTCTGATTGTCTTTAAGTCTTTTTTCTACTTCTTGTTTTTGAGCTGTTAATTCAAAGACATTCATATCTGTGCTCAGTTTAACTCGTTCGCCCGCTAAGCGTTCATAATTTTGTAAATCGTCCTTCAATTTATTGATTGTAGTTTTGACCTAAAACACTTTTTCGTTTATTATTTTGTATTGTTTATTATTTTTACCGCGGACTTACAGTCGTTATTCGAAGTCATTTATTCAGTTAGAGGAAAAGAAACGTGTATGTGTTTTCAGTATGTATTAAATGACCATATACAATGCATACATTATTGCATGAGAAAATTTTTTGTCCTTCTTTTCTCTATCACATAGTTCCAGGGTAGCAATGGATAGAAACACTACAACAAACCAATTAAATTTCATTTGAATTCAACAACCCAGTTTTAACATTTTGGACATACGCATTTACTATCATATCATTATTTGATAATGTTAAAGATTCAATAGAGAAAAATTTGAATTTGATCGAGATTTGTTTTCTAATTTCACGGTTAACACGTCAAATTACAATATTTTAAGTTCAACGTCAGAGTTTTACATTACAAATTCCTTTTGTGACACTCAGAGTAAGGATCGAAAGTTGAAGCCTGAAATTTGACGTTTCAATACAATTCAGTCTTCAAGTACAAGTAACGCTCGTCTACCAACTCGTTCAGCTCTTTCTCGTAGAAGTCCTATTTCTAAATGTAAGAGCCTTTAAAGAGTTCCCGAGAAAATTTTTGAGAAATTATTTTTTTCTGCTATTATTTATTAAAATTAAAATTAATCGATTTGATGGAAATCAAATAGACAATTTTTATTTCGTAACATCATCGTATCAATATAAATAAATGTTCGAGTTCCAAAACAATAGAATGAGAATTGATCTTAACAAAACCAAAAGAACTTTAAATTCATTGAAACTTCTTACATTAACTTTTTTCCAGATTTTTTTAATAACAATTGAAAAACAATTCAATAAAATAAAGATTTTTCGTTGCATACAAAAGATTAAATAAATCTAATAGACAAATTGAATTTCAATTTTAATAGTACAAAAATTAATTCATATTAGATTTACAAAACAAAAACAAATCGCAATGTAAAATGCGTTAAAGATCAATGTGTCTCTATGGCTCAGTGGTAATGAACAATTCATAGATTATGTTATTCATCGACGGGCCACCATTGGGGTAAGGTGGGGCAGTTGCCCCACCCAGAATTTTATTCTCATAGATGCGATTCGTTCATTTTTTTTCCCTAGAGCTGATATAGACATTTTAATAATTTTTCCCCCACCAAAAACAATTACCCTGGCCCGCCGATGATGTTATTTTTAATGTTATTTCGATTTCTAGTCGAGCAGATTTTTATTTTAATTTTATTAACAAGAGTTTAATTAATATCGAAAAAAAACTAACTTCGATAAATAAATTTTTCAGTTTAAAAAAGCAAAGTTTTCATAGACATTGTCAAACAACAAAAACATATAATTTATTTTCGTCATCAGAGATCATCTATTCATCAAATAATTCACAGGGCTTTTTCTAAATCTTTTGTACTTTGACGAATTCGATTCATTTTCATCAAAATAACAAAATAAATATTTTTTAAATATGTCAACGAATATTGTGAGACTTAGCAAATTTATCGAAAATAAATTTAACTTTTTTAATTTTCTTTTTCTTTTAAATAATCTTAATCTAGAATTTTTAAATGAAAGCCGATGTTAAAGGAATCGTTAAATTGTACAGTGACACGAGAGAAAATGTATGAAACGTTTTAAAAAAGTTCAAATTGATTATCTCAAAATTTTTTTAAGGGAACAACTTCTTTTTACAGTAATAGTATTTTTATATGAAAATTATAAATATTTTAACAAGAATTTCAATAAACATAAAAGTAATTTTTTCTTAACTCAATAAATATTTAATATTGAATTAATTGAAATCAAAAGATTTTATTGAATTCTCTTGAATATAATTCAATGAAAAATGACGCTTCTAGCCGGATTATTTGATAAATTATTCTAATATGATACACCGAAACAACTAGAAAAACTTTCATTACACCAATTTCATTTATCTGTTATAGAAAAAAGATTTTCATCATAAGAAAATATTTTTTTAAAAGTACGAAGATATTTATAGAGACTTTAGATAAAATCAGATTGAAATTAACATGATAAATAAAACAAAAATATTGCGACTGAATCAAATGTGAAATCATGAAAATAGGTCTCATCTTACAAAAACAAAAACGGTTACAATCGAAAATTTCAACAAATTGCCTTTCGATTCGATTAAAATTCTTTGAATTCAATAGACTTTAGTAAAGTAGTTTTGTTTATCCAAATTTCATAAAATTAATACATTAGAAATAATGAGAATAAAATAATGGCAAGCAATCTCGTTACTGGATAAAATGTACATAAACGTGAATAATTTTGTTTGATATTTTTATTGCAAATAGAAAACAGTGAACTTTAATCGCAAGTAATAATCCGAGTTTGATATCTCTTAATACAAAGGATTTACGATGAAAACACTTTTTTCGAGTACCCAAGAAAAATGACTCTTTTGGTTTGGGGATATGGGTGTGAGTGTTCAGTTAAGCTACAATTCACCCACTGTGAGCCATGAATATCATGATAAGAGGTTGAACATTTCACTTGCTACTTTCATTAACTTTACACACGTGTTTTTTTTTCATTCAATGTTATTTTATTAAATTTTAAGTCCATGGACTTCTCACTATCGTACCGCAAGTAGTCAAGAATAATATGAAAATATTATAGTCATGGATTATCAATCTAAATGTCAACAAAAGAACGAGGTCAATCAATGACTCACGTTCTTCATAAAAAATCTGCATCGCCCAGGTCGAACATACACGGTCGTATACGACGGTAAATCGCCGTATTTGGCCGTATTACATGGCTCCGTATTACGATCGTAAATCTCCGTGCCGTATCGTAATACGGAGTAATGTAATACGGCCAAATACGGCGATTTACCGTCGTATACGGCCCGTATTTCACCGTATACGAACGTCGTAAAGCTCGTCCTGGGTCGACAGATATAAACAATGTAAATTTCTTGTATGCAAATATTAGCGTTGTATTCTATCAAATATTCATATGTATATGACAGGTAACGAAAATCTTTGATACATGACTAATAGATAGAGAGAGAAAGTTATATATGGCTATGAGTCATATAAATAAAGAGAAAACATAATTCGTTTAAACAAAATCGAGGTCATAAAATTGTTATCACTGCTAGTGACCCCTTAAATCTTATCCATATATCCACTATTTCGTCTTATGGTGTAGAGCATCCAAACAGCCTTTGTTATCTATTCGTTACACTAGACTATGTCTCTCTTTTCATATTATGTATATGTAATAGAGAAACACGCCAATTAGATTATTTACTAAAGGGACATCGGAAAACAATGGAAACAATTACACTATATATAGAATGCGTTAACTGAATAAACAGTCATATTTACAAAGCAAATAATGGTATGTATAGACTAACATAGACACCCACGTGTCTGTTAGGTTATAGAATTATAATTGTATTTTTTTTACTTTAAATAAACTTTATATGATTTAAATCTTAATTTATTATTCATTTTAGGGATCGTACAGTCGTTTCATCGATTTATATTGTCTTTATCCATGGTATATTCGGCTGATTACATTCATTGTACACCTTATTGCCATTTTGTTCATCTCAACATTACAGAAAATGGTTCGTCGACTGGATACATTGCCAATGGTGATAATCTCGGATGAAGGATTGAATAATAGGAGGAATTTTTTGATGAAATACAGACAATCATGGACAAATTTATGTATATTTAATGCAATGATTTTTGGATTATGTATTTCTGTTTTAATCGATACTGCAACAGGATTTCCATGGGGATTGCTATTGGCAACACTTATAACAATCAGTATTGAAAAATCATCTGATCGATGTATTCGATGGAGATTCAAGTTAACTCCTAACATAAATACGGACATGGATGCTATAACTGTTTTATATCCTTCTACTATCGGAATTATCGAACTCTTTTTTGTTGGTATTTACCTTTTTGGTGTTCATGTGTATGTGTACTATAAGTATGCTGCTTAATTTTTTTGGATAGTACGTGAAATCTTGTTCATGTAAATTATTCAAGTTTATAGAAGTAAAGGGTTTCATTCATTTTTTTTTGTAAAGCTATATTTCAAAGACTGTTAAACTATTTTTCTGGTTGACTAATCTTTTTTAACAAAATAAAATTTATTATGAAGATAAAGATTTTGTTAATTATGATATTCAAAATATGTTTTAAAAGATCACTATGCTACTTACTGTACGAAGTAAATAAT